ATTTAGTAAATATTACCATTACTACTAAGTAAGGTTTAGTAATATATAACTTAGTATATTTAGGCCACTATTTCCTTTCCTAGACCTTTATGCTTTCTTTAAGTATCTATCTCTCTTTAATTTAGTTTTAGACTTGAATTTGAATTTGAATTGGTCATAATTTCAATATCATCAAATTAATGATGTTCATCATATCATTATTATTATAATTTAATTATTATTTCAAGATTATATATTTGAATATCTATATTTAAATATTTTATATATAAATTATTAAATAATTTTAATAAATTTATTTTAAGATATATTTTTTAAATTTTTATTTTATAAAAATTATTACTTATTATTAATTATATAAAAATTTTTATAATATATTTATTATATTTTAATAAATAAGTTAACTAATCTTAAATTCTACTAACCTAATCTAATTAGTATATTCTAGTCTTGGCAGCCTATCAGGTTACCTAACCTGAACCTGCAGGTAGCACGGGCGGGCTGGACACCTCAGGCAACCAGCCTTGGGCGGGCGAAAGAGTGGACTGACCCGCCCGAACCCACCCATCTGCCAGTCTAAACCTGTTGGCTATGGAGATTCCTATATTATCTACTTTTATAAGTTATTACCATGCGAATACCTCCTTTAATACCTGATAATGCTTGCTTTGATACCTATACAGGTTTTAGTTGATACCTGCTTCGATACCTACTTGAATGCCTACTTGAATGCCTGCTGAGGTTGCGGCTCGCCAGGTCGCCAGGTCGCCAGGTGGCTACCAAATTTGACTAGTTGGGACCAGTAATAACCAAATTTCATTACTATATGTAACAATACTAGTGGTAAGTCAGTAATATATTCTATAAAGCTGCAGGATTCAAAATTATTTATCTAGTAGTACTGGTTATGACCAGTCATGCCTAATTCAAGTGGTAAAATACCACCTGGTGAGACAAGATTTGGTATGGTATACTTTTCATGGTATATTACAGTAGAATATATATCTAGTTATTACTAGTAATATCTAGAAGTTCTAGTACTACTAGTAATTACTAGTAAAATTAGAAGTTCTAGTTATTACTAGTAGGGCTAGTAGTACTAGAACTTCTAATTATAATTAATAAAAATAAATATATATTAATCTTTTCTAATAATCTATATCTTTTATCTAGATAGTAGTAACTAGAGATTCTAATAATTACTAGATATTACTAGTAATAACTAGAATTTCTAATTTTATTAGTAATTACTAGTAGTACTAGAACTTCTAATTATAATTAATAAAAATAAATATAGGGGACTGTTAACGCCACACCCTGTATTGATCCAACCACACCCCTTCCTGATCATGCCACACCCCCTGACCTAATAATGCCATACTTATTTGTCACATAATAAAAATATTACATGTAAAGTTAAATATCTATATTTAAATCTATTAAAATAAGTGCCTATAAAAGTAATAAAATATATATTATTTAAGTAATTCTAATTATATAAATTATTAGCTAATTAGAAGCCAGTATTTAGAATTTATTTCCGTGCAGTAGCATGTCCTCTATGCCCCTGGTTGCCTCCCTGTTTTCCATATCTTCCACCATGTCTTCCGCGCTGCGAGGTTGCTGGCTTGGTTGCTAGATCGGTGGCCTGTGAGGTTGCTAGCTCGGTTGCTAGCTTGGTTGCTAGCTTGGTTGCTAGATTAGTGGCCTGCGAGGTTGCTGGCTTGGTTGCTAGATTAGTTGCTAGATTGGTGGCCTGCGAGGTTGCTAGCTATAAGTCTGTTAAATATTATCACCCTGATCAAGAAAAAGAATACTAACTATTCTATTCTCTATAGGTTAATAATCTTTCCTGCCTTCTTTACCTCCTCTACCTCCTCTGCCTCTCCTATATCCCCTGTGAGGCATTAAATTCTCCTGTGCTAGAACATATTCATAATAAGATGGCTCTCTTTGGGTAGACCTATCTACATTGCCCTGGCTTGCTGGCTAGCTTGCTATTAGGATATTTATTAAGCCTCTTAGATAGCTACAGGTCCTATAGACTGCAGGGTTAAGAATTAATAGCTATAGATTAATAGGAGGCAACGAGTTAATATCTATATAAAGCTACTAGTATTGATGAAAATAATAGATCTATAGAGGCTTGTTATAGTTAATATATTCTTTAATAATATAGATATAAGGGATCTCTATTATTCTCTTTATATTCTTATTATAGTCTAGATTATATAGAATTTTATTAGGCTTTAGAAAGTATTCTTTAACCTCTATAATATAGTTAAGCATGAATGAAGAAATCTAATTTAGTATAACTTAGAATAAGGAGTTTCTTATAAATTATAGTAGGTACTTTACCTTATTATTATTATAAATCTACTATATTTTAATATATTATCTTACTATAGTATATTTAAAGGATTACTATACTTCTAAGAGATTATTTATAGAGATCTAAAACTCTTGCTTAAGTATTTAATAACCTAACTTATTATAAAAAGTCATTATCTGTATAAGATATATATAATCTGTAAGATAATAGAATAGGAAGTAATATTAAGTCTTATTATTTAGCTATTTATTAGTAATATATTCTATAAATTCTTGCCAGATCTTACTATTATATATAGCTTTAAAATTGCTAATTATTAAATCTCTCTCCTCCTTAGTTTTTATATATATAATTATATTAAATAATACCTGGAAGGCTTTCTACTACTAGTTAATATAATTCTTGTATTCCTTATTATTCTTTCTTACTTCTACCATATTATTGCTATAGATTTCCTGTATAACTTGGCTAGTAAGGATAGGTTATATCTCTGTAAGAATATTCTAATAAATATATTACATATAGATTAAGTTATATGCAAATAAAAAGACCTTATAGATTATATTTATTAAGGCACCTTCCTTGTTAGTAATAATAGTTATAGGAGGGGTAATATCTGCCTGTTAAAGGACTTTAGATAAATAGTTTAAAAGGTATTCATAACTCTCCTATTTCTTATTAGAGATAAATCTAAATCTAGTATAAAAAGTCTTGTTACAGGCAGTTAATCTAATAATATCTAATAATAGTATCTTATATTAATTTATATAATATATATAATCTATAAATAAAATTATTAGATAGTACTACAGGAGTTATAGGGAAGTCTTATAAGTATAGAATACTATTATTATAATATTTAATTTATTTATTTTATATATTACTATCTAGTTACTAATTTCTAGAATAATAGAAAGAAGTACCTGGATAGGAATTTTATTATTAAGAAGTTTATTTTATAACTTTTACTTCTAATTATAGATATTACAATCTTTTATAATATAATTAGGGTTATCCTTATATAGTGTAGAAAGGATTTTACCTATTAATAAGCTAATATTAAGATAAGACTTAATATTAGCTTCTTTCTTTATTATTTTATAATAGCAAAGCTTTATATATATTAAATAGGGAGCAGGATTATAATTATATAAAATATTCTTAATCTTAAGATATTATATTTTATTATTAGATCCAAGCTTTAAATATACTTTATATAGGTACTTTATAAGTTAAGTCTTTTCTTTTTAAGAGTGCTCTTCTTTATTAATTTAATTCTAGTATTCCCCCCTATAACTATAATATAGATAGATTAAGTATGTCTCTTTTTTCCTGTTAATTTCGCGTTATTTTAATTACTTAGTAGTTAAGACATATCCTTGCTATATAGTAAATAAATTGAGAAACTCCATGGCTGCTGGTCAGGATAGGAAGGTCTAGTTAGTTAGTAGAGGAAGTAGCTGAGGCCTGACCTTACCAGTATCCTTACCATCATCTGAGCTCTCGTATCCAACAAGATTAGGTAGTATTTTGGTAGTCTGCGTGGTCTACATGTATTTGGTGTAGTTATTAATACTATGATGTGTGTAATAATAGTAATACCCTATAAAATTGCCCTAATACTAAACCATATATAGCAAGAAAAAAAATCATGTGATGAATAGGTATAGCATTATCAGGTCAGGGGGTGTGGCATGATCAGGAAGGGGTGTGGTTGGATCAATACAGGGTATGGCGTTAACAGTCCCCTAAATATATACTAATCTTTTCTAATAATCTATATCTTTTATCTAGATAATAGTAACTAGAGATTCTAATAATTACTAGATATTACTAGTAATAACTAGAATTTCTAATTTTATTAGTAGTTACTAGTAATTACTAGAACCTCTAGTTATAATTAATAAAAATAAATATATATTAATCTTTTCTAGTAATCTATATCTTATTATCTAGATAATAGTAACTAAAGATTCTAGTAATTACTAGTAAATACTAATAAAATTAGAAATTCTAGTAATTACTAGTAATACCTAGTAATTATTAATAAGATTAGTTCTTTTTTAAAAATAATTATAATAATCTAATCTAGATATATATTTTACTTAAGTAAGTACTAGTCTTGACTAGTCTTAACTAGAAATAATATACTATATTATACCATAAAAAGTATACTATACCAAATCTTGTCTTGCTAGGTGGTATTTTACTACTTGAATTAGGCATGACTAGTCATAACTAGTATTACTAGATAGATAATTTTAAATCCCGCAGCTTTATAGAATATATTACTGACTTACCACTAGTATTGTCATGTATGGTAATAGAATTTGGTCATTACCAGTCCTACCTGGTCCCAACTCGTCAAATTTGGTAGCCACCTGGCGACCTGGCGACCTGGCGAGCTGTACATTCATGCCTGCTAATACTTGCTTTAATACCTGCTTTAATGCCTTGATACCTGCTAATACCTCCTTTAATATCTACTTTAATACCTATTTTAATTCTAACTTCCATACTTGCATTAATATAGTAGCTATCATGAGCGTAGCGATGATTTGAGGCTAGTTAATAAGTAAAGATAGTTAGGGTACCCCTATATTATATTAGCGCCTAAGACTATCATCCTAGCGAGAATACACATAACTATCTCTACCAATTTTTACTATAGTGTTTTACTATTAAGCTACCCCGAGGATTACCTAATAATCCAACAAGCAGCAAGGGTCATGTGGCGCGCTATACTACTTTATGCCCAGGCATCAACAGAAGCTGTGCGCGGGTAATGCATTCATCTACTAGCCCGTCCCCGCACTTTGAGCAACCTTGTCACTCACCATTTTGACAGTTCCAACTTAGCTTGATCCAACTGCCGGCTCTACCACAGGCAGTCGAATAATTGGTGATTTCCCAACTCCTGATCTCTCTCTCCCACCACTTCATTTACTGCCGGTTTCATCCGGGACTGTTTCCAAACGAGGTACCAGCCCAAGCTCCACGACACGTTATCGGAAATAGAAAGAAGCGGCAAACACATGACCCCTTCTCAATTCATGTCTATCCAAACAAGCTCCTCTTCGACATGACGGAGCTTCTTAAACGCCTTACTGCAGCGCCTTCACGCCGTTATCTCTCGATTAACGTGACTGACGAAAACTATGATCGCCAACTGCGAGACTTGGCCGTGTACTGCAAATATTCGGGCGTAGTTTCTAATATTACCGATTTTGATGAATATTTAGACGTATGAGACCCCCTTAATCAGGACAAAGAAATATAACTACAACGACATAACACGCTAATTGACTACAGAATATTAATCCATCAATCCATACCCTATCCTTCTTGCATATACTCCACTTTCAAATCCAATCCCTCCAAGCTAAAACAAAGAGCGACTTACCTGAAGACCTCCTTCCCGGTGGTAGATTGTGGACCCGAGTTTCAAAGTTCCTGAAGACATTTGATCCTATTCAGATTCGATATGCTGGCCACGAATGGCGCCAGCTTGTGGAGCTCGTAGCCAGGGCGGCGCATGCCGTTTCAAAGGCAAGGCACATCTTGAGATATCTCTAAACTACAACTAACCCATGAACAGCCACGCCTGGCAGTGAAGTTGATCCGAGATGCCTTATGCCAACTCGACCTGTCTTTCGGCGTCTTCACATCGGTACATCTTATTTTTGTCAAGCTCGCTCTGCGTTCGGCCTCGTATACAATTGCGCTTCCGATCCTGGACCGACTTCTTTGTCATTTTCCCACAGGAGTAAACACCATACATCACGAGTCGTTTCTATGTTCCGAGGATGACACGAGCGTGGCATTCATTACAGATGTATCCGGGCTTTCTGCCAAGTTAACGTATCGGGATCACCTCCAATATTATCTCTATAGCGGAATGATTTACATGGCTCTCAAGAAGTGGGACCAGGCATTACACTGCTTGAGCGCAGTAATTTCCTCACCCGCGCTAAATTCTGTCAGTAAAATTATGGCGGAGGCCTACAAGAAGTGGATCCTGGCAAGCTTGTTGGGTTATGGAAAGGTGCTCATCTCTTGTTTTATCATACTATGCTGATGAGCTATGAACTGACCGCACCGCGATTATTAGCTACAATCCCTCTCTAGGATGATCTCCCCCCATGTGATGCGAGTTTACCAGTCATTAGCCAAACCATACATATCCCTAGCGGACACTTTCGAAAAAGGTGATCTACAGAAAATGCGCGCGGAGATTGAACTTGGGCAAACTATATGGCGTATTGTAAGTCATAGTATGAATTTCTACTTTACTGCGTTACTCTTGCTGACAAGTCTCCAGGATAATAATGCAGGCCTCGTGTCTCAGCTGTTCGATGCATTTGATAAGTACACGGTCTTGAAATTAGGGAGAACCTTTTCTGCCCTCACAATGGCCGATGTGAGGCAACGGGTATCGGCTAGCTCGGGGAATTCCCATAATGTTGAAGGCTTTGTAGCATCGCTTGTGATGTCAAACGCTTTGAGAGCCACGTTATCGCATTTACCTGGCCTTGAAAGTCTCGCAATGCTGCGCTTTTCCTCGGCGCCCGAGTCTGCTGTTGTTCGGGAAGAGACCGTACGCATACGGCTGATAGAAGCCGGGCTTGCTGCGAATACAGTTTCCGAGAGAATACGACAAAGTAATCGTATTCTGGAGCTTTGCCAGGAAAACCTCCAAACTTTAGCCAAAAGCCAAAAGTGGGCGGATAACACAGGAAGGTCTAGTGAAGCAGGTGGTAGCTTTGACATTGATGAGGATCTTATGGGTGACGGTCATTGAATTGAATATTCTGGCCTTGCGTGTCGCATTGTAGTTCAGAAATATCATGGCATAGACTAGTAGGTCGGGAGAACTATCGCACACTTGTCGGTTCGGATAAACTGGACTCTGGGATTGCGGTAGATGGCTAATAACTATACGAGAGAGACGGGGGAGGAGCGTCTGATCGTAGAACTATCCGGGATACATCAATGGCAACTGATCATGTCTGTGGAGACTAGACCGGGATGATTTCCTCGTTAAACGAAGCCCATTCTAAGCAACGATGAGTATATTCCTCTCCGTCTATATGTTCTTAGTTATAAGCCAAGTGCACCACGTAGTAGGTAGTTTTTCTTCGTTACATTTCCATATACTCGGCATTCCTGGTGCTGGGGATTAGAGCCTGTTTATATGAAGGATTTGGATGGTGGGGTAGTGAAAGAAGCTATCATCTTGACTAAATGACGATAGATAGAATGATATACTTATTTTGGGTACTATTAGTTGCTGCTGTATTCTAGTGATTCCCCGGGTTTTCTAGGGGAGTGATTATATAGAAATGCTGGATGTTCTGCCCTAGAGTTGGTTTTGGGTGGATTTATAGTACATAGTTACCCCGCGGTCTGCAGTGACTCACGGTAAATAATTTAGTGGCCGAATCGAATTTTGTCGAATAGCTCGATCTGAAAGACACCCCCGCACAATTTCAAGGCGAGAACTTCCACCAATTCAACAATTGAAATTAATTTGCCTATCTCTGGTTTCCTAGGGGGTGATTAATTGATTCCCAGTACTTCAAGAATGTCTCTCACAGAATCTTCCGCGATTGACATTGCGAAAGCTGCATCCTCCGCTTCTCGTCACTTAGCAACTTTGTCTGAAGCGGATCGCAATGAGGCCCTAGTAGCACTCCATGATGCACTTTTAGCGAATAAAAATGCCATCCTGGAAGCGAACGCAAAAGACCTCCTAGCTGCAAAGCGAGATGTCGAAGGTGGCACTCTCACTCAAAGTGTGTTGAAGCGTCTTGACTTGTCAAGACCAGGTAAATATGATGATATGTTGCAAGGCATTCTCAGTGTCAAAAATCTCAAAGACCCGAGTATGTTCATATTATCTTCCAGTATTCCCACTGTTTCTCAACCCTCTAATTTAATCTCAGTTGGAAATGTCACATTAAGAACTTTACTGGATGATGGCCTTACTCTTGAAAGAGTGACCTGTCCTATAGGTGTCTTGTTGATAATATTTGAAGCTCGGCCTGAGGTCATCGCGAATATTGCCGCTCTGGCCATAAAATCGGGAAATGCTGCGATTCTAAAAGGTATGCCGATTGAATAATTGAATACTACTTGGCGTTGGTTACATTTCTGATCTCTGGGAAGGCGGCAAAGAATCGACCGAATCCTTTGTTACGATTTCGCACGTAATTTCCAAAGCTATATCGGGCACCCGCGTTCCGGGGTCATCGATTCAACTCGTGAAGACACGAGCCGCTGTGTCCGATCTGCTGGCACAGGACTCGCTAATCGATCTCGTCATTCCTCGTGGCTCTAATGACCTCGTTCGCTTTGTGAAGGAGAACACAAAAATCCCCGTTCTCGGCCATGCCGACGGCCTTTGTTCTGCATACATCCACTCTGATGCAGATCTGGAAATCGCGGTAAAAGTCATTGTAGACTCGAAAACCGATTATCCTGCAGCTTGCAATTCCTTGGAAACTTTACTTGTACATCAGGATGTCCTGAACACGATCTTTCCCGCGGTTGCTCGAGCCCTCATCGCTAAGGGCGTATGTCTCCGCTGCGATACAGCCTCTAAAGCTGTGTTACTACAAACGCTAACCTCTGAAAAAATGGAGATGGTTCAGGATGCGTCTGAGTCTGATTATCACACTGAGTTTCTTGATCTTATCCTAGCAGTTAAAACAGTTCACTCTCGCCCTCCACTCTCCGATGTCGAGGAGGTAATTGAGCATATCAATTCTCATTCTTCCAAACATACGGATATTATTGTGACCTCGTCCAAGGACACTGCAGAGCGTTTCATGAAGGCTGTTGATAGTGCAGGGGTTTTCTGGAATGCCTCAACACGGTTCGCAGACGGGATGAGATATGGGTTTGGGACTGAAGTCGGCATCAGCACCAACAAGATACATTCTAGGGGACCTGTTGGCTTAGATGGGTTGACTATTTATAAATACTTGATTCGTGGGGAAGGTCATAGAGCTGGCGATTATTTCGAAGGTGAAGGAGGCAAGAAGTGGAAGCATCAAAGCTTGTAAATACTGTAGTCTTTTATTCGGACTAATGACATTCAAAACAACATTTTCATTTTTCATTCCGTTCGACGTAATCTAACTGGAAATTCCGTGAATTGCCTCCACAGTCAAGCTGGATGGAGGAACTCGCGTTGTAGTGGCCCGAAGAGGTATCCCAAAGACAACATAGTCTTATGCCAGAGCCTCGATTAATCTAGGAATATCCCGACTGCCAAACAATCACAAGCATTCCCAATCCCTTAGACCTTGAAACCGCGAGACCTTCTCCGTCCACGAGCTCTCTCGAACTTCCGACCCTTGCTTCGGACATATGGTTTCTTTGGGAAAGTTAGTCGTAGATTACGGTCGCAGAGACAGAAAGGGACAAACCTTGTGGCTGTGAGGGCCGAAACCGAAGTGTTTCACGGCTTCCCGGGCGTTCTTGGGGCCACGGAGGAGGAGTGTGTTTGCTCCAGTAGGTGCCCTGAGAGCAAGTTGATCCAGGGTCAAAGTCTCACCACCAGCCTTCTCAATTCGGGCTCTGGCAGTGGCAGTGAAGCGCAGGGCAGCAATGGAAAGCTTGGGAACAGTCAGGAGACGGTTGTCATCGGTGATTGTGCCGATCACGACAACAGTCTTGCCCTGGTGGGAGTCGGTCACGTTGGAGGCGATGCGGGAGAGCGAGACAGGAGGGCGGTTGATACGGGACATAAACAGGCGGCGCAGCACAACCTTGTTGAAGTTTGATTCAGTGCGGCCTGCAAATTACACCCACAGTTATAATCCCACTTCTTCACATATAAAAAAAAAATTCGGGGAAAAGCTTACGGGCAAGGAAGCGATAGAGCTTCACCAAGACCTGCAAATAGACGTTCTCGCTCTTTGGCGCCTTGCGATGGGTGCTGCGCACATGGTGGCGATCCAAGTCGATACCTATACACACGATCATCAGTCTCAATCACTGCACAAATCTCGAATATTGAAAGCACGCCAACAAATAGAAAGGTGATTCCAATTGAATCTGCTTAATAGATAGTAAGGGCTCTGTTTATTCAATAATACATACCCATGGCTGCTGAGATTGTCGGACCTAGAAGTTAGCTGGCTGTCGCACCCGTATGCAAAGTGAAGCTGGTGAGGGTTTTGGTATACGATTTTCAGATGGACGGTGTGTGCGGGTTGAGCCCTACACTAGTACGTATCCGGAAGGAGCTGAAATGACGGTAACAAAACAAGGTTTGCCTCAAAGAACGGATGTATTATTTGGTATTCAGAGAAATTTACTTTATTCACGTGAAATTTTTTTCTTTGGGTCAGAAGATTTTTTTTGGGGCTGCTTACCTTATCTGTAGGCATTGTGACGATTACTATTATAATCACCTGACAAGTCGTATTACCACGCCGATTTCTGGCTAAGTACGGAGTATAATTTTTTGTACTTGCCACCATACATAGACATCATTGTGGCATGAAAGGCGATTGTCACTCTCTTTTCTAGTTGTCTTTTTTTTTTAGCTGACTAACACACAAAACAGAGGACACCAAAATCTGATATTCTATTTGAGAACGTGCGAAATTTCGTTCGCTTGCATCCTCTCTAAAAAAAAAAAGTGTATCTTTACAGAATCTTCAAGATATAGGCCATGAAGAGCCGCGAGCCTTCTGACTCGCTGCATTCGATCCAACGATCATAGAGCACTAGATCCATAGTTTCGTAGTCGACCTGTTCAAAATATTGGTCTGATGGGCAAGGTGATCCGCCGCCAATGATTATTACTTCTCGTCCAACTGAAGAAGAAAGTCCCGAATCAATTCAAAGCTAAGCCAGCTGCTCGCCATACTAGGCGCTACTTTGAGAAGATTGGGTGTAATGCCTTTAAAAAGGCCGCGGATGCCTTCTTCAGCAACAATAACTCTCACCGCATCCAGAATGGAGGTATATTGGTAACCCATACTGGACATCGTATTAATCTGAAAACGCCGTCGGAGGACATCACTAGAAGTTTATTAATATAATTGAAATTGAGGTCGAGGACGGAAACCTTGACAAGGTCCACAGCTGCTTACAATGGATATGTGAATGTTTGCGCTACTGCTCCCGAAATAGCTCCGGCGAGGAGCTTCCGCAAAGGACCCGGTGTGGTTTCTCCTTCGGGCGTTAGGTATTTTCGAACTGATTCGTACGTCATAAAATTGAGTCCGACCTATACTAAGTTAGCATGAAGTTATGCTACCGAGCTTCATCTTGTGTTTCGGTCATACATATGGCGCGACACCGGCGACAGTTGGTACAATGCCACGGTAAAGAGCAACGAAACCGCCCTCATTTTTATAAATTAAGACCATAGTCGTAAACATGCCCGGTAATTTTTCGCCAACATGTTCCTGTCTGAGAGCGGCAAAAGAAGCCGATTGAATAGAAAGTCTAGTCCGGACAATATCAAGAGGGTAAGTGACGACTACTGAGGTTATCCCAGCAGCTCCTCCGCAAAGAAGTCGGCGTAATGGGGATAGGTCCGCGTTTGGGGATGTTTCAGCGAACTGAAGATAGTTATTGCCCGTTCCTACATCATAGTCTTATCCAAACTTACTCTTTTGTAAAAGTTGTAGCTCCCGAACTGGACTGCGGAATACGGGATAATGCGAATACAGTTTGTCCCGTTTCCCCGTAGAAAACCACGCCAGCCCTCCTCCTTCCCAATCTTTTTAAGGGCTTTCCATATAGATAACTTATACTCTTCTCTGCCGATGCTTTGTATCTGGAGCAAAATTTTTAAACGTTCAAGGGGAGACACAATGGTTCTGGATACAGCACCCGCTACGCCTCCCGCAAAGAAGGCTGCGGTGATGGGCTCTGCAAGTCGAGTCTTAGCCTGATCAAGGAAGGTTGGGGTTTTCTCTTGAAATGTTTCCTAGGGATAGTGAGCGAAAATATCCCAAATTATCCTTTATCCATCCTACCTTGACAGTGTTTGAAGGGGGGAACTGTGAAAGTTTCGACAGAGCACCCTGCTCCGCCCCCCCATCGCGCTGAGCTGCTTCCTGGCGATCTAAACTCATGTTGGAATGAAGTCTGCGAAAAACTGATTCTATGGGCGACAAGAGCTTCTAGCCGTAGCTATCGCGTGAAGCCTGAAAACCCCCGCAATTCAAATGCCCCTTCCGTTCGTTATAATCTGAGTATGGAGCTTTATAGACAGAACAGGCGCCGAGGTGATATATATCAGGTGCGGGTGGCAGCGAGAAAAAGAGGTTGGAGGATTTGTTCCGTTGATCCTGCACTAGCCATGTGTGTATTATTATAGCTGCATGATGCAATGAGCGGGCGAACAAGTGGATAGAGACAGTCTGGTGTTTTTGAAGAATGAAGCGATCGCCCCGGAGACAGGCAGTGACGTGACGAATCGAATCAGGGTGTCAGTTAGTTATCAGGATGGTGATTACAAAGATGTTGGTTGTGGTATAAGAGTCTAGGTAATGGATCCTCCATACAGGGGTTACTTCCGGAGTACAGGAGGATAATATTAATAGCACGGCTAGTTAATAACTAAGTTCCTTATATCGGCACTTTGAAGTTGGAACCTTGCCTTGTACGAAGCTCGCTGATACTTAGTACTACTAACTAGTACTAGTAGTGTATTTTCGGTGGTAATTTACCCCGGAGTAGACAACTACGTACAACTAGAACTTCACGACCTATTCAAGTCAAGAAGGTTTGAAATTCATTCTGAAATCTGAAATTCTGGGGACTAAAATGAGTAGCACTGGTATTTAGTACTTACCACTACTACTACTAGTTACTACTTAGGTAGAGTTCTAATATGAATCACGGTCAAGATTTTACCGCCGGTATTATTTGGGTAATCTGATTTCAAGGGGTTAACTAAGCCAGAATTATTACGTATTATTCACGCCCCATATAAGGTTGCTTCGCTCATGGCACATCTAGCCCTCTGTAGCCCTCTAAAATTGCCCTTACTTCTTCGCTTTTGCTCCCAATTGTTCTTCTCATAACCTCATCTAGGCTCCCAAGCCGAACGCGAAACCCCATCCCACTTCTACGAGTATATTGAACAGAACAATGTCTCGCCCTGGTACCACCCTCTATGTCACCGGCTTCGGCCACGGTACCCGAGCTCGCGATCTTGCCTACGAATTCGAACGGTACGTCCCGCTCGTCGATTACCACACGCTACCATGAGAATATGATACGAATCGTATATCCATCCACCTACGCTTTCCTTCTCGGTCGGGTCTCGCAATATCGACGCCGGAGATATTTCCTGTCATGTTATGAGAAAAGCCTGCTTGTCCCGTTGATCATCTTCAATTTTTTCTCACCTCCCCGGGAACATCCCTTTCTTTCCCCGTTTTCCCCAGGACCTGGGTTTCCTTGCCTACTGTCTCTTTCTCAGCCACCATTATCTTCAGACTCATTTCCTGCAATGTACTTGATACTAATTTGATCACCAGATATGGACGCTTAGTCCGATGTGACATCCCTGCTCCACGAACCCCTTCCAGCCGGCTGTATGCCTATATATTATTCCCTTCCTTCATGTTCGAGCTTCTAACAACACCAGGTTCGCGTTTGTGGAGTATGAGAGTCGCCGTGATGCAGATGATGCGTACCATGAGATGCATAACAAGCGAATTGGTCGCGATGACCTATTAAAGATTGAAGTGAGATATCTTCTTATGCATGCATACGTTCTGTTCCCACTGACACATTCCCAGTGGGCTAGGACTCCCCCTTCTGCCTCTTGGCGGTTCGACTCTGGCCGGGACCGTCGTCGGGACCGTACACCTCCACGTCGTGGTCGTTCCCCATCCCCGCGTCGTGCTCGTGGGGAGTACTCGCCTCGTAGGGAGGATCGCTATGAACGCGATTACGACCGACATGAGCGCGATTATGAGCGACGTGACCGCGACTATGATCGCCGGGACCGTGACTACGATCGACGTGATCGTGATCGTTCTCGGGACCGTTCTCGCAGCCCCGATGAGAGGGATCGTGATATTAAAGAAGATCGTGAAAGACGCGACGACGATCGCGAGCGGCGCGAGGATGAACGTGAGAACGGTCCAAATGGTGAAGACAGAAAAGGTATTATCTCATTTATCAGACTGGCTGGTATACCTGTACTAACCAAAACAGTTGCTTTAGATCCCTTGACATCTGCGCATGATGAGCTTGATACTGCTGAGTAGATTCTTTCTGCGAACAGAGCATAGGGCCTAGACTCCACTTTATCGATCCTAGGTCATTTGTATGCTGACGGCTCTGACTGCCAGGCGTTAAGCCCCTCAATGCTGTCGCAAGGTGTACTAGTATATGGTCTAAAGGCTTGTTATTATTTGTCTCCTACATCTTCTTCTAGCCCTTCCCCTCTTCAATCACTCCCCTTCTTCACCCCCTCCGCGATTTCCTTGATCTCCTCGATTCAGAGGGATGTTCTTCCTTTTAACTTTGTTTTGCTTTTCCCGCCTCTGTTCTTTTTATTTTACTTTTTTTTGCGTGTTGCACTTCATTTATCGGCAGGGAAACCGAAGAAAAGAAGAGAAGCAAAGGCGGGGGAAAGATGCAACAGAAATTTACGGCTAAGTGTTTCATAAACTCTGACACCGGTTACTTATTCGACATGGTATTCATCGTCCTGATCAGCAGCAAGTAACTACCGATCGAACGTCGAACTGATTTTTTTTACCATTTCCTCCTCGCCGACCTTCTCGTCCCTGCGTTAATCCCGATAAAAGCGGATCGTTCGTTGCTCGCCTTGCGTCGCAGTTTAATATAAGACGATTAAATCCCCATTTCCTCGTCCTTCACGGTCTATTGGGATTATCGGTAGTCGATTCTCATTTCGGGCAGCGATTGTAATACTTTGACGTAGTTGTAGACTCCCATATACCCAGAGTGAGTCCAATCGATAAAGGTCCAAGCTATCTGCTCTGTAGGGAACATGGAGACGAGCAGACTCAGGTTCTGTAATTCCCAAACAGAGCGCGTTTTAACCGATCACAGGAGTAGACCCACCCTCCTTTGTAGAATGCCCGCCGCCTAAGCCTTCAAGTAGGTATTTACTTCCGTATTAGCATTCAATTCGGAAATGTCGCGCTGTACTTTCCCGATGGTAGGATCATATGTTATCTGCCTATACAGAGTACCGTGCCGCTGTGAAACGCGGCAGCAAAAAGACCTCTCCATGTTCTACAAAGTTTCTGCCACCAAGTCTACAGTAGAGCTTCTCAAGTTTGTGGTAGGAATTGAGGAATGCCAATCTAGCTGCTGAACCCTTGCAGATGGATATCGTGGGATCAAAATGACCTATAGAATCCCAAGCTATTACCCAGCACTATTCAGGTGTATGCCCCAACTTTATCGTATATTATTTGGGAGGTCTGTTAAAACTTTTAGGTTCCGAGATGTACAGTAGCACGGACAGGGCGAGCTCAAGAAGGGACAGAAATCCAGGCAAAGAAGAAAAAAAAAAAGGGGGTTTTTTCTTTTTTTTTTTTTTTTGAGACCAGAGCATAAGAAAATTAATTATCCTTGCTGTTTCATACTTACTGATTGATTCCTATAAAACACACCGATATGATATAAGAACATATAAATAAAACACAGGCATAACCAGGGAAGAAGAACCGATTAGTATCACCACCAGTGATCCATCAAATCACGCTGTCAATTCATTGCATTTTCTCATAGGTAGCCATAAGTGAGCCTTGCCAAAAACAGTCAGCATCTAGATCCATACGTGCGAGGACAAACCGCAACTTACCAATGAAAGTTGTAACAAGACGAGACCGGACCTGGCAGATGTCTTCGGGAACCAACCAAATAGTTGCACCCAGCTTTCTAGCAATACTAATGCTCAGTTTAGCATTCGCGTATGCTTGTTCCTCGGTGTGGCCCGGGGTCACCAGGTCATAATCAACATAAGAAGCTTTCATGCCGCTAAGCACATCAAGAAGGAACACGCCGGTTCCAATAGACTGATCCTTAAAACTGCGGATTGTCGAGGATTTGCCACCCTTTCTGGACATATCATTGGCCCATTTGATCATTTCTGAATCGGTAATTTCTCGCTTGCCCATTCGGCTGGCGAGACCAGAGAGAGTGTTTGTGATATCCCGTCGCATCAACTGCCACACCAGTCCCAAGGTGAGAGTCCGTTGGCCATCGGTAATATCAGCTCCTTGTACGCCCACCAGAGAGAAACCGTGGTGTTTTCCAAGCTCGATGGCGTAGTTGGTATTCTCCACTGCTTTAAAACGCATCATTTCCTGTCCCGATGCTGGAGGTTTGTTCACATGCCTCCAGTTAACGCTTCCTGGGATTACTTTGTCGTATGCTTGCATTAGGATTGTTCCGTCTCGGAGGTCATCAAACAGCGAATTGACGGCTGGCTGCACATCGAGCGAATTGAGCCACAGGGTGAAAACTCTAGCTTCGCGCTCTCCCTCGGCATCAAAGTCTTCAACTTCGAGCTTCTCTTCTTCTGTGATGGGGTCGAGGCCAGGAATAGTGTTGAACAGATTGGCGACGAAGGCGAGGTTGAGTTTAGGGTTTCCTGCCACGAGTGACGTGGGAGTCAGGAACTTCCGGCAGCCCAATGTTTCCGCATTTGTCAGAACCTCTTCTGCCCGTTGTAGCAGGTCCCGGGTTTGCAGGGGGCTTCGTGAGCAGGTTTCAGGTGCCAGTTGGTTGAGAAGGACAGTGTAATTCTCGCCATCTTTTACATCGGTAGAGAAGTTTGTCACCCTTACCCCCCAAAAAAAGCGTCAGCTATCTGGCTGTATGGAACAAGAGAGAGAGAGAGAGATGGAAGGAGGGAGAGAAAGGGGGGATCCAAGGGTGTCAATGATTGGGAGCGAGAATAAGAGACTCACCTTCTTCCCCAGCCGGCATTCTTCAGGTGATAGTTGAACCAGCGCAGCAAAATCTGCTCGGGAGGAAGTCGTAGAAACTGTTCCAGTGTCTCATCCTCCTCCAGCAGTCTGTAAAGCTCGGGGTGGAGTTTAATATCAATCTTACCGAGAAGCCCTCGGCGGATAATTTGCCAGATGAGACCTAGAATAAGATGCTCTCGCACTTCTATTATATCGCCACTTCCGATATTCACAACTGAACATCCAATTCCCTTGGCGGAGTTAATCACGATATTGTTGTTTTCAGTCATATGGAATGCGTTCAATTCCTTAATCTTCCTCCCGGCCTTATTCAGTACGCGTTCGTCAATTGTATCTGGGACGCTGTCGTTGATCAACTTCGCCAGCACTAACCCATCTTTGCTCTTATCGAACATTTCAAATGTATCGGTAGGGAATGGGAGAAGGTGCCCAATGTCCGGGTCGCCCGCGAGAACGGCATTGATATGTCTGGTGAATTCAGTCCTTTCATCCTCGTTGATTGTGTGTGTAACATTCGATGAGGACCCTTGGACATGGATCCTGCCTCCTCCGACACTTCCTTTGGAAACATGACGGGGTGCCGCAGCTCCAGTCCCGGGCCTGACCGTCGCAGAGACAGGGTCCTGGGTGGGAGCACTTCGCGTGGAGGCAAAGCGAAGTTTGGCGATAAGCTGGGCGATTTCAGTCAGTCATCACGGTTGCGCCGGTAGAAGCGGGGTGAGACAGGAGGTGGTGGGCTAACATCAACATAATCATCCAGCTCTACACGACGAGAGCTGTCGAGCTCGACTTCTTTCAGCGTCTGACGCACGACATCGTATGGTTGGCGCTCCGACTGTTGCGTGGCCTTGATGACAGTAGCCTCGTCCAAATAGCCCTTGTCGTCCAAATCTAACTTCCTGAACGCATCTTGCAGGGAGAAGATCTCCCCCTGTTCAAACTGCGGGTACTTTCTAATTCAGAGTGACATGATTAGTCGCACTGTAAGCTGTCTATGTGGTAGGGGAGAGGATGACCAGACAAACCGTTGGAGTTTAATCACGTTCATGTTGGGAGACGTTCTATCCGCCTTCTCTATTCCGATTGACAGCTGTCGAGGAGGGGTTTGCTTATGGAGAGTGGGTGAAATCTCCAGGGAAGAAAAAAAAACAAAAAAAAAAAGGGGGGGGGGGGGGAGGTGGAGGGGAGAGAATTGTAAGCCCGGTGTGAAGCTTGTGGTAGTACCCTTATTTAGGCAGAGAAGGATGAGGGGGGATTTTCAAAGAAATTATAAGAGAGAATTTATGTTTACTGGCAGAGCGGGGTGGGGGTTATCCCCCCGATTCCGAGTACGTGATTACACCTAGATTTAGGTACATCATATCTCCTAATAGATAAATAAAACAATCTCACCGTGTATCATCATAGCTATATTATTCTTCCTGACTTGTGGAAGATGGAAGTCGCTAGAATCCTTGATATTACCTCCTTAGGTGTTGTTATTATTCTCCTCAGCCACAATAGCTGCCAGGGTCGATGACGTAATCGGCTTACTCCCATTCCACCAGAGAATAAGAAAAGAATTAGTTATGGTTACATGTTATGTAGTTACCTAGAGGGATCCCGATTCTTTGGTATGTTCTGTTCTAGTGGTTCGAGGCTGAGTGTGCACTGCAATCCAGAGTCTGTAGTGTAGGTATACGTCATTGCGCTTCTCCCCTGTTCACTTTGGCTGTCCCCGAAAAGCCTCCTGGGAGTAGTAATTGGATGGTATTAAATATATTTGATTGTTCCTCTTGAGACTAACTGGTTTCCCGAATACTGTAGGGGGAGGGGGGTTTGGAGCGTTTCTGTTCCTCCTCTGTGTTGATAGGTATATATACATATATCTGGTAGTTTATATATCTTCCTCCCTCCTCATGCCAAGAACCTCAACCTTCCCTCAATTAGGTACTACCTAGATAGGTACTGGGTAGCTGTAGTATTTGTTCGTATTATTCCCGCCCCGTGGTCGAACCTATTGAACAGCGTCACCGGCAGCTGACAGACACTTCAAATTTAGAATCCGCCAAAACCTCAGAAGGAAACATGAATTCCCCTCCTAAATATTCTTTCCCACACTCTGCCACCACAACTCAAAAATAAAACGAAACCTTCTGATCAAGAACTGTTGCAGTACATCATACGGGTCCTGGGATCGCATGCAACAGAGTTAATGGATGGCACTTGCACGTATTCCGCGACGACCGACAGCATCTCTCCGAGTCCTGCCCGAGCCGCTCAATTCCCCTCGCTCTAAAACCCGCGGCCTACTCGTATGCTCCAAATAATCGTGTTTGAGTCTCCCTACGTTCATGCCATCTCTTGTTCCATCCGCGTCTCCGGCCTGGATCGTTAAAAACTGCTCCATCTCTGGTCCCCGTCACGCGCATATCTCGGTGGCCTCAACCATTCGGGCCATCATGGCAAAAGAAAGTCAAAAAGGAACATTCCTGGGGGCGATTCCCTCCTGGAGCACATCAAAAAATACACCGATACAACCGAGCGCCGGTCATAGCCCACTAGATCCCCTTCAACGATCTCAAGGTGAAGACCATACGGTCTCCCACAGGCAGAGACTGAGTCTACGCTACTACCCCAAAGACTGCCCGCCGTTGAGAGTCAGGTGGTTCTACGCAGTGGACTCTCCCAAATGGAAACCAAGCCCCCCAGACCAAAAGAAGGATGACTCGAAGCCCCCCCCGTCGCCGAAGAAATTCGTCCCCTTCACACCGAAAGATTCTCACTCTATCGAACAGGCATTCCAGAGGATATCCGATATCGAGATAGAAAGGGAAGAAGCCCATTACAACCGGCCGGTTGACACAACGCGGGATGTATCGGTTAGAGTGCCCGTCAATGAAGACTATCTCTTTGATGTGGACATACAACGCAGGGACTTGAGCCCAGCCTACTGGACTGGGCCCGTATACGAAGTTCGGCGTGGGACCTGGTTTGTCCAGGATGGATCAACATTCAAACCGTGTGAAGAAAATCTTGCTACCCAGCTGGAGGAAGGCTATTTGAAAGTTAAACCGTGGCGTACGGAGGACGCACAAGACTCCTTACCTCAAGTACTACCGACATTGAGAGCTCGCGAGCAAGGTAGGCTTGGTGATATACCCAAGGCTGATATATATATATACCTAGGGATTGTATACTAATTCACGATAGAGTCCGGGTGTCCCGCTAATAATACCGAGAGTACCGCGCGTGTCTCATCCGTGTCCACCAACGAGGCCCGAAAATATCGCTTATTCGGATCTTATATGAGCAGTATAGTCACATATCAGGATGCCTCATCAGCGCTGCTCGCAAATGATGATTTCATGTCTACCGTATATCAGAAGCTCGGAGGAGTCCCGGGAACTAGGCTGGTGCGAGGGTTTAGTGAGATGAAGAAGCAAAATGAGACCCAGGATATAAAGAGTTCGGATCAGAAATCTGCTCGCGAACCATCCCCCGCTGCTCCTAGGGATCTCGCCACCGGTTCGCCCAGCAAGCGCCCAGCTGAGCTTTTGAGATCTAGCACGCCTCGCAAGCAACCGGAAAACGACGATGTCACTGAAATGGACCCGGAAGAAACTCTGGAACGGCGTGTTTCGTCGCTCGCCGGCGGAAAAGATACAGCTGATATAGAGGAAGAAGCTCGTAGGCAGGAAGAAAAGGAGATGGAAGATTCAAGAGAGGCAGACAATGAGGACAGGGAGAGGGAGGTTGATCACCTGGTGCTCGTTACGCATGGCATTGGCCAACGACTGGGGTTACGTCTAGAAAGCGTCAACTTTATCCATGACGTGAATGTCTTGCGCAAGACTATGAAAAGTGTCTACAGAGCATCACCCGACCTCCAGGCCCTTAACTCCGAATTTCCAGATAAGCATAAAAACTGTCGTGTCCAGGTTCTTCCTGTGTAAGTGTGTGTGTGTGTGTGTTATGGGTTATCTCTCTGGAGAAGATTGGACCTGGCCTGTCTTCATTCAACTAACCCGGACTAGGTGCTGGAGGCATCTTCTTGATTTTCCATACCAAAGAGTTGGACAAAACCGCAAAGAACATGACCTCGGAGACGCAGACACGCTTGAAGATGATGTGTACCCTAATTTGTCCGACATCACACTCGAAAGTGTGCCTGCTGTCCGAAACCTCATCTCTGACTTGGCTGTGGATGTGCTTCTTTACCAAAGTAAGTACTGCGAACGCATATCTTCCATTGTGAAGCAGGAGTGCAATCGAATCGCCGAGCTGTATAAGAAACGGAACCCTAAATTTCACGGGTCTGTGAGTCTCTGTGGACATTCCCTCGGGAGCGCTATTCTGTTTGATATTCTCTGCGCCGAACGACCTGAGCCAATGTCCCATGGCTATAGCGGCACCAATAACGCTACCTCAGACCTCTCGTTGGCTTTTGAATGCGAAGAATTATTTTGCTTGGGTTCGCCGGTCGCACTTTTCCAGATGCTCAAGGGCAAGACGATTGCTGGGCGCCCTGCTTTGAGCCGTGGAAGCTCTAAGATATTTCCCAAGGAGAGTGACGAGTGTGCTGATCCACCCTCTTCTACATCCAAACGACAACCTGCAAATTTAAGCGCAGGCCTCAACCTAGGCGACAACCGGTCTTTACCAAAATGTCGGCAATTATACAATATATTCCATCCATCGGACCCCGTGAGCTATCGCATGGAGCCTTTAATATCTCCCGCGATGTCTTCGCTCAAGCCACAGCCCTTACCATCCGTTAAACGGAGTATATGGACGGCCTCTGGGCAAAGCCTTTCATTGATCAGCAGCCGTGTAGGCCAAAGCGTGGGGTCTCTCTGGACTAACTTTACATCTGGCGTTGCGAGCAGCCTGCTTAACCGCAGCCTGGGCCTGAGCTCTGAGGATAGCGTCTCCCATCAAAATTCGAGTGCCCGCCCGAAGTCACAACAATCCCCAGCTTCAGCTAGCCATAGCATTCATGGCGATCGAAGCCCTACCTTGATAGATCCCGAAATAGAGACCCTTTATGAAGGGTTCCAGAAGGCCAAACTTGGGCGCAGAAAGGAAGGCGCCGACTCCGAAGGTGACCGTGATATAGAATATCAGGAAAATGAGCGACGTTTGAGAAAACTAAAGCTTGAAGACGAAAAACTGAGATTATTGAACTCGAATGGACGGGTTGACTATAGCATACAAGAGTGAGTGTCCGAATTCCCCCTTCACCACCTTTTCCCCCTTTACATGCCGTGACGAGTTTTTGCAAGCTCTTTTCCATGTCCACTGAACTGACAACGCAAGAAAGGGGCGCCTTTGATATATCTTTGATTGCTAGCATCGCTAGCCATCTGAGTTACTGGGCGGATGAGGATGTTAATCATTTTATGCTCTCCCAAATGCTATGTAGAAAACGCCGACACCTAAATAACCATCCTTGATTTTAATTTCCGCAGACTTTCGGCGTTCTCTCATGCCACGATGGCTCGATTCTCCGAGTGTGTGATATCGTATCAATTATTCCCGAATACCGGATTCGTTGTCTGTGAATCCTGAGAGATCTGTCAGCCACCCTTTGTTGGTGAATTAACTGTCCTCTCAGGAGCCCCCCCCCCAACTAATCCAACCTTTTCTAGGTGCTTAGCCGTGATTTCTATCTTTATAAGGGGCATGCATTTCTTGGTGTTTGAGCATGATGATATATTGTATACAGTTAGCATTATAGTATAGATGAAATAGAAAGGCATAAATAGCCTGGCGGTACATAGCTAGCCGCGAGAATATCGATGATTGAACGCGTATACTAATCTTATTCCCCTAGATAGCTTATTCCTAGGCAGAATCTATCATATACTATATTACTTACTAGATGATAACTATATATAAATAATATACCTACCTGGTTGCTTCTTTATTTCTAGTAAGGAGACTGTTATAGTTACTTTATACGCTTAGCTTCAAGTAAATAAAAAACAAGACAAACCCTTTCGCTTATTGGAGCCGGAAGCCTAAAAGGACAGCCCATTTTCGCCTTGGGGGACTTAATCTAAGTACAGTAGATAGATATATAGGTATGCCCTGACAGAAATGTGGCCTCCTATGAGAGGAAAGCGCACAGTGGAAATTTGAATATTCATCCCAGGTAGGGCAAAGAAAAATAGTACATTTATAATTACCGCCATCGGCGATACACAAATAATAGGAGAGATAGTGAAATACTCCCTTGGCAACAACTACACGAAGCGACTATAGCACTATAGCACTATAGCCTTTAGGGCTTGCAAAAGGATGGAAAATACAAAGCCCCGGGCAATAACATCAACCTGGAGGCTATCAAATACCTTCCCCAGAGCTTCTCGACTAGCGGCAGCGCCCATGACGCCTGTTATTGCCTGTGGGAGTCCCTTCTGGACAAGAACGCGACGAGCGGTTTCCCGTAAACGCTCCTTTTCTGTATCGGTTGTGTCTGCGGGCCAGGAGCGGAGTTCCTCTTCGGTTGGTAGGGCGTTCTCGCGAAGTTTGACGAGATATAGCCCGATCGCTTCATCGGAGGTATTGCTGTCTATCATGGATTCTTGTAGTAGATTACGGATTGTTTCAAGACTAGGATTCCCTGGACGAAGTATGTAAGATTTTGCCGCATTCAACAGGGTTCGACGAATATTCCAGGCGGATGACAGGCAGTATAATTCGTTGATAACTGCGAAAATAAGTTCCACGGCCATTTGGGTTTCGTCTGTGGTGATTGGGTTGTTTTGGTTCTTGGGAGCAGGTCGTCCAGCGGTCTCTGCTTCCTTCTTGGGTTCTGGGAGAGAGTCCTGATTCTCCCCCTTGCTGGACAAACTTTCTGAACTAGATATGCCATTGCTTTCGTGTAATGAGATGGAATCAGTCGAGGTTCGATGACCATCCTTCTCAACATTAGCCTGTTCGTTACCAAGTGTCGCTCGTATTGATGTATCGGATGGGTTGGTTAAAGGTGTGATACAGCTTGGCGTCTCAAGCCCAGGAGTGCCGTTTAACTCCATGGGTTGAGATGACAGGACAGTGTCCCCTGTGTCCCTGTTCTGCTCTAGTGAAGATCTGTTTCCTTTTGGGCTCTCAGCCTTGAGTGGAAGATCGTTCTTTTGGGATAATGCAAAGCCATCTTTATTATTCTTCTGTGTGATTCCCGGGCTGGGCGTCGTTTTCTTATTGAGTCCACCACTAAATACCCCCGTAACTCCCTCAATGACAGCCTTTCCGCCCCCGGAGACCCCCTTCGGCGCGTTGGCAAACACACCCAAAACCCCCTTTCCGACATTCTCAAACGCAGCTTGACTTGGGAAGAAGAACCCAGGCTTTGTTGATGAATCTGAGGGATCAGGGCCAAGCCGTCCGTCTTTCTCGAGGAATCGTCTCATCGTTACGCTCTCAGCAAGCGGTTCATGTTGAAGGGCATCCTGAAGGTATCGTTCCAGATTCTGCGCCAAAGCTTGTCTGGTTTGACCCTTCCAGGGAGGCATGACTGGGTGGGTGTCTAAGAAGCTTCGGATTTCGTTTAATCTTGATATTGTTCCTAATGTGTCATGGATGGATTCAAAGTCCGTATACTTCTTGAACACCATCCACCCGCTGCTGCGCCCAGACGACGGTTCAACTTGAAGTAAGTAACTCGATGTCGGTTTTGATCGTAGGGGCGCTTTATCCCCGAGATCTGAGCCATCATCTACGGTTATTGAAGCCCGGTGAAGTGTGAACGAGGGTAATGTGGATGCATTTTCTGATGAAGGATGATTTGTTGAAGGGGAGATTGGAGGTTGAATCGATGAGGACGAAATCGATTCATTTGGCCGGTGTGAATTGATTGACTCGTTGGGATTGGCCGCATGGCTATCCGCGGCCTCTTCAGAAGAGCTAGTTTGTCGCGCCGCGTTATGATCGGGTAAGGCTTCCTTCCCATCAGCTGTGATACCAGAGCTGGGAGTCGATGTCGTTCGGTCTTCATCGTATATTTTGGGAGTTGCATTGCTTTGTTGCTCAGAGTACCTTTGTAGGTCCTGGGCCGCAATCATGTCGCTCAAACGTTTCGCTTCCACCATTGCGGCCTCTGTTGCCTTGTCCGATTTACTAGACTCCTGTCTCGAAATTTTTGACGGTAGAGTGGACTCGGCTATATTATTCCCTGTAGATGCTGAGGTGGGTGGGTTAACATCTGGATTAGTTGCTGTGATGCCATGACTTTGGGCACCTTCAACTCCAGCATCAATAGCACTCATGATTTCGGATTCGCCTTCGCTAAACAAATAAATAATCCAGCTGTTCATAAACTCAGGCCGTGACAGACTAGTAATTGTTGATTCGAAGACAACGCCTGCCAATATCTCTCGAAGGAAATTCCTCAGTGGGATACAGTTGTACACCTTGGGGTCAAGGAAGCGCGAAAGAATATCATCTGATATCATGATAAGTTTCTTGCGCTGTTGCTGATTTTCTAAGATATTCGCTAAACTGCTCTCAGGGTGCGATTCCAAGTAGCGCAAGATGGCGCTCTCTGATGAGACAGGAGGGCCAGCAACCTCGAAAGCGGCCGATAACTCGTTTAGGAATACAATAACCATGGACGATGAATTAGTGAGGAATTCTAGAAACGTATCCGCCGTTCGTTTACGCGATAAGTGAGATGAAATGGACGTGATAAAGCTGGTTAATGTCGCCTGACAGGATAAGGGAAATGTTGATTCCGACGGAAGAATCGGCTCATACCAGTAACTTTTCTCTCGCTAGTAAGCTCATCTTGTAGGATAGAAAAAAAAAAAAAAGAACAGAAGGCAAATACATACTTCACATAATCTTTCAAAGCCGCATCAATTAATGATGTTAGAGCAGCAGTTGTTGCGGGACCAAAGGTAGAGGTATCCAGCTCTACACTCAACTCGCTGCCAATTATCCCTCCCCCAGTATTATTCTCTTTAGTTTCGGAGATATTTGACTCGTTGCTATGCCAGTTGAGCAGTCTATGAGCCACGTTCAAGGAGAGCTGCTTCCTGCTGGATCTCTGCGACTCGGACGAATTATCGTTGTTGTGACCCTCCCATGATGCCTGGAGAAAGACCCCCAGGATTACCCCAATCAAAAGTAGCCCAAGCCTCCCCAAAAGAAGATATACAGCTCCCATTAAACAAATGATGACCAAAATCAACTTTTCGTTGCTGCATGTTGAAAGAAACTCCAATGTAATGTCCATAAGCTTTTTCGTTTGCACAGCACTTGGCGTGTGGTCTGCGACTTTATTATCATCCTTATCGAGGCTCATCGTGGCAATAGTGGAGGGAGCCGGGTTGTCCTGCTGCCTCTTATCCGGTTGGGACCCAATTGAAGTATCATTTAACTCATCCATATCTGTTGATATAACTGAACGTGGCATAAGCTGCGATTGACACATCCCCCCTGGAGACTCCGAGATTCTGGACGCCGCTTCTCTTAATCGATACCAAGATACTGTACAGGCGAGAACGAAGGGGATTGCAAGTTTGTCGCGGTCATATTTAGCACCAAATAACAAAGGTCTTTCTCGAGTTGGATTGTGTGCAGTTGGTGTACAAAGTAGGTATAATGCTGCTAGTTAGGCCATCGCCTTACATAATAAACCAACTGTCCGGAGTATTTTTCAATGACAAGGTTGGTTGTGGCTTACATGTCGATTTTTAACACCCACGACAACGAGGTCCGGAGGTCATCACGGGCGTTCCTTGGCCCACATACTCGGAAGGTACCGACAACCGACGTGTAGTAAAATAGGGGCTTGATCAGAATATGGGGAATTTTCAAATCCCTACGTGCGTAAACTACCGTTCGGCGTTCGATAGTTCGATGTAATTTATCTGCTCTCTACTAGCTAGAGCAAGCAATCCTCGTTCTGACGACTACGACTACCCCTTGTTCGGGGGAAAAACTAGGAAGAACAAAAGTCGGATCGAAAGACCACTGAGATATTATGTATGTATGTATGTATGTATCCATCATTTACTGTCTATCTCGTCTCATTAAACGACGAGATATGTCATGTAAAAAATGGAGGTAAATCTCCGCTATCCGAGTGAATCCGAGCATTCAAAGTACATGTTTTCCATGCCGGAGGTAAAGAAGATTGCGGGTTGGTTATCTTTGTTCGGGAGAGTCCCTTTGTTTTGGTAAAAGTCTAGATGGTATTCTGATCACCGTGTTCTAATGTATTTGGTATGGGATCCTTGTGCCACCAGGGTTTGCTCGCCAGAACTCGTGGATTTAGAGATGGTTATGGTTGTAAATGCAAGTGATTTGCCGACCTTGTTGGCACAACCCTCGATTTCGAGCCAGTCACCCGTAGTAGCCGTAGAAAGATAGGTAACATTGATATTGGTGCTTACACCGGTTGACTCAAGGCCACAGGATGCAATTGCTAGTCCGCCAGCCCAATCAGTAACACAAGCAGAGAAGACGCCATGCAGAGTGCCTTTTGAGTTAAGGTGCTGCGGAATCACCTGGAGTCTTGCCGAAAAGGCGCCTTCTTTGGCATGGTAAATTTCCACATCATTAAGCAGAAAAGCGTAAATAGGGCTGTTGACTCGAATACGTTCCCAGACTTTATGGACATTTTGCAATGCTGGATTCCCTTCCATGAGTGGAGATTTTGTGTTCTGTGACATGATTGTGGAGGATAAAGAAGCATTAGAGGGGTTGGGAAAAAAGAGGAATTGAAGGGGCAGGAGAAAAGAAAATTAATTTGCGCTACTCATGTGCAGGGCGACGCGTGAGCTTACCAACTTAGGTAGGCGGAGTGGTAGGCGGTATGCAGCTGTTGATTGTTATTATTTTTTTTTAAACGCGAAGCCGTCTTTCTGATAACAGGTTGACGAGAGCTACCAAACTATCAAACATATACGAGTTACCTACTGGACTGCCCCTGAGGTTTTTTTGCTGAAGGTCTTAATTCATTTAGCCAATATCACGTGATATAATGTAATCTACATCCTTGGGAAAGTCAGCGAGCAGCTCGACTTAACCTTACTTTTACTTCTTCAACTAAAATCTAACTCTCGATTTGACGCAGCCACGGGCTAAATATCCAAACATCCCATCTCTCCTTTACGATATTTCCCCCACAATGCCTTCTGGCTCTAGAAAACGCGCTTCAGATGTGAGCGATGACTTCATTGTTGATGACGAACCTCGTCTCAAGAAGTCTAAGCCCAATGCTATCAAAAGCGCAAACTCCGTCCATGCCGACAAATCCTCTGCGGGAGTGACGCGCAAAGTTGATACGAATGGAGATAATTATTGGGACATCGCAAAGATGCGTCGAGTTACTATTTCATCATTTCGAGGGAAAACCTTGGTGAATATCCGAGAATACTACGAGAAGGACGGCCAGGAGCTTCCTGGGAAGAAGGTATGCTTTCGGAGATGGAATCCGTGGAATTTTTACGGCTGCTGATGGTTTTGCGCAGGGCATTTCTTTGCCTATCGATCAGTTTTCCACCCTCTTGACTTTGCTTCCTGAGATTGAAAGTGCCCTGAAAGAAGGCGGAGAGTCGATTCCCCGCCCAAACTATGCGCATAATAGTGGACCTTCTTCAGAGGGTGATGATGGAGATGTTGGTTCTAGTGGTGAACATTCAGAAACACGCCCCTCGCGAAAGAATATTGATGCCACAAGTGATGAGGATGAGAGTGAAGAATAATGTTTCCAAAGAATATACTTCTCTCAAGTGGTTTGTGTTGTTTCTCTCTTCCCCCTGTTTCTTATTTTCTGCATTGGTACTTTTCAGTATGCAACCCTAGTACACTCTTCTTGCTCTGTTATAGCAGTAAACTGGTTACACTTAATTCGACCCGCCACACATATTTATCGGTCCAAATGTGTATCTAACTTCCGTAGCCTTTCGACTACCTTTCCGGTTCTTGGAATGATGTGGTAGGGTCCTAGGATTCAATCTCAGCACACCTGGTAGTTCAAAGCAAGATGGATTAAAATGCAATGTTTGACCCATTCTCTGCATGCATGCTCTACGCGAGAGACTACGAGTCATGATTAATAACAGTAACTTACCTGGACCCTTAGTCCCTGGAGAAGGAAGTAATCTTGAGTGACTTTGCTAGAAACGTGTTGGCGAAAATATCCACAAGATTCAAGGGAGCCTTGGCTATGATGAGGTATACGAAAATAGGTCCAGGCTGTTTTAATACTTGATATTAAGGCAGAGAGTAGGATGTATGGTGGAGTGGTATACTTATTTCTAGGTTAGTACTAACTATCTAGATCACTATCTCCATTAACTAGTTAATAGCTAACAGTATAAAGTTGTTCTAATTATTGGAATACGTGAATTTTAACCGTGACGCGGCAGTAAATAAGATTAGTTTGATTTGGTACCTCTAGGCTCTAGGTCTTGTCCCTGTCCCTCTGCAGCTCGGTTCCTTCGGAAGGTAGCCAGTTCCTTACTCCGTACCTGGCTACAATCTACTAGTTACTTAGTACTAGAAGTAGACTCGAGAGTTGACTTTGTACTCCGTGTTTGTCGGGAGTGGATCACCATTACCAAAGAAGCGTAAAACAATACAAAATACTGTATTCTGTACAGTTTCTTGTATTTGTATCGGGATGCGACAAACCGGCCCCCCTTTTCCCGTTCTTCGACCTTTTCCATCCTCATCCCCTAAGGATCAATTTTACTACTATCATAAATATTTATCCTGTTGTTGTTAATTGGAGGCGTTTTCTTTGTCTAAAAACTTGCCTCTTAACCCCCCCCTCCCAAACTCTCCAACATCCCAGTCAATATCACCTTCCAAGTTCCTGCGACAAGAAGCAGCCCAGCCTTAGGTGGTGGCACCTCGGGTCCACACTAACCACCCCCCCCCCCTGAACTATTCTTGTCTTCACGTTCCCCTCGATCGGTATCGGTGCGTCTCTCACTTGGTTTTTGATATATGTGTGATATTTCTCATTCCCTATCCATGCATTTCCCCCATGCATTTGTATTCAACGGACTAAAAATAACAAACAACTCCGCAGTGTGATCTTCATATAGGTCGTGTCTGTTCACCGATCCTCCTACCATCTCCGTTTCCTCCCCACCCGCCACCCCAATTGGAAGCAATAGGCGTGACCATATCTTCTTGCAAAATTGTCTTCTATTGCAAAGTTGCTGGAAATATAGAGCCGGAGCCCAGATATCATGCATAGCTTCTAGAGAGTTTACCCTACATCCCCGACCATCGGAAACAATGCGACAGTCTTGCAACATCCTTTTACAATAGAATAGACCTTGAGATACCATGCATTGAGCCAAATAACTACCAACAGCGGATCCAGAGGGCGCATTTACATCCGAAGCCAAGGGAATTTTCACCTTTTAAATAATGAAAGGAACGATCTCAGGTGCATCTTCTCTCATTGTTACAGCACAACCTATCTCCTATGAGGTATGTCTTCTGATCATTTCCCCCCTCTCCCGAGTGGCCTTTCTTTTTGCTCTCCCTGATTTCTATATCAGCCATGAAACTAATATCCGATATTATTGCTAGGCGGCCGTTGCCATTATCATATTTCCTAATTGTTCATAAGTTGCAAATCGGACTCTTCACCAATCCCTCTAGCCATTTTCAAAATCAGATACGCAAACGCGCCTTTCGTCCTTGCGTGTTGTCCCTTTAACTAAATACAAACATACCCGGCGGGACTGGATAGTGGATGAATTTACATCTGGCTTGCTAACAACAACCATGCCCGAGTCAGCTACAGGGGGTGTTTCAAACTCCCCCCCAAACACTGCCGACGATGGCAATATCCGCGAAGGGCTTGGCAGCTTGAACAGGTGGTCCCAGTCTACAGCATCTAGCAATTTATCGACCACTTACGTTAGCCATCGTCGACAAGAAAGTGCTCCTAGAGCGTTCATCGTAGATGGTTACGACTCCCACAAGCGGGGATTGAGCCTAGAAACTTCCACTCATTTACCCGCCCGGGCTTTCAATCCTGCGGATAATGGCGAGGAGATGCTGACACAATATCACTCGCAACATTCTATCCTACACGGCCACGCAGAGACCCCCCCGGCTGATCAGCCAGAAACGGGTATATTACCAAAATCCTCAATTGGTATGAGAACTGCAACGTCGTCGCAGTCTGAATCTATGCCCCTCGAATCTACGTATATGCCACCAGAAATCGTTTCGAAAAGACACTCCCCGGAAATGGAAACTTTGAATCAACCTGCTGGTGGCTATTCAACTCACACCGTTGTCCGACCATCAAGTCAAAACGAGAAACGTCGACAGGTTCATTCGCAGAAGGTTATGCTCTCCAAAGCGTTGCAAAAAGCAAATACCGCAGTTCTCCTTGACAATGCGGCAAACTTTGAAGGAGCAATGGAGGCCTATAATGACGCCTGTCAACTTCTACAACTCGTAATGCTTCGGAGCAATGGGGGAGAAGACGAAAAGCTAAAGCTCCAAGAAATTGTAAGAATTGATGGTCCTCCCAAAATTGCTGCCGTTTGCTAATTTCCTTAGCGGGATACATATATGATCCGAGTTACTGAACTTCAGCGCATGGACTTCGCTTTTCGAGATGCCGATAGTAAGGCTCTCCCTGAACGGCCACTTAGCCAGGAGTCATATGGTGAATATCTTCACCCAGTCCAAGACTATGACGATGATAATTTTGTCGATGAGGATCCGACTTTATCGCAACACAACTCATTTGGCGTCGCCCAGGAAAACTCTGGAGAATCAGGGAAATTAGCTCATGCACAAATTCCACCTAGACGCCAATCACTTTTACCTTTGGCTGTAGATGATGGGTACCACAAGTCCCCGCTGTCCCCGGATCCTAGAAACCAGGAAGTCCATCGTCCCCAGCCGGAATTATCCAGCCAAGCTCCTCAACATGTGCGAGAGAATTCAGCGTCCACATTCGCGGAGCATCCTGCCTTGGACAACGACGATGACGACGATGACGAAGGAATCATGTCCCACAACTCGCACTCCTCTGAATTATCCATGTTGAGTCAGGCTCGAGATGTTTATGAGTCAACCTCGTGGCTCGACACTATTGATGAATCAGGAGCGTCTTCGTCGGCTTCGGTGCGTTCCAAAGCCTCATCTATATATTTGCGCCGCAGACGAAGTAGCCGCCTCAGCCATGGTACCGAGGCTGACTTTGACGCCGCCCTTGATGCCGCCGTTGAGGCTGCTTATGACGATGGTCTTGAGCCGGCAAGCGATTTAGATGAGGACGACAGCAATGATGATATTTTCGTGAACGCCCGTCGAAATGTTGAAATAGCCAAGCAAAAAGTGAGGGAAGCGGAGCGGGAAGCGGAAGTGGCAATGACACGAGGAAGAGAGCTACGCCGAATACAAGAACAGGAAATGCTGTCCACTCCTATTGACCCGGATTTGGATTATCTTGATGAGGAAGCAGAGGAAGAGGAGCGCCTGTTGGAAGAGATGACTAGGGGATATGTGATGGATGACTTTGAGTTTGACCTCCAGTCTAAATCAGCACTTCCCCGACAATCAGGTTCGGTCAGCTTTTCCACGAGAATGTGGGAAGGGCCTATCGTACCCAATCCCATAGGTACAGGCCCACCGCTATCGACACTTGTAGAGGACGATGTCCTTCCTCCTGAATTCAACACACGCCCACATACGCAAAGCACTATTTCTTCCATCTCGCCCCAATCGGTTTCTCAGTCAACATCCGGCTCGGGCGTACGTGCGCGTAGGATGTCTGGCCAGAATAGAATAGAGCTGAAGATTGAAACAAATCCGCGCCTGAAGTCCGGTGCCATTAATGCGGAGCACGTTCAATCTTTGGATGCTCAGATAGATCGACCGCCAACCCCCATTGAAAAGGACGGACACCTAGCGAATCTCCCTGCCCATGCAAGCAAAAGCTCTGACACCAACTCCTCATTGCACTCAATACCTCCCATGAACAGGCGTAATATATCTATTGGGTCTATATCTGAAGATACATCAGCAAATTTGACTCTGGCTAGAGCGACGGCCACAGAGAATGATGAAGGAGCCGAACCTTCAAAAATTCTATCACCGCCACGCCCAATAGGAAAAGTTCCTTCAGCACCAGATAACTTGGGAAGGCCAAACCCAAGCATGCCGACTTTTCGACCAAGGAACGTCTCTGTACCTGGCATTGATTTCTCTAGCGACTCCCCGGGAACTCCTGCGAGTAGCGCATTTCCGACTTTGGATCTTCAGAAGGGAGCCGTCACTGCTCCACTGAATGTTTTACCTACACCAAGTGCTGCCAATTTCACTTCAAGCGGACTGCCAGGTGACGCGCTCTATCTTTTTGATAACTACATTCACTCGCCAACTAATCCTGGTTCCCCGAACCCGCTGGCTTCCGACTCTCCGCTTCCACTAGAGCCGTGCCCGGAATCTTTTCTTTTACGCCCATTTTGGCTCATGCGGTGTATTTATCAAACGATCGCCCATCCACGTGGTGGGTATTTGTCGACAAAACTGTTCGTCCCTTGTGATGTCTGGCGCGTGAAAAATGTCAAAATCAAGGGCGTTGAAGAAAAAGTGTCAAGTTGTGATCTGTTAACCGCGGCAATGCTTAAACTGTCTAAAGTGGACATGTACGATGCCGATGCCGTTCTGGAGGAGATGCAAGCATTTGAAGTTGTACTTGACCAAGTCCAGATGTCTCTATCAAAGAAGATAGGCAACGAGGTCGGCGTACAAGGGGCTATGACGATGTTTAAGGCTGCGCTGGCTTTGGACGATACTGCTACCCTTGATACCATTTCTTCAAGAGCCTCAACTGCAACAAGCAAGTCTTATTTGAGCTCCTGGCGCAAATTGCGGTCTAAGAACTCTGGGTTTGGCACCGGACCTTTACCAAGTTCGAAGGAAGCGAATAAAGACAATTTATCGATATCCTCGCTTCCAATGACTTCCACACCAATCCCACAGCTCTCCAAGCGAAATGTGGCACAGTTGCAGTTTAGCGGGCCTAATGCGAACTATATGAGTGCTTTAGCTAGGCTTTGCGATGCTGCTCAAGTATTAGGTAAGTTAAACTAACATCTCTCTAGACTCTTCATTGGGTTACTAATTTCTTTCTCTTGTAGATCAAATCGCCCAACAAGTCGAAGACCCGGGTCTAAGACACTCCTCAAAAACTCTTGTTGGCCTGGAGTTGAGTACGCGCCATGCTGCCGAATTCTTTGGCTTCTACATTTGCCGATTTGCCCTGAATGATATTGGCATAATGCTTGATAAATTCATTAAGAGGGGCAGTGAGTGGGTCCTCATCTAGGATGGTGATGACAAGCTTCTTTCCTATAATGTGTCGATCTTTGATTCGATTTTTATTATGCCCGCTATATACCCCCCATTCGGAAGTTCACGTACTTCCTTGTTTGCCAACGCTCTCCTGCTTTGTTAATGACCGACAATAATAGAACCCCCCCTTCCTTCCCCCTTCTCCCTTGAAGCGGGGAAAAATATTTCATACACTGTCTTTATGACTGTATATAAATATGATTATATGTATATATGAATGTATGTATATTATATTTATGATTATGTATCAGCTCTGGCTTCGCAAAGGCTTACCCGCGCCTTTCAGTTAACTAACCATCTAGCCAGACCATTTACAGTATTCATGCAATTAGTATAATATAAAAAGGACAAAACAAGACCCCCAAAGCAGTGTCAAACCATGGTTGTCTTGCTTAGACACAAAGAACGGCGGAATTATCATAATGCTATGCAAGGAGCATGTGCTGTTCTTCGTAGAATGGTGTAGGCATGGTATGGTGTATATCCCACTTCGCGACATCTCCTCGGGACGGACGATACTTCAAAGTCGAGCATATAAACAAAACACATGCACCTCGTGGAGAATGTAAAACCTAGGTCAGGCATACTCGATCAAATCAAAAACAAAGCCTTGTGATATCTCCCTTCTTTCTTCCTCTTAAGCTCGTTTGCCAGCGGATCTGAGGCAAATCTGGCGTCGTTTCTCCGCGTCTCGAATAATCTCACTGGATAGTTTCAGGCTCGGTGCAAGGTGTGCATATCTGTCGACCTCCGCAATCACGCTGGAGATTATACCGTCTACCCGTAGGGCAGAGGGGAGCAAGGTTGAAAGCGTGGGAGACATCGTGGCACCCATGATGAGCAGAGACTGTGAGACCATGGAGAGTGTGCCCTGCCACAGATAAGGTAGGTGACCCTCCCGATGGCTGGTGATATTCTCTAACTGATATAAGGTAGCCTCTAAGCACCGACGGCAGCATTCTCTGACGAGAAGGTCCGCGGAGGCTTGTTCGTTTTCGAAGACTGCTAGAATATAGGGACGGTAGATGATGGTGCGGCAGGCAAAATACCGAAGCCGGAGAACGGTTTGGACCGGGTTGGAAATGGGGGGTTGAGAGAGGGGGAATTGAACAGGTTGCGGGAGTCCCTCGTACCACTGGGATAGCTGGAAGTCTAGTTCTGAGACAATTGGTCCAAGGGAGGCGAGGGTGAGTGAGTTGTCTTTTTGATAGATCATGTGGCTTACTCGGTTGAGGAGGCGTCGGAGGGCGATTTCAGCAAGGAAGTACCAGAGCTCGTCGCGGCCAGCAGCAGTGACAAGCTTTTTTCTGGCGTTGTCGGCGTGGTTTCCATCATCGTCATCGTCATCGTCATTGTCGTCGTCATCACCTCCCTCTTCTTCGTCTTCGTCTTCGTCTTCTTCCTCATCGAAGCCTCCGGGAAGGTCGACGAGTTCTTCAAAGTGTACGATTCCGGAATGAGGAAGATCTAGTTCTGCCAGCATGTCACTTTCGTATAGTAGAGCGTTCCAGTACACCCTGACACTTAATTCTCTCCACTGAACGGGGACGCGAGAAGCATTACCAAACAGCAACTGGAGCTTCATGCTAGCATTTGAAAGTAGTGTCCATGCCTCTAGCGGCCGCACTAGGTAAAATAAATACGCTGCGGTTAGGATGATGCACTGGGCTGCGGCGACGGAATTGCGCATCATAACAGAGGGGAGAAGATTCCACGCTGTCATAAAATACGGTAACCCTGGTGGATCTCGATCCTTGGGAATCAGAGCGATACTGCCATATGAAGTAGCGCAACCAAGCGCCAAAACCAGGAGGACAACACAACTTTCAGGCCCTTCTCTAAAGCCCACTGAAACCGCCACATTATAGTACCGTGCCCATGTGTAGGGATTAACACAAGCGTACCAGACGTTGACTTGTTTGAAGAAGGCTTGAATGTAAGATGGTGCGTGGGTTAAGTCGAACGCCGCCGGGGAAGTCATTCTGAGTGGCTCACGAGCCATTTCTAGCTGCAGCAAAGTCTGCGGATCATAAGGACCGGCGACTAACTCTCGAATCAAGGGCCACTGTAACAGGTGTAGTGCCGGTGTTGTGTGCATTTTAGGCATTGTCGAGATGCTTGTGGGAGGGTTTGCCCACGAACCAAGCCCTACAACGGATGTTCTCCCGGAGACTGCAGCATGGCCAGATGATTTTACTACGACCTCATCACTGCCGATGTTTGTGTCATTGCTCGTTGTGGGAGAAGTGGAAGAGAGCGGGAAGTGTGGATTTTGTGCTGCAAGGCTGGATTGGAGCAATCCTTCAATTCTTGTGAGCCGTTCAATGATCAACTTATCCCCAGCATCGAGTTTGATTCCGGGTTCTCTATAGACACAGTCTGCATCGAGATCTGTGCAGAGCTGACATTTTGGGCGCGCTCCATTACATCTTGTTTTCCGTAGACGGCAGATTTGGCACTGCCAGGCTCATGTTTCATGGTTAACCAACATTTCGGAATGAATTCCAGGGGTACAGAAGCTTAAATCAAGAAGACCAGAGCTTGTGAGACTCTGGCGTTAGAAAATGGAAAAATAGAGAGCAAGGTAGATAACATGCTGGACGGGGGATATGGCATGTTACGTACGGCAATTGTAGCGCGCCTCCGGGGATATTCTGTCACTTCGGAGCTGGAGCGCTTTTTCTTGTGTATCTGAAAGTCATTGGAGACAGCCGAAGAGTTAGAATCCAGGATTCCATCCCTGTCCCTCTCCGGCGAAGGAGTCATGGTTTGCATTTATCCAGGGTAGATTCACATCAATACAGCAAAGAAACGCGGGAGCGAAACTGGACTCTCGTGGAATGAATACGGGCTTTTATGAGGCAAGAAGCTTCGTAAACAGGCACAATCCACTACTCATAATGTCAGAAAGACTAGTCAAAGCAGTACTTGAGTCTCTGGGTCCCTAGACATTTTTTACAGCCCAAAGGAGCGTAAAGATGCTTGAACAGGGCGTTGTTGCTGGTCTTGATCGCCAAATCATCTAGTAGATCAACAGTGGGAGTTGATATAATCACTGCCAGATAGACATGATCATTGAAACATGATCATATCATGAGTAAAGGATTAGAAAAGGGAGGGGCAAAGGGTCTTCTGGGATAAGAATAAGGATGACTTCCTGGTTGGTGGTTGGTGGTGGTGGTGATGGTGACGACGGAAATGAGGCAGAGCAATTAATATATCACGCCAGGCTAACAGTAAGACCACCACCCACCTAGAATAATAATTAATAATTAGAAGAATTAGGTATCCCCAAGGTTAAGGGATTGAGTGAAAGCAGAGATCGAGGGCTGTCCATCAGCTTATTATTTATTTAGTTATTTATTTTCTTCCCCCCCATTCTTTTGGTTTTCATTTACAAGGCGGGGGAAAATTGACAGTTCGTGTGTGGAGGAGGAGGAAAGAAAACAAGAAGACTACCTGAATAATAGTTAGTACTAACTAACTAGTTATAACTAACTAGTTAATTTTAATTCAAGACTTAATAACCATCAAAGGCGAATGATGGCCCAGAAATTCATCCGAAATTAGCGTGTTCGTTGGTCTTCCAATAATGAAGGTTGATATAGAGGAATTAAATTCTCCTTCGAGGGATACTGAAGGAGGAACGGGACGTGCGAGAAACAAGAGAGATCAAAGATCAACCCGGGGTGAGAAGATGAGAAATAATGCGGCCTAAAAGCCCTTCGATAGTCCCCCAGGATTCTCGAGATTGACTGAGGTTCAACCGTCTCCCAAACCTTCATAGGCGCCCTGCCTGACTCTAGGAGGGTATCGTTTTTACCATCCCCGATACGGTCTTTGGTCCGTGGTGGATGTTCGACGGAGCCCATGATTATTTTAGTTTGCTAGGGCATCGTCCGTTATGATCCTGATTACCCGTCGCCAGAGTAGGGAATCAGGCTGATCCGGCGATGTTTCAGGCACCTTCATCGAAACGAAATAGATACCTGCTAGTACTCTCTTGCGTTAACAAAGATAGTAATGGATCATGATGTGTGTGTGGGTGGGTGGCTCCGAGTACAAGCACCTGTATTAGATTGTCAACATCCTGTAACTTGAGAATCAGAATATTTCATGGTCTTTTCCCACTCGATACAACCGTACCTTAGTACCTGTGCACCATCATGATTTAGATAGTGGCACGAACGAATGTAAGAGCCTAGAAATGGGTCGGGTCAGCCTCGTGGCGTACGTGGGATGGAGAAATTCTGGGATCAACTAAAAATGGGGTACAGAAGACTCTTGAAGACGCTTCTGGACTTTGCAGGAGCCCTCTGATTTCCTGATTGGGTTAGTGGGACTCTACGCGTTGTTATCACCAAAACAAAAAGTGACGCGAGTCAACAAAAGCTCAATTTGTCCCCATTGACCAGACTCACCCGCGAAATAAAAACCAAGCTTGGTTATGAAAACCATATTCCTACATATTTGCTAAGAATTGATCAGTCCATCTCAAACCCATATCCAGAGTGAACTCGACCCTATCGCACTGTTTCTGTTTACACATATAGCACCAGCCGAAGCGCAAAAACATGCCTAGGCCACCTACAAGACGTAATCGCCTAACCAAACCGCTGGCCAACGCAAAACAAGCGCAAAATCAAGACCCCTCTCGAAATGATACCGAGTCTGGAGATCGTTCTGGATCGCCGACCAGCGATGCCGCAGCCACTTCACGGTTGGCACACAGCACTGATCCAACTGAGATCGTACGGCAATTAAGAAACCAGACACCACTAAGCAAAGCGCAAGAATTGGCAATTGCATCATCTCCAGCGGGGGAACATACGGCTACAGGAAGCCGACCACCTACACGCTCCCGTGGCTACTCATCCACCCTTTCTATCGCTGGCCGCAAAGGAGACCTAAGCTCGAGGATCCCGGGGACTCCGGCTTTTGAGAGCTCCATATTGAGCAACTTCAGACGACGACCGCGCCAAGCTAGTATTCTTCATATGATGCAGGATGATGATGGATCCTCTGATTTCGACGACGATGACTTCTTGGGCGGGTTGAGCCCAGAAGATGAATCAACCCCATTAAATCTTTCTAGAGGGAAATCACTGGTAATAAGGCCCGCTGTTTCGCCATCACCTGTCAAACCTTCCTTACCGTCTAGTGGTAAATCCTCAAAGCGGAAGAGGTCCGTCGATGAATCGGAAGCTCCCGAATCAGCTCTGCAGGTTGCGAGCAGCCCATCTGGGTCTCAAATCTCAGACACAGAGGATCATGACAGCGACGTTTCTGTCGACCTGCCACACCTCCCACAGTCACCGGCAGCTTTCAGTGAAACACAGATACCACCTATGAGCAGCCCTGCTCCAAGCCTCACACATGGCGTCTCCACGCCGGACTCACACCATCCATCATCATCTGCGAAGCGACCAAAGAATACCACAGTCCGAAAGACAGCCAAAAACAAGAATCACATCTCGACTGCAGATCTTCAAGATAAATTCCTGCCTCGACGCCGTCGGCGGTGGGCGGTACGCCTCAATGGAAACAATTTCGAAGTGTTGGGTGAGTCGGATGACGACGATATCCCCTCAGCTGCACATGAAGACGACGATGAATTAAGCTATCTGCCATCGCATAAACCTTCTCAATCGAGACGCAAACCAGCTAGCAAACAGAAGCCTCTGCGCAACAATCGGACTCCCCAGGAGACACAAACGAAGGAGGATACATACCTCGACGGCAATAAACCCAACCCCATCAAACAGTACGGATCCAGCTCGCACGAGCCGACCGTTGTGGAGAAGGAGAATGAGCTTGTAGTTGACATGTCCTCCCCGTTGTCGTCTGCGCTGGATTCGGATGCATTTGATTCAGATTTTCTCCTGGACAAGGTTCCAACTAAGACTTTTTTGAGTGACGAGCTGAGGCTACAAGCATTGAAATTCGCCGAGGTGGATAGATGGCAGATGGAGTACGAAGATGTACTGTTCTCCAGCACTCAAGAAAAGGGCACATTCCGGTGATGGAATTCATGTTTTGATGTTCGATAAGTGGAAAGCTGATTATCAAGTGTCTTTTGAATCCCGGAGAAAGAAATCATATGGTAAAGAACCTACTAGGTAACTAATGGATAATATATGAAGAAGGATGAAGCTGGATGAAGCTCCCGCTTTGATAAGCTCCTCCTAAATCAATGTAACTGTGTCTCCCGCCCCGCCATGAGGCCCCGCCAACTTTCTAACCGAGGGTGGCCGACTTGAAGGTGTTGGAAAGTATTGCGTAAAAAGAAAATTCTACGCTTTCTTTCTTTTTTTCTTACTTCCTTTCTTTCTTCCTTCTTGTTGGTGTATAGGAAAAGAAAGTATGACCTCTCTGGAAACCATTCTCGCTGCCAAATACCCGGCCAAAGCTCATGCTCGACGGGTTGCTGACGGCCTCAAAGCTCTTGGCCATAATGGTGGCGTTATCTACTTAGAAGCCCAGAAAACCCGTCTGATCGAGGACAATGATGAGCCGGTGCCTTTCAGGTAGGTAGGCGGTTGCTTATTTGGAGCCATGGACCTCTGCTTCTAGTCCTTGTTTACTCCTTGCGCTTTTTACCTTTACAGTACCTAATAAACTGAGCTTCACAGACAGCGTCGCCCTTTCTTCTATCTCTCGGGATGTTTGCTCCCAGACTCCGCCTTAATTTACAACATCGACGCCGACCAGTTGACTCTCTTTATTCCCCCTATTAGCCCAGACGATGTGATTTGGTCCGGTCTCCCCATGTCCCCCACCGAAGCTCTAGCCCAGTATGACGTCGACAATGTGCTCGAAACTACTGAAGTCAATGCGACATTGGCAACTATCGCTGCCGTAAATGGCGCCAACTCTATCGCATTCGCCATCGGTGAGCAGGTCTCCGAGGACACCAAGTTCCAGGGCTTTTCCACAATCAGCCTTGATATTCTGAAGGGGGTGATTGAAAAGGCTCGCGTGGTTAAGGATACCTATGAGGTTGCGCTGCTGAGGAAGGCCAACGATATCTCTGCGAAAGCTCATATCGCCGCCGTCAAGGCATCCAAGGCTGCCACAAACGAGCGCGAAATCGAAGGTGCCTTCATCTCAACTTGCATTGCGAACGGTGCCCGTGAGCAGTCTTACCATCCAATTGTCGCGTGCGGCAAGAACGGAGCTACTCTCCATTACGGCCGGAATGATGAGGACCTGATCGACCCATCTACCCAGAGAAGGAAGGATAATGTGCTCATCGATGCCGGGGGAGAGTACCGCACGTACTGCGCTGACATTACTCGGGTGTTCCCTCTTAACGGGAAGTTCCTGCCTGAGACCCGCCAGATCTACGAGATCGTCCTAGAGATGCAGTTAGAATGTATTAAGATGCTGAAGGAAGGCGTGCAGTGGGAAGATGTCCATGCGCATGCTCACCGCATTGCAATCAAGGGCTTGCTAAAACTGGGGATCCTGCGCGGGTCCGAGGACCAGCTCTTCGACAAGAGGATTAGCGTTGCATTTTTCCCTCATGGTCTAGGCCATTACCTTGGCATGGACACCCATGATACTGGTGGCAATCCTAACTACGAAGATACCGACACCATGTTTAGGTATCTCCGTGTACGGGGCAAGTTGCCTGCAGGATCAGTTATCACTGTCGAGCCCGGTGTAAGATGACCTATTTCCTATGCACATTCGGTTTTTTTTTTTTTTTCTCTCCCTCTCTCTCGCGCAAAATTCCTAATGATGTTTCGCTCTAGATTTACTTCTGCCCCTTCATCATCGACCCATTCACCAAATCCCCCGAGCTGAAGAAGTATATTGATGAGGACGTTCTGGCGCGATACTGGGCTGTTGGTGGAGTTCGGATTGAGGATAACATCCACATCACCAAGGAGGGCTCCGAGAACCTGACCACCGCTCCTAAATTCATTGAGGAGATGGAGAGCTTGGCTGCGTAGATTTCTGCTACATAATAGGGAACCGCATAGCTGCAATTTGGAACTCCATACATACCCCGTAGAAAGTCACCCTTGGCATTATATTCAAAGGTGGCTTCCTTTTCATATCTCTATTCTTCCTTCGCTTATCTTTTAATTGTTAGCTTTCAATAAGCGCAGTGGAAGATGAAATCTCATAAGGAAACCAATCGAAGCTGCAAACTGAGTGGGTGCCAATAATGTACAGCTGGAAATATCTATACAACTGACAGAGAAGATTGATGACAGCTCTGCCGCCTTCCTTGCAGATATTACAATCCACTCCTAAGCCTCTTCCTCGCACTCCCCCTCGTCCCGGATTCAGCCTCCACCTTATCATGTGCACGCTTCTCCTTTTGATCCAGGACGTGGCTCAAAACATCATAACAGAACTCCGGAACGTCAAGGCAGAGCTTTTTGAACTCCGCCCCGGTCTCATGACGCAGGACATGGCTCCTGCTACCCCAGAAGCTTGAGACGGGTTTACGAATCGTTGTGTCATCCGCAGGGGTATTTGCGTAAACGTAGCGCGCATACGTTAATTCGCCCAGAGATGTACTGTCGATGCGATGAATCTTGGAGTGTGCGAGGCTCCTGAGCGCGGGGATGCCGAGTTTCCCTGCTAGGGTGTATACGCGGGCGTGTTTGAGGAGCTGCTCGCCGCTGTTGTCGGGCCTGTCCCCAACAGAGTCGGTTTGTGTGGTAGCGCAGTCGGGGGTCGAGTAGTCGTGCGTATATTGGTACTGAAGGAAGCAGCCGAAGGCTTCAACGTCGTCATCGGGAAGTTCGATTTTTCGCTATTGGATTGAGAGTGATTCGTTAGACACGAGACTCGGATAGAAAGAGACAAAGAGGATTGATTCTGCATACTGGTCCATCGCCAAATGCCTTGACTTTCTCTGCGAGCGCAGGCGATTCCAATAGCAAGTTCTGGTGAGCGGTCATGGTGGTCCTATTATCTCCACTCCCAATCACAAGCTCGATAATTGGAGATGCTAGGAAACTAAACGGCGATGGCGTAGGTAGGACGTTAACTTTCTGGAATATAAAAGCGGAGGCGTAGATATGTAGGGGGGGGAGGGGGGGGGGTTTGTGGTACTTACTCCAGGAAATGAATGGGCTTCTTTTCAGCAGGCTGTGGTTCCTCTGTTGGCTGCGATTCCGCCTCATTCAACTCCGCATCAGGTAAAGTGATGTCTTGTGTTTGATCTGCTTGACTTTCTTCAATTGCGCCGGGAGCCAATGTTGTCTCTGTATCAACATTGGCTGTATTCTGTGTGCTCGGTGCGGTTACATCCTCCGAACCGGCAACTCGGACTTGCGGGGTGAGATCCATTTTGAGGACTTTCGTGCGTAAATGAGGATATATTGAAGAAAATGCCGTAAGGGGGGAGGGTCAGCCTTTACACTAGGTAATTGCGAAGGGTAGGTGAAAGCAGTGTCAATTGAAGATATATTGACCCAAAAGGGAGACCACAGCGAATGACGTTGCAAGTTCTGCAATGGAATGAGCAAAGCCAAAGAAATGAAATGTTTATTCAAGTGTATATGTTCAATAGGTTCCAAATCCAGTTATGTCATTGCGTGAGAAAGGACAACTAGACAAGCGCTTGAAGCTGGTAATAGTACTTGAAATTGAATGGAGAGCTCTACCTACTCTGTCTGTATTTTTGTTGGCCTGGGGCTCTGTTGCTGGAGAGATTGGCACACGTGATCCGTGCGGTCTCGAATCGGACTATGCCTAATTAGGAAATAGACTCTGTTAACCTTATAGTACTCTTGTTAGTGGTCTGACTATGTGAGTTTCTTTAGACTATAGGAATTCAATTTACAATGGGATAGTTAATGAAAAGAATTTTCTCCTGATTCTCAGGTAGTATTAGATACTCCGTACAGCATGGAAATCGGCCACTGACGGATAATTACGGGGGACAAGATGGCTGGAGCCGAAGATATCTGGATCCACTCACCAACAAACAATAATAAATCGCTTCTGTACAAACTTCTCCCCTCAAGAGGAGCCCTGATAAATACAACGCTCGTATGATCCGTTCGTCTTGGGTACATCTCTGCCGATTCGGTTCTGTCCCAGGCTCTGTCCGCAGCAACTTGAAAATAAATCCCCGCCTGTCCCTCCAGATTCATTGGGTTACTCCTGCAGCCTCTCAGGCCCCCCGACGTAGTATGGCGACGGCGACAGTCTCTCTTACCCCCCCCAGGGATCCCAACACCCTGAGCAACTATAACAACTGGATCTGTACCCATACCACCGCCAATTTTGAGATCCTTTTTGAACAGAAGAAGCTCATTGGAAATGTGATTCACAAGTTCACATCGACCACGAACGCTGAATCGAAGGAGATCATTCTAGATTCCAACCACGTGGATATTGGTGCCATCCAGGTTGATGGCAACCCCGCCAACTGGGAGCTTCTTCCTCCCGCAGCGCCATATGGTACGGCGTTGAAGATCAACTTGGACCAGCCTGTAAAGCTAAATGACACGGTTGAGGTCAATGTATGTGGTCAATGTCAAGCGAATTGCCCTTTCTTCTTCTTTCTATCAGCTAACAATATCCCTAGATTTCCGTCCAGACTACTGAGAAATGTACTGCGCTGCAATGGCTGACGCCAGCCCAAACATCGAACAAGAAGCATCCTTATATGTGTAAGTAACTCTCTCTCTCATACTGGGTTTACATCATTTCATATTTAATTTCCATCGTAACCACTCTGAAATGGGTGAACACAACTAATGCCGACGAATAGTTTCTCAATGCCAGGCTATTCATGCACGGTCAATCTTCCCCTGTCAAGACACTCCTGATGTCAAGTGTACTTTCGATTTCAATATCACTTCTCCTCTTCCCGTGATTGCTAGTGGCCTGCCTGTTCGTAATTCTTCGGGCGCACCACAGCCCGGAAGCAACGCCCTGTATCAATTCCACCAAAAAGTCCCAATCCCGAGCTACCTGTTTGCTCTGGCTAGTGGGTAAGTGCTACCTTGTACAACGCGGACTGGGATTCCTGCTGACAGGACAAGTGACATTACGGAAGCTGCTATTGGACCCCGAAGTGTTGTTGCGACCAGCCCTGATAAGCTCCGAGAATGCCAGTGGGAGCTTGAGGCAGATACTGACAAATTCATTAATGTGATAGAGGTTGGTATGCACACCTCTTGACTCCATTCTCTTTCTAACTTGGATTTAGAAAATTATTTACCCATACGCTTGGGGCGAATACAATGTTTTAATCCTTCCACCCAGCTTCCCTTATGGAGGTATGGAAAATCCAGTTTTCACGTTCGCCACCCCTAGCATTATCTCCAAGGTATTCCGCTGCTCAATAAAATGGATTTCTTTGCCCAATGCTTAGGGATGATTTTAGGACCGGGAAAATGTTGATGTCATTGCTCATGAGCTGGCGCACAGTTGGAGTGGTAACCTTGTCACCAGTGCCTCGTGGGAGCATTTCTGGCTTAACGAGGGCTGGACTGTTTATCTCGAGAGACGGGTGAGTTGTGTCTGATATGAGTCTAGATAAACCCTTTGATTATGCTAACCATGATATAGATACTGGCCGCCATGTGAGATACCAATGGCCCTCTGTGTCTAAAACCTCAAGCTAACCATTCAATCATAGACACGGCGAGAAATACCGCCACTTTTCCTCCATCATTGGCTGGAAATCCCTGACAGACTCCGTCGAACACTACGGGAAGGACCACGAGTTCACGAAACTAGTCCCAAGTCTTAAGGGGGTGGATCCTGATGATGCGTTCTCTAGCATCCCCTATGAAAAGGGATTCAACTTCCTCTTCCACTTGGAGAATCTTGTTGGCAAGGAGAAATTTGATCACTTCATTCCTTACGTAGGTTTTCGAGCGATCCTTAAGAAAGGATTACTTGCTGACTGATTTGCTCCAGTATTTCACTAAGTACAAGGGGAAGTCGGTGGATTCATATGAGTTTAAAGCCACGGTCCTGGAGTTCTTCCAGTCTGACCCCAAAGCTTCTAAGCTTGTACAAGACCTAGATTGGGATACCTGGTTCTATACCCCTGGTCTTCCCCCTAAGCCTCACTTTGACACCTCTCTCGTCGATGTTGTTTATGGGCTAGCTAACAAGTGGAAGTCTCTTCCTGGCTCGTCGTTTAAGCCTCAGGCAAGCGACATCCAGGGTTTGACTGCCAACCAAATCGTGGTGTTCCTGGAGCAGGTCCTGCAATTTGAGAAACCACTAGCCGCAGACCTCTCGAAGCTGATGGGAGAAGTCTACGGGCTTGCCAAGAGCGAAAATATTGAAGTTTCTAACCTCTATCTTCAAGTCGGTCTGAAGGCTGGCGATGAGAGTGTAATCCAGCCGACCACGGAGCTTCTGGGAAAGATCGGAAGAATGAAATTCGTGCGACCTTTGTAAGGAGACTCCGCTACCAATGCACTTGCTGGAAGCGAAAAAAAAAAAAAAAAAAGCTAACACCCCATTGTAGGTTCCGTACCTTGCAGAAGGTTAACCGCCCGGTTGCGATCGAGACTTTTGAAAAGTATAAAGATTTCTATCACCCCATTTGTCGGGGTATGGTTGAAAAGGATCTATTTGGAAAGAAGGACGCTTGATCTGTTTAAAATAGATATATTCAGATTAGCTCGTCATACCAATTCAACCAAAATTGTGATTGTATCTTTCCCTGTTTGGGAAACACAATTTCACAAGTCTGATTATTGTAGGCTCAAGTTCGGAACACTCAAGTGCCATACTCATGTTTCCACATATATAATACAATTGATATCTATCTTCTCGCACTGCGGAGTTAAAGATGGGGTAAAGTTGTACTGTACAAGACTAAACCAAAAAAAAAGCGCCTATTCCCCTACCAACCAAACATTATACCGCAGATTATTGCTTAGCTTCAACCAGCAATGTGTCTGCCGGTGAAGGTGCAAATAAACCGGGCTTTCCGCTCTTTCTCGTTCCTAAATGGAAGATCAAATCCGCCTCATCCACTTGCGAAAGTTCCGAGAGTACGCGGCGCATATAAGCAACCACGCGCGCAATCTTTTCCCATTCAATTTCCTCCCCATCAGGACCGGTATAGCTCGCTTTCCAGAGATTCCTCCAGACAGCGGCACCAAGAACCGCATCACCCTTGATCAACCCCTCGTCATACGCAGCAAGCACACCACGCCATTGGATAAATAGATCCTTCAAGAACTTATTCCTGATACCGCGGCTTGTGAGACCATGAAGAACATCCATGCGGTGCTCGGCGTTATGCGAGAAATGGTCGATCAAGTGACGCGAGTAAGTCTGGAGACTTTCATGGGTAGGCAGAGCCCGCAGCCGGACGGTCAACAGGTACATGTGCAAGAATGTAATCTGGGACCATGTCGAGAATGTTGGAACAAGGCCGAGTTCTGGACAGATTCAGAGAGAGATGTGTTAGCTCATACCTTGACAGACTCACTCACTCCCCCATCTATCTATCTATCTATCTATCTATCTATACCTTGGTATAAAAAAAAAAAAAAAAAAAAAAAAAAAAAAAAAGGCAAAACCGAAAATTAATCATACCTTCATACCACCAACCCTCACCAACACCGAGATCCTCTCCGGCCTCGGTTTTAGGCACCTGCGCTCCCTTTTCCTGTAGCTGCGGTATCCTGTAATCGCCCTGGCTGGAGCAAGCCTCAAATAGTTTCTGAGTCAATCCGTAGGCAACGTACGTCTCAGCGGCGGTACCCGGACGCGGCGCAATAGCGCGTGCAAGCCTAGAAGCAGACCTATAACTCTGCTGGCCATTGACGCTGCTGGCAAACGGGGCAGTGGCTGTTACTGTTGTTGCGGTTCGTTGTCGGAGAAAGGAAGAGCTCGGGAGATCTGAGAGGGCGAGGGAGAGTTGCGAATGAAGGGGGCGAGTGCATATTGAGCGCTGCGAGGATGTGAATGAGGCCAGGGGACGGCTAAGATGTTGAACCTGTGTACAAATTCAGTGAACTGTTATTGGCGAATTCCGTCATATCCGTATTATATTTATGGTGGCGATTTTGGATGGAGCTCCTCTGCTTCCAGCCGGGAAAGGGACGGGAGGGACGGACCTGAAGCTTAGCGCATTGGCTCTGGAGCTCTCGGGGCCAGAGGCTGCGTAAATTTTTGGAAGGCATTTTTTTTTGAAGCGTATATTATTAGACCGATCTTAGTTGCTAAAGCGTGAACTAGGTCCTCCTTCCTGGCTTGGTGGTGATACCGAAAAAAAACGGGAGGATTTGTGGATGTTTGCATTGTTTGCATATTTTCCCATACAGCATGTTTTTGTATAGGTTGGGGTTGGAGCATAACTATGGATCTTGATGACATGAGAAATAAACCACTATTTTATTGCAGTATAAACTAAATATGCTCTAATACTGTTTCTGCAAGATCTTTCATGTGAAAACGCCGCCTCAAGTTCGAGCACTATGATGCTTCATTTGCGCCTGCACACATCGTCCTCTGGTATTACCGCAGACGCAACTAAATGAGTATTAATGGGAGGGACGCCTGCGAACATGGCCGTTCTTCTACCCTTGCGTTTTGATAAGCTTGTTCCTCGATCAGTTGGTTCTTCTTGCCGATTCTACCAGGCCCGTGGGTATTTGCAGAGCAAGCAAATAGCATTACCATCCTTTAAGGGGCTGGCAGCGAGGAAAATGATTATAAACTTCAAGAGGTATCTTGAAAAGCTCTTGCGCCTCTGGTAAGCTTTCGGCTTGACCATACTTAAGTAAGATAATCTCTGGAAGAGACAATGGAAGAAGAAGATTTGTATAGAAGGGTGAGCATCAATGATCGAATCCTCTTTAGGGTTCTATTCTCTTATTTTCGCCCCGAACTATCTACACTGTTCTAATACTCAAAGTTATTCATGATAAATGATATTTGGATGCAAAGTATTGGGTATCATTGCTGGGTGGTTACCTGGGTATGGTCTGCCAACGGCATAGAGAAATGACGGAGTACATTAAAAGTAATGGAAGACTCGCACCACAACCTCTGCGATTGCCGACGAATCTCCTCGTCCTCTACTGATGCTCTCATTGAGGCTGAGTCCGTGACCAGATGAGCTTCTGAAGGCTGTTGGGTAAGGCTATGTGGCCTGATTCCGGTTTGAAATACCTTTGGAGGGTGAGAAAATGGGGCTAGCGATATCCATCTTTGGAAAGCGTTTTCTGCAATTCTTACTCATCGAGCTGACATTCTGCTGCCTATTTGGTGGATAGGATACTTGTATCTGAAGCTCTCGAAACCGGCTAGTTTCCTAGGTTGACCCGTTCCAGTCGCCTCTCGACGAGTGGAAGAATCTCGGAAAGCCTATTCGGATCTCTCATAATGGCGGGTATGTCATCTCTTAAGCTTGCAAGTTTCTAAATACTGTTAGCTCGCATGCTCTCCGTTTGGCTGTGGCGATTGGCATACTTGTCGAACTGTCTCATAGTCGGATTCCTTAGACTGATACTCTCTTGTGACTTCCATGCTTTCGAAATCTATATATACCCTTGTATCTCGGATTCGGAAGAGCACATTATCTAATCTCATGAAAAATCTCGAAAGCAGAAGCAGTCTGGCGGGCATGACGCGAATCTTACAAGAGAGCATAGCAATGCCATTATCAGCGAGTTCGTCTTCGTATAATATAACGTCGTCAAAAAATAGGATAGGGTCAGGGCGTTTAAGTAATTCGATCGGGATGGAATTCAAGGTTTCTTCGAACTGACGAGTCGTGGGGCAATGCACAGTGCCCGCGTAATCGGTACTGTACGACCAGTCGAATGGTTTCACGACCTCCTTGATACCTTCATGGGTTGCCTCTCTAGCTTCATAAGTACCAGGGTAATTAGGATGGGGGTAGATCCGCTTTACCTGCTTTCCTGCCACTCTTTCGAGTATGCGACCTTGAGCATCGACTCGCCCTTCTTATCGACTCGGTCCAGGGCATCGAACGCATTAAAGGTTATGCTCCACCCGCTCTTCTCGTGCTCGATCGAAACGTAATTATCGCCGAAAATCATCTCTGGTGGTGCGATCCCAAGTTTTTTTGTCATTTCCTCAATGGGATCAGCTTTGAGAATGGGGAGTTTCTGAGTTGAGATCTTGAAACCCTTGACATTGACGGAATTGGGTTTCTGGTGTCCTGGAGACACAGCAGCAGTATTTCCCATGACGGGCGGACGAGCGAGGTTGTTGGATGACATACTCTGCTACGAGTTAGACTTGCACGTCGTTAAACAGTCCTTTCGCGTTCTGATAATTATCGATAAGTATACAAGTCATGTCCTGCGATTACGCGGAGTTCTTTAGATACCCCGCGGTGGTCGGAGAAAGGTCTGGTCCGACGCGTTGCCGTGGTGATGCCCCAGTGAAGGTCCATAAACAGCTGAGCTTTGGACTTGAACTTCCGCTTTCTCTTCAATCGACCTCTGACCACGCCAACAACGACCGCAACACCGAATTTCACCAGCTGTGTGAGAATGTTTATGTAGAACATTCTGCTATTTGATCACCCTCGTCTCATTTGCTTCTCCTCTACTTTCAGCGCATTTTCCTTCACCCTGATCCATGGCGGGCAAGACTTTGGAAGCTCGTTTCGAGCACCTCTCTGTGAGAGATGAGAATGAAACCGGGAACAATGGCAGTGGTTACCTAAAGCATAAGGTATTGCGGCTACACGCCATGTGTGCGAAAAGCCTCCTGCTAATTGTTGCCTCTTAGAGCTCCCTATCAACCGCTGTATCCCTCTCGGGGCTGGGGGTTACAGGACAGCTGACCAGCGGCGCCAACCGGTCAAATCTGCTCAAGCTGGCCTTGCAGAATACAAATGAAAACAAAGTTAATGCGATGAATGTTGCCATGTCCCCAGGGAAAGGAGCTCAGAATCCATCATCACTTCGCAACCTTGACGAGAATGGGGAGCAGCGAGGAGCAAGCCTTTACGAGCAGCCGGCACCAAAGAAGCTACATTTGGGGATGTTCGAAATCGGAAAACCCTTGGGAAAGGGTAAGTTTGGTCGAGTATACTTGGCCAAGGAGCGTTCTTCTGGCTTTGTATGTGCTCTTAAGGTTTTGCACAAATCGGAATTGCAGCAAGGTGGTGTTCAGAAGCAAGTTAGGCGAGAGATCGAAATTCAGAGCAATCTACGTCACCCGAATGTCCTGAGACTCTATGGCCACTTCCAGGACAGCAAGCGAATCTTCCTGATTTTAGAGTTCGCTGGGAGAGGAGAGCTTTACAAACACCTCAGGAAGGAGCATCGCTTCCCCGAATGGAAGGCTGCTCAGTATATTGCCCAGATGGCTGCTGCACTCAAGTACCTGCACAAAAAGCACGTTATGCATCGGGATATTAAGCCCGAAAACATTCTCGTTGGAATTCATGGAGAAATCAAGATCAGTGACTTCGGTTGGAGTGTTCATGCACCAAACAACCGTCGACAAACAATGTGTGGAACACTGGATTATCTCCCCCCGGAGATGCTTAGATCAGGTGCCCAGGACAATTTCTACAGCGAGAAGGTCGACCTGTGGAGCTTGGGCGTGTTAACTTACGAGTTCCTTGTCGGCGAAGCACCGTTTGAAGATACCCCCGTCATGACCCAAAGGAGGATCACTCGAGCGGATATGTCCGTCCCTTCTTTTGTCACTCCCGAGGCCAAGGACCTCATCAAAAGGGTAAGTCCGCTGCATATTATCCATGGTCTAGATTTAGAATGCTAAAGTATTTTAGCTGCTCGTGCTTGACCCCGAGAAGCGAATCTCGCTGGATGAGATCCAAAAACATCCCTGGATTCTTAAGCACTGCGCTAAGGAGGACCGCGTCATGAAACGGAGTTCAGGTTCATCAAAGGAAGGCAAAGCATAATTTTGCGTTTGCATAGCAAGGGGTTTGGTGTTAGACTGTCATTTGGTTCATTTTAATCTGCTTCCTTATAGGCGTTTCTTAGTAGGGAGTTGAACTGGTGTTCCCGGAAATTTTGTTTATCAAGTCATTATTGTTTTTAGCATTGAACCCAAGGTGTTCAGAATATGTCATCAGCTCAGCGTCCTCGATATGATACATTATAATACAATTGAAACTGCCTTTTGCGCCACTAAGCAAACCGAATGAGGTAGGTAGAGAAGGGAGATTGTATATACATGGAATGGTTTCATCGGTAAATTTCGTCGAATGGTCGGGTATCCCTAAAGCAGCTGTCCCACACTTCATTTACAACCTTCTCAGCATGTTCTTTATCCTTGCATCCGGGCCGTGCTGAGACTGACAAAATAGCCCTTCGTCTCACGCATTCTTGGTGTTGTTGAGTCAGTTTCCACTGGCCTCGTCGGAAGAACTCACGCGCCCACCGACATTCACCACTCAGGGAGCTGGCTCGAATCTGTTCACTGTTAGTGCCTGGGACACCGGTGGCCTTCGAGCAACACGGAAATCACGAAAAGAGGGTCCGTACTTCTGTGCAAGCTGCATGCCTAAGGTTATTCGTCCAATCAACCTTGAATCTTAGGTGATCATAGGCATGAACCATCTCGTGAGCCATTGTATCCTCCAGATGACCCTGATCCTTCATTTCGTTTGCGCAGAGTAAGATGCCATATTCGGGATCAAACCCGCCTGCTTTCCTATTCGTACATCGACGGCAATAGATATTGTGACTTGATAAATCGCCTCCCAGCTGCCGAATATTGTCACTCAAGTAGCGGACGACAGGACCTTGCATGCACGTTCCCTATTAGCACAGGTTTGGGTCAAGTCATGAAGGTCAAGGAGAGAAATGAAAGAATGGAAAGGCTAAAAACTCACTAAACTGTAATAGATAGTCTCTTTGCTCTTCACATCGCTTGCAATCTGCAGATTCATTACGAAGATCTCGCGCAACACGGAACTGCTCCATTCCTTCGTCCGTCATCTTTCCCATCAGGATCGAGAAGACATTGCGCCATTGCGTAAATGTATCATCTCCAGGAACAAACCCTGTATCGGGCTTATTCCCAGCTGGTACCGAACTGCCTGGCTGCTGAGAATCTGACATCTTTGCCGTTAATGATAATGAGACAAAAGTGCTTCAAATTAATGATTGATTATTAGTTCCAGGGCGGATTTCGCCGAACCTCCGCATTTTACTTGGCGGTGTTTCAGGGCAGAAAGAAACCATTCTTCGCCCGCAAATGGAATAAGAGCAGTTCAGAGCAATTAAGACTTAAACAAGACAGATATTACTTCTCCTTGGTTCGGTTTTGGTATGGGTGTTATTGATTATCTTAGACCACTGGCTTGATTTTATTCTCACAATGGCTTCTGAGCGGCTCACAATTGTTATCAAATTAGGTGCGGGGAGTATACTGTCCTGTCCTTCGAAGCATCGGGAATTCTGACCTTATTTTCTGGAACAGGCACAAGCTCCATTGTGGATGAACATACCCATGAACCTATTCTATCAATCCTTACACTGATAGTGGAAACTGCTGCCAAACTTCACCGGGACGGCCACAATGTTGTCATAGTTTCTTCGGGTGCTGTTGGGGTGGGGTTGCGGAGGATGGATGTGGAAGAGAGGCCGAAATACTTGCCTCGCATCCAGGTATGGAGAGCATATATATACACAATTCCTAATCCTGGATTACTAATTTCTTTACAGGCTTTGGCCGCTGTCGGCCAGTGTCGACTGATGAGCCTGTGGGATGGCTTATTCTCTCATCTTCGCCTTCCGGTGGCACAGATCCTTTTGACTCGGAATGATATAGCAGACGTGAGCCCCTCCCCATCCTACCAAGTTTATACCTGTCTAATAATATGAGCATAGCGGACCCAATATATCAATGCACAAAATACATTTTCCCAACTCTTCGACATGGGGGTAATTCCCATTGTCAACGAAAACGATACACTGGCAGTTTCGGTGAGTCATTGCTTCCCTGTAAGACTGTCTCTCTCCTTGGTAATTTACTGACCAAAATCGTCAAGGAAATCAAATTCGGTGACAACGATACCCTATCAGCCATTACGGCCGCTATGGTTAAAGCCGACTATCTATTCCTAATGACGGACGTTGACTGTCTTTATACTGCGAACCCCCGCAACAACCCTGACGCACAACCAATTGAGGTGGTCTCAGATATATCCTTATTAGAAGCCGACGTGTCATCTGCCGGTTCCGCATTGGGAACAGGTGGTATGAGTACGAAGATCGTGGCCGCAAAATTGGGAACTAGTGCTGGTGTGACAACAATCATTACCAAGAGCTCAAAACCAGGAAACATTCACGAAATCGTGAGATACCTCCAGGAGCTGAAACAAAGAGAATCGAACCATGCGGAGGTCAGTAGTGAGGCTTCAGAAACACAAATATCTCTGCCTCCCCTCCATACTCGATTCCTTCCGTCCGATAGTCCCATCCAGTCCCGTTCATTCTGGCTGCTCCACGGGCTGAAGCCTCGTGGTACTATATATATCGACCACGGTGCTTATGCTGCCCTTCAGAAAAAGGCAAGTCTTCTTCCGGCAGGAGTGGTGGATGTGGACGGTCACTTCGGGCAGCAGGAAGCCGTCCGACTAGTCGTCGTCGAGAGAATTTCTCCAGATGCCTTGAATGGCGATTTCCTTCATCATGGCCAAGAGCCCAAGGAGATTGGACGTGCATTGGTCAACTATGGCAGCCTAGAGATTGCGCGCATCAAGGGCCACCGTAGTACCCATATTCACTCGTTGCTCGGCTACGCCGATAGTGAATATGTTGCTCTTCGTGAGAATATATCCTTCCTTGGAGCGGATGAAGCTGTGCGGCGGTAGACACCGTCAACCGCTCTCGCTGATTTACGTTGTCTTCATGAAAAGTAATGTTTATGCCAAAAGCGAATGATACCTCCTTCCTTTGTCACCTGGTTTTACCTCCCCCCCTCCCCCCCCCCTATTTTGCGACATGTTTGAGTTTTATTGTAAATAGAAGTCAGTTTAGATACGGACTTGGAAAGGTATAGAGATCGTGAGTTTTGTTTATATAGACTGAAGATGAGAGACTTTTAAGACATCTGATTCCAGTTACAACGCAACCGCTGAGGTTACTAAAAATCAATGTTCACAGGGAACCTAAACGCCAGAGAAACTAGGTAATTGAGCCAGCATTCCACATAAATAAAAAAGCGAAAGGTCCCCCCCGGGGCCAAGCTACTAGCAGTACAATTCTGTATCAAAACAAGTCAATCCCTCCATGTCTCTCCAACTATCGTTTCATTAGATGGTCATGGTCATGAGGATTTGGCGCAGGGGCAGCCTGCAGAAGAAAACACGTCAGCAATCGATATACTCAAAATTCCCCTCTCTACATAATAGCGCTAAAGGCCGAAACCTCAGCCCATAACTTACAGTATTCTCCATATCAATGAGAGTTCGAGTGTCAGTAGCCGTCAGCGTAGTCAAGACTGTAGCCGGCTCCAGGTAATGCGTAGCAATATTGTAAGGACTAGCCGGATACTGGGGCACTGGCGAGGTCGTTGCGATTGCGGTCCCGGGCCTTTTGGCCATAGGCGCGTATCTCGTCGGACCGGTTTGCAATGAATAAGGGACGGTGAATGGGTCCACGACGACTCGTCTTTTCTGTAAAATGTCTTCTGTATCTGTGCTGAAATCGGACTTGGTAGCCTGGAGACGCGGCGGAAATGACCCGGTCATATCGGTCAGTGTGAATCGTTCTGAGAAGTTGACGACGAATGCATCGGGTCCTGAGGCAACCATCTTTAGGAAGCTTAGAGTTGGGGCATTGTTAGCCTGCGGAAACGGACATAGCGACGCAACTATTAGGTACGATTGGGGGGGGAATCGGGGAACTCGTGTTTCTTACTATGCATTTGTGTCGTTTCCACCGAATTTAGGGTCGATAGCGAAGGAGACTGAATTACCGCGAGCCAAGGCAACGTCTTGCATGAGGAGAGCTACATCCTCCTAGAAGCGAAAATTGGGCCATTAGCAGCCAGATCTATCAATGTGATAGTAGCAGATGGAGGGGAACAAACATAGATAGCCGGATCGTCGCCTCCAGCGCAGAGAAAGAGATCATATTGCACCAGTTCAGAGATCCTGGGGGCTTTCCCAGAGTCTTTCCACATTGCCGTTACCACATCGCCACCTTTCAAAGTCGTCGTTGAATTTGGCACGGTGAACTCAATATCTGCTAACACAGTCGATGTCAACGTGAGGAAGAAAGTGGTCGTAAGTGAGCGGATGAGCCTCATACTGAGGATTCTGTATATAGTTCGACGGCCCAAGTAAACAATCGGCTGAAAGGAGAGAAAGACAAAGGAAGGAAGGGCAAGGCTGCAGTACAGGGAGATAAAGAACGACTGATTCAATAAGTCCCTGAATCACAAGAGAAATGCATTATTTTGATTGTGACTTACATTCACCCTGCCATCACCCCCTTCGAAACCCCCCAAGTATGCAAGCCTGGAGTTTATTGCTGGCCTGGAAGGAAAGGCATTAAGGCATCCAGTATCATTGTTAGCGCCGGCGATAACTAGCTCCCCCTCTGATTAGTGCAGATGTCCAGTCCCCAGAGTACAATGCCCTCAAAGAGCTCCCAGCCCACAATAATATTGACACATATGTGATCCAGCATCATATTTTCTTCTCCCTTTCTCTTCTCAATTCTAGCCCACACTAACCCTCGGTGGTTGCTCAGCAGACTGAGCATCACTCAAGATGAGCGAACACGATAGTACCTCTTGGGGTTCGGTCGTGGCACAGATAGCTACGAAACTGCTAGATGGCACCCCTTTGACTATTGTTATCGCCGTGTTCATTACGTTCGGAGTCCCTATTCTTCTTCATTTCTGTCTCTATCGCACAGTCGCTTCCCCTCCGTCGAGCAATTTCCTCCTCCTTGGTCCTAGCGGGGCAGGCAAAACCACTCTTCTGACTCTGGTAATTTCTACCTTCCTTCCTTCCTTCCTTCCTTCCTTTGGCTCTCTGAGACAGAGAAAACCACAGTAACTAACCAAGTTCACCTCTGATAGCTTGAGTCGAAATCATCCCCCGCCGCAAAGACACAGTCACAACCTACACATACATCTCAAACATCAACGCTTTCTACCATCCGCCTTCCCGCATCCGTCCCAACCGCCTCAAACAAATACCGATCCGTAAACGACCCATCCTTGAAGGATGTTTCTCGGAACCCAATTAAATACCGTATTAGAGACACACCCGGACATGGGAAATTGCGCGGACCTCAGGGACTTTCCGAGCTCCTATTTATGTCCTCAGCCAACGACACCAAGTCCAAACTCCGCGGTGTGCTGTTCATGGTCGACACGGCAACGATTTCCGAGATCGATTCCTTGAGAGACACGGCGTCTTACCTCTACGATATCCTTTTGATTCTCCAGAAGCGTGCCTTGAACAGGGGCGGATCCTCCTTGAAAGCAGCGGCGGAGATCCCCGTGCTCGTGGCGGCTAACAAGCAGGACCTCTTTACCGCCTTACCACCGGGATCGGTGCGCGAGAAGCTCGAGGCGGAGATTGATAGGATCCGCAAGTCGAAGAGCAAGGGACTGATGGATGCTAGCGCTGATTCTGGGACGGGCGAAGGAGAGGATGATATCTTGGGTAGTAGCGATGCACAGGATGTGTTCAGCTTTGATCGTCTGGAGGATGAAATTGGCTTGAAAGTTGACGTTGTTGGTGGGGCCATCAAAGGCGACGAAGAGGGTAATATCGGGGCTGGTGTACGCAAGTGGGAGGAATGGATCGGTCAATGTTTGTAAAATGCCTCGTAAATTGGAGAACAATTTGATGTGATTTTTGATGTTTGTGGAGACCGGATCAGTTACATATATCGACTACTCAATCTATCACACGGATACAAGCCTACCTATTATAGGTATCTATAAGGAGGAGGAGCACTTTTTGGGTTATCACCTCAACTTGCCGCTTCGACTCTGGGATTGCCATATTTATAATACTGTGTGTGCTACATAATTAACGGAAAGATCATGGCTCTTAAATCATAACTTGGCTATGCATATTAAACCTAAATTCATTTGTCCATTCATGACACCCCAAAACTCCGTCCTGTTTATATGATATGATGGCGTTGAACCCAATTCCTGGCTGTGTGCGTGCTCTCTCTATTCTCTATACCAGAAGAGCAGAAAAAAAAATAAGAGTAAAAATAAAAGGCAACAAAGGATGTTGAGAATCCAACCCAAACTCTTGAACCCCAATGCAATAAATGCAAATATTCCGCATATGTACTTCACGCACTGTTCTTCTTGTGGTGCAGCATCCAAGTCAGAAGGTCGACCTTGGTGACAACAGCAACAGGTCTGAGAGTTCCGGCCTCGTCCCGGTCAGTAACGACAGCGGCACTGTTCCACTCAAAGAAGCGGTTGAGAACACTCAAGGGTGTATCCAGGGTGATCTCGACAAACTTGCGATTCTTGACCTGGGGCCTGAGGGTTTCCGTTCCGGTATTGTCGGACTTGAGGTTATTAAGGCCCATATCTCTGGGATCAGTCACGACTTCCGAGATTCTACCAAAGTCGAACATGACGTCTGAAACGGGGCTTTTGCCAGTTGCACGGTTGTGTGTCAGTCGACTCAGGACGTTTCCTAGGGTGACAAGGCCCACTAGCTTCTTGCCGGAGGGAGCAAGGACAGGCAGTTGGTCGAATCCTCTGTCGCGCATAACTTCGATAGCGGTTTCGCAGGGGATATTGGAGTGAACGGTTGTAATGGGCTTCAGTCTCAGCGAGCTAACCTTCGAACCGGCGAAAGCATCCTCCTGCGTTGGAGTATGTTGTGTTGTAGATGTGGAAGTGGGCTTCGTGGGTGGCGATGGTAAGAGGCTGTTTGCGGCGAGCCAGTCATCATCGGCAAACTATGGAGAGTGTTAGATATTCGGCTTATGAGCAAAATTGCATATTTGTACGGTAATGGATATATTATTACCTTCGTAAGGTAGCTTCTGATGCTGTCGGGCATAACGACAACAACGATGTCATCCTTGTTGAATTTGTTGTCTTTGGCAGCCTGTGCCAAAGCCGCGATAGCGCTTCCACTGCTTCCACCAACAAGAAGACCCTCTTCGGCGATGAGACGGCGGGCATACTTGAAAGAGTCCTTGTCATCCGTTTTGTACCATTGGTCCACAGCGTTTCTGTCGAGCACGTCGGGAATGAAATCATACCCAATACCTTCAACTTTGTACGGTTCATTGGCATGTTCTTCGTTCAAAGCGGCTGGCAGAGCGAGAATAGAGCCCTGGGGGTCTGCGGCAATAACCTGCACATTAGGGTTATGTTTCTTGAGGCCACGAGACAAGCCGGTGATGGTTCCACCAGTTCCCGCGCCGGCAACAATCGCTTTAATGTTGCCATTTGTTTGAACCCAAATCTCCTCTGCTGTACCAAACTCATGAGCCAACGGGTTGTTCACGTTGGCGTACTGGTCTAGGATGTGCGCATTTGGAAGCTCCTTTTCGAGGCGCTTAGCAACCCCGATGTGAGACTCGGGGGAATCATATGCGGCCTCGTTCGGAGTACGGATAATTGTGGCATTGAGCGCACGTAGAACAGAAACCTTCTCTGCAGACATCTTCTCAGGAAGAGTGATGATAGTCTTATAGCCTAAAAATTTCGCGGGGATAATCAGCTGATGTTTCACGAGTTAACTCGCGCGCAATAACTAACCCTTCACAGCCGCAACAAGAGCCAATCCGATACCACTGGGACAGATCAAAGATTAGATGACGAATGACCAAAAAAAAAAAAAAACAGAACCCCGAATCACCTACGTGTTACCACTGGTAGGCTCGATCAGAGTGTCTCCCGGCTTAATTCGTCCCGATCTCTCTGCCTCCTCAATCATGCGCAACGCTATCCTATCCTTGACACTTCCTCCGGCATTGAAGTATTCAAGTTTGGCATACACAGTCGCTTCAATTCCCAGGCTCTGGGGAAGCCTATTCAGCCTCACCAGGGGGGTATTGCCGATGTGCTGAGTGATGGCATCGATGGCCACTGGCGGGATTCCTGGTTTGGTGATAGACGACATTGCGGCAGAAACTTCCTACCCGACAAGAGGAAAAAGACAAATTGAAGATAATTCCTCCTTAGACAAGAAATGTAAAGGGGATAATAAAAGTATAGAAAAAAATTGCGATGAGAATAGGTAATAGATATACCCCTGCGCCGATTCTAGCCGCTCGCCACTTTTTAGTCAGGTGGGCTGACCCGACCGAGGTTAGAAGAACTAGTTTTATAGGTACATACCAGACTTAAACACCATCTCCATCTGAACTGCCAGAGTCAATATTTAAGGGTACTGAGAGATCCACCAGGTCATTGGTAACTGTTTATTCTATACAACGCACGTCTGTGGATAGGGGGGTTTTTGGACCCCTTGTGACAGGACAACAGAGAAATATGGCAGATTCTGGGGTTTCTAGTTGCTCAAGGCAGTGTGCATGATGATCTCTTGGGCACAGTGCTCAGCAACGTCTTACTCCACCTGAAGCAGATGCTGTGTAATAGAGGATGTTCCAAAAAAAGTCAAGTACTCTGTAAGGTATTCTAATCTCACAACATTCTAGGGCTGAAGTACAGCACAGTTCTAGCTACTGATACGAGGTTTTTGCTTTTCCCAGGTGGTTCGAATTCTTTCAAAAGCCATTATTCACTGCCGTCTGACTGCTAGCTGCGGTACTACGACTCACTACAACTGCTAGAAAGGGGTCTGTAAACACTTTGTGTGTTTTTGTCCCCATCCCAGACAGGCCCTATACTCGTACTTTTCAACAGGGATCGAATTGAATAGGTCCGGAGTATCGGTATTCGGTAGCAATCGTCGCTGTGTTGCGATCATCATTCAAAAACGAGGCTGGCAAGTCTACCCATGGACCTCAAAATAACAGCATGGGAAACTTTCACACAAGATGTTCTAGGAATAATAATAATACTAATAGCATATCCTCGAGGAGCCCGCCCGAAGCATGCATCCTGCAGCAGGGGAAATCAGCCTTCGATCAATTGCACGAGTAACGAAAGTGGCCATTCAACCTCCACCTTTGACCACTCATACGGCCGTCCCTTATGTAGCCGAGCCTTGAGAAGTTGAGCCTTGAGAAGTTGAGCCAAAGTGGTTTCAAGACTGGCGCTGAGACGCCTGCCAAGGCCCGAAGGACGCGCGCATCGTGTCTTAACCCGTCAATAGTCTTGGAGGAATCAGGATGATTCCTCCCTCGCCCGTCATCACTAACTGCTCGCTAACTATTAATATTCCTCATGATTACCAGGGTGTCTAGATGTCAAAATTAAGGATGCCATTCGATTCCGGCTAACTCCCTTAAGCCCCAGAGCCCCTTGGCAGGACTCAGTTTAGTCCTGAAAGATTTTCTTAACTGTGCCACGTCTGCCAGCCCACCCCCCCCGATTTTCAGACAGCCTTCTTCGGGGTTATTTAGCCCCAGTTCAAAAGCCTGGGCATTAGATATAACTTTACTAGCCCTCTCTGGTCGAAGGAACTATCTTACATTGATTATGTTGATTTTTAGCATTCTCTTTTGAAAGTGTGCGTCTATGAATTTGCTTTTTCTTGCGGGTTGTTTGGATTTTATATTTTGCCCTTCTTCATCCCCAACTTTCCTCTGTATAATCGCACTTTCATAAACCGGCTCTTCACGAAGCTAGACTCCAAGCTTCCCCGAGTCTTTCTCGGCCTTGTAAAAATGGCACGCCCTGAAAGTCGAACCCCTTCGCTCCCTGAAGGCAACGAAAACTTGCTTATGTCGGATTTCAACCATCCTGCCGTCGTCACAGGGTATGACTCCGTACTCCCTACCCACAAAAATGAGAAAGATCTCAGCCATCGTGGGAGAATTTTTCGAATTCACACTGCTGGACAGAGTGGGCGAACCGGAATACACCCCATCTATTTCCTACAGGTGTGCTTTAGAAGCACCTGTACCCTCTCGATGATTGTCAACGTCCTCTGGCCTTTTGTCCCCGCTGCGATTGCTATTCACTTTGCCCGCCCAGCTCTTCATGTTTGGATATTTGTCTTGAATTACATCGCTATAGTTCCTTCTGCGAATTTGCTAGGCTTCGCCGGTGGTGAGCTTGCGAAGAAGCTACCCAAGGTTTTTGGTATCTTGGTGGAAACAACCCTAAGCTCAGTTGTAGAGATCGTCCTCTTTATGGTGCTGATTCATAACGATACAAATGGGAATCTCATTCCCGTCATTCAGGCTGCTATCCTGGGTTCAATTCTAGCCAACCTTCTGCTCTGTTTGGGTCTGTGCTTCTTCTTTGGTGGCCTCGGACGTGAAAACCAAGAGTTTCATGAAGCTGTCAGTGAAGTCGGCTCTGGTATATTACTGGTCGCAGGGTTTGGCCTGTTGATTCCCAGTGCCTTCTATGCGACTCTGAGTAGTAGGGTGGGATCAACCAGTTCTACCGTGAACCTTACAGAGGCAGAATTGTCCCATTCAGCATTGGTGATTAGCAGAGCTACTGCGATCATTCTTCTCGTCGCCTTCTTGATGTAAGTCTACATTCCCTGCAGCAACGGTTCAATCGGGAGAGTCGTTTCGCTCACCTCTCATCTAGGTTTCTGTTCTACAATCTTCATAGCCACCACACGATATTCGATGAGGTTCTAGAGCTCGATGAGCACCGGGATGAGGATCGTGATAAAGAGGAGAAGCGAGCCAAACTCACGCTGGTCGAGTGTCTTGTAGCTATCGCTATAGCCCTCACCTGCGTCTGCATGTCAGCCGTCTTCCTGGTTCAAGAAATTGAGCATATTGTGCATGAACAACACGTCTCAGATAATTTTATGGGTCTGATTCTTGTACCCGTGGTTGAAAAGGCAGCAGAGCACTTGACTGCAATTGATGAAGCCTGGTAAGTTTAGCATTGGGGGGGGTTTCTCTGATCAGAAAAATAGTATAAGCTGGGGAATATTTGCTGATGCTTCCTCATTCTAGGGATAACCAAATGAACTTTGCGCTTTTTCACTGCCTAGGCCCATCTATCCAGACTGCTCTCTTGAATGCGCCTCTTGCTGTCATTGTAGGCTGGTGTCTTTCTAAGGATGTCAGTCTGAACTTCGAGATCTTCATGATCGTTCTGGTGGTGCTCTCCATTCTAGTTGTCGGCAATTTCCTCCGGGATGGTAAGTCCAACTACCTTGAGGGAGGTCTCTGTGTCTTGGTCTATGTGATCATTGCCGTCGCCACCTGGTACTTCCCTCAATTGAGTGGAGGTGAATCATCTTCCTCTAGTCAGGAGGCCGAAGTGGCGGTCGCAGCTCATCGGTTTTAGCCTGCGTTCTATGTATGTGTTTTGGTGTGTTCTCCGAGAGAAGCGAGTTTTTTTTTCCTTTTGAGTCACTACAGGATCTGATCTTTGGGCGCAATATATTCCTATCACAAATTAGCAAATTATAGCGATGATAATTATAGCATAGCAATTAGACTAGATCAGTGTTGTTTAGAAGATGAGACAGATTTGGGTAAGACGCAGTCCCCATTAAAGCTCGTCAACACGTCCACCTACTACGTACTCCAGGTTGAAGCAGCATAATATCGATTTGAACCGGGGAATTCTCAACTAGAGGTTTCTTTCCAGCAATTGTTTCGGAAAATCGCGGTTGCGCAATATTGAGCTTGCCAAGGGGACCCCGTGCATATCGAGAAGATCAAAGGATGAATCTCTCAAACTTTGTCCCTCACCTTTCTCTTTATGTACACCAAGCAACCTCGAGAAGTCCGAGGCCATAATAAAAACTATGGAATCCGCACAAGATCCAGCACAAGTCCTTATGACCGCCCTTAAAGAAAGGAACATTCCAGCTAAGCGCGATGAGATCACGGCAGCTTTTTACACCGACCCCAACAACGCCAAGAATGCAGAATGGGTGAAGGAGCATCTTGACTCGAACACGCTGCTGTCGTACGAGGAGCTTTCACTGTGAGCCTTCCTTCCTTGCTTTCCTAAACGCCTAGTGTAGATGTATGCTAGGTTGAACAAAAGGCTAACTTAGCGAATTCCCTCCCAGATACTCTAAGCTTGAAAGCTCTGGTGCTCTGGCTCGTATCCTCCCCCGCGCGGATCTCGATGCAACGCGACCATTTCTGGACGAAGACATACAAAAAGCGATTGACTCTCTGAATGCGTCGACGGCAGAAATCCAAAGACAAACGGATATTTTAACTTCACAATACGATATTCTGAATCGACGGCTCAAACGGGACGAGGAACGGGAGTCAAGACAGAATCGGGAGGCTGAACGCCTACGGCGGAAACATGAAGCAGAGAGACAAAATACGGCCGCTGCGGTATGGCTTTCTCTCATGGCTGCACTTGTTTGGGTACAATGCTAAGAATGTGCATATAGTCAAGCGATTTGGCCCATGAATTGGAGATCAACCTGAAAAATGAATGCGAAAAATCCACGATGGATGGGAAGGGGATATTGTCCACTTTGACGACGCGGTTGAAAGATAACGACAAGATCCTCGCAGATATGGAGAGGCTTGCGGCAGGAGTAAAGTCCTCTGATAATGATGCTTCGATTGTGAAGCGAACATCCGAATTGAGTGCGACTCTTGCCCAATATGTCGCGGAAGAGATATACTACCGACTTGACCGACTATATCTTGAGAAGGCCCTAGACAGTCGCCAGGCCACCTCGGATGCATTAACAGACCAGGAGAATGATGCGATTTCTGGTCTTGAGGTAGAACTAGAATCTCTTTACCCAGAGATTGATGTTTTGGCTGAGATGTCCACGCAACAACAATTCGTTGAGCCTATCCTCAGGGAGCTCCAGAATCACCATGGTCAACTGCGCATTGCCTCCCATCAGAAGCTAGACTATGTAGGTTCCCCACCGGGTCTTCTTTTGACCTTGTCACTGATTTTGGAGGCAGATTTTGGAGGCGGTAACAGACATGACAGCTTCAACGGAAAGCCTTACTACGATTTTACAGGACCGTGAATCATTCTGTGCTGCTTTTGAAGCCTTTGTTTCTGCCTATCGATCGGAAATCGGCGATCAGACTCTGGAGTCGACAGCTTCACGCCGGGAGACCATGAGAAGATATTCTACCCAACAATTACTTGCGGCGCCCCAGGGCGGGAAGCGGGCTGGCCCCTTCCCTGAATCCGAGGCTCTAAGCAACGTCTTACGCCGTATAGGCCTGTCGCTTGAGGCTGTATTTCAGTCCGAAGAAAGCGACGGGGGTGTCAGCACTCTCCGCCAGGAACGGCAACACATGCTAGATGGGTTACGGAGTTATGGTATTGCCAGTGATTCGCCGCTAGTGGCTGAGTTACTTCCAACAGACAAGGCAACCCGACTTCTTACCTCCTCCTTGGAGGCAGATTCTCAGTTTACGACCTCACTCTCAAGTGTGGAGCACGAGAAGAGCCTCGTAGAGCTCGAGTCCAAGTTGAGCCGCATCCAGAAAGGGATCGAAAGGCTTAACCACGACACTGTCTATCAACGGGACAAAGCCCGAGAGAAGTTTCTAGAGAAGTGGGGATAGGAATCAAGGGCTGTATACCGCGTCTTGACTTCATGTTTTTGAATCAAATCGCTAGGGATATCTTGCCAATTCTGCCTTGCACTCCCCAAAAACGTATTGAGTGGCTAGTATGATCCGTTTAGTTACTCTGCTATGCAATATGACAGCCCGACCATCCACTCTAGCACTAAGGAAAGTATTGTGATGCCTGATCTGAGTGAAGGTATTGAGACACATAGCTCTCCATGCTGTACGAGACCAACAAGAAGAAACCTCATGTCTGATTCGATAGATGGGGCTGGTGCCACCAAGCGGCTTGATGGTGGCCAAGCAATTTTATTATAATACTTGGTGACGATGTAGCTCTGGGAAGGAATGAATTCTTTAATATCCAAGCTCTATTCTGTCTGTTTCTTATGAATTAGTTGTTTCCCTGCTAGCAATGGGATTTTCTGAGAGGCTGTTGTGAGCGAAATATAGACAGTTATAAAAGATATCACAATGTATATACAGTACACTCTACAGTACGATTATTTATTTATTTCCCATCCAAAGTCAATATACTTACTAAAAGGCATTTGACATACAAGACTGTGGCAATCTCGGGTTCCATCACATTAGTATATATACTATATAGTTAAGAGGTTTCCATCCAACAAAGGCCCCGAAATCTTCTGGAATCTTCAACAAGGCAATCTACACAGCCACAGCCTCACCAGATCCATCCAACTCTTGCTTTGTTAACGTTCACCCAAGTCCAATAAATATAAGCACCTAAGTATACTACTAACTACCTAGGAGGAACTTTCCCCTCCAATCATCTACAGTATTCTACATCCTCACATTTCTTTCCGTGCCTTTGTCCCTGCATTATTGTTAGAGACGATCTTTATATTCCACATTCACCCATTGTTGTTCATACGCCTCCTTCCTCTCTCTCCCCCCCCCCCCCCCAATCTCTTTTGTATGTCACATGTCTCTTTATTCCCGAGACCATACACATACCCACACACACCCACACCCACACCCATACACACACATATACACACACTCTCTCTCTCTCTTTGTTAATGCCCAGCTGACTCGCGCTTCTACACAATAACTTCACCCTACACTAGAGCAACTAATACAATACAAATGTGACTAAACTCATTCTACAAGCAGCCATGCATCATCATCCCTCCAGAGCATATGGCCCCATCTAGCTATCTGTGATCGTTCATGCGTCCTGTCCAGGAGGTAAATGAATAGAGCTGCTGAGCTAGGGGAGGTTGGTAGGTCATTCTTGAAGTTTCTTGTTAGAAGTAGAAGTGGTGGCTTGAAAGGGTAGTTAGTTAGTGGGTAGACAATGTAGGATGATAGAGCTAAGGCCTTTTTTTTTTTTCTTTTATTCTTTTATTCTTTTATTCTACTTGGTGTTCTTCCTTCCAGATAGTAAGTGGTATTGTATAGGTATGCACGAGGAGGTCTACCTAGGTAGGTTGTAGTGGTTGGGTGGGATATCCGATGAGGTCAGGCCGGTACCCGCCAGGTTTTTTTTTTATTTTCTTTTTTATTTTTTTCTGGTAAGGTAGAATCCAACTTGGATTGTCACTGGGAATTTCGCGTGCTCAAAAGAAGGAGGGAGAGGGGGGGGGGGTGTTGGAAGGGTTCTTTTCTTTCTCTCTCTCATTCCTACCACTATACAGGGTTGGTTTATAAAATGGGTAGGCATCCTCTTTGTATCTTTCAACATCCTTAGGAATCTTTGTTTGGCTTTGAAGTGAAGCAAGCCTTCAAGGAATTTGTATTGTCTTTCTTTCTGCTTCTTGTTCTCCCGGCTCCACAACGTTGTTGAGAGCCCTGAAAGAAAAGTTTCAGGTTCTTACAGCGCCTCTATACAGATTCCCCATCAGGCGCTTTGGACCCATGACTTCGACCACATGTTCTTCATTCATGATATATTTCACTGGGGATTCTCCGTCACCACAAGTCAAATAGATCAAGGGATTCTTCATTTTTGTTAGCTTCTATTATGTGGAGTCTTTGTTTCCTTTTGTTGTTAGCCCTTTGTTCGAGTATTGCACGCTTTCGAAAGAGAAAGAAGAGACAGAGAGGAAGTGTTTCATATTCGACCTGGACAAGCACCTGGATTTGTCATATATTTAAACTCGAGGCCCATCCCACCTACCGAGACTGTTCGTGTGCTTATCAGATATCCTATCCTTCCTTGCCATCGTGTGGACTTGACCGATCCTGCGACACTTCACGAAGTTGCGAGATAAAGGGTGCTCTGACTTTTCGAGACCTACACGAACGTATTTTCAATGGAGATTCGAAGGAGAAAGATTATTCGCCGATATGTGTACGGTGGCATGCGGACAACATGCAAGCGTAACGATACTCAAGAGCAAGACGAATTGTACCACCCACGGTATGTGTTGCCCAGGGATTCCGAGGAGCTGGACTCGCCGACATACCGCATGATCGAGACAAGGGAGCCCTTGAGCTCAAGGAGGAGCTTGAGTAACCTGTGGAGGCTGCGATCATCGCCAACTCGGAGTCAACCGTTCAGAATGTACTTGCCATTCATGAGACAGGCGACAGTGTCCGAAGAGGACATGGACATCACTGAGCGGGAGCCAAGAGGCCGCCGGGCATCTCCACGTTTGTTTGTGGTAGATTCTCCTGGCGAGATACGACATGTTTGGCCCCGGAGTGAGAGAACGCGGTCGCCCTCCCCACGGATTCGCTCCATTTCTCCACGGTCAAGATCTCTCAGCTTCCACAGAGACACAGCGATAACCATGGAAGATGCAAGAGAGCCGCGTTCATTAGAGCGACCAAAAGGTCCTAGACCGCCACGGGAGCGGACACCGGTTGTTGAGCGTGAGCCAATCCGGCGGAAACCACGCCAAAGCCCAGCGCGGACCGCGGAGGTTCGCCAGTCTCCAAACCGCAGTAGGGAGCGCAGCAGGAGCTCGGGTCGACAAGTTCGCTTTTCACAGGAGGTCGAGTATGAAGAAAGTAGAAACCGACCGCGTGGGCGACATGGGATTCGCCAGCCCGACAGTCGTGAAGTTCAAGGGCAAATACGCCGTGATATTTTCGGTCGAACAACGGCGGCCACCTCCGATATCAGTGACAGGGCGAGTCTTCGGTCATTATCGCCAAGCAGGACAGCATACTGGAGAGCCAGGTCTCCATGGCCTAGCCGACTAGCAGATACCGACAGAGCAAATAAACATAGCAGCCGTAGATCAGAGAACGTTCGACCGCGCGCGAGAATCATCCGGGACGGAAACCGTGAACTTTCAGAAGCAGAGGAGCGCATTCATGCCGCGGCTCGGAGACGAGGAAGCCGGGGAAACTTTCTTTACAACTTTGTGACACACTCTCGTTCGCGGCAGAAGCGTCGAGCAAACCATGCCCGGGGGTTCATCTCTGAAGATGAAATTACGCTCCGCCGAAGACGGTTTCGACGATATAGCTGTCGCTGCTGATAAAAGCAAACCCAAGCTCTATTGCTTTAGCGGGCTCTCCCATTGTAGATTGCATTTCATTTGTTTCATTTGCTTCGTTTGTCTTCTTTTCTCATTTCTCTAGAAGTCTTTCATTCATAGAATTTCTTTGGTCCTTGTTTTAGTTGGATGGTGGGATGGAAAGGTGTGTCTTGTCTGGTTGGAGTCTTGACATTAATTTCGGGCTATATCTGTCAAAATGGCACGAATAACGTGATCTGGTATCTAAACAGGTGTTCAATAATCAATCCCTTTTAGTTAGTAAACTCAAGCAATGAAAGATTGTGGTTGTGTAGTCATGGGTTCTAAAGACATGGAGGTAGATTCCAGAGAGTGGAAGAGAGAAGGATAGAATGAGGCCTGGGAGCTTGGCTGAAAGAAGCGTCGGGCGAAAGAATGCCCGATCAACCACTTCGACTCGAGTTCAAGTCATCAGATTACTTGCTTGTCTTCAGCATCATCCACCATGACCTTGGTAAAATGAGGTGGTGTCGGTGGTTTGATTCTATTAGGCTGTTCCAGCATATCTGTCTCCTACAAAAGGGTTTCTCCGTTTCTTGAAAGACATCTCTCGACCAGGTGCTCCTATATAGCCCAACTGTGGGTATTGTTCAATGAAAATCCGTGGATGGGAGCGCTAACAAGATTCGATTCTATTAGTTTGCCTAATATATCAGCTACCTACCGACGAAATTCTGTACTTTGATGAATTGGATCCTTTAGTCCCTTCTTCACCCGCGGTTAATTTGCTTATCGTTCCCTCCCCGCTTAAATTTCTCAGTCTCCCATCGCTTCTCGCTTCTTCTTCCTCTTTTCATCCCCTGTCTATCGGTGTGCGAGACATTTTTAACTCGCTCGGGTTTAGACTGTACGGGAAAAATATATTCATACTCAGGGCATAGTCCGACCATGCCCCTCTCACCCAAGAGGCCTCTATCCACCTATAGGTATAGGTGTGCGTTTCGCATCATTAGCTTTACTCTGCCGATTGGTTGCTACTTTTCGCAATGAACGGTGGGGAGGCCGTGGATAGACCTCAGGACCTGCCTGAAAATGCGGATACCCAACAGGCATCGGGGTTAGTTCCCCCCCCCAAGGATGCGGAACTCGACCCCAGCATCGACTTCACAACCGACGTATTTGACGTTTCTCCCGATACGGCTCTGGAACTCTTGTGCGTCACCATTGATAAACTTGCAGCGCAGAGGCGGAGTTCCCAAGGACCTGGTGCTCTCCGCGGAGACAGAGGGGGAGACGGCATATCGAGTGGGGAGGAAACACCGACGAGAATTACGGAATTGCATTTCACGCCAGCAAGCGACGATGACCTAGGTCGCGATGTGATGCAACAGTCTGTCCTGACCAAGAGATTTCTCTCCAAGCGAGAACCACCCATACCCATTAAAGAGTACTTGCTGCGGCTCCATCGCTACTGTCCGATGTCTACCGCCGTCTATCTTGCTGCAAGCCTGTATCTCACCAGAATGGCTGGCATTGATGGAATTATATCCGTAAACCGGAAGAACATGCATCGTCTCGTACTCGCCAGCCTGCGCGTGGCGATGAAGACACTGGAGGATCTCAGCTATTCCCATAGTCGGGTTGCCAAAGTTGGAGGAGTGACCGAACGGGAGCTGTCGAGGCTGGAGATCAGCTTCTGCTTTCTCGCAGATTTTGAGTTACGTGTGGACAATCAGATGCTCGTCGACCAAGCCAGGCTTTTGCAATGGAACATAGCTCTAGGGGGTAAGTCCAATCAGAGCCAGACCTAAGAACACACTACCCAGGATCAGCGTGTTCGATGAATTGGTAAAAGAAACTCGTTGGAGCTCCACATTTGGAGATTTTTCGCGTCCGAATAGTGCGCTCATTGCTCCTCCTCCTCCTCCTCATGTTTTTGTACTGTCGGATTATTTTTTGGATACCTCTCTGTATTTCGATGCACATTAATTCTTCACCCCGAAAATGATTTGCTGTTGTGGTATACCTACGAAAACAACGCGGCTGCCTAAAGATTTGTCCAGTCGCCAAACTCGGTTCGTGTTCAATCCGCTCAGTAATGAGATGATATCTTCTTGCCCACACGAGCGTCCGAAACAGGCGCAGTAGATCTCTTGAAAGAATTAAATTTAGATTATAAAGCTCTTCATTGGCAGATTCACTAGTTCCCGAGGCGCAATTGATGATGGAGAAGTGTCTGGGTGGCTGTACCTAGGTAGCGTGTCCGACTGCTCCGATTGTCAAGCAACGTAATTGATCGATCAGTTTTGCCTGGCTTTTCAACACTTTGTCAGGTTCAGGCATTGGTCTTTTTTTCTTCTCCCCTTTTTACTCTCCTTTTATATTTCCTCTGATTGTCGCAACCGTTGGGTCTTAGCATTGTTGCATTTAAAATTGGGTTGTTCCTGAACTCTCCGCCATGTTTCTTTAGTTAGGCTCTGTCGTCTGCTTAGTTACCGCCGAACGTTCCTCCGCCCCGTATTTGCATCGCTGCCACGCCTCTGCTTTCTCTTTCTTCGCCCTCATCTTCATCCAGGAGACTATTTTAAACCCGCGATCGTCTCTCCCCTCGAAGCATTCCCCCCAGACCGGAGACGAACATGTCCTCTGGGGTTTCAGCGACGGGGCCCCAGGCCGGTAGCAGTGCTACCTCTGCTGGCCTAGGCTCGAGTCCGCCTTCTGCACCCAGTGGTAAAAGCGCCGCTACACCTCCGAAAATTGCTCACGAAGACGTGTCAGTCGAAATGAAGACTTTGAAACCGGAGCGCAGTCCAGTCAAGGGTTCAATTCCGCTAGGAGAAGATATCATGCAGATTGCCCGAATAGGGGAGATCCCAGTCATGCAGAAGATGTTTGACGACAAAAAGTTTACGGCCAACCACAGAGATGAGGAAGGAATTACTCCATTGCACGTGTGTATCACCTTTCTTAAGGGAAGGAGAGAAGTGAGCAATGAGTGCTGACTTGATTATTCTTATTTCTAGTGGGCCGCGATCAACAACCAGTATGCGATGTGCAAGTTCCTGATAGATAACGGAGCCGACGTGAACGCCAAAGGAGGAGAGTCAGTTGCTACTCCCGCGATGTGGGCGGCTCAACGATGCCATTATTATATCGTCCACCTACTACTCCGGAACGGCGCCGACCCCCTTCTTACTGACGTCCAAGGGTATAATATCCTTCATCTGGCTACGATCGATGGAAATGCGTTCCTGCTTGTGCTCCTCCTACACCAAGAAATCCCGGTGGACGTTACCGACCAGCAGGGCCACACAGGTCTGATGTGGGCGGCTTACAAAGGGTATCCCGCTTGCGTGGACTTATTCCTGCGATGGGGTGCGAACGTAAACGCCGTCGATGATGGTGGACTCACACCTCTCCATTGGGCTTTAGTTAAGGGGTCGTTACCGTGTGTTCAAAAAATTCTTGAATACGGTGCAGATCGGTCTGCGAAGACAAGGGAGGGCAAAACAGCCGCTGCGGTAGCGCAGGAGATGAACACAACTCATGTCTGGTACCGTGCCCTGAATGAATGTGGCTACGGCTTCGATGGAAACAAGAAGGTTCTGCCCATGGGCTTGACTTCCTGGGTGCGAGACAAGAACATCATGTCCAAATATTTCTTTCTATGGCCTTTCTTTTTGATCTTTGTGGTGCTATGGATCCTCAGCAACTTGGTGATATATGCCGCTATTCCGCTAGCGATTGTGGCGGTGTTTGGGTTGCAGTGGGTAGCCCAGAAGGCTGCGAGTCAAGGTCCATCGGAGTATAGGGTACTGCAGAAAACGGTCTGTTCGACTCATGCAGCGGTTTTCCCTAATAGTTTTGCTGATGAACCGATTTTTAGCCCTTCTTGTCCGGTGTTTTTGCAGGTTCACTATTTTGGGTATTTATCAGATATCTACTTTACGTGCTTCCAGGTACGTTTTTGATATATCTTCCCGAAATCGGATGCTGATTTCTCAATTTAGCAACATATTCCTCGTCTCCTATCCTGAATATTAGCTTCGCGGTTCTCTTCTCCCTAACGACCTACTTTTATTTCTTCGCGATGGTCACGGATCCTGGATACGTGCCGAAACTTGGAAGTAGAAACCAACAAAGAACTGTGATTGCGGAGCTGTTTGAGCAGTGGAAATTCGACGAGGAGAACTTTTGTGTTTATTGCATGGTCCGGAAGCCACTTCGCAGCAAGCATTGCCGACGCTGTGTCCGATGTGTTTCGAAGCACGACCAGTAAGTTCCCTTTACACAGCTGAATGTCATGAGACTAAGTGATTTAGTCATTGTCCCTGGATCGACAATTGTGTTGGTGCGAATAACTTACGCCATTTCGTTCTGTACATTATCTGCTTGGAAATCAGTATTATTCTATTTTTACGCTTAACCTTTAATTGTGAGTACCATCAACTCTTAAAATGCGATTTTGGCTCCTGACCGAGACGATCAGATATCAATATTTTGCCTGCCCCGGCTGAACCGAAATGCAACATCTTGAATGATCAGATCTGTGATTTCGTCCTTCGCGACACCTTTACCCTACTTCTTAATTTTTGGGCCTCTATCCAGCTGGTCTGGGTTACCATGCTTTGCGCCGTCCAATTGGTTCAAATATCACGGAACCAGACCACGTACGAGAACATGCGAGGGCATTCCATTGATCGAAGCTACCCTAGCTCGCGTGCTTTTGCCTCTGCTGTCGCTGCGGGAACAACCTCTCTTGATGCGGCGGGTCTCTCGGCTTCCGGCCAGGGTCCAAATCCGGCGTTACCTCACGGTGGCCACTCGCACGGGCGGAGGAAAGGCTGCCTGAAACAGTGGTCATCTCTTCTTGGTATCGATGCATTCTTCGCAACGGCGCGGGACGGGTTACGGGACGGCCCACGGGCTGCGCGACCCAAAAACCCATTCTCACGCGGCGTTGTTACGAATTGTCGGGATTTCTGGTGTGATTCAGCACCATTGTTTGGAAAACGAGAGCCCGGGTCTGCCATGCTTGGTGGTGAAGTCGTCAACTACCACCGGATGTACGAGACTCCATTGAGAATTCACAGCGGCGGTGGGTATAGGAGCGTGGCAAACGACGAAGAGATGGTTTGAGTTATGGTTTCTCTGATAATAGATTTTGGTTTGGTGTGGTTTTTTTTTTTTTTTGTTTTACCATTTTTTGGGCTGGTCTTCGAGTGCGATATAATGGAATATCGGGTGAAGCTCGATTTATGTCCGGTTTAGTTACGACTAGTTCTCCTGTATAATGTTTGCATACCGAGCTACCTTGGTTGTTCAGTAGATATTATTTAGCATTAACATAATTTGAATGTGAGATATGTTGGGTGAATGTATTCAAATCTCAGTGTCCCCAGATGAAGTCCTACATGAATAAAATAAAGCTAACGACCAGCACGGATTTAGAGTACATATGTACTTGTACTACAGGTAGGCTGCTGCTGCTGCTGCCCCTAAGTAGCCAGGTAGCTGCGTACTAAACAGGACAAAAGTCAGTGCATCCACGCATGCATGCATGCATGCCAATATTCTAGAATCCAACCACAAACAAAAGGATGCAGGAGAGAAGCAAGTAGGACGATATTGGTGCCTGTTCCTGATCCGACAACTAGGTAAGGTAGATATACTTTCCTACTATAGATCACTGCTTTGCTGCTCGTTGCAGTTACATCTGACTGACTACCCAAGTCAGCATCTGAAGTCTCAAGGTAGGCAGCGTCCGTATACCAAAGCTAGCGAACTAAAACTACTAATTTAACAGTGGTTAAGTGAGATGGATGAGTAGTGCTATATTCTGGTATATATATATATGTATGTATGTATGTATGTATATACCTGGGATGGGATTTGAAAGATCCGATATCGCTATTACGGCAGCTGGAGGATAACGGTATTACCATTGTGGTATTTTCATTTCAATTCTCACTCTTCCTGGCCTGCACAGGGCTAGTTTTATTTTGCTACTACTACTCCATACCTAACGTACTACCAGCAACCAATGAGAGAGAGAGAGAGAGAGAGAGAGAGAGAGAGAGAGAGAGTACAGACTTACTTCTGAAGACCTCTCTCTCCCGCTCTCTCTACTCAGCCGTAGTTATAGCAGCACTACGTATATGGTACAGTACGTACTCGACATACCGAGTCCAATATAAGATGAGACGGACCACACTACATAACTACCGCTAGTCCTACTCCAGTCGCAGGCCGTAATGCAAGTAAGTGTAGTTGTGCTCCCCGTATTATCGTAAGTAATAGTTAGTTAGATAACTAACTACTACTAAGTGACGTGTTTCCCTAGTCGCTTTAGTCACAGCATCCATCCACACTTGGAAACTAGTACTATGTACTACTGTGCAGAGCAGCACTAGTAGGATTCGGATTCCTAGGACCCAAACCAGCCAAGACGTGGAAACACGGAAACCACCCGTGGATATGTGGATGATAATCTAGCTCTGGACTCTCAACCAGGGCTTCCTTTTTTACGTAGTGTATGTACGCTGGAGTGCCGTTGGGATCCCATACGAGTAACTGAACTGCTCCGTAGAGAGGACTGGTTCTGATTGATTAGGGTAAGGGTACGAGGACTATTATCCACCTATCTCGGAAGCACGTGGAGGTTGTACTGACTTCCAGTGATCCGAGAACATTTCCTTCTGCTGCGTGTTGTGTTGTGCTACTACATGGTCGTAGGAGCAGGAGTAGTTTCAAGTCTCCATAGAGTTTACTGTAGGAGAGTACCGAGCGAGGTAGGACCTGCCGTCGCCGGGCTAGTTACTAGTAGTTACTAGTAACTAGTCAGTACTCCGTATGGTCTGACTGATTACTTTACTCCTGAGAACTGAAGCAGCCCAGCCTCTCGACATTGTTGACTGACGAACTTAATGTTCTAAAGAAGGGGCCGTAACAGGATTTAATTTCCTAAGGGCTTGGTATTGTGGAGCCTGCCAAATTATCAATCAATAATCAATCAGTTACTTAATCAATCTGATAATCTGTCCCGCTTTCTCCGAGTTGAGTCCAAAGGATTCATTCTCGGTAAAACAGTCATTCGGTGGGTAGATACTGTCGGAAAGGGAAAATCTGAATACTTAGGACATAACCATATACTGTATATATATATATATATGTATGCATATGTGCTCGTACTAATTATGGTACCAACTACCAGGTAAGGCACTCTTGGTAGACTGCAGATCCAACCAACAAAGTACATACCTACTACCTACATAGGTACAGTAGTACTGTGGACCTTGTACATGTAGTGTATGTACCTGTATTGAAAATTGCAAAGCAAAGAAAAGACCAAAAAAAAAACTCTTCTCATCTTGGCATCTACTCCAAGAACAAAATGAACGAAAAAAAAAAAAAAAAGAAAGAAAAAGGAAAGAAAAATCGGAAAGACGGATGGATGGATGGATATCAATCGCAGGCGGAACAAGTGTGGGATGGCGCCATCAGATAACGAGTGAAAATTTTTATCTGATCAGATTATCAGAGACACCCAAACACGCTATTTTTTTCCCACCTACCGACCTACCTACCTTACCTACGTAGGACTCCGTATTGATGGATTGATGGATACTGTTTTGTCTCTCTCAGGAGACTATTGGCGAACTGTTGATTAGTGAGTGCCATTTTATGTTCCGGTAATTTCTTTTCTCGGGGTCCATACGAATCATCGCTTCACTGATGGGTAACTACTCCGTAGGATCTTCATCAGCAACAGCCCGTTTCGATATTGTCCTTGGCGTATGCATGGTATTTGGGCGCTGGAATCCTGGTGGGTGGGTCGGGCCGGCTAATAAATCATGGTCTGCAGAAGTGAGCAAGAGTAATACCGAGTAGGTACGTACGTTTCTTTCCCGAAAAAAAAAAAAAAAAAAAAAGGCTGGATGAAATAAAGAAATCATTATAGGAGTGAATAAACTAAGTCTGCACATTTCTCGGCCTCGTCTATCAAAATGGAATCAATCAAATCGCACGCGCATAGGGGGGTAAATAGTATAGGAACCATATGGAGTAGGTATATATGACAGAATAACAAGAAAAAAATATAAACATCCCGACCAATAAATAAAAAACAAGAAAAAAAAAAAAATACAGAGAGTACGAAATATTCCCCTGGCTAGTTTTAGGTCTTTCTCTCTCTCTCTCTCTCTCCATTCCCCGGTGGGTGTATCCAGCGCAATCATTACTACTATGTTAGAGCATTAACCAAGCGGGGGCCTCGATCCAGCCTTTTATTTTTCTCTCTCTTTTTTTTTTTTCCCACTTTGGTATTTCTCTTACAGCATAGCACGGAATCTGGTGTCCGGCACCGCCGCGCTTTCCAGCTGTTCTCCAAAGATCGATTCCACCATCTCTCCACCTCGCGCGGCCAAAACGGAAAGTAGACTGTCGCTTAGTCCATGTGTCTGCTCATTGCAACCTTGCAACCAGATTCCGGCCTCCGAGCTGACCTTGCTCCGGTCCATTTCAACCTGGTAGGTTCGGGTCGGGGTCCACCGATCCTGCCCCGCCGGTCGCAGGTGCTGCACCTGGCTGAGAAGCTGCTCGTGGGCGTTGCGGAAGTAGCCTGTCGCCACCATGAGCGCATCCACCTCCAGAACCTCCTTGCCGTCGCCGACAATGCTGTCATTGCCCTCCTTCACGGCCTTGACATGAACCCGCATTCGGCTCTTGGGTCCATGATGTTCGATGCGGGTGATCTTGCGGCCGGGGAGGATACGGTGCTGCCATTGGGTCTCGTCAGGGTTCTTGACGCGCTGGAGATACATATCGTTGAAGATTTCCTCGATCAGTTCGAGTCGGACAACGCTGTAGTTCGTAGCTTTGTCAGCCTTGAGGGAACGCTGTCGTTCCTCGGTAGACATCCCGTAGAACTTGTCGACTCGCTCAGGGTTGAAGAGCTCATTCACGCTAGGGTTATCAGCTACCGTAAGAAAGGAAAAAAAAAAAGGGGGGGGGAGGGGGGATTGGATCCTGAAAAAGGAAACTTACAAAGGAGAGTCATCGCTAGGTCGCATAGCGGTATCCCTCATAATAAGAGTGGTTCGTGAGTTAGGGTAGCGTTTCTGGAGGTTCTGGAAGATCTCAGCGGCACTCTGGCCGCTTCCCAGGACGGCAATGTTGTAGGGTTCCTGAGTATCCTTGAGCAAGGCCGGTAGAGTCGTGCAGTACTTGGAGGAATGCATGATTCGGGGGTCCTGAGGTAGCTCTGCTGGGAGTTTCGCGGTTCCTCCAATTGCCACCACGACCTTGCGCGCATTTCGGGAGGTGACCTCGCCGGTTTCCACATTTCGGGATCGCACGGTGAAGTAGTCCACCACCGAGTTGCTCTGGTCCATCTTCCCCGGGACCACCTCGATGACCTCCTCTCCATAGGACACGATATCGGAGAATTGCTGTGCACACCACCGCATGTAGTCTTCAAACTCCAACCGAGCCGGGAGGAAGGTGCCCAGATTGGTGAAGTGGATCAGGCGGTCCTTCCGGTGAAGGTAATTGAGGAAGGTGAAGCTACTCCGGGGGTCACGGAGGGTCGCTAGATCTTTAATGAACGAAATCTGCATTTTCGCACCAGGAACCAGCATGCCAGAGTGCCATGCGAACTGTTTCTGGCGCTCCACGAAGCAAACCTTGGGCTGCCAGTCGGAAGTCGGGGCAGAGCTGTTCAGACGCGGATCCAGGGAATCGTGCAACGCAATTGCAATTGCTAGTGACGCAGGTCCAAACCCCACACAGAGGAGATCGTGAAGCTCATCCTGAGGAGTTGGTCTCAACCGCTGGGGGTCGCGCTGCTGTGTAAGAGGCATCTTGCGATAGCTCTGGAAGCCAATCTCCGGCTTCCGCTCCACGGGTTCCATTGAAGCAAAATATAAAAAAGAAAGTCTATAGGAGAGTATAAAAGATACACGAAGGGAAAAAGGATATAGCCTCGAGATCTAAAATTGAAGAGAAAATAAAAAATTGAAAAAAAAAAAAACCAGAGGGGATATTCTTGAGTTAAGATCTTTGGAGACAGATGAAGGGAACCAACCAGTTATATATGTCTAGGGAGGGAAGAAACGTCGAGGAACAGGGACGACTAGAGCTCGAAAATAATCCATGATTTAATAATGAAAAATAAATAAATTGAAAAATGAAAATTTCCAACCCGAAAACAAAACACCGACAGTACAAGAATAACGCAACGGATCCAGGTGGTGGTTCTTCTTCTGACAGCGGGCCGTGAATGGCGTACTTGATAGTCCATTGGTTCCACCAGCAGAGGGAAAATGACGAAAGATGGTTTAATACCATTATGATTATTCTGGTGGTTCGATGGGGAGAGTGAGGGTAGTAGGGAAAGTCTCTGATACCTGTTCAATCAGGGCTTTATGCATGGAGAAACTCGTACTAGTTACTATGGGCTTTTTAGACTCCTCCTCCTCCCACACCACTCGTAGTCACAAAGTATAAAACTGGCAAAATAAAGAATTCGGTTGATGACGTCCGTAGAGTTTCACTTTCAAAGGCATTGTGCCGAAGACACGCCACCAGAGAGAGAGAGAGAGCGAGAGCGAGAGAGATGCAGGTTCCACTGCCGTCGGTTTGAAGCGAAGATGGAGCTCATCTAGAAGACCAAGTGTTCAAGAATCCGCAGAAAAAGCCATCTGGAGGGGGAGATTTCGGCCAGAGCCCCGCAGTCTGAACAGTTTCCCCCCCCCCCTGCTCTTGCTTGACCTTTCTGGTCGGTGATACGTGCAGGTGGGATGATGGACGCTTAGATTAGATCCGCTCTCGCCCGATGTCGGGAAAAGAACGCTAAAGCTTTCGTGACTAACCAATGCAATTGCTCAGTGGTAGGCAATAATAATAATAATTGTGGAGACTGGGCTCACGGAGGGTATTCAGATGCTCAATGTGTGAGTGAGGTATTCTGGATGTAACTGGGCAGTCACTTACATGTCTAGAAATACACCACCGGAACCTCCTCGCTTGTGCCTCTTCTTTCTTCTTTCGGGTGGAGAGGAGGATATCGTCCAGGTTAGTTCAACGGACTGCTTCATAAATACCCACGTTCCCATGCCAGGCCTAATATGATGGGCAACGGCGGGGTAAACTCGTCCAGGCATGAAAGACGGGTTGACGGAGGGAAGAAGATGCGTCCCTGCTTTCTTCGATGCATAAGTGGAACTCAACCTTTTGATACTGGGATTCATTTGCTTTTGTCTCTTACCCTCTATTCTGCCCGGTTATATGTTTCATTTCCTAGTCCCAGGATGCCCGGCAGAGTGTTTCTTCACCTATCACCGAATCATAACTATGTACAGTGTGCACACTCTTACTCACATAGAGGCTAATCAAAGTTCTCCACTTTTAGGTATTTGCTTCATTCTCATCCTGAGCTTGGGTATTCCTACCTATTTCTGAGGGACGTGGTTTGGAGAAGGGATCTTGGTTTCATGGCTCTCTGGCTTTCTCTCCTCTATTACCACTGAGATCCCAGTCCCATTTACTGTGTTTCCTTTTGATTCCTCCCCAGGTTTGTTATTGAATTTATAATCTACTAACCCCTCAGACAAAAAAAAAAAGAGCTCTAGTGGGGAGATCTGAGACTTCGAGATACCAGCCAGAATTAGGAAAAAGAATAAGATAGACAGTTTACCCTGAGAATTTAAGCAGGTGTGATACTCGATAGTTTCGCCCAGGTTAATACCAAGCCATCACTTTCCGTATACGGATAAAGGTGCAGAGTGAAATAGAATATTTGGAGATAGAAGGGAAAGAAACCCACTCAGTAACCTCCCATTTTGATGGTCATCTTACTCACTGCCTCGTCTTCTCGCTATTCATTCAGTCCGTAGAACGGATGCTCAGCGTTTTCAGGTGGGTTCTGCCTACGCTGTACAGAGTACCTACTGAGGGTTAGGAGCTAAGGCTGCATCTTGCATCTTAGCCAACCAAGATGCAGACATTTATAATCAGATCGAAGCAAACGCCCTGCCTGCTGCTCGGGAAAATCAATTGACGAGGGGTAAGGCATGCGAGGATAAACTTAGATCTCAGCAGCGTCAGGGCTGCCCCATCAAACGTGCCTTGAATCGGCCACATCGGGTCTCTCTACGGAACCCAAAGAGAACTTTATCGCGGATAGTACAACTGGTTCAGTTTGCAGATAACATTCTTCGCACCTATAGGAATGAGATCGGATTTCAAGGTTTTTGCCGAAGCAATGAACTCGACATAGGACCTCATATATCACGCCTAGCATGAGGGTATATCGCACCCTGGCCCATGAAGCAAAAATCATGATTGCTCTACCCACATCTGCAATACATGGATGAAGGCTGTACCCCAGTTTTGAAGTCTGCTCCTTTAAAGGGGGAAGACTATAGCAGGATACCCTTACTACTTGCAGGTTGGATCTTAGGATCGTGTCCATGAGCGTATGTCAAAAGAATACAATATTCCGAAGAACTTATTACATATTGCTTGATTCTCCTTGACTATCGACCCTTTGAGGCCATGGCCATACTGTATAGGTTTTGAGCTAGATAAATAAATGTCAAGTCCTTGATTGAGTGTCGTTCACTGACTCTAGATCTTGCTTGCAGCTGGTTGAAAGACATCCCCCTAATATTCCTCCTAGTATGGATATCAATTTGCCATAATCATAAGTAGCGAGTGGGCAGCATTTAGAGAGAGTTTTGTGCTTCTTGAGAAGCCTCTACAAACCATGAGTTAGGAACAAGTACATTTTGCATCAAAAACTACGTTGAAAACTCTTCCTGGTCTCACTTCTACCAGCGATGATCCTGACAGACTACTACAAAACCACACATGTCTAGAATTACGATCATCAAAGCCATCTCACGACTTCTAGGGAATAATAGGTAGAGCCACGGAATTCCTATATATTCTCACCCCTCTCCTGCCTTCGAGTCAATCCTCACTACAAATGCCTCATGCCGTCCATCTTGAGAGCCTTTTTCATCACGTTAGCCCTTGCTGCGAGAAGTCTTTGTTTTTTGCTTTGTGCCTGCAGACTATTATGTGACTTGAGTTCGGTTCAGTATTTGGCTTGACATATTCATCCGCGAGTTCTGGCAGGACTAGAGAATCAACCAGAAGTGTCCCAGCAGTGGTATTCCCTTGCTTCCTGTCATGAATGACATATTCAAGCCTACTGGAATCAAGAAGAAACATGAAGCTCTTGATTGAACGACTGTTTGCCATCCGTGTGGTTTGCTTAGTTACTTTTTCGACTCAGACTCACACAAGAACTTTCAACTGCCTGCCACTCGTATACAAGCAGTCAAGTTCCTTCCGGTCATTTCCTCTTAATTTTTTTTGTTCTGGATACGGAGGGAAACGGGGGGTACCTTAGCCGCTGCTTATTCCAAGTCAATGCCAGCAACAACCTTGGAAGATTATCCATCCATCCTTCTTAGGGTTATCATCCTGCAAGGGTTCACGATATTCGAAAATGCTGCTTGCCGGTCTACATAGTTAGTTACGACTTTCGGCACATTAGGTAACCCAATGCAAATCGCAGAAGACATTCATTCTCCCCACCAATCAACCCAGATCCCAGATAGGATAGTGGCACCGTTGTATCGGCCACAAAACCGGATTCCAGCTGGGTAAATAGATTCCAATCCCGTGCAGGAGGGTGCAACTCAACCCCAGCCACTTCTTCGGTAGGGTGACCTGTCATATCCAGCCGACAGCCGACAGTCTTCCTAGGAGATTAGATTCCGGCATCTACTTCCTCTGTAGGCAGGAGACGGATCCCAGGGAAGAGGAAGAAAAATCCGCTCCAATCTACTCCGTACGTTGATGGATATCGACTAGTTATGAAGTGAGATTAAGATGCGGTGTAAGGGCGACAATGGAGTAAATGTGCCAAATACGTGTACATTCTACTAGACCAAAGTAACTATAAACATTCAAAGTTTATGTATGCCTGCATGCATGGACAGAGCAATTAACTACCTAGGTAGTATCTTTAATCATTATCTTGGCTATCAGACTAACTATCTACCAACTACGAGTACCCGGTTACTACTCCGTCCTAGTGATTGACTGACTAGTTAGCCAGTTACTTGGTGGTCTTTTTTAAGGTTGAATTGGATCTCGATAGATTGGTTCTGGAATCAAGGGTGAACCGAGTCAATACTGGCGATCTGCTTAATTATTGAATTGTAGTGATATAGAAAAGGCGAATGAGGTAAATTTCACCAGACACAAATGTGTTTTGTTCCTAGACTTATGTAAAATATATACTACTACTACTACTACATATATATATACACACATGGGGATGAATATATTATGGGCATATAAATGGGCTGAACCCCAGCACAGCACAGTTTTACAACAGTATATGTAAACCAGCCAAATAGAGGACGGAAGATCATGGAAGAGCCTCAGGTGTATAAACAGACAGTCCTGTATAGAGCGGCACGCAGGACTCCGTGCAGCAGCGAGATGACCAAAAATCCGGATTGATTATCAAGGGATGGTTAGAGCAGCCGATCAAGATGACGATATTTTGGACACGTCGAGAATGCGCCACACGTGGAACTGAGGGGTTGGACCATGCATGTACTCCTTCTCCTACTACTGCTTTTACTTGTAGTACTGTTAGTACCTAGTACCTAGTAGTTGTAGAATATCACACACGACACGTTGTCCTGTAGGTATACAACTAACTACGTGGGAATCCATACTACAAACCGGGTAACTTTCAGGCTGGGATTGTCCCCTGTCGATGAATGTCTTGAGAACCTTTTACTATTACTATTACTATTACTATTATTATTATTATTATTTACTTATTATATTTTGGGTTATTGGAAAGGTTCGAACCTAATTATGGGAAGATGAGGCTACTAGTAGGATTATCATACTATCAGGCCGATGTTGAGTGACTAAGGTATAAACAGTGGCGAGTAAACAATAATCGGTAATATGTACTCTGTATCAGTAATAAATTTGGAGCACATGCAAGGGTGAATTCAGATCAACCCCCCCGCGTGTCTTATCAATATTATCGATAGGGTATTGTATGGTCTTTCCATCTACTCTGCACTGCCAGTGTGGTAGTAGGACTATGAACCAACCTGACATTTCCATCATGGTCCTAATCGAAAGATTTGGGATAGAGAAGAGTAAATGAACTCTATAGTACTATAGTAGTAGTATTTCCTTAAGTCCTTAAGGTATCCTGCTATCCGTACACGTATAAATAACAGTATGTTTGTATGTTTTGTATCGTATGATCGAGAAAAATAAAAATGACGCGTGAGGGTGACCGCACTAAACCCAAAACAGCCCCGAGTCAACAACAAACGACGCGACAATTGCGCGTGCGAAAAGAACCGCATCGAAGTCCCGCCTGGGGATTGGCCACTCACTCACTCTTACAACCAACGAAAGGCCTGTGAGCGCCATGTTGGATGTCACTCAGGCACAAAGTGTCACCTTTTTTTTTTGATCCTAAAAGAGACCCCTTTCGTATCTCTCTCCATGTGGCGATAACCTCCCCTTTCATCCACCTAGGCTCGACTAATTATTCTCTCTTATACCTCAACTTCCTATCCAAAGTTTAACCACCACCATCCACCCCTCCTCCCCGAATCAGCACACTCGTAAGGGAAATAAATTCCTCTGGCGATTTTCTCCAGTGAGGGCTTGCGTGCCTCTGCATACCGCAACTTCCGTTCCATCGGCAGCAGCCCCTCTTCCTATCCATCCATCCGTTCATCCCTTCCTTCGTCTGGCCTTGTCTTCGATTATTCCCTCTTCGCGTGGCTGTCTGGCCGGTTCTTTTTTTGGAGGGGGGCAAGCCTCAAACTATCAACCCCTTGCGCGCCTGTTCGCCGGTGTCTGCCTGAACCGCCCCGTTCATCCCGGGTTTTAAAGAAAGGGAGACGGAAGGGAGACACAGACAGACAGACAGACTGCTGGCTGCTTCTCTCCTGCGATCGAATCCTATTCGCCTCCTCTCTGCAACAGCCGCCGCTGTTGCTTCCTCCTCGCGCATCGGAAATTGTCGCGGGTCTTGCTGGGTTTCCTGGAGTTTCACCTTGTCCTCGCCACGCCTGTTCTCATCCTCACTCGCTCCTGCATCTTCGCGTCGCGCCTGCCTGTTTTGACGTTTTTTGTTGACATCCTGAAACATTCCTTATCGATCCAGTTTCGTCCGAATCGCTGCAAAGACGAGACGGTGTTTCAAGCGCGTGGCTGGGTGATTGGGTTGCTCGGAGGTCCCTCTCACTCATCAAGAGTGCATGGAAACATCACCAGGTAGCCTTTTGGAACTTCTCGGGCACATACCAGGCTGGTGATGTCAATCCATAGCTCGCGCCGCTTTGCTCACTTGTTTTGCCTTGACACAAATAACTGGTGTCTACTATACTTTTGTTAACATTCCAATACCCCCGGACTCTTCCTCCTTACTCTCTGACAGGCTCATTACAAGGGGAATAGAGAGGGCTGCCGTAGGCTGTACTTACCAAACCAGCCTTTGTTGTGATTACCTTGTCGCGGGTCCGGAGACCAGCGCCAGCCCCCCGTGTCGTGGATTGCGCGCAATCCCGTACGTACCGTTTGACTTGAATCGTCCACACATTCAGCTCTTCACATTCACTTCACCATTTGACAACACTATTTCGACATCTCGACCGCAATATTCTTCTCGATCGGATCGCCAAAGAGTTACAATCATGGTTGCGACCTTCTCACCACACCGTGATGCGGGCGGCACTCTCCATTTGCCCTCACACTCAGGAATTCACCATATCGATGCGAACTCGGCCATTCGGCAACTTCGTCGATCATTTTCCCGCTCACCGTCAAAGAGTTCCAATTTCTCCCTTCTAGCCTCGCGCAACCAGTCTCCATCCAAAAACACACCCTACGTTTCATCTCCTCTGTCCCCGTCGCGAAGGCCGGCCCAGAGTAACTTTGTACTCTTTCCCAGCTCGTCCCATCAGTCCCCCTTCGCTATCCCATATCCACCAAGTGCCAAAATTTCGAGACCTGCTATGCGCCGGACGCGTACATCGCCTCGAAGTCCGGTCAAACGCGCTCTCAACATCTCAACCGACCAAGGAAACGCGAAACTTTCACAGGGGATTCCCGCAAATCTCGGGGTGGAGAACTCACCCACGAATTCGGGAATTAGCACTTCACCAGATGAAGTGAGTGCTGGCACAGGGATCTGTTCTAGCGATACACCCACATGCGCCGACGGTACCGTGGCACCTCGCCCAACATTGTCGAGGATTGAGAAGCGGCGAAGTGGAACATTCGGCACCTATGTAACGGTCAGCCCGTTGAAACGAAGCGACGGGATCATGAACCTGGATCGGGCATCGCGAGGCAGTCCTTCAGCAAAAAGGCGGAGTGTCCATGCGCCTAATCTTTCCGAGGAATTCAGCATATTTGACAGCGAGAGCTCAACACCGGAGGTTCCGACAACGACTGAGTCTCCCTTGGAGAAGGATGAGTTATCTTTTCCCACGACTACCCCTCCATTCAGTCCCTTTGCAACTATTCCAAGACGCTCATCCTCTCTACGACGATCCACCGTCCAACAGCGCTCCAGTGATCGTTCACTCTTCTCTCGAGCCAGGGCTATGGGGGACTCTGAGGTCTCTGATGCTGGCACACCTCTCACGGTTCACCCGCGCATGTCCTTGGATAATACTCTCTTCCAACCAAACGGAGAAACCCTGTTTTCTTCCCGGCCCAACCCAGGAAGCTCTTTGTTCTCCTCGCTTGGAGCTGGCACTGCTCCATCGCGTCCCGCCGCCCATCCACTGTCCAGGACAATCACACAATCTTCATCCAGCTCCAGTCTGGTAGATGATTCTCCAACTCAGGAGCCCCTTCAAAAGAGTGACCGCCCTCGCGGGGTCTTCAATTTTTCCAAGTCTCTTCCAGCGGGGGCCACTCGACCCACTGCTGCCCGCCATCTCACCCGCGAGGACTCGACATCTTCTACCGACTCATTCGCTACACCCGAAAACTACAAATTAGTCAAGCCTCTGCCGGCAGCCTTTATGTCAACAGGCCTCATATCCAAGAAAAATCGCAACGCTGAGGACCCTCAGAATCTGCTTGCTTTTAACAAGAACATGCCCGAGACCCCGTGTAAGCGACCTGTGAGCCTCTTCCCTACGGCGCACAAGACCCAACCCGAGCGATCTCTAGAGAACTCGGGGTTCAACAGTTCGATAGATATGCCCCCTCCCTCCCCATTCAATCCAACAAACACAAGACCCAAATTGGGTCCTTTTGCGCGGGGTATGGGTATTTTTGGCAATTCATTCAATAGGCCGGGTATTTCGCGGCGTGGAAGTTTTGCCAGCATAGATGGTGATGATGGGATGCAGACCCAGTCGCCGTCTAATCGACAGGATGGCCAAACGCTTAGCGAGTTGGACTTTCCTCCAACTCCTACCAAACAATCATTCTTCCCCTCTCGAACTTACCCACCTACAGCTTCACAGATTGCTTCTCTTGAGCGATTAGCTGAAGCTCGAGGTACAAATTCGAGCCCGCTACATGATCGGTTTCTCCGTGGGTCTCCCCGTACACCCCGGGAACACCTCTATCCTCCGGACCCCAGTGGCCTATCCATTTCGGCCCTTAACGATCAGCAAGCAATGAAATCCGACCTGAATTCCTTCAACCTGCCAGCCACTCCCACTGGCCCGCGTGACTCATTCTTTCAATCAGGGAAACGACATAGCCTCCCTCTGAACATCCACCATGCCCCAGACGTGGATTCTAGCCTGACGTCCCGATTTGAGAGTGTTGAGCTGGTTGGTACTGGGGAGTTTTCCCAGGTCTATCGTGTCTCCCAGCCCAACGAGATGTCTCTGTCGTCGATATTCTCTACGACACCGCGGTCCCCTCGAGCATTGCCTGACCAGGTGTGGGCGGTTAAAAAATCCAAACAGCCGTACTCAGGCCTCAAGGATCGTGAACGTCGCATTCGTGAGGTTGACGCATTAAAGGCCCTCACCAATTCGGACCATATCATCAACTTTATGGATAGCTGGGAAGACCACGGGCACCTTTACATCCAAACCGAATTTTGCGAGGAAGGTAGCTTGGACGTTTTCCTCGCCCAGGTCGGACTTAAGGCTAGGTTAGATGACTTCAGGATTTGGAAAATTTTACTCGAGTTATCCATGGTACGTTGTTCCTCTGAATCCCCTCTCCACAGTAGGTCTAACAATGAGAGCAGGGCTTGAAACAAATCCATGATTCTGGATTTATTCATCTGGATCTGAAACCGGCTAATATCCTGATCACGTTTGAGGGAGTTCTGAAGATTGCTGATTTTGGCATGGCTGCTCGCTGGCCCGCTGAAGATGGTATCGAAGGCGAAGGTGATCGTGAATATATTGGCCCAGAGATCTTGATGGGCCGGTACGATAAACCAGCAGACATATTCTCTCTGGGTTTAATCATGTTTGAAATCGCTGGTAATGTCGAGCTCCCCGACAACGGTCTTTCATGGCAGAAACTCCGCAACGGTGACATGAGCGATGTCCCAAGCCTCACCTGGAGTTCCGAATCCACTATCTTCCGTGATGCGTCCGGAAACCCCATTTCGGAGGAGCCATCCTTCGAGGAATTATGTGCGTCCGACTTTGGGGACGATGATTTTAGTGTACCCGGCTTCTTTGGGGCGCACAAGCCCGACACCGAACGAAGGGCGGTTCCATTCACTCGGACCAGTGAACTTGTTGACCCTCCCGCGTTTATGGTCGACGCCACCCACGAACAGGCCCTCGACGGGATTGTGCGGTGGATGATTTCCCCAGAGCCACGAGATCGACCCACGGCCGATCAAGTTCTGGAGACCTTCGGTGTTCAGTTCGTTGCGTCTCGACGCCGGGCTGGGGCCACCGTTTATGAGGGCAACTGGGGTCCTGCGGATGATGTCCTCGCGGAAGATGCCGAAATGATCGACGTTTAATTAATACGACTTGACATATTATTGCATTTGGACGGAGTTGGTGATTTCTCTTTCTCGTACAATACCATCTAACGACGGCGTTCAAGCGGCCAACCGGGCATTGATTTTGACGTTTATTCTCTCTACCGACTCCCCACACAGTGACTTGCTTTTATGGAAGGGGGCGTATAATGTGCAACGCAACATACGGGTATGCCTATCTAATTGGAACAAGGAATCGGAGATCATAAAGTGACTCTGGATGTTCTTAATTTTTCTCCTCTTCTATTTTGCGATATCTCTCTCCTCCACATTGTGTTTGAACCGACTCCTCTTGGCTTACATCCGACCACTTTCCCGTCTATGGAAAGTTCCACACTCTTTTCAACATTTCCTTTGTTTTTTTTGTTTTTTGTTTTTCTTTTCTTTTGTACCACCAATTTAGCCTCGGTGCTTGGGTTTCTTCACGCTATGTATCTATATTTCCTCTGTGGTTGGATTTCGCAATATCACTTCCTTGCATTCACTGGGTTATTTTTTTTTTTTTTTTTTTTTTTTTTTTGCGCTTAAGGGGTTCCATGATGTAGTATATCCTTTATCCATATGTTGGAGTACGCTGAGAGTGATGCTTTGTTTTTCAGCTGTAACTTTCCTCTTGAAGCTGTTTCCTTGCATTTTATATGACCGACCTCCTTGACGGACCCGGAAAAGAGGATGTGTGATCAAGCGGGCTTGATCACAGTAATGTTTGTGATTTAGACTATTGAATGGATGGGAACATTCTGGACGCCCAGTTTTGATGTTGACTAGAATTGAACTTGATTGTAGTTATATACCGGTGTATATTATATTATATTCTGTATGGATGGTAAAATTGGAGATCGCCACGGGATCTTTTTCTTGGCATCGACTTGGGCGGTTTTCTTCTGCATCTGCAACTCCCAACAACCGACCTGTCAACACCTCCTCATTACTGTTTTATCATTGGCACACCCCCTCAAAAATGAGTGATTTTGCATAATCAATTCAGAAACAAGGGCAGCACACGCGGTGCGCGCGCGAGAATAATCTCCACCTTCCACCCAGCCGTCCGTCACCTAGGCCGTCGTCGCATGCGAATCAAATCGACAGCCACATCAATCAATCGGTCCATCTCATCTTTCTTTCTCGTAACGTACATCCCCCAAGCAACCCGACCCGGACTCTCAAAATGGACCACCGCACATTTGTTTCCGACTCCCTCCTCCGCCTCACCAACGCGTCCGATCCCACCGTCGTTGATTTCGTTCTTGCCACGGCCGGCTCCGCAAGATCCGCCTCCTCACTACAAGATAAACTGGACCCGTTTTTAGATGGGAATGCCGACGAGATCGGGGTGTTTTGCGCGGAGCTTTATCGCCGGGTGGGCAAGCGGGCCGCTACCGTCGCCGCCACCACCACCACCACCACCACCACTACTACTACTACTACTACTACAGGTGCTGGTAGTACTGTGGAAAAGGAGCGTGGGAATGGCGCGACTGCTTCTGCTTCCTCCGCGAGAACTCAGACAAAGAAGTATACTCTTTTAGATATGGATGAGGATTTGGGTGATGGTGCGCTGGGCCCGCGGAACGTGGAATCAGATCGGGACAGGAAGAAGCGGAGTCGGGATACAAAGGATCGGGAGCGTTCGCGGGAGCGTGGAACGGGTGAAAGTCAGAGTCGGTGGGAGAAAGACGGGGATAGCGGTCGGAAGCGGGAGCGGGAGAGGAGTGGCGATGATGAGAGGAAGGATCGAGATCGGTATCGGACCAAGAAATTACGACGGCGGGAGGTGGATGATTTCGAGGACCGCTGGGGTGATGAGGAGATTCCTGAGGAGGACTTGGTTGGGGATGAGGAAGGAAGGGGGGGGTTCCAGGAGTCTCCGTCGAAGAGGACGAGATTGGAGGATGGGTCTGCTTCTCCGCGGTCGACGACTAGTTCGGCGGCGAATCTGGATCCCGAGGAAAAGATGGAACGGGAGCGCAAGCGGGATTTGGAGGAACGAGACGAGTTTGCGAAGCGGTTGGCGAAGAAGGATGATAGTCGCAATAAGAAGATTGTGGAGGATAGGACGAGAGACGGCGAGGCTGCGCGACGACGAGCGCTGGCGGATGATGCGTCGGCCAGAGCGGCCGCGATGCCGGATCTTCGATTGCGCTCGCGCCAGGAGTATCTCAAGAAGCGTGAGACGGAGCGGTTGGCTCTGCTGCGCAAGCAGGTGGCGGAGGAGACGGCTGAGCTGCGCGAGAACCCGAGCCTCACCCGGAGGGAGAAGGAGGAATTCGCGCGCAACCGTGAAGTGCTTCGGATTGCTGAAGAGCGACTGCGCATTGACGACCACCGTGATGGATATATGATGCCCGAGGACTATATCACAGAAAAGGGCAAGATCGATCGCAAGAAGAAAGAGGAAGCGCTCTACAAGCGATACGTGGATCGCGATGAACACGGCCAGGAGAAGTTCATTACGGAGCACGAAGAATGGGAGTTGGAGCAGACGGCCAAGGCCAAGGCCCAGATCAACCGCGCCGAGTTCGTGGATGAGGGAGACTACGAGTATGTGTTTGACGATTCGCAGAAGATTAACTTCGTCATGGATGCGAAAATGGAGGGTTCTCGGAAGCTCATGACCCAAGAGCAACGCATGCTGCAGGAGCAGCTGGACGCCGCGGAGAAGAAAGCCCAGTCGATCGAGGACACCCGGAAGAAACTACCGATCTACCAATTCCGGGACGAAATCATCCAGGCGGTTCACGACCATCAGGTCCTGATCATTGTCGGTGAGACAGGATCCGGAAAGACGACGCAGCTCCCGCAATACCTACATGAGGCAGGATATACCAAGAATGGAATGAAGGTTGCCTGTACTCAGCCACGACGGGTTGCCGCCATGAGTGTTGCGGCTCGTGTGGCCGATGAAATGGGCGTGAAATTGGGCAATGAAGTCGGATACTCGATCCGTTTCGAGGACAATACCAGTGACAAGACCGTGCTCAAATACATGACTGATGGAATGTTACTCCGAGAGCTCCTGACCGAGCCGGACCTGAGCCAGTACTCCGCGTTGATGATCGATGAGGCGCACGAACGGACTGTTCCTACCGATATTGCTTGTGGGCTGTTGAAAGACATTGCAAAGGCACGACCGGACCTGAAACTCCTGATTTCTTCAGCGACCATGGATGCGCAGAAGTTCCAAAAGTACTTTGATGACGCGCCTATCTTCAACATCCCTGGGCGTATGTATAACGTTGATATTCACTATACATCGCAGCCAGAGGCCAACTACCTGGCTGCTGCGATTACGACGGTTTTCCAGATTCACGTCTCCCAAGGTCCTGGTGATATTCTTGTGTTCTTGACGGGTCAGGAGGAAATCGAGGCCGCTGAACAGAGTCTTCAAGAGACGGCAAGGAAGTTGGGGAATAAGATACCGGAGATGATTATCTGTCCAATCTACGCTAATTTGCCATCTGACCTCCAGACTAAGATCTTCGAACCGACCCCGCCAAAGTCACGAAAGGTGGTGTTGGCGACGAATATTGCAGAGACCAGTTTGACAATCGACGGGATCGTCTACGTTATCGACCCTGGTTTCGTGAAGGAAAATGTTTTCAACCCCCGAACCGGCATGGAAAGCTTGGTGGTGACACCCTGCTCGCGAGCGTCTGCAAACCAGAGGTCAGGTCGAGCAGGTCGCGTTGGACCCGGAAAATGCTTCCGGCTGTATACCAAGTGGGCGTACTACAACGAGCTGGAAGAGAGTACGACGCCGGAAATCCAGCGAACGAACTTGAGCAGCGTGATCTTGATGCTGAAGTCCCTTGGGATTGATCAGCTCCTGGAGTTCGACTTTATGGACCCCCCACCGGCGGAGACGATCATTCGCGCGCTGGAGCAGCTCTATGCGCTCGGGGCCCTCAACGATCGGGGCGAGCTGACGAAAATCGGGCGACAGATGGCAGAATTCCCTACGGATCCTATGCTTGCCAAATCAATTCTGGCGGCAGACAAGTACGGGTGTGTAGAGGAAGTCTTATCGATCGTATCCATGCTGGGAGAGGCCAGCGCACTGTTCTTCCGTCCGAAGGATAAGAAAATCCACGCGGACAGCGCACGCAACCGGTTCACCATCAAGGACGGTGGTGACCACTTGACCCTTCTCAACATCTGGAACCAGTGGGTTGACTCGGACTTTAGCTACGTCTGGGCCAAAGAGAACTTCCTGCAGCAGCGCAGTTTGACCCGGGCCCGCGACGTCCGCGACCAACTCGCGAAGCTGTGCGACCGAGTCGAAGTCACCGTCAGCTCGTGCGGATCCAGCAACCTGATTCCCATCCAAAAGGCGATCACCGCCGGATTCTTCCCTAATGCAGCGCGCCTCCAACGCGGCGGCGACAGCTACCGGACTGTGAAGACTGGACAGACGGTGTACCTGCACCCGTCGAGCACGCTGTTCGAGGTGAATCCGCGGTGGGTGATTTACTTTGAACTGGTCCTCACAAGCAAGGAGTATATGCGCAGCAACATGCCTCTCCAGGCGGAATGGCTCGTGGAGGTTGCGCCGCATTACTATAAGAAGAAGGATCTGGAGACGTTGGGGGTTGAGCGGAAGCAAAAGGGACAGGGGGTAGCGGGGGAGAAGAGCCGTGATTAGATGTTTTTTATTCTGTCGCCTAGGAATCTATCTATACCTTCCGCTACTATATTTCCTGTACTTAAGGTACGGAGTTACAATGTAATGTGGTAAATCCCAACCAATCACCAACTACACAATCCTAATATTAATCCCTTGAGGTCGACCGCGGTTCGGATCCGGAGCCGAGGTTGGAATCCCATCATCAACTTTTTTAACTTCTCCACACTCCCTCCCTAACAACCTCAAGTTCTCAACTACAACAACACAGTACAACCACGCCCCTACTCAACAACCAAATCCCTCCGATAGATATTCTTTTCCATACAAAGACAGACTGCCAAACAAAGACAAAGAAAGAAATAAAAAGGAAAGAAATGTCCAAATCCTTCACCCCCACCGAAGTCGCATCCCACAACACCCCCGAAAGGGGCCTGTACATCATCATCGACAACGCCGTGTACAACGTGTCCGAGTTCGCCGACGAGCATCCTGGGGGCGCGAAGATCCTGAAGCGCGTTGCGGGGAAGGATGCCTCGAAGCAGTTTTGGAAGGTGCGTAGTAGCTTTTCTTTTCTCTTCTTCTTCTTCTTCTTCATGGTCATGGTCATCATCTTCTTTGCGGAGGATATCGCTAACGGGTGGCTATTGTAGTATCATAACGATGGAGTGCTGAAGAAATATGCGGCCAAGTTGAAGATTGGTGATGTTAGGGATGCGGCTAAGTTGTGAGGATGTGATATGATATGATGTTTTACTATCTATCTATCTATCTATCTATCTATCTATCTATCGATCCAGATTACGCTACACTACACTACGTACGCTACGCTGCTATCCTATCCTATATCCTACGACGATTCGATACAATCGGCTTTAATATTATACCAGTACCGTTCTGGCTTCGACTTGTACTTGTCTTGTTTTCTATCAAGAGGTCTTGTACGGCATGGCATGCGCTGCAATTAAATCATCTATGTTTGTTATGTTATAGGTAGAGAGATATACAGTATACAGTAAACTATATATAGAGGGATATTATTTACAATCGCCGAACAGATCAGATCACCCGCTTAGATGGTATCAAGAAATGAGGTACGATTCATACTCCTGAACATGGCCCCAAAAAAAAAAAAAAAAAAAAGAAAGTCAAAAAAGGAGGGGAAAAAAAAAAAAAAGAAAGAAAGAAAGAAAGAAAGAAAGAAAGAAAGAAAGAAAGAAAGAAAGAAAGAAAGAAAGAAAGAAAGAAAGTAAAAAAAAGAAAGAAAAAGGAGAAAATATTTAGAACCCCCCGAACGGATCATCATTACGGTAGTTCTCTGGTTCCTCGTAGGGGAGGAAATCAAGCTCCGAGGACCCCTGGTTCACACTCCACGGACTCGACGCCTTGCGCGCATGTCGCGAGCGGCTGGCGGTCGCGCGGTGCCGGTTGGACTCAGCCTGGTCGATGAAGGCTTCCATGCGCACGGTGCCGATCGCGTCGAAGAAGTTGCTGGTGCGCACGCTGTTCTCGGAGGTGCGGCGGCTGAAGCTACTGCGGACGCTGTTGAAGCCGGGGGCGTGCTGCTGCTGCTGCTGCTGCTGCTGCGACGACGACGACGACGACGACACCGGACCGGGCGCGTCGGGAGAGCTGCGCCGCGAGGGGATCGACGGCATTGTGTTTTGGCTGGAGAAACTGCGGATCGTGGGGATGGGCATGCGCGGCGCGGTGTTGCTGCGTTTGCGCGAGTGGGTCGCGAACCGGGGCACGGTGGGGGGGTCGGCTGCGTCGGGCGTCAGAGAAGCAGCAGCGTCGAGGTTGGCGGGGAGTTCGGGAACCGGGGCTGGGTGGCCGGGGAAGGATCGCTTTCCCTTGGGGGTGGGGCGAGGACGTCCCTTGGCGAGGCGGATCGAGTCGCGGATCGGGTTGCGCCGCAGAGATGCGGTGGGTGCAGGACGGACGTACTCCTCCTGCGGTACTGGTGGTAGAGCCGCGAGGTCCTGGAGACCAACGGCGGAGTGGCTCAGGAACGAGAGGGCTGTCAGCCAGACGTAGTGTCGTTCGATGCTGGCCGCGGTGAATTTGAGCGCCCGTTGCGGTGTCAGGATCAGAATAGACCGGTTGAACTGGTTAGGACCAAAGCCCTTTGGTAGAGGGTTGTCGTCTTTGACGTCCAGCACGGATTGAATTATCACTGTAGAATCGTTAAGAAACATTTTTCACCAGAACAGAAAGAAAAAAAGAAAAAAAAAAAAAAAGAGAGAGAGAGATGAGAACGTACGTTTCCGACCACTCTTGCCGAGCAGCGCAGGCCCGCTGGTCGGTTGCTTGCTGCTCCACATAACGGCTCGTTCATACGGCGCCAGCCAGACCCATCGTTTATGCCGCGCGCCGCTGTTGGTGATGCTAGCAGACACCTCTTCGGCGTTGCGGCCTTCCCAGTTGTCCTTGGGCTCGCCCACTCCGCCAAACGACCTCCTGCGACGGACGTACTTGAACATCCACTCTCCAACCATGGTTTGAGCAATCGCGTCAACCACACTGGTCGGTTGGACAGATGTTGCCGTAGAGTCGCGTCGCTCATTAGCAAAAGCCCGCGACGCGGTAGGTCGATGGGCCGAGCGTCGCTGCGAGACTCGCTTATCCCTGGGCATTGTGATATCATCATAGGGCAAGGGAGGGTGCCGGGGACTATCTGGAGCATAGGAGGAAATAGACATCGCGGGAGAGGATCGGGTTCCAGTCTGCTCGGTCTCAGCTTGGGACATTGCAGCGGCAGAGCGCACGCGCCGCAGAGTCGGCCGTCGGATGATAGTTGGGCGTGGACGGTCTGAAAAGTGACGAGGATTCGATGGCGTGGGGCTTTGTCGTCCATCGCTCCCAGTTTGCGGGAATTTCCTCGAGCTGAAGCGGATCGGAACGGGGAATGGAGGGCAAACGATCGACGAGCCGCTACCAGTACCGCTGTCGATGCTAGGCTCGCTGGGGCTACGGGCTCGGGCCCTTTGGTGCGTAATTGCGCCGCTGGAGATCATAGCTGCCTTGCGCATGTCCTGCTGGCGGGTGCCAGATAGCCCCGCGCGTGGACCCCAAGAAGCACCTGGCAGGTCCTTGGATGTAGTACCACCCATACCTCCCTCGAAAAAGTGAGCCTCGGAGTCGAGATGCTCATCTACTTCGGGCAGCGGTGTCTCATCCAAGCTGCTGCGCTCCTGTGCTGATACTAATCTGCCTCTGCGCAGTATATACGAAGCAAACGGGCGGCTCATCAGCTCATCATCCGTAAATATATCTTTCGGCATCTCAGGCAGCTCATCGTCACTGGCCTGGTCGAACCCAGCAAAAAGACTACTGGATCGGAAAGGACGTCTCAAATCCGACCTCGAGTATTCTGACAAGGGCCCGTTGTCATTGTTGCCCGGATAGGCTTGGATATGGCCCACGGGCTTGCTGCGGGCCTCTCCATCGTCTGTTGGGGTATCAACCACCAGGCGCGACGATGGCTTTCGTTCGGCCTTACTCATCCTCGGAGGAGGAGCCTGGTATGGCTGGATGTGGTGGTGCACCTGTGACTTCGGGCTGGGAGGGAGGTCCGGAATAGCAGAAGGGAGCAAACTTGCCGTAAGTTTGACAGGTCGCTGGTCAATTTGCATCTCCTCAGTCTGGATCCCGACCGTTCGGGTATCGATCACAGGCTCGAAGTTGGCCTGGCATGAAATGCTTTTGGTTTGTGGTGGCAGAACCACACTGCCTCGTGGGGAAGAAGGTTCGGAGAGAGGCGGATGGATCGCAATCATCGGGACCTCGATAGTCAGTCGCTGCGCGTTCCCCGTGGGGTTGGATTCAACCTTCTCACGCGTCGGGGGTTGGTCAGTCTGAATTGAGACCGAAACCATGGGAGCGCGCTCAATGACTGGTGGTGGCGGTGGTAGAGGCGATGTCTCGACCATTGGAGTCCATGGGGGAGTGGGAAGTTCGCCAATTGTCTGACAGGACGACGAGACCATATCGGTAGCCAGAGTTGACGTACTGCTGTCTTGCGTCTGGTATAGGTGCAGTTTCGGGACATCTCCATGTCTCTCTGACCTCTCCTCGGGCAGACTTTCCGCATCCGCGGCGAGTGTGGGTGATGGTGGCGGGGAGTACTGAACCCCATTGTCCTGATAGGTGACGGAGATGGGGTCAGGTTTAAAGGAAGCTCTCAATTCCGCAGCGTCTTCAGCCCGCATGCCGTAGCTATCGATACTACCAAACGAAAGACCTAAGATTTTCCTGGCCTTGGCGTCCATCCCGAGTGGATGAGAGAGCTGGGATTGAACCGAAGCTGGGCGCTCTTCAGGGAGTGCTTCTGGGGACTGAGGGGTCATATCATCATCGTCCAGAGAGCCAAACTCGTCTTCCTCGTCGAATGCCAGCTCTTGTGCAAGGTTGAGGCCATCCCCTTTCACACCAGGCATATTCGCAATGCTCATGACAGAGTAACGGCCATTATGAAAGCCCCCATCGTCGCCATCTTGGCTACTCAAGCTCGTAATACTGGTGCGCCGTGGTCCCGGACTACTAGAATGAACGCTTGCCGAGTCACTTTCTTTGCTTGGGAACGCTTCTTTCATTTTGTCGTCCGGTGCATTATTCTCATTTGCGGTAGGACCGAATGCGCCAGCCGCTTGGGCGGCTGCTACTTCGTTCAACACCACTTTGAGACGGCCTTCCACCACATGGACTTTTCGTTCCAGATTTCTGCGTTCGCCATCCCAGGCCTCCTTATCACGTGCCCATAGATTGGCTGTTCTTTCTAGGTCTTCCTCTTGACTGCGGGCCTTTTTCTGGACTTGTTCAAGTTTCTTGCGGACATCAGATATGCTCTCCAGCGCCGCGTCTCGCTCTTTAGCCAGTTCGGTGAGAGCCGACGAGGTTCCGCCTTCCAGCAGCTGGAGATGGTGTTTCAATGATCGAGACTCTTTCGTATGTTTTGACAAACGCTGGGCGAGATCTTCGTTCTCATTCCGCGAATCGTCGAGACTTCGTTCCAAGACATCAATAGTCTTGGCCTTGCTCTCCACATCTCGCCTGAGGGACAAGATTTCAGAAACGAGAGAGGCATGCAGGGTTGGGGTAAACCGCCTCGGATCAAACGGCGACAAGGTATCCTCGTTTGCGCTATCTGAAAAGTCACTGCGTCCATCCGGGGAAAAATTATGGTGTGGGAGGGAGATGGGTGACGTCAACGGGCCAGGCGATGAATCGCCGCGGGTATGTATGGAGGGCGGCGGCCTCTGAGGGGTGGTAGAAGGTGTCGGGAACGCACTCGCCGCCGGTGGGCTCTGGTACATCGCTTCCGTATCCATAACGGTATGCAGCCGAATGGAATCAGGGTCCCCGCGAGTTTCTAAACCATCACCGGAGTAGGTTGAGACACGTTCAATCGGGGTTCGCAGCGGACAATCCTCCTAAACGCACTCAATCACAGTCACAGCGTCCGATTATGCAGCTCCCATTGACTAACTATACATATGTTGGTTGCTTTTTTTTTTTCGAAAATGATCTAGGGAACCCAGACCACGGCCCAGTCGCAACCCGGTTGCGTGCAGGATGCTGGCCAGCAGTACCGGGGTATCAACCAGCCCTTCGCTGCTAGTGTTGATTCTAGGACATACATACATAAGCCTAAATCCGCTCTCGGATGGGGTGGAGCTGGGGAACGTGGTTGCAAAGTCCAAAGGAATGATAGATAAACGTTGCACCTACATCTAGAACAGGGCTCAACGCCAGAATGCAAGAGAAGCCTTCGAGGGCCCCCCCTCAAGATCACCAAAGAAACCACGGAATATAGAGACGTGAACCGACGCGTTCTCCTTTCTTGCCAGCCAGTGCAGAAGGGAGGGGTGGTGGGGAGAAAGCCAAATGGAGAGAAGTCGATTCACAGAAGGGGGGTTTTCCAAGGGAAGAAGTAGGGAAACAGGAATAGATAAAAAAAGAAAAAATAAAATAAAGATTAACACTGCAAATGATAAAAAGAATCAAAGGACAAAAAGGATAAAAGTACAGGAAGGGAAGAGAGCAGAGGCTAAGAAACCGTGCCAAATCCCAATTTCGAGTGTATCTTCCTATCCCTCACTGTTCACAGGCAAGATCCGAGGGGGCGAAATGAGCGAATCCGAGAAAATCCTCTGGCGCAAGTACGAAGTATTCCGCACCGTCTCTTCCTCGGATACTCCAGACAGGACCTTTGGCCCGTTAGCTAGTTAACTAACTAACTAGTTAGATCGCGTCAATTTAATCAGCAACTGCGGTTTGCGGCAACAGGGACGAGAAACCTAGTCTGGGGCTTTGCATCGGTCAACGAGAACATGATAGACCAGCCATGCTAAAATTGGACTAAATGATTAGCTTCATCCAGGGGGTTTGGTTAGTCCGGAGTGCAAGAGAGAGAGACTGCGCTAATTAAGGGGTGAAGGGAGAGAAAGGCAGACCATCTGAGAGAGAGAGAGAGAGAGAGAGAGAGAGTAGTCGATTTCCCCACCAGAGCTGCCAGTGAGATTCAATGGGGTTCTGCTAAGAGGAGAAGAAAAAAAAAAAGAATGATTAGTTCTGAATACGGAGTCCAGGGGCCAAAAAAGAGAAAAAAGAGTACCTAGTCTACTAGGTATACTCCTTAGGTAGGTTAGGGAGAGAGTGTCGAAGGAGAAATCCAGGGCCAATGGATGGAGGGGAAAAGGGGGTGAAAGAAAAGAAGACTGCATCTGAAACCAGCCCAGAAAAAAAAAAAAAAAAAAAAAAAAAAGGAGTATTTCTCTTCCAACCTTCATGATTATTATTATGATTATTATTATGGAGTCTGCTGTCGTCGTCGTCTTGATTCTCCCATAATTAATAGTTGGAAATAGTGACTGGGTCTAGAGCGGTTCATGTCAGCTCTGGTACTCCACCCTCAATAGTTTGTTCGATACTGGAGATGAACCCATGGAAAGGAGAGAATAACTGAATGCGTTTCTCCAGTACTTTGTATACATAGTAGACTTTGGAGAATCAAAGGCATTGTTACTTGGTCATCCTAGCTCTGGGACTAACTAACTAGTTAACTGTATAATAAACGGCTTCCAACTTCTTTCACAGTCATGGAGCATACTCGATGTACTACTCCGTAGAAACTCGGATCCTGACTCCGACTTAGAGACTAGGGTTATTCTCGAGTCTAGAGGAGTCTTACGCCGTACGGAGTAGACTCAAAGGAATCATACGATAGGCGGGAAAGGGTTGAACTGATCGTCGCCAGGCAATTTCCCAGAGAGCCCATGGTCTGTGTTTCAGCATCCAATTTGGAAGTTGGAACCATGAGCGCATTCCGATTTCATCAGAGGATTTCTTTCGGTATGGTGAAGAAGGAAAACTGTTTGTCTGCTCAACCTGCAGTCACCATGCGTATGCGTGCAGGAGGAGGAATGTACCAGGAGCACAGAATGCAATACTGTATGCAGCAGCTCGAATCATCCACGTTTCCCCTCATGTTTCCTATCTGCTCCAGTCAGTTCTAAGACAAATCCTTCTGCCGTGTTTTCCTTTTTCTCTTTTTGGGAAGGAAAGCCCTCGGGAAGGATCCTTGGGTCCGCCACAGCTTAAAAAGTAACAAAGAGCTCTCCACACTTATTTCCACGGTTCGCGCCCTGCGGACCCCCAAAAATCCATCTTCTGTCCAGTGGCCTTTGGTCTCGGAAATTACCCTTCCTGGCTTGTTAACTATTAACAGTATTAGTTATATTAATCCTGCAAGAAAATTCCTTCCATCACATCACGATCCTGCACAGGCTGTCCCACAATGGCAGATACCCAGGGTCGGTATCGTGTCCGGTGCCTTGAGGGTTTTTCCCAACGCTTCAAAGCCAGGGAATCTGGAGAACCGAAAAACTTCAATGTCTCTGTTCAGGAGTTAGGAAAGAACCGGGATGGGAGAGGTTCAAACTTACAAAACCGACAGACTGCATATCTTATTCAAACTTTTGAGGAACGTGAGAGCAGTGACGGGCCAATGTGAGGCCCAGGCCCATTAGCGGCCCACAGGGATGTTTGTGATGAAACTTGACAGGTCAATGTGCGATATGATCATATTCCGGAGAAGGAGAAGAGCGTCATAAGTACTATTTGGATTCGATGTTCGAGACTCATAGTCGGACACGGATCGGGGAGGTAACGGTGAGTTCTCCGGATATCTCATCTTCTTAGACCTGTTTGGCCCGGGCGTAATCCAATACCAATAGCCTTGATCGAACTGAGACCAAGATGCGTGGGATCATCAAGCTGCAGGTGTCACGCCAATGATGCTCAAGTCACCGTCCTTATCGATTAACGGCGGCCAACGCAGGGACTGCAGGTTGTCAATGAGTGCACGGATGGCTATATTAATCTGAAGCAACGGACCAGGTGATAATGTGATAGATCCAAGTCTTTTCTTTATTGCCCTCGGTTCATGTCAATGATAGTCTTGAGTGTGTTATCAAAAGTTCAAAGCAGACTCACCTCCAACTTTGTTCTCGGATCCGATTCCCCCACTACCTGACTAATCAGACTCTACCTAGGTAACTAGTTAGTTAGCTAACAAACAAACAGAGTAATTAGTTACTCCAGAAATAATTATACTTCTAATCCTAGATACGAACCGAGGGGATCCCTGAATTAGCAAGTACCGATATACCGTTGGCCAGGCGAAAAGCACCACGCAACATGCCGCTCAACGCGCAAACGAAGGTCCTGTTCTTCGATATCTTCGGCACAACCGTGCAGTGGCGCACAAGCGTCACGAAAGCCCTCCAAGAAGCCAGCGCCAAAGCCCTGAGCGAGACCAGTCTACCCGGCGATGTCCGCGCCCAGGCGTCCGCCATGACAGACGACGACTGGCGCTGCATGGTCGAGGACTGGCGCGCCGCGTACAGCCGGTTCACACGTAGCTATGACCCGGCCCAGTCCCGGGGGCGATCGTTCGTCTCGATCGACCAGCACCACTACGATGCGCTCGTGGAGATCCTGTGCCAGCGACAGCTCGAGGGCCTCTTCCCCGAGGCGCAGCTCCGGGCCCTGGTTCTGAGCTGGCATGGTCTCGACCCCTGGGACGATACAGTGCCGGGATTGGCGCTGCTCGGGCGCCAGTTCCGCACGGCGGCGCTCTCCAACGCGAATGTGTCCCTGCTTGAGGATCTGGTCCGGCATGGGTCCCTGCCGTTCACGGATCTCGTGAGTGCGGAGACCTTTGCGGCGTATAAGCCGTCGCCGCGGGTGTATCTTGGGGCGGCGGGAAAGCTGGGGTTCCAGCCGGGTGAGTGTGCGCTTGTAGCTGCGCACTTGGACGATCTAAGGGGGGCCAAGGAATGCGGGTTTGGGACGATCTATGTTGAGCGAGTTGGCGAGGAGAAGCTGAAGCTGGAGGATGCGGTCGAGGAGGAGTATGTGGATTTGTCGGTGGAGTTTGGGAGCGGTGGGTTTGTGGAGATTGCGAGGTTGCTTGGGGTTCATGAGTAGTTTACCTAGGATGTATACAGAATATAACCACCTTTATTAAGATGCGAATAGGGACATATTGATGCGATGGATAAGTGTAGGTAACATAGGAGGCACCTGTACCTGATCTGGTCTGTTGGGAGAGAGACGGGACGTGGTATACTCGGTCCATCACAATTTGTCGCGTTGCTAACCTGGTGATCCTCACGGCTATCCATTTAATTGATCTGACAGACTTTGACATTGTGCTTGTCTGAGTTTGTGAGCGTACGTCGTTGTCGTTGTAGCACCTAGTTTACTTGCTGATCATTTACTCCATAGAGTACAAGATATCTACCTGGATACGTACGTCTTTGCTCCTGTTGAGCCCATTCAGAGACAGCTCCATGCTAAGAAATGCCTCATGCCTCATCACTGCTCTGTCCGTCCAGAGGATATCGTGTGGAGTATGTAACTAACAACGAACTATTGGAGATCGACCACGGTATACTTGCCACCTAACGGTTTCCCCCCCCTGCAGATCGCATTGTTATAGCATCATCCAATCGATTCTTGGAGTCATAGGGCAGCAAATAAAAGCATTCGGCCGAAGCGACAGCGGAATGAGCCTTTAGAAGCTTTCCAACGCCCAATCACCGAGATTATCCCTAGTGAAGGCTGTGCCGCAGGTTCATCCAATAAGGGACCTCAATACGTACTCTGTACATACCTACACTGATGATAACTACCTAGATAGGTAGAGTACACTGTATCTGTGGCTGACATTAGTTCTGTGGCGAGATGTGCTCCACTAACCAGGCTGGAATAATTCTATCTGCATGAGAAGGACTCCGTAGTTCAGCATCTCCTTAGCAGGATCCTGGCCGTTGCATGCGCTGGATCCCGATCATGCAGGCCCATGCAAGTTGGCGATTCCTCTCGGTACAATCATGTGTGCACCGTCCGTATTTATTATTACTTATTTAATTTGAATTTTAGAGAGAAATAAGCCCTCGGACCGCAAGATGGCCTGACGGAAAATGTGCCGTACTCCGTACAATGTTGGATTATATAGATGAGGCCTTAGTTCCCCACGTGGGAGAGAAAAACGGGCCCTGGGGCATTTTACTATTTAGTATTTTCCTAGTATTCCGTCTATGATCGATCAGGTTCTCAATTTGCATGATGGTTCCAGTTTTAGGTTGGGAAAAAGAATCTGAACAGTGTATACTGTATAGGCAATTGTTGCCCTTCTGGGTCTAGCTACTTGATAGCTTCATGCTCTCTTTTATGGCGTATTTCTTCGGATGCTGGCAAGTTGTACCTGGACCGGGCCGGACATGTATCTGCATCAGTACTCATATTAATAGGGGTACATCTCCACTCTATCTAGCATCATGGACCTGCCGAGGAGATAATACAGTAGTAGTCCCTTTTAGCCACGGCTGGAAGATGTACATATTTCTATGAAGACTAGAAAGATCATCTCTCTCCCCTTTTTCATTTTCTTTTGGCTACCCCTGGTACTCCGTAATTTGAGGCCGGAATATAATCCCGCCAGTATAGAGAGAGTCCCGAGAACCAGGGAGATGGTGATTAGCCTTCCCACTATTGTCCGCGGAATGTTCGATTTCTTCCGGTTGGAGTAAGAAATGACTGGTAGGATATCATAATTACCTCTCGCAACCTGACAATATGTATTATAATAATATCATTCATCTAATCTGTAATGTAGGTATATACCACTCAATCCTCCTCTCCCACCCCACGGTAGTTCCATGCTTGGAAATTTCAGCCCCTCTACCTTTGTTTCTTTTTCTTTCTTTTCTTTCTAAATCCTCCTGCTCTTACTTGCTGGCCAAGCCTTTTTTTGTCTAGGTCGTGTCCATTTCCCCCTCCTGACTCGCCAGATGAGATAAGAAAGTCATCATTCCAGATCTCTCTCTCGCTCTCTCCCTCTCCCTCTCTCCCTCTCTCTCTCTCTCTCTCTCTACACTGCTGGCGATCATTTTTCTCTCCTCCCCCTCACGTGGCAGATTCAGTTGTGAGGCAATCATTCTGTGTGTCTCACTCTCTTGTTACAGAGTACTCTCTTTCTGTAATATCCCCCCCCCCCCTCATTCTCTCTTTTCGATTCGATTATCACAATTATTATTATCCTGCATCTGCGCGGAGTTCCGGTCCAGTTGATTTGAGCTGTTGGTCGCCGCTCATTTGCGACAGCTGCTCGAGTCCCGAAATCTTTAGAGGTGAACTCGTTCTCTCGCTCTTATCCTTTCCTGTTTTCTCTCCCCCCTCCCTCTCTCCCTCTTCCTTCGCCTCCGCTGCACTCTCTGCTCGATCGGTCCAAGGTACGTGTGGTTTTGGCCAGCTGAAAATTTATCCCCTCCTGTCCTTCCCGGCATTGGCATGTGTGGTTGGACGCCCACCTAAAGCATCCAGGTTGATTTCTCCGGTGGCTAATCACACTACCCAAATAGCCCCGTTTTTTCTCTAGGCTCAGCGTTTCGCAACGCTCCGCTTCCGCGTGTCCGTCCGTGCTTTTCTTTCTCTGGAGCCTTGATAGATATCTTCACACCTTTTTCTTCCTCTCTACATTCAATACCTTTTTTTTTTTTTTTTTTGCCATCTCTCGCCCCCTCCCCGATATTATTTTTCCATCTCCTCTCCTCACCCTTCTGGGATCCCGTCCTATTATTCGTCTGCGTGATTTACGGCATCGAAATCGGCCGCCATGTCGGGAAAAATGACGTTGTATAAGTTGGTGGTGCTGGGGGATGGTGGTGTTGGAAAAACCGCGCTCACAATTCAGGTTAGTTTCTTGAACAACCCCCCACCTCCTCGCCGATGACAATCGCAATGGGCCTGTGACTGAACTCGATCCGTGGTGGGTGTTCTAATAGCTTTGTTTAAATCACTTCGTCGAGACCTACGACCCAACCATCGAAGACTCGTACCGAAAACAAGTGGTGATCGACCAGCAATCCTGCATGTTGGAGGTCCTCGATACTGCTGGTCAAGAAGAATATACCGCACTACGTGACCAATGGATCCGCGATGGGGAAGGCTTTGTCCTCGTTTACAGCATCACCTCCCGCGCCTCCTTCGCTCGCATAACCAAGTTCTATAGCCAGATCAAGATGGTCAAGGAATCGGCCAATTCGAGCTCTCCATCGGGCGCCAGCTACCTCAGCTCCCCTATCAACTCGCCCACTGGCCCTCCTCTTCCCGTTCCCGTGATGCTGGTGGGCAACAAGAGCGACAAGGCCGTCGAACGCGCAGTCTCCGCACAAGAGGGCCAAGCCCTCGCGAAAGATTTGGGATGCGAATTTGTCGAGGCGTCCGCGAAGAATTGCATCAACGTGGAAAAGGCATTTTACGATGTGGTGCGCATGTTGCGCAACCAGCGCATGCAACAACAACGACCTCAGGACCGACGACCGACCGGCTTGGGTCCGATGCGCGACTCTGGTCCCGAATACCCCAAATCCTTCCGCCCCGACCGTTCCAGACATCGCAGTGGGTTCCGGTGTACAATTCTGTGAGCTTGAGGTGAAGGTTGTCGATACAGTTAGGCCTGGTCGATTGATTTCTATTTCTGGCTGTCATTGCGAGTGGCTGAGATACGGCAGGACCCTTGCGGTTTTTCTTGTTTTTATTCCTTCGGTTTCGCGATCCTCCAGCCCACTGTTCGACCCGCCACCTCAGCCTCTTCTTCTTCTTCTTCTTCTTCTTCTTCTTCTTCTTCTTCTTCTTCTTCTTCTTCTTTTTTTTTTTTTTTTTTTATCTTACCCCTTTTTTTTTACATTTCTCTATCCAACCACTTTTTAGAGAGTTCATGCGAGCTTGCTCCATCTATATATACTTCTCTTGTTTATATTGGCTGCAAGAAGCCTTGCCGGTCCTCAGGCTCTTTACGCGGTGCTCAGTCTACTTTCTCTGTGCCTTCCCCTGTTACGCCTCATCTTTATTAGCGGAAATCTGCTTGGCTGCAATGGTGGATATGTGAATATGCTTGATGCATGAACTATGGATATTATCGTTATGTGTGGGAGGGGATCCCCTGAGTTTGTCGCAGGGTGTTTGGGGCATGTGGGCATCTTAACCGTATGTTTCAAGGGGCTGGGGACCCAAGATCTGTACTCGGACCATAGAGCACTCTTCCCCCCGGAACGCCTTGGATTTTCATCCTTCTACCTTTGATATCTTCATCCCCTTTCTTTTCGATCTATTTCCTCCTGAATCTCTCGGTTCCCCCGACTCTACTACTCCGACTCCCTGGATGGATGGTCTCGACGGGGACTGGAATTTCTCGGATAGAGATGGACTAGGAGGATTCCTCCCAGGTGGTTGAGACGAGGAGATTAGCTGGGTTTAGTGAGGGAGACTTGGTAAGGCGGGGGATGACGGGACGGAGCGGCAGAGTCGACCGTTTAGCAGGCATTGCGATATGATACCCTACGGCGGCTACTGAGCTTTGAGTTAGTGCCTTTTTTTTTTGTTCTCCGATGCATTTGCCCGCAAGCAATTCAACCGAAAAGATCCCGGATTTGATGAATACATTCGTGACCGATAGAACCATCCGCCATCCACGGAGAAGCATTACTAAAATTGGAATTATACATGCGGAGGACATAATAAATAAAAAAGAATACAATAATATCAGATGCTTCAAATTCAAGTTCTTTCCGGCAGTGTGTCGGTAGTTAGTCCTGCGTCCATACCCCAGACACGGAACAACCAGTGCGGGGAAAGCTCTCTCCTCCAAGCCCAGGGAAGATCCATTCATCATCCATCCACCCGACCCTCGGTTGGTCTCGATTCCTTCTTTTATTCTTATGTGAAAGGTGATCCGCTGGTGTCTCTTCCCGGGTTACTCCTCTTCTCGCAACTCGACTCCCCTCTATTCGGATCCTGTCAACACAGCGAGCGTACCTTGCTTGCATCATCTGGTACAGGAATCTATCCAACCATGCCTCTTCACCCCCAGCAGCAAGTGCATGCGGCCTCACTCCAAGACCCGGAAAGCTTTTGGTCCCGTCACGCAGAGGAGCTCCACTGGCATCGTAAGCCGTCCCGTGCACTTCATCGATCCACCAAGGCCCTTCCCAGTGGCGCTGTTCATGATCATTGGGCCTGGTTTCCGGACGGGGAAATTTCCACCACCTACAACTGTGTTGACCGTCACGTACAGAATGGCAACGGGGACAATGTCGCTATCATCTGGGACTCTCCCGTGACGAACACCAGAGAGAAGTACACCTACCGACAGTTGCAGGATGAAGTTGAAGTCCTCGCGGGCGTGCTAAGGGAAGAAGGGGTCCGCAAGGGAGATGTGGTCATCATTTACAGTAATCCCCTGGTTTTTTTTTATTTATTTTTATTCTCTCTCTCTCTCGTGACTGAGTGAAACCCCTGCTAATTCAAGTGCAGTGCCTATGGTCCCCGCGGCCCTGATCGGTGCTCTAGCAATTGCGAGACTGGGGGCTATCCATGCCGCCGTCTTTGGCGGGTTTGCAGCCAAGTCGCTTGCCCAGCGCATTGAAGCTGCACGACCACGGGCGATCCTCACGGCGTCCTGTGGAATTGAAGGCTCCAAGGGTCCCATTCCCTATCGACCACTGGTGGAGGGAGCAATTGAAGCTAGCAGCTTCAACCCGGAAAAGGTGCTTGTGTGGCAGCGCGATCAGCTGCGGTGGGACAATCCCGACAAGGTGCGAGGACAACGGGATTGGCAGTGCTTGGTGAAGAGTGCGCGGGTACGCGGTATTCGGGCTGGTCCAGTGCCGGTCAAGAGCACAGACGGGCTATATATCATCTACACCAGTGGTATAGTTTCTTAACAACCCCTCCTTTTTCAGAAAAAAAAAAAAAAAACTGATGATAATGTGCAGGTACCACTGGACTTCCTAAAGGAATTGTTCGGGAGGCAGGTGGGCATGCAGTCGGTCTCAGCTTATCGATCAAGTACCTGTTCGATATCCACGGGCCTGGTGATGTCATGTTCTGCGCTTCCGACATTGGATGGGTCGTGGGCCACTCATATATCCTCTACGCACCGCTGCTGGTGGGGGCAACGACCGTGTTGTTTGAAGGCAAGCCTGTGGGGACCCCCGATGCGGGGACCTTTTGGAGAATCGTGGCGGAGCACAAGGCCAATGTGCTGTTCACTGCACCCACGGCGCTTCGAGCCATCCGCAAGGATGACCCCGACAACCGCTATTTTGAAGCAGCTGCCGGGAACGGAAACCTACGGCACCTACGGGCTCTATTCCTCGCGGGCGAAAGGAGCGAGCCTGGCATTGTGCGGACTTATCAGGACCTGCTAACCAAACACGCCGCTCCTGGGGCTGTGGTCGTGGACAATTGGTGGTCATCGGAATCCGGATCTCCTATTTCGGGGCTGGCGCTTCGAAGCGCGGTGGGACGGGCGGCACCGCAGCGTGAGGAATTTTTTGAAGCTGCACCATTGGCTATTCGTCCTGGTTCCGCGGGGCTGCCAATGCCAGGGTTTGACGTGCGAGTGGTCAACGATGCGGGAGTAGAGGTGGCCCCAGGGACAATGGGGAACATTGTGATGGCCCCGCCGTTGGCTCCGACGGCGTTCACGAGACTCTTCAACGATGACGAGAGATTCTACAGGGGGTACCTCAGGCGGTTCAACGGACGATGGCTGGACACGGGCGACGCCGGCATGATCGACGGGGACGGGTATATCCATGTAATGTCGCGTTCCGACGACATTATCAACGTAGCCGCGCATCGATTCAGCACAGGTCTGTCTGTCTTTCTTTTTTTTTCCCCTTTCGATTCTAAGCGGAACTAATCAACACCGAAAAAAAAAAAAATTAAAAATAAAAATAGGCGCCATCGAACAGGTCATCCTCTCCCATCCGGACATCAGCGAAGCCAGCGTGGTGGGCATCCCAGACGCCCTGAAGGGCCATCTCCCCTTTGCCTTTGTGCAGCTCAAGCAGCCCCCCGGAGGCGCTGCGCTGCCGGCGCGCCCGACGCGAGAACTGTTCAACGCCGTCAACCAGCTCGTCCGCGAGCAGATCGGGGCGATCGCGTCGCTGGGCGGCATGATCCAGGGCCAGGGGATGATCCCCAAGACGCGCAGCGGTAAGACATTGCGGCGGGTGCTGCGGGAACTGGTGGAGCAGGGGGTCCTCCGGGGGGAGTACGCTGGGGCCGTGAGTATTCCACCGACGGTGGAGGATGCGTCGGTAGTGGAGGTAGCGCGGGAGAGGGTGCGGGAGTATTTTGCCAAGGCGAAACTCTAGCTAACTAAGTATACTTGCCGTCACTTAACTATACACAAGGGAAAGAATAGTAGTAAGAATTAAACAATTAACAAAATAATCAATATCCATCAAGAACTCGAATTGAAAGTAAGTAATGACAAAAAGGTATCTTCTCCTTCTCCTCCTCCTCCTCCTCCTCATCCTCACTCATTCATTCACTCACTTCATTCACCAAACAGTAAAGTAAAGTAAAGTGGAGTAAAGTAAAGTAAATAGCCTTACAAAAGATAAGCCACGAGCCCGAAAACCCCCGCCAGCCCGGCCCCAGCACCCACAGCCAGACGAGACGCCGCGCCCGTGAACGTCGGGCCCGCAGGCGAAGTGGCGGACCCGGTGGCGGCCACGTTGGTCGGAGCAGCGGAGACCAGGGAGCTCGAGGCGGAGGAGACCGCCGCGGCGGAGCTTCCTGATGCTGATCCTGAGCCCGGGATGACGGGGACAGAGGAAGCGGGGACGGCGATAGAAGTGGGGGAGGTGCTTTTTTTTTTATCATTAGTTTTTTTTTTTTTTTTTTTTTCAGGATTTCAGGAGGAGAAGAGGGCTAGGGGTCGTACCAGGTGGTGCAGCGGGTGACGGTGGAGGTGATCAGGGGACGAGTGACGGTGTAAGGGCCGTTTGAGAGGGTGACGATTCCGGCCTATTTAGTTAGTTTATATATATATTTCATGTATATAATTCAGAATGTATCATGGAAACGTACCGATGGCACAGCAATGGTCTCGGATCCAGCCGTCAGGGTCGTGGCTTCGGGACAGAACGTGGTATACTCGGTGACCACGACAGTCGTGTACTCTTCTTCGGCGGAGACAGAGGCAACGGCACCTGCGGCGAGAGCAGCAACAACGGTAGCAGCGAAAGAGAACTTCATTTTGGCTGAGAGAGAGAAGTTAAAAAAGGTATAAAAGGTTGAAGAAGAAAAGATATGTGAATTGAGAGTGTATAAGTTGTCAAGAGTGTAAAGAGTGTACTCGGTGCAAGACCGGAAAGGTTGGCAGACGGACGGAGGAAGTGAGAGACTGGAGAAGAAGAAGAAGAAGAAGAAGATGAAGAAGAAGGAGAAAAGAGAGAGATTAATATAACTCAGGAGTCAACTAACTAACTAGCGCTTTAGTTTGATTTCCCCTTACAATTGACAGGATCTCCACGTTCCCATTGCATGTGTTGGACCAGTTAAAGAGTCCCGTCCAGGCAATAGTCTCCTTGCTCTTTGTCCACTGGGATATGTATGTACTATGTTCTTTCAGTCTTACCACACAAGCAAGGCAAGTCTAGACTGTCTCGTACTTTTCGGTTCGCCCAGGAGAAAACTCAAGAGATAAAATGGTGGTATTCATTATTCTAGATCTAGTCTGCATCCTATTCCAGTACTCATCAACCTGACTTGGTCGTACACAACTTTCCAATCTGGTGGTTCATTGTCCCTAATGGATGGTGAGAGGCGGGGACATGGCCGCATCGCCCGGGAATCAACTCGAAAGCCGTTCCACGAGATCTGACCAGCAAGACGCCATTCTTCATTTTGGATTTAGTTGTGTGAGGGAAGAAATCCAAATTGCGAGACGGAGCCGATTTTAAAAAGGGGGGTTCCACGTGACACCCGTAAGCGAGGGATTATCGTTTGTCCGCTGCACAGACCATGTCGGAGATGCTATCCCCAATTCGGCTTAGTCCCGTTGGCTTCCCGCGGGCAACGGCGGACGTCACGTTGTCCGAAGATACGAACGGCGGAGAGAGCTGCCTTCCTATCTACTTACTTATACTCGCGCCTTTTCTTCTTCGTCTTCCTCTTTCTCTTCCGCTTTTCCTCGTTGTCTGCCTCCTTCTCCAGCTCTATCTCGCCTCAGATCCCCAATCCTATATTCGTCATGCTGGGTCGCTGTGGTCGACAGGCCTCGCGCCTGCTCCCGCGTCCTGCCACCACCACTCCTCTCCGACCGCTCCCCGTGCAATGGCATCGCATGGTGTCGTCAGCCTCTGGAGATGGTCAGCAAACGGTGCGCGATTCGATTTCTCCCAGGATGAGGCCAACCGCATAGCTAATTGGTGTAGCTCCTCTCCGCGTCGCTCAAAGAAGCTGACCCCACGGTTTTCAGCATCGTCCAAAAGGTGGGCCTGCTGCCGCCCTCCCGCGGGCGCATCGCAACTCCGGCTGACCCCAATTGCAGGAGAAAAAACGCCAGCAGCACTTTATCAACTTGATCCCCTCCGAGAACTTCACGTCCCAGGCCGTTCTGGACGCCCTGGGCAGTGTAATGCAAAGTTTGTGCTTGCAACCCGGCCATTGAGCCCTCAATACTAAGTCCCAGCTAGATAAATACTCCGAGGGATATCCCGGTGCCAGATACTACGGTGGAAACGAGTTTATCGATGAGGCCGAGAGGCTCTGCCAGCAACGCGCTCTTGAAACTTTCCGTCTGAACCCCGAGGAATGGGGTGTCAATGTACAGCGTGAGGCTGCCCGGGAAACCCCCCCCCTCGCCCCCCCTCCTTGGTAAAGAAGAAAGTTAACCTGGACAGCTCTTTCTGGTTCCCCCGCCAATCTGTATGCCATTTCCGCCCTCCTCAACACACACGACCGTCTGATGGGTCTGGATCTCCCCCATGGAGGCCATCTATCCCATGGTTATCAGACCCCCACCAAGAAGATCTCCTTCATCTCCAAATACTTCGAGACCCTGCCCTACCGTCTGGATGAGTCGACCGGTCTGATCGATTACGACGCCCTCGAGAAGCAGGCCCTGCTTTACCGTCCCAAGCTCATCATCGCCGGTACCTCGGCCTACAGCCGTCTGATTGACTACGCCCGCATGCGTCAGATTGCCGACCAAGCCGGGGCCTACCTCCTCAGTGATATGGCGCACATCTCCGGTCTGGTCGCCGCCGATGTGCTCCCCTCTCCATTCGCTTATTCCGACGTCGTGACCACCACTACCCACAAGTCCCTCCGCGGTCCTCGTGGAGCCATGATCTTCTACCGCAAGGGCGTCCGCCGGACGGACAAGAAGGGCAACCCGGAGATGTATGACCTCGAGGGCCCCATCAACGCTTCGGTCTTCCCCGGCCATCAAGGTGGCCCTCACAACCACACCATCACTGCGCTGGCTGTTGCTCTGCAGCAGGCGCAGTCGCCCGAGTTCAAGGCCTACCAGGAGACGGTCCTGGCCAACGCCCAGGCCCTCTCCGAGCGCCTCGGCGGTCCCCTCAGCAGCGGGGGGCTAGGCTACAACATCGTCTCCGGCGGCACCGACAACCACCTTGTCCTGGTTGACCTGAAGAACCGTGGCGTGGACGGAGCCCGCGTCGAGCGTGTCCTGGAGCTGTGCGGGGTTGCCAGCAACAAGAACACCGTCCCCGGTGACCGCTCCGCTCTGAAGCCCGGCGGTCTCCGCCTGGGAACGCCCGCGATGACCACTCGGGGATTCCAGCCCGATGACTTCCGCCGGGTTGCGGATATTGTCGACCGGGCCGTGACGATCACACAGAAGCTGGACAAGACGGCCCGGGAGAGTGCCACTGCCAAGGGAGTCAAGAACCCCAATACCGTCAAGGCGTTCCTGGACTACGTTGGCGGAGGGGAGGAGATTTCCGAGATTGTGCTGTTGCGACAAGAAGTGGAGGATTGGGCGGGTACCTTTAGTCTTCCATGGGCGAAGGATTAGATTTTTTTTTTTTTTATGTATTATGTTTCAACACTGATGAGAGCCTCAACGTTAGATTTCTTTTTATTTCAATATCCTACTTTATTTATTACTGAATTAAGAACCTCCACGGAATTTATATCACGTCAAACTGTGTCCGGTGCTAGAGCTTAGATGATTATGCGACCGGTGGATGCCCAAATATTTCCCTTTGCGGAAAAAACTGATGGTATACAGAAATTCGGCTGCCTATTTTTTCTTGTAATGCCTATAGTTAAACTGGTTAATAATAAGATAAAATAAAAATAACATCATCATCATCATCATCATCTACGGAGTAACCGTTATTAGCCACAGCTGAACTGACGTCGGCTGTGCAAGATTCTTAACCTCTCCATCGTTTCTCTCCCTTTTCTTCTCTCGTCTTCATCCTCTCCCTCTTCCTTTCTTCCCCATCAACGAAATCTACCTTGGACTACGATTTACATGGATCAAATTCGTCGTAAAGATACCACCAAGGGCCCTCCCCTGAGGATCCTGTCGCTGGGTAAGACTCGCCACTTTCCCCTCTCCCTCTATCCCCCTCCAGACACCCAACACTAACGGATTAGACGGCGGTGGCGTGCGAGGTTACTCCATGCTTATCCTCCTCCAGGAGCTCATGCATCGGATCTATGTCGAAACTGAAGGAAAGCCCCCGCATCGCGACCAGATCCCCAAGCCATGCGACTATTTCGACCTCATCGCCGGCACCGGAACGGGCGGCTTGATCGCTCTCATGCTGGGGCGCTTACGCCTCGACCTCGAGACCTGCAAGGATGTCTACGTGCGCATGACTCGCCGTGTGTTTGAGACCGACAAGACTATCGCCGGCATCCCCTTCCGGTCGACCCTGTTCAAGGCCTCGAAGTTGGAAGACGCGATCCGCGAGTGTGTGCGCGAACATACCGTTTTCGAGGCCGAGGGTAACGATCTCTCGTCGAATAATCCGACTAGCCCGACAGATGCCCCGTTCAGTCCGGCGTCCTTTTCTACGGCTTCGATTCCCCAACGGTCGGGCAGCCGCGCCAGTATTGGTAGCCAGGGAACAGGCCATTCTGCGACGAACCGCAACTCGGCTTTTATTAATGGTCTGCGCTGGGGCAATCCAAATGCGCTTCTATATGACAATAGGGAAACCCGGACAAAAACGTATGACTTCTCTCTTTCCTTTTCCTGTTTCGGTCGTGCTAACCGTTCCCAGTGCTGTCACTGCCTTGTACAAGGGAACCCCCAAGAATGGGGCCGCCGTCCTCCTCCGATCCTACGATTCCCGCCGAGAGCCTGCTCCCGAGTTCAACTGTACCATCTGGCAAGCTGGTCGCGCTACATCCGCGACTGGCCTGGCTTTCAAACCCATTCAGATCGGACAGCACATGTTCATCGACGAAGGCCCCGGCACGTACAACCCCTCGCCCCAGATTCTCGACGAAGCGACCGTCAACGAATGGCCGGGCCGAGAAGTCGGCGTTTTCATCAGTGTCGGGACCGGGAAGCGCCCACCAAACACGAACAGTCGCCAGCACGAGTGGTGGGAGGACTTTTTTGGAGACGCTCTCGGAACATTCGCCGAGGCTCGTCGTCGGCTGATCTCGAAGATCGAAGGCTGCGAGGATATCCATCGGGACATGCTTCGCGATCATCTCCCGAAGCGCAACGTGAACAAGGACCACTATTATCGGCTGAATGTGGAAGTTGGCGTGGGGGAGTTCGGCATGAACGAGTGGAACCGCCTGGCCGACATCAGCACCAACACCCGCCGCTACCTCACCCGGCCGGACGTGAAGAAGATGATCCTCGACGCCAGCGTCAAGTTCGCAAAGATCGAGCGCATGCACCGCCGGCTTGCCGCCGCCGCCGCTGCCGCCGGGGGCCCAGGGTTCGACCCCAACTCGATTCTTTACGATGACGACCATTCCTCCTTGGCTCCGAGCCCTCAACTGTCGGCCGTGACGCCGGCGGGACCACCTCCACCGCCGCACCCGATCGCCTTCGAACTGCCTGCCGAGCTACCGGGCGACTTTTTCCCACTCCAGTATCCCTCGGAAGACCAGATCACGCGCCCATCCTCTGGCCGAGCATCCGGCAGCGACCTCGTCTCGCCAGAGCACAGTCGGCCGCCATCCCAGGCATACGGGTCGCCGCCTCTTCTGAGCGTCGAGCAGGGCTATGATCCCGGCCGTCTGACGAACCTCGCCCCGCCCGTCCCTCCCAAGACACCGATGCCATATCCGGACCCGGTCGAGTTACCGGGGATTCCCATGCCGATGCCATCAATGGGGGGGGGAAGTCACCCCCCGATCGCGTCGACCGCTCGACCGCCGTATCCGATTGACGAGGCACCGGTGGTGAACAAGCAGCGGAAACCGAGTTATCATGTGCGATGAATTTTTTTTTTTTTTTTTTCTATCATTATTGGCGTTGCATGTATATATATATATACCCTTAGAGTAATGGATTATGACTGTTTACTTATCGATGGACTACGTATGTAGATGTAGATATATACTCTTCAGTCGTAGTCGTAGTCGTAGTCGTAGTATAAAGTACCAACTGTAGTTTTTGCCATAGTTCACCGAACCCGCCACGCATATGCACCACGGGTTGTTGCAGCTGAAACGGCACCAATCTTAGTATATATAACTATATACTCATATATTATATACTCATATAATATACTCATATAATAATTATATGAGTATCAGAGTCATTTCCATTCTATTGATTTATACTCTATACCCTATAATTAATCAGAATCAAGGAATCAAGGAATCAGTCGGGATTATGTAACAAACAAATACAAATCCCAACCAATACAAGGAATATATATATATCACTTTCTCCCAAGGTACTGTACTACTCAGAAGTACTCCGTATCTCGCACAAGATCACATTAACTTACCTACCAAACGAAACTAGGTAGGTAGGTCCATACGTGGTTGCTCTCCCGGCCACTCGATCAAACGGGATCGTCTGACGGTGGATGAACCCAACCAATCAGGTCCCTACCTACCTACCCTGACAGCTTTCTTTCTTTCTTTCTTTCTTTCTTTCTCCTTGGGTTCGATCACGGGCGCAACGGAGTACGCCGTCTGTATGTGTACGGAGTACTCGTACTCTGTATGTATGTATGTATGTATGTATGTATGTATGTCAGGATGGATGGTCGATCGCGCACGGGTAACCGCGGAACATGCAATGTACGGTTATTTACTGCTTGCAGAGCCCACCGGTTAAGTACTAGTAGTAGTACTAGTAGTAGTACTACTAGAGTCTAGTAGTAGTAGTAGTAGAGTCGTCTGTATTACCGAGTCGAGGTATTAACTCGTGAACTCGTGAACTAGTTAACCATGGGCACGGACTAGTGGAAGCTATGGCATGAGTAAACTTATACTTGTAACTACTTAGTCTACTTGTATGTAGATAGAAAGGTGATCATTTTTTTTCCTGTGTACGGAGTTCTCAGATGTAGGCTGCATGCCGGCTGCACGGCTGCAGGTACGCCGGACTTGATTCCGGAAGAATCTCTAGTATATAGTTATATATATATATATATACTTATGTCGTCTAACCTCATAATCGCGAGACATGTGTCCTTCTGAATCGAGTAGGAGCCTCCGGGTACCCTTACCCTAGGGCCTAGTTCTAGGGCCTAGGGTCGAGTTGAATTGTATTGTGACGGTATGAAAAAAAGAACCCACATAATATTATATGATATTATATATATATATATAATCATATCATATTATCATAACTGAAAAAGGTGCATTTACGCTCTCCGTTCTAGCGCTGACTGGGAACCTCCCCATCGTCCAATGAATCTTCGGATACTCGCCCGCCAACAAACAAGACCATTATTGCTAGCAGGTAAACAGCTCTGGATGCGCTGTCAAGTCACTTAATCGTCACAGTGGAGTAAGAGTGGTCAGCTGGTCATTTTTACTTTACTTTTCTTTTCTTTTCTTTTCCTTCTTCCCAGACAAGACCACGTACATACTGCGAGCCCTGGAGGACTCTTCTGTTTTTTTCTTTGTCTTCTAGAGAGCCCCGCAAGATCTGCTTGCTGTATGTACGCGGCTGCGGGTGTCGGGCCGTCCGTAGCGGATTCCAAGGCACTAGTAGTAGTAGTAGTAGTAGTAGTAGTAGTGGTAGTATCCTCATCTTCTATCGCAGGAGCTGGATGGAGATTGTAGTATTACAGAAGACTGAGAAGAATAGACTCGATGTCGATCCGATCAAGTCCTGTTTCTCGCACAGCACTAAGAAGACTTAACTAGTTATTATTATCTCCCCCTCTTTTTTCTCCTGCTGACATGAAGAGTCAAGACTAACACGGGCCGCTCCGTGCATTGTGCTCGAGATGGTGCGAGATTGCATCCTCTGGTCTAGTAAGGAGTCAAGAATCTGGAAAAAAAAAGGTATATACCATCCGATTTTTTCCACCTATCTACCTCGTCGATGTCTACCTAAATCGAGGCCCCCCCCCCCCCCCCCTCTCCACTAGTTTCCGGAGTTGGGGTCAGGGTATTATATTATATACCTGGTTCTCCCTGGTAGGTTGACCGGGGCATGTCGGCTGTACGTAGGAGCTGCTAAGTACCACCTAGACTAGCTAGGGTAGCAGAAGCTAGGGTAGCTAGGCCATCTTGAGACGCAGGAAAAGTTACATTCACGCAAGGGGGGGGGAGGTTAAACAAAAAAAAAAGGGTTCCGGACCTATCATTCCCTACCCAAGTCTTCAGTCAGCCGAGCCATGGACAACTGAACTGGATTTGGAATGATAGGATTATCAGGCGAAACAGCGGTGAGGCCTATACTACTCTTCTTTCTCTCTCTCTCTCTCTCTCTTTTCATTTCGTTTCGTTTTCAAGTTCTCGGCCTGAGGGACTCCGATGGTCACACTGTATTCGCCCGTAATGAAAATAAATAACCGATTCCCCGGGGGTTATTGTAGACCGGCTTCCGTATTCGTTCTCTTGGAGATAGAATTCATAATGTGAATATAATAATATATTATGAATATATTATGAATATACAATCGAGACCACTCCTACCTCTCATGTACGGAGGGTAGTTGATGATGATGATGATGATGATGATGATGTACATACATACATACATACATGTATGTATGTATGTACATGGGATTTGCACCTAATCTAATTAAGTCACATCTCAACTACTACTCCATCGCTCTAGATGGAAGAAATTGCTTCGGACTAATTTCACTCCAGTCCATCGGCATCGATAGTGTGACAGGATGCTGAACTGGCCAGCCAGAACCAATCGTTGACGCGTTGCCATCGGTTGGGTTGGCGGGGGTTAGCATTTCAAGGAAATGAACGGGGTTGGAATCGTTTTTTTTTTTTTTTTTCCCCTTGACCGACTCGAATCCGTCTGATACATCCAACTGGGATTCCTCTTTTAGCCATGAGTATCGATAGATAGTATCGAGCAGTTGATCGACTTTGCTCTCTCGCGCCCACTTTGGTTTCGTGGTGCATTCTGGGCCACTGGTTCCTCCTGCTGGCTGCAAGAATCCCTGCCGTCTGTGCAACAGTCCTTCTTTTTTTTTTTCTTTTCTCGCGTGCGTGCATCTCCTCTGGTTCTGTTTAGAATATGAATGGATTCTCGTGCAAGTCATCTTCTTCTTCCCAATCGTCTCACCACTCTCCCCAACTCGTCAGCATGACCCGTCATCATCTCTTTTGCTCCGATCGTGTGGTGAGTCGTGACTTGTCAAGCCCCCGTCCGTCCTTCCCTGACGAGAATACGATACTACTACAGAGAGAGAGAGAGAGAGAGAGATCCACTTGGGCGGGAGGCTTTCTCTAGCAAGAAAGCTCGGTGACAGCAGTTTAATTTTCGGGATTATTATTAGTATCATGAGTTGTAACCCTTGTCCGGACACCGCCATTTGGATTCCCCCTTTTATGAAGCTTGGGGTGTCCGTCCCTTCAAGGGTTCTAGTTATTGATTCGATCCACCCTGGTTAGGACTACACAAATCTTGCATTGAATAACTCGAGATAAGTCTGTTCTGGTAATCACAGTCAGCACTCTGATAACTCACTCGACCGTGGAAGAGCGCGGGATGGTCCTGGGTTCGATAACTATATATCATCCACAGTGGTTAATTCTCTTCAGCCTTGCTTCGTCGACTCGTCGGTTGTCATCTGGATCCACCTTTTATTGGATTTCCGTTCAGGTTTTTTTTTTTTTTTTCCTGTAAAATATAATACTATAATAATAAGAATAATAAGAATAATAAGAATAATAAGAATAATAATAATAATAAGATTGATGATTATATGATGGTGATTCGGAAATTGCGGTTGATTTCTTTTTAAGACCAGTACAGGGACTGACGAGATCGTTTATCCTCTTCTTTTTCTCCTCTTCCCCCAGCAAATTCATTCCCTTGCAGCAGCAGGTCTCAACAAGAAACTGGTGATCCAACCCATTTACACGTGTGGTCCGTTCCTTTTCCTTTCTCTTCGTTTCCCCTCTTTCTCGGTCTATCTGAGTCTACTCCGTATCTCCTTCATCCTCCCTTTCCCCGCCTCTTTTTGTTTGTGCTCCCAGCCTCTCCCTCTCTCTCTCTCTCTCTCTCTCTCCCCCCTCCCTTTTGCATCTTCTGTCATGATCGCCTGCCGAAGAACTTTTCTTTCTACCATCATCATCCCTTTCGTTTGACGCCTTTTATACATACTCTCCCCGCTCGTCGCTCTTCTCTTCTCTTCCTCAATACTCTAATGACTGGAACGCTCGACTCACGATTGCTTGCTGCGGTTTTTGTTTTTTTAGACGGTTCCTCCCTTCTCCACGACTTGCGACGACTGGTGATTGGGACCTCTCCCCGCCCTTTTTTTTTCTTACGACTTGAAACGAGACCCATGATTTCGTCCTTCTGATTCTTCGTTGAGCGAGCGTCAACCCAAAGCGTTTTCACGGTTACGACGTTCCACGAAGCTTGCCACGATTGCATCTTGCATTTTTCGCATTGCCTGTTGGAGCCTCTGCAGTATTGACTTTTGCCCTTGTAACGACTTTGCATCTGTTCTCCCATTTAACCGCGCAACCATTTACCTGGCATTGGATTTATTTTTCTCTTTCCTCCTGTCAATAACGTTGGACCTTGTCAAGTCTGACGTTCAACTACGGGTTCGTTTCTTAAACCGTTTCCCCCCCACCGAAAAACTGGAGCTACCGTCGATTTCCCAGGTCCACACTCGAGGTCCTGTTGACATTCCCTGGTATAATCATCACGCGGCAGAGAGACCTCTGTTGTCTGGCGACAAGCTTCCGGCTCTCAGTTTACCCACGGCCTCGCAGCCGCCCCTATCGGGCCTGGCCTATCGGACGAGCTACGAAGACGGGTCCGCGTCGTCTACCAGCAGCAGCGCGCGAACGAGTCTGTCTGGTCCCGCGCCGGTGATCGAAGCGAGAAGTCCTCCGTCCTCGTCTGCTGATCTGCCCGGGTCAGCCCCCCCGGATTACAGTCTCCCCCCGAGCTCCGTGGCCGAGAGCTACTATCCAAGCCAGACTCAACTCACCACCAGTATGAACCAAACACAAGCGTATATGGACGTGCATTCGTCCCATCTGTCGTCCGGACAGCCGTATGCATCCCATGCTGCAACCGCGGGAGCACTGGCGCATTACCCGCAGTACCATCAGCAGCCACCGGTGCTTCAGCCCACAGCCACATATGGGCCAGCCAGCTCCTACTCACCGTATGCTTATCCTAATGGGGTAACATCATCCCAGTCCGCGCCACAACCTCCAACCACCTCGATGAGCAATCAGGTTCCGGCTCAATTACTCCCTCTACCAGGTAAAGCTTTTTTTTTTTTTTTTTTTTTTTTTTTTTTTTTTTATATATATTTCAAAGAGTATTCTGACTGACCGTTGTAGTGACCAACCATGCGGTCGCGGCCCCAGGCTATGGTAATAGCACCGGCACTCCGATGCAAGGGTACGTTTATGATACCACGGGGCAAGTCGCACCTCCGGGCGCCAAACCCAGGGTCACTGCCACGCTATGGGAGGACGAGGGAAGTCTTTGCTACCAAGTGGAAGCTAAGGGTGTATGTGTTGCCAGAAGAGAAGGTGAGAGAGAGAGAGAGAGAATCCAGATGGGGTCGGGTGAAAAGAATGTGGGCTAACGGTCGTAGATAACCATATGATCAACGGAACTAAACTGCTGAATGTTGCAGGCATGACCAGAGGCCGGAGAGATGGCATTTTGAAGAGCGAAAAGATTCGCCATGTTGTCAAGATTGGCCCCATGCACTTGAAGGGTGTTTGGTATGTCTCGCTGCCCCTTTTTTTCTCCTGTGGCCTCTTCCTGATGAGCATAGGATTCCATTCGAACGTGCCTTGGAGTTTGCCAACAAGGAGAAGATCACAGATCTGCTATACCCCTTATTTGTCCACAACATTGGTGGCCTGCTGTACCACCCAACCAACCAAACGCGAACCAACATGGTGGTTCAGGAGTCACAACAGCGTCGACTCGAAGGTCCCCCACCAGCTCGCACCTCTCAAGGCCCTCCTCAACCTCCTAGCCTCCATCATCACCACCACCACCACCACCATTCCTTGCAAACCCCCGTCCCGACTCATATGCCTCAACCCCATGCCATGGCGTCCCAGCCCGGAGGCCGTCCCTCTTTGGATCGCGCTCATACATTCCCCACCCCACCTGCGAGTGCCTCGAGCCTCATGGGGATTACCAGCCAAGGCAGCTCGTACGAGTGGAACCAAGGGATGAACTCGGGCGTGCCAAATTCACAGCCTCTGTCGATCGATACCGCGTTGAGCCGGTCGATGCCCACCACGCCCGCCACCACCCCGCCCGGCAGCAATCTGCAAGGAATGCAGTCGTTCCAGAATCCCGCGGGCTACGACAGCTCCAAGCCCTACTATTCCGCGGCTCCTCCTTCCCACCCCCATTACGCGCCGCAGCAACCCTTGACGCAACAAGCCATGGCACCATATGGGGGCCACCCGATGCAGACCAACACTTACCTCAAGAGTGAAATGGCACCGCCTCCCTCGGGACGCCCATCGGGACAGTCCGAGACCGACGCGGCTGATGTCAAGACGGACCGTTATGCCCAAAGCAACGGACATGTGACCGGGGGAGCCCCGGAGCCTGTCCCTGCGGAGCACGAGTCGGAGTATGTTCAGCAGGACAACTCTGGGTACAATGCTAGCCGCGGTTCCTACACTTACACGACAAACCCTTCCGTTGGTAGCCTTGCCGGGGATCCCTCTCAGCTCACACCCGACATGACTGGTTCCCCATCTCAACCGAATGGTTCCGGACGGATGACTCCCCGCACCAGCGGTGCTGCTCCTCAATGGCCGTCCGGATACCATACTCCTCCGCCGCCTCCTCCTCCTCCTCCCCGCCCTGCAGCGGCGGGGAGCCTGTACAATATTGTCAGCGACACTCGAGGCACTCCTTCCGATACTTACTCGGTGGCATCCACCTCAGCCTCGGCTTACTCAACCGCTATGAACGGATCTCTCGGATCCAACAAGCGTATGCGCGACGACGACGACGATGTGGATCGCATTGTTCGTCCTGACAGCCGTGGCGGAGACTATGAGAGTAAGCGCCGCAAGACTTTGACCGAAGCGACTGTGGGCGGCCCCGTCGGCGGCGTTCCTCTTGCTCTGCAACCCATGAAAGCCGGTGGGGGTGTGATGGCTCGTCGTCGTTAAAAAATTCTCTCCCAAAGACAATCGACACACGGACAAAAGAAAAGAAAAGAAGAAAAAAAAATTCCTAAAAAAAATCCTAAAAATGGGAACAGAGCACAGACAAAAAAAAAAAAGGATGGTTGGACTAGGGTTGAATCTCTTTGGGGTGCATTGCGGTTTTTCTTTTTTTTTTTTTTAACTCTAATAGAATACGTTTCCCAGCGTGCTCATGTAATCTGGCGGGGTCTCCCCCGTCGGACTTGACATGTCGGCACTCGGAACATACATATATTGGGCTTTTTTTGCGTTTGATCATGCTACGGATGTTAGACATGACACGGGTGGTGTCTACGAAGGAGTCTGCTTGGTCTGGGTATGGACCAGTTTCCGATCGGTACTATCTTGGGATTTGCTTGTGCGGGTGTTGATTGGCCATAGTTACATGTCGAGTGGATGACTTACCACTTTGACTACTCCCGATGCAAAAGTGGGATATGTTTTCTGGTGCAGCGTTCTTGAAGTCCTGTCTCTCTGGCCTTTGTTTTGGCGATTGTGCGATTGTTTTTGTGCCGGGGCTTATATTTACGACCATGATTGAGACGAATTTCCTTATTGAGATTTCTTTCTTTATACTGTTGTGGCTTTGCACTTGCATGTGGGTGGTAGTGGCATAAAAATGGATTCTTAGGTTTATTTCTGAGTAGTCAATTACTGGTCCTCGAGTTAACTATAGATAGTGCTCCCATCTAGTAACTATTCTACCATATACATATAAGCTTGCATTATCCATAGCTAATAGTTATAGATCTTAGAACATGACACTTTTTCAATGACATGGACAACTAACATGGACAACTAACATGGACAACTAACATGGACAACTAACATGGACAACTAACATGGACAAAATAACATGGACAAAATAACAGTTTCGTGACAGATTTACCGAGAAGCCACAGCTTTCTAAATTGAATTGGCAAGAAAAAAAAAATGTAGAGATAGATAGATAGATAATAGATATAGGGGGGGGGTTATTGTATTGTATTGTGTTGTATTTTATTTCTCCAGTTAATTTATGTTTTGTAGGTGAACAACACCCCCCCCCCCCCCCCCATACTCAAACAAGCCACGATTGCGTTTATCTAGCCGCCGCCGCCGCCGCCGCCCGGCAACGAAGTAAAGATCCGCTGCCAGATCTCCATCCACTGCTGCTGTTTGTAGGACAGAGGCCGCTGCGGATCGCGGAACATGGCCGAGAGGATTTCCCGGATCCGCGCGCTGAGGAGCTTCAAGGCCAGCATGGACTTGCAGTCGCGGACTGAGAAGCGCATGCGGTTTGCGTCGATGGAGACCACGCCGGAGTACATCTGCAGGATATAATTCATTAATAATTAGTGGTTCCATTTTTTCCTAGAGTGATTGAAAAGGCCCGCGGGCGGGGAGGGGGAAGGGAACACGCCTTGTAGTCGGCCTCGCCGCACAGCAAGGCAATGGCAAAGTCGTCGGCCGCGGTGGTTTCGAACGCGTTGTAGTTCCGGGTCCGGGTCCGGGTCCGGGTCCGGGTCCGGGCCTGCATGGTGAGGATGTGGTAGTAAGAGAGCCATTTGACGGAGCCCCGGTCGGCCTGCTTGTTCACTGAGGTCGGGTGCAGCGTTACGGTCTGGTTGTTTGCGACGTTGCGCCAGCCCTTGCCGTCGCGCGTGAGCAATTTCGGGTAGAAGCTCCACGCGATCACCGAGTGGATGATTGTGTCGTTGGCGCTGTTGGTGTCGTGTTCTGCGGGGATGGTGAAGAACTGTCGTTGGCGGGTTGAGCGTGCGCTTCTGCTGGTTAGCTTTTGTTGTTTTGTTTTTTAAAAGCAAAAAAGCGGGGGGGAAGGGGGGGATACCGGTTGAGAGCAACTTTCTGGGCTGCGTCGAGGGTGATTAGTCCGGCGTCGGCGATGGACACGATGAGCTGGAGTTTGACGTCTTCGATGTTGAGCAGAGTCTGCGAGCTGAGGAAGCTCTTGCGGCAAAAGGCGTATTCGTTGGTCCCCGGGGTGCTTCGGATGCGCTTCCAGGCGCAGTAGGCGTTGTACACCGTCAGCAGGTCCGAGTCGCCTGGTCGCTTGATTAGCTACGTACGGACGGGGCTTTAGACCCTGCCGGGGAATAACGTTAAAAACTTAACGTACCTCGTCTGAAGGATAGCCGGGCAACTTCCTTCTGGGTGTTGGATCCCATTGTATTCACAAAGGGGGACTTGCAGGACAGGATTGCTGCAATGCTGATCGCTGCGTCTAGGCACTTGAACCCCGCTCCGTGGATGATGAGTTTGCCGAGGAAGACGTCCAGCGGTAGCTTGGCGAGCTGCATCCCTAGTGGCGTTAGATTCTCCGCGTTCGTCAGAGCCTTGACCTCCTTGAGTGCGTCGATGGCCCTGCGGATGTTTTTCGAGGACGGCGCATCCAAGGCTTCCAACAACGTGGGCTCCACCTCTCCCAGCTTGCAGATCTTGACGCGCAGTACCAGATCCTGCAGTGATAGGCGAAGCATTTCTGGCGTTTGTTGCTCCGCGAGCTAGCTCTCATTAGATCCGGGATCGCTAATTACAACAGCCCAGGAGAAAACGTACCAGTTTATCATGTCGACGCTTCGTGAACAAGTGGAAACAAATACCCTTCTGCACTCGACCCGCGCGTCCTCGCCGCTGTTTGGCATTTGCTCGTGAGATAAATGCTTCTACCAGTCGTGACAACTGTCGCCGTTCGTCGAATCGCATTGTCTTTTCCTTGCCCGCGTCGATCACGGCGGTGATATCCGGGATTGTGATTCCCGTCTCCGCGATATTAGTGGCGATCACGATCTTGCGCATGCCCTCGGGGGGGACAACGAATGCCTTCTCTTGCTCTTCGCTGGCAATCGAAGAATGAAGAGCATGTATGATCCATCCTTGTTGAAAGATTGGTTCGGAGAGGATCTCGTCGTTTAAGCGACGAATCTCCGCCATCCCGGGCATAAAGACCAGAATAGCTTTGCTGTAGTATGCCATGTCCGGAGCAGTCGCAAGCTTGATTAGAAGCCTTCTGATGAGCTGATAATCCAGTCGGTATTCATCGAAATTCAGCACTGTTTCCCGTGTTTGCTTGGAATACGCATCCAATGTCGCCAACACACCACCAGCGTTGTTCTCCTGGTTAGCTTCCATGTCATCATCATCATCTTCTTCTTCTTCTTCTTCGTCGTCGTCATACGCCACGTTAGATTCGCTTTCAGACAGTCGGTACTGCGTCAGCTCGACCGCATCTTCCAAGAACTTTGTTTCCACTGGGAAAGTCCGCCCGGGGATATTCAGGACAGGCACGCCTCCAAGATATGCTGAAAACCGATTAGCCTCAAGCGTAGCCGACATGAGAATGAGCTTTAGGTCAGGGCGTTTCTGCATCAATCGCCGGAGAACAATGAGGAGAAAGTCACTATCGATAGAGCGCTCGTGCACCTCATCCAAAACCACATGAGTCACGTCTTGAAAGTCGTCTGGGCGCTCTAGCATTCGCACCACAACTCCGGTAGTCCTTATCCAGAGTAAGCGTAATCCTCGAAAAGCGGTTAAAAGAAAGACATACGCAAATACCAGCCTCGTTGCTGAACTGACCTTGCTCTCCAATCGGACGGCAAATCCGATAAGAGAGCGAGATGTCCCTACATCGGCCTTACTTTCGCCCAGCTCCTCGCTTACCCTACGTGCAAGGGATATAGCGGAGATTCGCCGCGGCTCGGTTACATAGATCTTGCAGGGCCGTCCTTGCTGCATCTCATGCTCCAGGATAAACGAAGGTATCTGGGTACTCTTGCCGCTTCCCGTCTCACTACAGATAATGAGCGCACGGTGAGAGTCAAGGGTACGGAGAATCTCATGTTTGAATTCCCAGATGGGGAGATTCATCCGGCCTTGAACCATGTACTGAAATGAAGGGGTCGATGACTTCTCCGCCCAGATTCGTTCCAGCTGGTTATTTTGCCCTAATGCATCTCTTGTCCCTGCTCTCACCGGAGAGCGGTGTTTGTTCGGTGTTCCGTTCCTTCGGCGGAAGTTGTCGGAAAGAACAATATCGTCCTCGAAGGTGCCCTGGTTTTCCTCTACCAGTTTTCTCAACTCCTTCACAACCTTCTTATCGGCTTCGTCTTCTTGAATCTTTTTGCTGTTTGCGAATTCGGTCCATAGCTCTCTCCAGGCCGCTGGAAGCCGCATGTAGGCCTTTCCTTCTTTCGAGTTCTGCGGGAAAAGAATGAAAAGTGCGAGGGTAGAAGCGAAGGCCTCGGCTTGCGGCGAGGTCGGAGTAGCTATTTGATCCATAGAGACGAACGTAGCGTATGAGCTGGAGTTGTGGGTGACTCCCTCTTGAGAAAATGGAAAGGGGACCTCCTGCGATTTTGACCATCTCACCTCCAATGCCATTCTATTCAAATGTGATGAAGAGGAGATGTCTTTGAAAATGAATTTACACCCAGAGTCCCTAGAATTATCATCAGCAGCAGCAGCAGCAGCAGAGACTAACAAGGCAGAGGAGACTCTGCGCATACCTCGCCTTACACGCCTCTTCTAGGACACGCCTCGGGCTTAGGCCAGTCCATTTTCCAAAATCCCGAACTGTGATTGAAGCCTTGTTGAGTTCTTCCGTGATCACACCCAATTCGAGGGTGGGCTCTTCGTCCTGGAACATGTCCCCCAAAAGATTACCAGCGTTTTCATCATCATTATCCGATGAATTGGTGGTAGCCTCCCGCTCCGGGTCATTCTTCTCTATTTGCTTGGGATCGATACTCTTCTCGGGGGCAGCACGCCGGAAGATAGCGGCCTCCTTTCTGAGGTCATCCAGCTTCTCTCTCCAAATGTACTCGGCTTCTTTGCGGTCAAATAATACATCGTTTTCAATGCTAGCAATTTTGCGCTGAAGCCTGATTACTTGAGGACCGTTCACCCCCGCTTCGGTGGCTTCGCGGCCGGCTTTCTTGCCTTTCTTTGGCTTGTCGAAAATTTCAGGCTGGATGTTATACAGCTGTGTTTGGAGATCCAAGTATTTCGGAACCAGGGTGTCGGGATCAAGAGAGCTATCCGAATCATAGGGACTTGACTGTGGAATACTTGTTTCCTTGACAACGGGCTTTGGCTTTTTCACCTTGCTATCGCCTGAGGCTACTTTAGGAGTGGAAGGTTGTGATGGCTCACGATCTGATGCTAGTTAGCTCTCTCGGCTGTATGCGACGCCAATACCTAGGGTTACCGGAAATCCAGGAAACGGGTTTATCCGCATCTTTGCGTAGCGGAGCACTTGTCTGGGTGTAGGAAGGAAGTTCATCGGGGCTGCAGTGCATTGCGAGCCAGTCGAGGGCTTCTTCCAAATTGCACACAACTTCCCGGTTAGTGATGGAAAAATTCCCCCAATAGTATAATAAAACGTGCTTCAATGCCTCCTCAACCCTCCCCTCAGGAAAGCCCAACTTTACGAGAGTCTCCTTAAGAATCCATAGCTTCATGCATACTTCTTCCTCCGAGACAGCCTTTTTTATACCCCCGACATCGCGTCCCGACTGAGAACTTTGTCCGTGCTCTTCTGCTTCAGCGAGACGAAGTATAGAACCAGCCACATCAGACGGGAGCCATTCCAGGAGGTTTAGAGGAACAGCCTGTTGCCTAAGCACTCTCCGCTCGGTCTCTAGTTTCGTAGCTTGGCGAAGGGCATCACTCTTGCATTTCGCCGCATACTTCTCGACCAGCAACTGTAATTCGGCGTCCTCTAGATGTCGCTCCAGTTCCTCCGCGGTATAGTTCTGGAGGGACGGCACCTCGCTCGCCTCCGGAGCCGGTTGCTTTGGTTCGGCAGGCGTTGGCCGCTCACTCTCCGATACCGACTTGGAGTCAACGGTCGAAGCAGGCCCGGACGAGTCAGTCTTTACTTTGGAGGGAACGGAGACCGTTGCGAAACCGCGGGCAGGGTTAGAAGCAGGCTTCTTCTTTTTCTTGTTCGCCGGCATAACTGCAGCGCCCTTGAGTACTTTGTTTTCCAAAAGTTTCAAGGACCACTGAACGGGTTAACGACTCGATTCCAGAGGTGGTTGTGGTTGACTGAAGTGTTAAAACTTGGGATCGTGAAAGTGGGTGGACGCAAAGGCGGCGAAGCTCTTCTTCCCCACACAAACCACCGAAAACTCTTTGTAACAACATCATAGACCAAAGAGCAGACGGCATGGTCCCGGCCACCTATTAACATGGACGAACTTCCATGGGATCAGGTGAAAGCAGGAGACCTGGAGAGCCTGCAGGTCGTTCTCTTCTCCAGCTCGACTGTCCGCAGAACTCGCGCTCTTCAGGATCTCCGTGAGAAAATCGGTACTTACCCTCCCCCTCCTCCCTCTATTTTACATAGCCCAATTCTGACTTGCATGCCTCCATTGTCGCTCTGACAGGGTCTGATCTGCCGTTACAAACTCGCCAGCCCCTTCTCGGTCTTCTTTTGAAGACTTTCCCCCGATACGTCGATCGTCCCTCCCGCCAGGCCGTCCAGCAATGTCTCCGTTCGCTGCTGAAGGCACCCGTCCCGACCGACGATCTCAAATATCTCGCATTGAAATTGCGGGCTGAGGCTTCTAAAGCTAGTTTAGATGCGGGTTCTGCCTTGGTTCTCGTCGAATGGTGCTCAATTATCCTGCAGATTCTCAAAGGTGACCCGGAGACACCGCTGTCTGTGGTGTTGGAGGTCATTGCCCTAGATGCCAGGGCCCTGGAGACCTGTCTGGCTGCACGCCCCAGGCCGCCAGTGAAACAGTCCGCTCTAAGAGTCACCAGGCGTGCTCTCCGTGCAGTCTTCTCCTCGAACACCTGGGGCGCCGATGCAGTTCGTCAATCCGTTCAACGGCTGACTAGCGATGTGGTCGCTGGGCAGAAGAACGCACCATTCCTCGGTGTGATATCCGGCGTCTGTGCGCGCATCCCGGACAAGAAGGCTATCCTAGAGGAGGAGGAAAAGAAGGCGATAATGACATTTGTCACCAAGGAATTGATTGCATCGAAGTCTGCACCACCCTCGCACATTGCAAACTCCATGTCCGACTTCTTCATCTCGTTCGTTACTCATGATGATATTATGTCGGAGCTGATCCCGCCTCTCGAGAAAGCCATCCTGCGGTCTCCAGAGGTAGTTTTCAGTGGACTGGTGCCAGCGCTGTTTTCATCATTGCCAGAAGAGATCGATCTATCCGAGGTTCTCTTCTCTCGACTGCTGAAACACCTCCTATCGAGCATGAAATCAAACAACCCTGCGATCAGGCAAGGAGCCCTCGAGTCTTTTGAATCGTTACTTTCTCGATCTAAGACGGAAAGCTGGCTTGCGAAGATTGTTAGCGAAGTCATTAGTCCCCTGAAGACACAGAAGATTACGAATCCAGAACAACGTGCGATATATGCTCAGGCGCTTTCCGCAGTCTCACCGTCAGTCGACCTATCGAAGGAAATTGTACAGGGCTTCGTACCGTTATTCTCCCGCGAGTCCAATGAGGCTGCCCTAGAAGAGGAGATCAAGGCTTTTTCCAAGCACCTTACATACCTCATTCAATCAAAGGCCAAAATTAGTGACGAAGTGGTCAATGCAATTGTCAAGGGATCTTCCGATAAAAAGATTCCTTTCCGAAAGCTGTGGCAGCTCAATGTCGGCGAGGCGGTTTGGCAAGCTGAATCTTCTACCCTAGCGAGCCCAGAGGTCGAGCCATTTGTAACCAAATTCTTGGACAAATTGAAGGATATGTTCAAAGAGGTTTCATCCAACCCACTGCCATCGGCTCAAAGTGGATCTCTTTCCACTGCCTACGTGTACCTCGCTCTCTCCGGACGATTATCTACGCTGGAGAATTTCGATAAGGCGGCCTGGGAAGAAACAGTCGGCCAGTCGATGGTGCTTCAACCCAAGCCTTCCTTCCTCTTAAACCCGAAAGCTTACTCGAAGCTGACCTCCCAAGCGGAAGTCCAGTGGGTTGTGCGAACTCTTGCTTCAGTTCCCTCTGCGTCCAAATTCGAGAAGGCCGAAACAGCAGCCAAGAGTGCATGGGCTGAGGCATTCATATACGCTATCACAGCCCCAGGCCTCCATAACAAGTTCAGAGATGAATCTGCTCGTTCGCTCTCCGGTGTACACCAAAAGGATATTGGAAGTATGGGTCGAGTCGTTGTGGATGCTCTCTGGGCTTGGATCCTTTCCTTCAGGAGTGGAGAGAAAGAGTCTGCTGCAGTGTCTGCTGGTCCTCAGAGTGAAAAGTTCCTCCATCTGATTGCCAAGGCAATCTGTCCTCCGGCTTCCAATGAGGAGGCATCGACCCAGACTGGGGCTGACCTGAAGACCCAACTTATTGAAATGCTAGTCCTTGCTCGACCGGAGTTGATCCCAAATGTTTCTTGGATCGATCTTTGTCTGAGAACTGGTACCGACCCTGGCAATCTTGTCCGTGAATTTCCAGAAAACTGTATGAAGCAGTTGATCCGGGTGCAAGAGGTCTGTAAACTTATCTAGACAAGTCCATAGTACAAATGCTAACCAACTGCAGGATCCCGTTCAGTCTAAGGTTCCCCAAGTGGACGCCGCCATGTGGAGTGCAGCAGGAGATCTAGCATTTGTGGCTCCGGATGACATGGTCCGTCAACTTGTCAATCAGATCAAGGACGATTTGGATGTTTCGCGCTCATCCAAATTTACCCCCGCAGATGCGGCGATTGCTAGAACTCCCGAAGGAACAATGTTCGTTGATGTGCTAAATAAGTCAAAACAGCCTGCCTTCGATAAGAACACCAAAGATTACGACATCCTCAAGTGGGAAGAGGAAATGCGGACTCAGTTGGCCCTGAAAAAGGGCGAGAAACCGAAGAAACTCACCGCGGACGAACAAGCTAAAGTTAAAGCTCAGCTTGCAAAGGAAGCCAAGATTCGCGAAGAGGTTCTACACGAAGCGAGAAGAATTGAACGAGGCTGTGGCATTATTCAGGGTCTTGCCGCCGGTCCTGCTGTCGATGCCGATGGCTGGATTAACACCGCTGTTACCTCGTTGCTGGGATTGGCAAAAGCGGGAGCAGGATTATTCACCGGCGATGTCATTTCGAAAGCGTATCTCAAATGCTCGGAGAAGTTGACATCACGTCTTGGTCCCCTGCGGCCTTTCGTGGGTGTTGCCACACTCCGGGCAACCGGCAAGACCTCGCTTCCTCTCGAGATGGAGGCAGAGCCCCTTGGAAGTAAGATTGACAGGATCCTGCTAAAATGGGTATGCTAACCTCGATATAGAGCTTGTGACAAGAATTCTGTATCGTCTGCGCTTCGCATCTGAACAACGCCCTCTCGATAATGCATCGCTGGCTTACGTTCTTCCCTTGATTTTCATGGTTCTCACGCGCAACGGTATTGAGGAAGACAAGGGCCACGAAGAGGGTGAGCAGGTTTTGCTAGCCATCGAGTTCCTGTCCTTCCACTCAAGTTCGTGTAAGATTCCTCTCTATTAGAACAAAAAGCTTTCCCGCTCTGACCTCCTTTCTAGTCACGGATGACCGTCTTCCTCGAGTCGAGGTTCTGAACCAATTGATTACCGCGATGCAAAGATATACACAGCACTACAAACTTATCAAGGACACTCTCTTTGACTTCTGCAGGGGTATCTCGCCAAATATTCTCAAAGAAGAGCTGGGCATTCTTCTCAAAGGCACGATCGTTCCCGACACATCCGTGCGGCTGTCGGTTCTGCAGGCTATCGAAGCCGAAATTGACCTGACTGACCTTGATTTCTCTGAGCACATTTGGCTCGAATGTCACGATCAGGCCGAGGAGAATGCCGAGGTCGCTGAGAACATCTGGGAAGAGAATGCATTGGAAATTGACGATTCTGCCTACGGCAAACTCATCCCATACCTTGACTCGCAGGACTCACAGCTCCGCGGAGCCGCCGCTCGTGCGCTGGCCCATGCAATCGAGTCCAACCCGTCCGTATTTGAGGATATTGTCTCTCAACTTCAGTCAAAGTACGAAATTGAGATTCGGCCCAAGGAACCCGAAAAAGACATGTATGGAATGCCAAAGAAAATGGATATGATCGACCATTGGGAATCCCGAAGCGGTATTGCACTTGCTTTCGGGGCCATGCAGAACTCCTTTGAGGGCGAGCAGATAGTCTCGTTCCTCCGATTCCTGATTGAAAGAGGTCCACTCATTGATCGAAATGCTGTAGTGAGGTCTCAAATGGCCGATGGCGGTAGGTCTGTCATCGCTGCACGTGGTCAGCAGAAGGTGGAAGAATTGATGAGACTTCTGGAGACAACCTTGGAAACTTCAGACAAGGGAAGTGAGACGTCGGATCTTCTTAACGAAGCCGTGGTTGTTTTGTATGGATCTCTTGCCCGTCACCTTAAAGCAGACGATCCGCGCTTGCAAACAGTTATCAAGAGGCTTCTTGCTACCCTTCCAACGCCTTCCGAAACGGTGCAATCCGCTGTCTCTGAATGTCTTCCGCCATTAGTTCGACTTGCCGGCCCGCAAAGCGGGCAGTATGTCCAAGAAATGTTGGATCAGCTTCTACAATCGAAGAAGTATGCCACTCAACGCGGAGCCGCTTATGGACTGGCCGGGATTGTCAAGGGCCGAGGTATTACTACATTACGCGAGTTCCAAGTCATGTCCCACCTGAGAGCAGCCACCGAAAATAAGAAGGAGCCACATCAAAGACAAGGAGCTTTATTAGCTTATGAGCTTTTTGCAACCATTCTTGGGCGCACCTTTGAGCCATATGTCATCCAAGTGGTCCCGCAGCTTCTAGGCAGCTTCGGAGATCCAAATGCTGATGTTCGTGATGCTTGTCTGGATACCGCAAAGGCTTGCTTCTCAAATCTCAGCTCGTTTGGAGTCAAGAAGATTCTTCCAACACTTCTTGATGGCCTGGATGACACTCAGTGGCGTAGTCAAAAGGGTGCCTGTGACCTTCTCGGAGCTATGGCCTACCTTGACCCACAGCAGCTGGCGGCCAGCCTCCCCGACATTATTCCTCCGCTTACTGTCGTCCTTAATGTTACTCACAAAGAGGTACGCAACGCTGCAAATCGCAGTCTCCAGCGATTCGGTGAAGTTATTAGCAACCCTGAAGTCAAGTCCTTGGTTAGCGTGCTTCTGAAGGCCCTGAGCGACCCTACGAAGTTCACGGATGAGGCGCTTGATTCTCTTATTAAGGTGTCTTTCGTCCACTATCTTGATGCACCGTCTCTCGCACTGGTCGTTCGTATTCTCGAGCGTGGTCTTGGTGATAGATCGGCGACGAAGCGCAAGTCCGCCCAAATTATCGGCAGCTTAGCTCACCTTACCGAGCGAAAAGATCTTATTTCGCACCTGCCCATTATCGTTTCTGGTTTACAATTGGCGATTGTCGATCCAGTTCCTACCACTCGTGCTACTGCATCCAAAGCCCTTGGTTCGCTCATTGAGAAGCTCGGAGAGGATGCTCTGCCTGATCTCATACCCAACCTCATGTCAACGCTTAAATCAGACACCGGGGCTGGCGACAGATTGGGTTCTGCTCAAGCTCTTTCGGAGGTTCTGGCGGGTCTGGGCACAACCAGACTCGAGGAGACTCTGCCAACTATTTTGCAGAACGTGAGCAGTTCAAAGCCCGCTGTTCGGGAAGGCTTCATGACGCTCTTTATCTTCTTACCTGCTTGTTTTGGAAACAGCTTCGCGTCCTATCTCAGCAAAATCATCCCCCCTATCCTTTCTGGTTTGGCTGATGACGTTGAGTCCATTCGTGAGACTTCTCTCCGAGCTGGTCGTTTGCTGGTTAAGAACTTCTCTTCGAAGGCTATCGATCTGCTGCTTCCCGAGCTTGAACGCGGTCTTGCGGATGACAGCTACCGCATCAGATTGAGTTCCGTTGAGCTGGTCGGTGATCTTCTCTTCAGCCTTACTGGCATCACGGCGAAGGTCGACGCCGAGGAAGAGCCCGAAGAAGCCATCCAAGCCGGTCAGTCGCTGCTCGAAGTCCTCGGAGAAGAAAGAAGAAACAAGGTTCTGTCATCCCTGTTCATCTGCCGTTGCGATACTTCTGGCCTTGTCAAGAGTGCGGCAATGGGTGTCTGGAAATCTCTTGTCGCCTCTCCAAAGACACTCAAGGAGATGGTTCCTGCCTTGTCTCAGCTCATCATTCGACGCCTTGGCTCTTCCAATATGGAGCAAAAGGTTATTGCTAGCAATGCTCTTGGAGATCTTATCAAGAAGGCTGGAGAATCTGTCCTTGCCACTTTGTTGCCTTCCCTTGAAGAGGGTCTACAAACTTCGCCAGATGTGGACGTTAAGCAAGGTATTTGTATTGCGCTCAAGGAAATCATCAACTCCTCCTCCCCTGAAGCCCTTGAAGATTTTGAAAAGGTTCTCATCTCAACCGTTCGGGTGGCGCTGGTTGATCATGACGAAGATGTTCGCGAAGCGGCTGCGGAGGCCTTCGATGCCCTACAACAGATCCTGGGCAAGAAGGTAGTGGACCAGGTTCTGCCCCATCTCTTGCTCTTATTGAGAAACGACGAAGATGCCGAGCAGGCGTTGTCGGCGTTGTTGACTCTGCTCACCGAGCAGACCCGCGCCAACATCATCCTACCCAACCTTATCCCTACTCTTCTCACATCCCCTGTCTCGACATTCAATGCTAGAGCTCTTGCTTCCCTGGCTGAGGTTGCTGGCTCTGCAATGTCACGTAGACTACCTACCATTTTGAACACGCTTATGGACAACATTATCTCATGCACAGATGATGAACAGCAAGAAGAATTGAGTAGCGCATTTGACACCATCTTGGTGTCTGTGGATGAATTTGACGGACTCAACGTGATGATGAGCGTGATGATGACCCTTATTAAACATGATGATCATCATCGCCGCGCACGCGCAGCTATCCACCTGAAGAAGTTCTTTTCGGAAGCAGAAATCGATTTCTCCAGGTACCATCAAGATCTTATTCGCGTCCTGCTCATTTCTTTCGATGACAGCGACAAGGATGTTGTCAAGGCCGCATGGGGAGCCCTTGCCGAGCTTACATCTCACTTGCGCAAGGAGGAGATGGAGGTTCTCTCCGTATCCACGCGCCAGATCCTCAGGGGCGTTGGAGTGCCCGGAGCGGACCTTCCTGGCTTTGGTTTGCCAAAGGGTATCACAGCTGTCCTGCCCATTTTCCTCCAGGGCTTGCTCAATGGCAGTGTCGAACAACGTACCCAATCTGCCCTGGCAATTGCCGATGTTATCGATCGTACAGCCGCGGATTCATTGAAGCCATTTGTCACTCAAATTACGGGTCCGCTTATCCGTGTTGTTTCCGAGCGCTCAGTGGATATCAAGTGTAAGTCCATTCCTTACCCGCCGTTCTGTCATTTATGCTAACAAACCCTATCAGGTGCTATCTTCTTCACGTTAAATAAACTCCTGCAGAAGATTCCTCTGGCTGTTAAGCCATTCTTGCCCCAGCTTCAAAGGACATTTGCTCGTGGTCTAGCCGATCAGACTAGTGAGACTTTGCGCAACAGAGCGGCCAAGGGTCTTGGAATCCTAATCACGTTAACACCCAGGGTCGATCCTCTTATTGCCGGTATGTAATTCGTTTTTTACGTTATAAGAGCATACAACATACTAACTTAGTAACTAGAACTCATTACGGGAACAAAGACAGCCGATGTTGGCGTGCGAAATGCAATGATGAAAGCTCTCCAGGAAGTAGTGGGCAAGGCTGGTTCAAACATGAGCGAGGCTTCGAAGAACTCAATTCTCTCGCTGATCGATGATGACGCGAGCGACCAAACTGGTAGGCTTTGTTTTTTTTTGCATTTACTAGTCGAATGACGAGCATGCCTTTAAAAACTAACGTGTCCCAGATACCGTTGCAATCACAAATGCCAAGTTGCTCGGAGCACTTGTAAAGGTTCTTCCTCCGGCTACTGCAGGCCCGCTTATCAAGTATGTTCATATTTTCATTAATCTTAAAATCTCGAGCTAATGATTTTCACCCAAGGGGACGCGTTCTCTCTGCAAATTTCTCTCACGCGTCAATACTGGGACTCAATGCTTTGCTTGTTGAATCTCCCTCGTCCCTGACAGAGCAATATGCTACAGAGACTCAAAACTTGATATGCCAGGGGGTCACCCACAAGGATGTAAGCTCCTTCTAAACCCTCAACCTAACTTGTCAGTATCAAATAATGCTAATTCCATATAGCCCTTCATTTCAGAAAACAGCGTCATCGCCGCTGGAAAGTACCTGTTGCTTGAGGAACAACATAGCTTCGAAACCAACAAAGCTATCTTTGAGGCCTTGGCACCTTGCATTCAGCCAGGCACACCTTCCGACACCCGCCGGTTGACGTTGGTTGTGATACGTACAGTGAGTCGACTTCGCCCAGAGTTAACCCGGCCCCATCTCGCCCTTCTCGCGCCACCCATCTTTGCCAGCGTTCGCGACCCGGTTATCCCTGTCAAGCTGGCAGCAGAAGCTGCCTTCCTGTCCATCTTCTCGGTGGTGGACTCGGAAAGTGCAGTCTTTGACAAGTATATGGCTGGGCCGGGTGCTGAACTGGCTCCTGGACCTAAACGGAGTATGTCGGATTACTTCAAGCGTGTTGCGCTTCGCCTTGCCAATCAGGCCCGAGAGCGAAAGGAGGCTGAAGGTGGACAGGGCGGACTGGGTCTTTCCAATGACGAAGTGGAGGATGAAAGGGAAGTGTGGAGCGTTGGAAAGGTCGAGCTTGAGGAGGGGTCATTTGGCGAAGAGTGATCCTAGTTCTGCATAGCTACAATGTTTATAGATAGATATATACCCTTCTGTTCTACGGGGGATGTCTATATCTGAGAAAAGTCGCTTCTACATGTCAATGATGATTTCTTCATGTTTAATATTCTCTGCTCTTCTGCCTGTGGTGCTAGGTCACCTGATTTATACGGGAAAGGTCACGTGCTTCTACGGGAAGCGAAGATTCCAAAATTCAAGTTAAAAACACCACGGCGATGGAGATGATGATGAAAGCGGAGAAGAAAAAAAATAATGTCAGTGAACTAGACCCCAAGAAGCAAGATCCTGGAGGAACGAAACGTGCTACGACAATGATTGGCGACCCTCGAAAAGTCCCAAGGAGAAGAGAGACTCGTCTGGGGCACAAGCCCTAGAGTGGATTCCCTCGCTTAGAGCACAGTCGCTTAGCTAATCATCCGCCCGTATCTCAAACTCCTCACTTCTAGGAATTCTACCCGTTGTCGAGTGCAACGAACATCATCCGCCAACGACCGTCGATACGCCGACATCAAGATGTGAGTCCATCTCCCGGAGTTGATATTATCGTTATGTGGAGGAAATACTGTTCCTGGATGGCCTTTTTGCCCAGTGTTTCGCCCTCTCGACACTGTTCCAGCTGGGCTTGTGTTTTCCTCCACCTTTGTCTTCGCTCCTCGCACGGATTTCTTTGAGAGATGAGAGAAACCTCAAGCTGACCGCAGTCGTTTTCTCACTCAACAGGGTCAACCTTCGCACCCAGAAGCGCCTGGCCGCCTCCGTGGTGGGCTGCGGCAAGCGCAAGATTTGGCTCGACCCCAATGAGATGACCGAAATCTCCAACGCCAACTCCCGTCAGTCCATCCGCAAGCTCGTCAGCGATGGCCTCATCATCCGCAAGCCCGTCACCATGCACTCCCGTTCTCGTGCCCGTGAGCTCGCTGCCGCCCGCCGAATTGGCAGACACAGGGGTCTGGGTAAGCGTAAGGGTACCAAGGAGGCTCGTATGCCCAGGTATGGTCTACCCTCTTCCTCTGGAGTTTGAGAAGGATACTTTGGGAAAATGGAATACGATCACAGCTGTGTTGGATGGTTGGCATCAAAGAAAATTGCTTACTGATGGGTCGGTTGTAATCTAGCTCTCTCCTGTGGATGCGCCGCATGCGTATTCTCCGTCGTCTCCTCGTCAGATACCGTGCCGCTGGCAAGATCGACAAGCACCTTTACCACGAGCTTTACCACCTGAGCAAGGGTAACACATTCAAGCACAAGCGTGCCCTGATCGAGCACGTAAGTTGCCCTCCTTCACCGGCTATGAATCCTTTTAGCTGGGTTATGCTCTGCACGCTCGAACCCATCCTCGTACCATACAATACAGGTGAACTGATGTTTTTTCCCTCTACAGATCCAAAAGGCCAAGGCTGAGAGACACCGTGAGCGTGTCCTCAAGGAGGAGATGGATGCTAAGCGTGCCAAGAACAAGGCTCTCCGTGAGAGACGACAGGAGCGCATCGAGGCCAAGCGTAACGCTCTGGTCGAGGAGGCTCAGGAGTAAATGCTTTGATTTATTTTCCTTCGTTGACGAATTTTGGCGGTGCGGAGGTTTGAACTGGGGGAATCGATCAGCCAAGCGATATCATTTCAGGTCGACCAATCCACTTTTTTCCACATTCCAGGTCTGGCTCGGTGCGATTGATTCATCCGGGAAACCCTGGGACTGGGTTCGGGAACAGGGGAATCGTCTCTTTTCTTTACTTCTCTCTTTCTCAGGCGAATGTGGATCGGAGTGGGAGAGAAGGTAATGACAAGGAGGCAAAAAAAAGGAATGAAAAAATATGAACAAATATTTTAAACCAAATCAATGGCATGGCGCTTTGTGTGTGATATGACAACTTGGATTGATTGCATTCTACTCTCATCTTCTGCCCTCCAACCTTACCGGATGTTTGTGGGATCCGATGTTTCTAAAATATAATGTCGTAACGTTCATATCTTGGGGACTGAAGCTGTAGGCATAAAGTTGTAGAGAGAGGCTACATATAATTTGAGGATCCTAACTCTCAAGTGTCGTCTCTTGACAGTCCACCAGTCTCATACAGCAATAGTGTATTATTTCACCATTATCTGCTGATGAGGGTTCAAATATATATATACATGTACATAGACAAGTCAAAATGTACAATTCACTACCTAGGGACCAGACCATCCATCCATAACTCGACGGTGTCTTTTAATTATTGCCTTTGACTATCTACAATTTGAAGATCCCGTATATATATAACTGCCCTCGTCTGTTTATATAGGTTTCTTGCCTATATTGTCCTGTGCAGCTATATGCTCATAGTACCCCAGGCATTCATTGAGAATTCTAGGAGCGTTTTTTGAAGTTTCCAGGCATAGGATAGAATAGGATATCCTGCAGATAGTAAGTAAGTAGAGACAAAAAAAAAAAAACAGATTGGATTAGACGCGTATAGTTAGTTAACTAGTTAACATAACATGCTGATTAAGTCTTTTGTAGCCTTCCCCCTCCGTAATGGCCCCCGAAATGCGTTAAATCTCAAGTCTATAAACATGCATATGTTTTTCCTGTGCCTGTACGTATGTCCGGTTCGGCAAGTCAGGGTGCTGACTACTATACAGGTTATCGTACAACAAGATACACCCGTCACTATAATAAGGAGGTTGGAAGAGTGTTAGAACTCCGCCTGGACAGGGTGATTCGGACAACATCCAAGTCGAATTGATCACTTCGCGTGCTATTCCTCGCCGAGTCTCTCGTGGCTGCTTCGATTGGATATGATGGCTCATTCTCGGGTGGCGCCGTCATCATGGGGAAGCTGATCCGGCGATAGCTACTGCCTGTGCTGCTTCGACCGGGGAGAATAAGAGTGCTGCCCAGGCTGTCGTCGCTATGCATGGACGTCCTATCTACGGTATGGGAATCCTCGGGCCGTGTTATGTCTCCGGGGTTTCGAGGTAACAGGTCTGGTGGGGCGCGGTTTGCTGCTCGAGAGATTTCCGACCACGGTGGTGTAGATGCCTGTGCATCGCCATTGAGTGGGCTGAGAGTCGAGTTTCCAGCCATGCTCGGGATAATTGGGGGGTCGGCCCAATGCGTTAGCTCTGTGGAGTCCGGAAAGCGGCTTGGACCCCGAGGGGAGATTGGGGAGATTGGATCGTGATATGGACTTGCGCCTCCGATGAGGAGATTGAAGGTGGAATCAACGGGGGACGTATCCAAAAGATACGACATGCCGGACCGGTACTCCCTGCGTAAACTTGTCGTAGAGTCTACTGACCCGGCGGATGCTCGAGTCTCTCGGATCCCGCGAGAGCTCCAAACTCCAAATGAGCTTCGCTTTGATCGCCGTTGGAAGTAGAAGAAAAAAACCAGAAGCACCACGGCTATAAACCCCAGTCCACCAAATAAGCTGCCAAAAATTGCGCTTAGTGAAGTCCCGTCTTCATGATCTTGTTGAAATGTGTTGCGAAGAGGCTGTAACGAGGGTATGGCAGTTGGGGCTGTTGCCAAAGTCTCGGTGGCTAGGGTGGTGGGAATCGTGGAGCTCTCTGTTCTGGCTGGGTTGTGTGTCTCAGGAGATAGTTCTGGTAAAGAAATGAGGGATGTAAAAAACGATGCTGTGCTTGTACTCGGCGTACTAGAAGCCGTAGAATGTGCACTTTTAACGAATGTAGAATCGGTACTTGGGGATGGGCCAAGCGGTAAGGTCTCAGAGAACGAGGTCGGATTTGATGCCGTTTCCTGCGATGTAGTAGAGGCAGGAGGAGAGTTGGATTTGGAAGTAGTGAGAGACATCACAGCAGCAGTCCTAGGCTGCCGTGGAACCTTTGTGCATCTGAAACCCTGATAAAAGATAATCGAAGGGCTTGACGACATGTCGACAAGCCCGAAGGCTGACTAGGGCTTCCGGACACACACACACACACACACACACACCGCTAGATCAATACTATAACGGGAGGGATTAATATGTATTGTATGAAAAGCTGGAGCTTAATATAAGAGCAGGAAGGAATGGACGCCAGATGGGAAACAGCATATAAAAGTTCGATAACGTTTACTTGCAACGGCAATGAAGAGATTGACGAGAAGAAATACAATAAACCAAGGACAAACACGATCACGTTCGATGCCTCCTGGAAAGCCAAACTTCAACCCCGGAGAAAGGTAGCCAGTCCCATTGTCATGCGTGCAGACGTGTTTATCCCGCAAAACCTAGCTCCAATTCCTAGGAGGGCAGGAGACGACGTAGAGAGGGGGTGGAATGATGATTACCACTAACAGGGAGCACCGAGGGGAAATTAATCAATGAATACAACCGGGAGAGGGAATAAAATAAATACAAAGGACCCAGGCAAATCCAGACGAGTGAGCATCGAAACCCTAGACGCCACCGACGCTTGGGCTGTATGTCAGAAGCCACAATCACGTTGCTATAAAAAAAAAAGAATGTGCGGAGGCGGCGAACATTTTGATTGCTTCCGATCCTCTCCACCAGTGGATATCAATCAAAGAGGAGATCCAGGTTCTTAGTCGAAGGAATTAGATCGAAGGAAAGGATGAAATGGCGTCTAACCAATACGTAACCCTAAGGTGCGTTATACGAGAACAGCCTACAGTAAGCTACATACAGGGGCGGTGTGAACATTAGTCGACAGTAGAGGCCCTCTCCGACTCGGAAGGGAACGGCATCGCGTGCGCTTGACTAGAGATTGAGCTTCAAGGTATAGATAGACCCCAAGTGTGATCTTAAAATTAACCTTGCGTTGTCCAAGAATGAGAAGTAACGAAGTGGTGCCTAATTGGACAGGCACCAACAAGGAATCAAGCCCAGGCTGGCCAAAAACGGACTAGTGCAAACTCGATGAGGAAATGATGTCATGTGTGTTGCTGACTCAGCGAATTCCGGTCCGAATCGCTATTTTGGGAAAGGCTTCAGATTTCGTGTTACTTTCAACTGCTTCCAGTTGGTCTCTTCACTGAAATTGATTTATCTTCTACTCTCATCAATTCAGCTTTTTCATGATAATTCTACCATGGGAACCCTCGCCTCTATGAAAAACAAAAGCCTCCCGCTGTCAGAGCTAGGGAAAGATCGGGCTGAAGCCAAAAGCCACCGCTAAGGATTATGAGACAGGGGAGCACACGAATTCTGCTTGGCTCAAGCTCCACTCAAAGAGCATGGACTGTTGTTCGCGTTTAACTAATAACTAGTTCGGTCGACGGTTTAATTAAAAAAGTGTCCTCGGCACTTTGTCCAGTACAGTAATGATCTCAATTCTGGACCACCTTTGGCGGGCTTCAATACAACCGAGTACCAAGTCTTGGGTGATGCGAGTTCAAAAAGTCCAAGACACTCTATCTCCACTGTGCACGAATATTGACAAGTGACAACTTGGTGGTGGAGATGGACCGTGTTGGGGCAGGGGATCATCCATGCCAGGTGCCTATAACATCCCAACACCTTTCACACTAGTCCGGCGACTAATCCACCCCATTTGTGTCTTGATAGGCTGGGTGACCATGATCCCAATTCCCCTCTTTTCCTCCGTCCTGTACTTTGTACTTCGCGGCTGCCGGGGCGCCTCTATATCCTTTCCCTTTGGGACCAGCCAGCCTTCTCCCCCCCTCTGCCCCCTCCTCCCCCTTCCTCTCACAGCTCGACCATGGGATTGAATCTCCTGTATGTGCCACATCCTTTGTTTGCTACAGAGGATTCTTGCCCGGAGTCGTTATTCTTCCTGTTTTCCTCGCTTTCGCGGCCTTCCCCTCCTCTTTCTTGCAACCCCACCGCCACCAAATTATCATACTCGGCAACTAAACTCTCACCTTTTTCTTTGAGTTCCGAGAAGCTTTAGATGCAGGTGATCCTCCGATATTATTTCATTGGCACAACCTCCTTAGTTGATCAGATCCGATTGGGTTGGGTTTCGTTTCACGATTAAAGTAGAGAGAGAGAGAGAGAGAGAGAGAGAGAGAGAGAGAGAAAGCGCAACAGAGTGATTTATTTCCTTCAGGTTATCATTATTAAAAGACCCGGAACCCTGCATCATGTTTGGGTGGTGTAGTTCTCTGGGTAAGGCTTCCATCCCTTTATCAAAATCAAGAAAGGAGCCCTACATTTTCTCTACCGTTGATTTGTTTCCCTCCTCCCTTTTCTCTTTCCCCCTCACATCAATGATACCTGGGATTCAATTACCACCCTGGATATTTATCCACTCCTATGGAACTCGCTTCGACCCCACCTTCTAAGCGATCTAGGCTCTCGTGATGCTTCATGCGTGTCTTGCAGATTCCGCGTTCGGAGATCAAATTGGACACTAGAGGCCAAGATGAAGAAGAGAGACTAGTTATCTAAAGCACCATCGTTCCTCTAGACACAGAACAGAAGACAAACGAGCTTCCACAATGGCATTGTTTCATCTCTTTAGAACATATCCTGAACACTGTGGACAATCATGATGCCATCAGCACACCTCCATGCTAACAATCACTGCAGGTCTCCCTGCAATGGGATCAGATCCAGAGGAAGAGCGCTTCCCGCCACCAACCCCAACGCCTCTGGATTTCCCCATCCCCAATCCCCCCGATGTCCCCGAGACAGCCTCTGAATCCTCCTTGCGGGGCATGCAAGCCGTACTTGCCTCCATCAAACGCCCGCAGGATATCTCCCGACACAGATTCAAAGACCTCAATCTGAAAGTGGAGTCCGATATCCCCGCGACAGAGATCGTCTACTGTCACGATAGAGCCAAATCCGCCCCACCTTTACCATGGGAATTGGACTCGTCTGACCCCTTGCGTTCCTTGGGGCAGGCAGTTTCGGAGGACGGATCGCTGATATTCATGGAGAATGGGAATGCGTATCCGCCAAAGGAGAAATTCGAGGCCTTAGAGCGAGAGCTTTTGATCGAGAATGATGATGCGTTTCGCGAGGTTGCAAGGCTGCCGCCTCGTCCGGGCCGGGATCGTGTCCGGGTCACCCAAGCGAGGAAGTTCTGGACGGCACTGGAGCGGATGTCTCAGTACTGGGATGACAGTTTGGATGAATACTTTGAGCGTCCTAAGACGCCGGAGCCAGGGCCGCAATCCGAGTCGAAGCTAACGGGAGAAGGGAGGCCAGGCAATGATGATCAAATGCAGACAGATGATGCTGTGGCTGCTTCTAACCAGTCCCAGTCCGATGCCCAAAGGGATCTGGACAATGACTGTGCGCCACGCGCTCCAGCGTCTGGAGAGAGCGAGGACCCGAAGGACGAAGAACAGCAACCAGTGAAACAGCAGGAACTGGTAAAGCGGTACCGCGGCCGTCGCATTGCTGCAGGAACTGACATGCCAGAGGATGTCCGCGAGGAAACCGTCCGTGCACTAACTGAGATGGCCGCCTGGCCCTTCGGATGCCAGGTTTCGCTCCCCATCATGCCGCCCCGATTAGCTGTGGGTACGTTACTTTTCCCCGTAAGGAAAACGTTTGAGGCGACGAGGGCCCCCAAGGACCGGCAATTAGCGAGGAACGGCATGCTGGAGGGCCCTGTCTTTGTTGCTCAGTGTCGGAATGAAGCGTCGTTCCGCGGCCCAGAGGAGGCCCCTGGCTCCGGGTTCGGCGATACCTGCGACCTCATGCGCGAGGTCGGGTCGATGTTGTTAGCTGCTCAGGAACGAGCCCGAGAGGGGAGGATGGAGGTCAGGCCCGGCGAAGGCAAGTGGTACACAACTACGCCGCGGTGGGGAGGCGCGCCGAATGATGCTATCGGCGACAGTGCCAAAGTACTCAGTGAGCAGGAAAGGCAGGCATCAGGGAACAACCGCAAGCGGTCCAAGTATGAGCATTCGCTGTTGGGGTCTCGTCGACCAGGTATCGCGCGGAAAATGAGTAACAGCGAGAAGTGGAAGATCGTCCAGCCGGGTCCTCCGTTATGGGATAGGCGAATGAGATATATTCAAATTGGGAAGCCCAAGGACAGTCCTTTTGATGATGTACGTTGGCAGTTCGGGGATCTCTCTCTCTCTCTCTCTCTCTCTCTCTCTCTTTCTCTGACAAACTCTTAGATCTATATGCTATCCTCCATAAATCACCATCTTGCCATCCTCCACCTGCGAGTTCATCGCAGATATATTGATATTCTTGCCACAGGGAAGAGCAACTTCTCTGCCGACTCGAACACATCGGAGCAGCCATGGCATGTACTCCAACTCCGACGAACGAGGTGGTTTGATTTGTTCGACACCCAAGATCGGCTCGAGGTGTTTAGGGGGATCTGGACGTTGTTCCATTGTCTTTTACGGAGCATGTAATTACTAATACTGTAGATGATTCTACCATGCGGAGGGTGCTCCTTGGTGGAAGGCGATGCGAGGCGTCTTTGTATAGTTGATAGACTACAGATTTCACCATATTCTATTATTTGCACCTGCTCTGTACTCTATAGTTACCACGGCTTAAAACGTTATTCACTCCTGATATCTACGTATGCCCGAAGTCCAAAGATACATATACATATGGATGCTATACCTTTCGAGCCAAAGCATTTAAACACATCACACACATACATAGCCAGAAAAATGCCTAGTTGATGGTCGAACTCCCTCTCTACTCCATACACCAAGAGCGATCTGATCTGTACAGTGTACCTCCCTCCCAGATCGAGATCGGGTCGATTTCACCGAGTATCTCCTGAGCGAGATGGTACCGATGGGATTACTGCTCTAGTGGTCGTACATCACATCACATCACATCACATCACATCCCCCGATACCAGTCCACTACCGGGCTCTCTCTCCCTATCCTGCTATTTCTGTAGACCGCAGCACATACCAACCAACCAAAACAGAAAGAAGATGGACCCAGTTCCTGCCTGCGCCAGAAATATGGATACCATCGCAGAACGTTCAGGCCGCGGGCCTGCGTTGGATCGAATAAGCCTGATTGGTAGATCTGGAGAACCAAGGTCGATAGATAGATTGGTTTCCTCGGCGGATCATTATTGATTAACTAGTTATTTGATTTTCATTGAATGAATGGGGTTGTGATTCTCTGGGTATTATCTATCTGTATATGTGTGTATACAATGATCAGAAGACCTAGTCTAGTGTCTCTAGAGTAACTATGTACGCAACGTATAGAGATTATATAGATATATATATATATGATGGAAGCTGAGGCGGGGACCAGCGGCGCCGCACAGAGAGTAAGGTAAGTGGACGCAGTTCACATTTATCCAGGATGAAATGAGACGAGTCGAATCCTTTCTTTCTTTCTTTCTTTCTTCCTTTCTTTCGTATGTCTGTGTCTGTGTCTGATTTGCGATTCCTCTGATTTCTGGATAGCATGTTGGCTGCACGGTACCGAGTAACCTAGTTAGTTCTTGGGACTGGAGCGGCAATTGGTTATTCTTGGATTATCTCTGGACGTATTCTGTATTTTATTTTTATTTTTCACTTGGTTCTGGCTTTGTTTCTCTGCTTCTTGTATATATCATATCATATCATATCGTATCGTATGGTATCGTGTGATGCCCTCTGTAGGTGTCTACCTATCCTGCACTATACTTAGTTACGGAGTACCTCTCGGACGGAAGGTTCTCTCTCTCTCTCTCTCTCTCTCTCTCTCTCTCTCCTCAATGGTATAATCGGATCGATAGACTAGATATCTATTCATGTACGGAGTATATCGATACACCAGGAAAAGAAACCAAGCCAGACAGGCCCAGCGGGCTCCTCCTCTCCCGGCCTTTTTCCATCTAGAAGGGTCGTGATTTATTGCTGATCATAGAGAGACACATGGCCGTTGATCAGGGGGAAGCGGGAGAAGGGGCCGGCGTACTTTTGTCGATACTGACTGCTCAATAAACAAAGCCCGGGCAGAAAGAAGGCTTGTACCTATGTATCTACCCAAGGTTATAACGCTCCATCCACGAACAAGGTTGAGGGCTTCCAGACCACCACCGCCAATATCAACCCCGGGTCTGGAAAGGTCAATTAAATCAAGATCATCGGTATAATCCGCCTTCTACCGTGCGTTGCGTTGCTGACGGGGGAAGAGGGGGATCTAGGCACTTCTAAAGGCTGACCATCTGCCGCTTGTCTTGTTGAAGAAGATGTCTTCGCACAGCTCATTGGATAACGCAAGCATATACAGAGTAGCTAACTATTCAATAGGATATAGGTTGGTTAGGTTGGAATTATCCCCCCCCCCCCCTTCCCCTTCCATGAATTCTCGTTATCTCGCAGTGGTATCCTTTTTAGATTTTTTTTTTTTTTTTTGAATCGGATATCCATACCCACTCGTTAACTGACTTAGTTAACTACTACTAGTATAGTGTAATAGTAGGTAATTATCACGATCAAGATCAATACGGAGGACTACCGAAGATACTCTGGGATTTCGGGCTGCAGTTTCAGCCCGTTGCTTGCTAGGACCATAACCTAAATCTAATCTGAACCTGGGCATATATAATAAATAATATATATATTGGGATCATCATTTGGCGGGAATACCCGAAGATCGGGCGGCGAACGGTCTGAGACAGCATCTACTAACTAGGTATGTACATGCACATGGACGGAGCAGCAGCCCAAGTATCTACCCCATACTCCAGAACGAGAATGCTAATCAGGTCTGGCCATGAGGGCTGACGCTGTTTGTCTCGTGGAAGGGCGGTGCTGGATTGCTACAAGGGTAACGTAACCTAACCACCAGGATGACAATAATAGGGTTCTTATTGGCCTGCAGAAGGGGGGGGGGGGCTGTGCTATATAGAGTACCGAGTACGAAGCCAACAAAATAAGGCGCTGGGTTAGTTATCAGTAGACGCCGTCTTTTACCTATATTAATATATCCTGCAAGTCTCTTTCGGTGGATCCTTCTCCAGACAGGGCAGGAGTTCGATTGCTATCAGGTAACAACAAGGAAGTATACCGAGCACACACAAGTGCATCATCGACGACCTTCAGGGGGATTCCCGCAAATGTCATGGAGGATGAGTGGCGCAGATTTCCTGCTGAGCTGGAGCACTGGAGTATACGGAGTACGTACGTACTCCGTAACTCCGTCGTAACAAAGCTCAGCGGCGGGTTCAGTGCCACGGCCCTTGCATTCAGATTTCCAGATTCACGCTGTACCCCACCACGCCTTTCCCAAGCAACAGGGTCAACGGCGAAGAAAACTCTGTGGCACGACCCCTGTTTTCCGGGTCCACGGTTCGTAACAGTGTGTCTCGACCCCTTACCCTTCTTCTTTTCTAGGCAGTGCGCAGAGAATTGTACTCTACAAACAGTATAAGAGGTAGTGCAGCCTAGTATCCGAATGAGGACGAGGGCTGGATTTGACCTCCACGGTACGGAGTACAGATGATCAAAAAGGCCAATCTGGACTATTAGCAAAAGGATGCTGGTATGTTTCTAAAAGTAGGATCCAGGTTAGCTTTGCATCCAATCGAAATTTGGGCAATAATACTCTATAGGATGACCAGCCACGATGCAGGAACCGTGATAGTTCCGGGGCAAATATATGACAGTTACTTTTCCTGCTTTAATTGAAAGTATTGCATGCATTGTAGCTGCGGCGACAACCGGCCAAGGATGCGATCAGAGTAGTTCTGGAATTGGAATATTTCGACCATAACAAAGTGTTGCCTCGGGATTTGAAATGCAGCAGTTTTGGCAGGCCTGATTGCCGTACTATGTGCATTATATGGAGTAAGCCACAGGGGTAAAAAAATACCCAGAGCTGCCACAATCCTTCAATGGATGTTGTCCGGTGTCGTGCAGAAAGCGGGTGTGGGGACGGCACTGTCCTTCGGATACCGACAATAATAACAGTCCATATGACAGGACGGCACTTGGAATTGGTGTACGGAGGGAGTACGGAGTAGTACTCTAAAATAATGTAATTTGGCGGTTTTTAACGCCGGGGTTGTTCGGCGTGTTTTTTTTTTTTTTTTTTTTTTATCTTTTTTTTCTGGCCTATGAGATGGTTGCAGATATTCCAGGCCAACGGAAATGTGATAGGTCTAGTGGCGTCCTAGGGAAAATGTATACCTCGGAGATGTGTGAATAGGGAGCATCGCTAGCGTCCAACCGTGAGTGCAAATCACCTTCGACTTTCTTCATTTTTTTTCGATGCAGTCGAAGCTATTTTTGCACCGTTGGGGCCGGAGGAAATTCGGTCGTTTCAGCGATAGACTGACGATCTGACAGTGATAGTCTGGCATGAGAATAGAACTGCAGAGCACTTGGGATTTGAAAAGGGGCCACCGTATCTGCTGCAACTCCAAGTGAACTGGTTCGAGAGGCCCCGTCCGGAGTGCATCAGAGAGCTTCTGTGGAACACGAAACAAGCCTGCATAAAAAGCACACATATGCACAGGGATCATGCACACTGCTATTGGATATAGACTCGCCGCTTGGCCATATGTCTGTGCGTCGAACCCAAGCAATTGGCTAGCATTGCTTGTCTTCAAATCCATCCTGCCAGGGAGGAGATAATGTGTATTCTAAACAAGATATAGATCGCATTTCCAATCTGACTGTGAACCACTGCAGTTTAACCCCATATTCTGGTCGTAACCCCTGGTAACCTGGACAGGGTTGGAGGTTTATTTCCAAGGCATTTATATCTATCTATCCCAGCGAGTTAGTTAGATCAGATGCAGCTGGAAAGCCAAACTCACATCCGTAAACGCCTGCAGAGACAAGAAAGTCTTCAGGAGTCCCCACCAATTGGAAAGGCAGATCGAAACCATGATCCAGGACCTTGGGAAAGTATATGAATGGATATCAAGATGGATCGGGATAGTGACTGTCCAAGATGTTCACCCACTTGCCGATAGAGTTTCAGCCTCTCGTCGCTGTGTCTCCATGGCTTTGGCCTTCAGATGTGAGTCCGATTCAACTGAATAATGGGTATGTCGTACAGATCCAGTCTGCAGGAATGGGTCTCCGTGCAGCCGCAAGACTGCTGATCGGATCCATGAATGCTGTTTGAGTGCTGTTTGGGGGGGGGGGAGTATCGCTGGAGCAACTGGACGGACACATTCCGACAATCGAAAGCCTTTCTCGCTATATCTCGAGAAACCAACGATTTAAGTATTCGATGCCCGACGCTCATCATTTGATGGACTGGAATAACAACACAGAGTACACTTGAAGACATAGCTCAGTCGAACGGAAGGGGACGTTCTCCATTACCCACGTTGGTTATCACGCTGTCTATAATTCTCCATGGAATCTGTCTCCGAAATCAAGTTCTCACCGCCAAGGTCCCATGGCGCCATATTAATTAATTATAACTTAGTTATCCTAAATTTCTCCTAAATTATGGAGTATGCAATTGGAGCTCATATTTGCGGGGAGGAGACAAGTGAGGCGGAGAGAACTCACTCCCATATTTCAGTTTTTTTCGTCGGAGTCGCCGTGACTCTCGTCCTGCTGACGGCCAAGGTAAATTAATTTGGGATCATGTTGTCAAATTGTGTTTGGGTTTCAATTTAATGATCGGGAACTCTGGTTCTGGTATAGGACTATTACCTCCAGTAGGTCGTCAGTGGCCTGGAGGTACACCAGCAGTTATACCAAGGTAGGTATATCGCAAGTGGCTCGTGCCAGGTCCGCAATCGCGCACGCATCATAATGAAACTCCGTCTCCTCGATCCGGAAAAAGAAGAGAATAAAGCAAAGCCACAAAATAATTCAGCAACCAATAAGATCGAGACTTCGGACTCTGAAGAAAGGGAGTGGGAAAACAAAAATCGGGCTGACGCTATTTCTCCGTTTAGATCCTTCCACCTAGCCAGCCACCAATAGGTACCTTACCCCTAAGGAAGTTATTCCCAAATTTGCCTTCAGGATCTCTCCAGGAGCCCAGCTCTTGCCTAGCCTCACTTTTCTTTTTCTTTCTTTTTGGTTTTGGTTTTGTTTCCATTATGCTCCGTGGTCCGGACGGCGTACGCCCTCGCCAATTAAATTATGATCCGCCCTGAACCATTCCATCGGGGTCACTAGACGGGCTATCCCGCTGTCAGATATTGGGTAGAACTTGGAAGACTTCCCTAGGCACTTTGGAAATTTAGAGTCCTGTTCTTGTCATCATTTGGGTTTGGATGGACGTGGGTATACACTTTGTTAGCTTGCTAGTTACCTAGGTACCAGGTAGATACATAGCTGGCCACTTGTTGGGTTATTTTCTGACTGGCAAAGAAGTAAGTCACCGAACAACTGACCTACTAGGATAGACTACCTGGTCAGGCAATACTAAACAGTTCCTCCGTACCTGCAAGACTCTCGACTTCTGACGGACAGCACTGAATGAACAACATACGTCCCCACTTCATGATGGTCGTGCGCAAAGTCAAGGCGAACTCATTGCCAGAGACCAAACCTACAGATACTTTGTACTCGGTAGTAGAGGGAAACCCCGACGAATTTCTGGTGCCAGTCTGGTTTAGTAAATGGCAACTAGTGGTAGTTAGTTAATTAGTTACTAGTTAGTAGTATCGATAGAAAGAGGAAAGTGGAACATGGACCAATTTCGAGATATTCGGGAGGGAGAGGAGGTGGATAAATTTGTTCATCATGAAATAAGAATAGCTAACTATAATACTAGTATTAGAATATTATATAATACAGAGAGTATAATACATGATTGATTCTCTTGTAAAAAAAACAAAAAAAAAAAGAGAAGAAAATCCATGTACTCCATATAAGTAAGTAACGACTTGGTTCTCCAAAACTTCCTCAGACCTCGGACCCAGAGTCGATCGACACTCATGCACCCGAGCTGAACTGCGAAAGTATGGAGTAGGACACACTGACTTCTGGATAGGCGTTCTGGTTCCGGAATGGATCTCCCTTGCCTTGTGACGAGCTGAAAATCTATTTGCCATTCACTAGTGATATCCCGACTCAGTTGTTCTTCTTAGTCGCAGCATGATTCATCGCATAGAAAAACCATTGGACGGCGCCATCGACGGGGTTTTTTCGGTACTTGACTTACACGGTAGCTACTAAGTACCTAACCTAACTAACGTACGGAGTACTCCGTACCTGTTCTGTTTCACAATGCGCCAACGCGCTATGCGAGAAGGAGAATGGTAATGATGGAAATTTGAGTTGTTCACGGACATAGTATCCAAGTAGTTACCTAGGTACAGCAATACCTTGGTGGGTGCAAAGGCTAGCTAGCTATGTGATTTATTATTCTATACGGAGCAGCTACGGAGTACATGTTACATATTACCTAGGTGCATATTTACTTGCTACCTAACTTCTACTGGTCAGTAGTTGTCCGGACGGTTTAACTCCATGGAAGACGGTAGTAGTTCGGCATTACTACCAGGTAGCTTCCCTTCCGCAAAGTAAGCTGTTCGGCCTTGGGTTATCTTTAGAATGCTGGGTAGGCCTAGAGGCTAGACTCTAGAGCTTATTATTATTATTATTATTATTATTTTACTCGTACAGTATCAAGGTAATCTAAAAAAAAAAAAAAAAAAAAAAGGGTGTTCTTATTTTGATTACTCACTGAAGACTTCAAGAAACATACCGAGTAGCATGGGAGCTTGAACGGTGGCTTTCTTTTTTTTCTTTTTACTTGTCCTTCAGGTGAATCAAACTACAACTAGGTAGCACTAGCTTTACTACGACAAACAACCTTTCAATTCAATCTTAAACTTGAAGTGTTAAAAAAACAAAAATTAAAAAAAAAAATAAAATAAAATAAAATAAACCTCTCCAATTAGGGTCCGGATGACACACCACTTTAACGGGATTCTTTATGCCGCACACAGGACGGCATTTCAAACCATCTGCACGAAATACTGTACAGGGCTATCCCTTGCTTGCAGCATACCACAGAATAAACAATATGGACTGGGGGAGTGAGGGTGGAGTACTGGCAGGAGAAGGAGGGGAAGGAAGGAAAACCAGGCGAACGGAACCTTCATGAAACTTTGCGATAGACTAACAGCTTGCAGGATCTTGGATCTAGGGGAACGATGGCTAAATTATGAGTGAAAGGCAAGAGAGACCAAAACAAGGGACAACACGGGATTCCGAAGCATACAAGTGGTCGGTCAATCACGAGCCGGTGAGGGTTTTGTGCTGACGCAAGATCGAAGAGAAGGCTCCATAGGTCAATGCCCCAGCGCGAATATGCCAACATCCGTAGGCTGGTTCCAGGAGACAAGATCATGGAAAGCTAAATTTGTAGATCAACTAGGGAGTGGAAGGCAGGGGGGAAACCTAGCGGTTCTTGGGGAGAGTCTGCAGAAGCATTCATTGGGCGGTATTGGAGTTCGGAAAGTCAGACAGACTTCCAATGGTGATTGAACGACCTGTACGACGATGGGGGTTATCGTGATACCGACTCCGTACCTAGGGACCTAAGAGCCGGCAAAACTCTCAAGGTTCGACTTGCTCTTTGGTGCTGGAAGTTTTATCCATGATTTGGTAGGCAAATGTGAAACGAAACCTGAGAAATAGATCTCCATGTGACTACCAACCAACTGGAAGAACACGGAGCAATCATGGGAGTTGGATAGATAATAAGGAGGATTTAGCAGCTGTTGTTGGGTCGATGATCCATTCGTGACAACCCGCCATTAGCCGCCATTCCTTCCCTTTTCTTTTCCTTTCCGTCCCGAAATTATCCCAGGACTACTAGTATCGACGTGCTACTAGTAGTGAGACTGACCCAAGCACCTATTGCAATGGAGGAGTCTACTCCTTGGAATAGAACGGGAAATGCCGATTAAAACAGTCCAAAAATCCAAGTGGGGGTGGAGGCCATCGCGAATTTTGCCTGGTCGAGAGAAGCCTGCCTGCTCCCGGAGGGTAGGTACTGTATCACTCCCTCATACTGGACAGACTTGAGGTGACCGACATTCATGCCTCTCTCTCTCTCTCTCCAAGTGAGGGATACAAAGAAAGTGGCCCAAGGTGGCAAATTGCTGGAAGGTCGCGGATTTGTCACTTTCTCCATATGGGGAAACCCTGGAGCGCGTCACGGAGTGCATCACGGAGTCCCATCTCCAGGCCAAAGGGTTGGATAGAGTACTCGCACAAAACAATGTTGTTCTCCGAGTGTAATCCAAATAAGAAATGGATCCTCGTTAGGTACCTACCCGAGATTCTTCCCGTAACCTACCAGCCTTTGACCTACCATGGGAGGAGTCTGAACCATCCAAACCCATCGATCCAGATGACCTTCGAACCAGGGAACAGAACAGCTGGCATGATTTTGCTTTTAGGCGCAGTGTGCGGTCTAGAAATGCTCGAGTGATATGTACAGGCTCTATCCATGTAATATGTGATGGCCCTTATAGCCTGCCGAATGTGGGTTTTTTGATTTGTAAACTCTATTCGGGATTGAATTTCCCTTTGAGATCACTTTTGCCGTCTGTACGATACTATACCAGAGTAGACCATGGCGGAGACTTTTAAAACAACCCCTTACCAGAGAAGACTAGTTAATAAATCAAGAACCTTTATCTGGTGATGATGAGCGCAACTCATTCTGTTCTACTTGGTCTGAGTCCTCCCTCCACCAGACCTAATACCTGGTGTGCTCTGCAGATGTAGTAGTTATGTAGTGACCCTTGATTAGTGACTGTGACACGGTCAAGAGGCTGGAGAAGATCCTCACCGTCTGGTGGTTCTGCATGGCGCTGCCCCTCTTGAGTCGCGTCATCCATGCATACATACTTACCTGTCTGACTTGCTTGACGCTCTGTGTACGGAGTAAGAGCCTTCCCTTTTGGACACTTTCTCTTGATTCCTCCCTGTGATGCGATTCTTATTCTTATTATTAGAATCGAGAATATGCACATTGATGTATAATGTATATCATGTCTGGATATATATATGTGTGGGTATGTGTATATATTCAATCTCTATCATATAAGTCAAATAATTCTCCAACGATAGACTTCCGAGATCGAAGTATGGAATATTCGATGCACCTGGTAATGGCGTCGAAGATGATAGGGAGATTTCGTTCCCCTCCCCCTTTTTTTTTTCCCCCCAATAATGAGTTTGATCATCAACTATGGGCCGTTAGACACTGAGATGATGGATACCCAAGATTCTCCAGAATCGGAATGAATCAGGAGAGAAATCTGAACCGGCCGGGGTTGATGACAAGCGTTGGGAAACCTCTGTTCCACTTTCCACGCCTCCATACCTAAGATACGTACTCTGTACTACTTACTGGGTTCTGAGAGGATAATATCAAGTGAAGTTTCTTCCCCATTTTGGTTTCAGCCCTTGTTTTTTTTTTTTTTAAAAAAAAAAAGAAAGGCATATGTTGTAGATATCTAGCAGCAGTAGTAGAGAGTGACTTTGCGCCTGAGTATATAGTAGATGTCCCTAGTTCAGCCTATGTCTCGTATTCCAATACTCCTTTATCTAGGTCTCCACGACTCATTTACCCCTCGGGATTTTTGGGCACCGACCACTCCTTGATCACGCCCCGTGCAGCAATGGAGAAAACCAGTCAGCAGTCAAGCATCTGTCTTTGCTGGATGGAGGATGGTTCAATCACCGTGTTGTCAGGAATCTGGTGGTATGAGAGAGGGGAAGAAGGGGGAGGCGGGTGGGAAAAGGATGATGATCACAGACACCTCTAGAAGGTTAGGTAGGACTTCTTGATAGTTAGTTTCTGACTCTGTGTTATCCAAGACACGGTTCGTCATATTTTTGAAATCCAATTCTCTATTATTGCTTTAATTTTTCTGCGATGCTCCTTGTCCCACAGCACCAAAGTTGCGGCTCCACTTGGGGGATGACTTTTTGATTGATTGATTGATTTATTTCTGTATATTATTATTATTATTATTATTATTATTATAATTATATTATTATTATTGATTTAATATTTTGACTTTTTCCCATGGTTTCATTAACTATTTCATCATTTCATTTCTTAGAAAGAATTTTAGTTCAATCAATGGATTCGGGTTTTATGTTACAAAGCTACCTACCTACCTACCTAAGGTAGATACTACTACTCAGAAGGGGCAAAATAATAGAAGAATCCAGTGTTCGTATCAATAAGAAATCCGTAAGATACAACAAATGAAATCGAAATAATTCCATCAAAAACCAAAGGAAGGCCGAGCAACCGAGAAAACCGATCTGTCAATTCTGGTGGCTTGGGTCGATTCTCACAAAACCAGCATCCTGGTTCACTTGCAAAATAATAGTATTATTTAAAAATTAATAAAACTAATAAATAAGGAAATAAATGGAAAAAAAAAAGGAGAAGCAAATCGAATATCTAGAGAAGTTCTCTCTGGGGAATGATGATAGTCGGAGCTGTGGTGGTCATTGTTATTTTATGTTATTTATGTCTATCCTTCTAACTACCACGGCTGCGCAACCAACCTTACGACTGGTTCCAAAAGTATCATCCATCATTCCTGTTACTTTCAAGGGCGAAATCCTTCTGTGGGCAGTTGAGAAAAGAGGGGCAGAATTATCAGGACTAGCTCTCGATTTAGTCGAGTTCCGAGTATCAGATTTCTGTTTGTAGAGACTGGAGGTAATGTTGGATCACCTGCCAATAGCCTTCATAGCCTCCTCTCTGAGGTATACCTAGTAAGTATTTTCTCTCTCTCTTTCTCTCTCTCTCTGTCTCAGTCTCAGTCTCGGTCTCTCTCCTTCCTCTCTCTTTCTGCTGCCAAATTACTAGCCACCAGAATTGAATTGAATCCCGGAGGCTTTTTTTTAATCCTTTCTAAGTTCCCACCATTATTCATTCTTATTGTTATTCTTCTTCCTATTACTATTCCTCCATCTACCTTCCCCCCCCCCCCCCTCTCCTCTTCCCTTCTAACTATTGTGAGGGTCTATTCTATCTAGTATCTACCTTTAGCACCAAAGGACCCGACAATTTGGCTTCACTCCGTATCTCCGGATCTCCGTATCTCCCATCTGATCTGGATTGGAGAACAAAATAGAGCCAACAACCACCACCACAAGAACAACACAATCTTCGCACTGTATACCTACTTAGTACGTGGTGGTATACATCCTATCAGGTATTTTTCTACACCATCTTTCTTCATGCCTGTGTTCGGGCCCAGCTATCCCAGAGCTTCTAGCTCCAAGTTTCCCACTTCCACTCCTCCGACTGTTGCTGCTCCTACCACTATCTAACTGGTGGAGGTGTTGTTGTGAAGCGATCATATCTTCTTCCATTTATTTGGCATTTCTTCTCCTGTTCTTTACTTTGGAATCTTAGTGGTTGGGCTCAGTACTTCCCAGGGGTTTTCTTTTCTTTTCTTTTTTTTCCCTTGGGCCTCTCTCTCCACTTGTCCCTTTTCACATTATTACCTTGAACCCCTCTCACTATATTTTTTTTTGACACTAAAAGTACTGACCAAACAGCTGTCATCCTCTTTTCTCTTCTTGTTCTTACCTCCCTGTCTCTGTATGGAGTATTGAGGTTTACCAAATTACCATACTGGAAGAACTGCTCCTGCATCCCCTTCTTTCGACACCCTATTCTTCTTCTTCTAATTCTGATTCTTCTCTTCCTTTTATTTATCTTTATCCTCATCCTCACCCCCCCCCCAATTACCTACTGACGGTCGGTGTTTCTTCCCACCGTGACTCCACTCCCTTCATTGATTGATCGATTGATTACAGTTAGCGTCTACGCTGATCGTAAAGGTTGGTATTCCCTTCCAGTCCTCTTCCCCCCTCCTCCGTCTCTCCCCCCTCCGTTTATGTGTGTATACCTCCAAAAATCCCCCAACATCCCGGCGCTCTTAAGCTGTTTCGTGCTGTTCGTTATTCCGCACGAATATTATTACTTACCACCTTCCTGGGTGGGAATTTGGCGCTAGTTTTCCGCTCGACAATATTTTCTCCCGCTACTTCTGCTACTTTACTACCATCGTGATCTTTTCCTCCTCGTCGTTCTTGGCCCACCTGTATTTTGTTTTCTCCTGCCCTCTTCCTCCTGGCTGTGGCTGATCGCTTTGACCATTGTCTCTCTGTCTTACGCAGCTTACATACCACTGTTATTCCCCTTTCAATCGCTCACTCGCTGCAGTATTCGATCCCCGCGCCCCTCCTCTGTGTGACCGTCCAACGTGTATCAGAATAGTCTTCAAGAGAAAACGTCAGAAAAATCAGGACCCCTTCTGGCTTCTTTTGCTTTTTCCGGTCGGAAAATAGGAGACGACATTTGCAGAGGATTACGCCCATATCAATAACTGCGCATCCACTTTTGCCCCGCGCTCATCCCAACCAGCTGATTACCTGTTTTGGAATTTGAGCTATACCCGTCCTCCTGCCCACCAACGCGCACACCTCCCTCTCGCTCTCTCTCCTGTCATCCATTGTCGTGTTTGCATGGGACATCAACATGTCCTCATAAACACATGATTGTCGCTCTTGAAACATCGTCTTCTGTCAATCTGCGCCCGTTCGGATTCCTTCGTCGCGACTCCAGACCTGCGGCCATGGAAATTGTGACCGCGGACGACAAGCCCCAACCCCTTCCTCCCTACTCCGGTTCAGCGCCCCCCATGCATCGCATACCACCGTCGGAGGGATCGCATGGCGTACCAGGTGGTCCAGGATTGTATGATCATTCGTGGCGCCAGTATCCCTCGTCGTTCGATACACACCCTGCCGAACAGCGTCGAACATCCGCCCCGCAACCGTCATTGCCCTCCCATGGGTATCCCTCGATGAACCGAGAGCTACCACAACTGCCCACCGATGGACCCTACGGGCGACCAGGTAGCTTACCTGCGCCCTCCCAGACGCCAACAGAACCGACTCCGCCCCATGCTAGCTTCCATCCCATGAATGGGACCCCCCACGAACCTGCCCCCCATTCCGCACCTCCTGAATACCGCCCTCGAATCCCATTCCCACCGCAAGAGCCACACAGTAACGGGGATGCTCCGCCTCCACACTCCCTCCCCCCATCCCAATATCCAACAACCGTCCCACCGCCCGTATCGCACACACCCGTTCCCTATGACTCGAGCTATTACCAGAATCCGGCATATGGCATGCGCCAGCGCAAAGCTGCCCGAGCTCAACAGGTACTATAATGATTATTTTTCTGGATTAAGATCTTCGTGGAAGAATATCGCTGATGCATTAGTTTTGGACATTGAAGGCTTGCGACCAGTGTCGAGCGAGGAAAGCCAAGTGCGATGAAGGACGTCCCGCTTGTAGTCATTGCAAAGAAAATAACTTGATTTGTGTTTATAAAGAAGTCCCCCCTCATAAGTGAGCCTCCGAAAACTGGTCACGTTGCGGAATAATAGTGGAATACTAAACAATCATGACAGACAGGAAAAGGCTACCCAGCTGATACTAGATCGGATGCAACAAATGGAAGACCGACTGGAAGACCGACTGACCCAATTTCAAAAAATTCAGGTGGAACAGAACTCGCTACTCGGTACATTGTCTGATATCACCAAAATCAAAGACCGCAATGCGCCCGTCAATAAAGAGCTGCAGAAACTCTTTCCATTCTTGAAAAGTGATGCGCCGGAAGTTCCCCAGGAGCCTGAGATCAAGGAGCAGACCGCGCCTGCAGGAGTACAGAAAATCGATATCACGAATCCTCTTGAGCAGCAGCTCCTCCAAACGGGGGAAGATGGTGAGCTGTCGATTCCGGTGGAGCACACAACAGCAGCACACAAATTACTTGGCTGGCCCTCAATCAAGTCTCTGCTACTACCCTACCTCTATGACGAGGACTACGTCATGAAACTTGAAGAGGAAAGAGGTCTAATCCGTCTCTATGGACGTGGTGAGGGAGATGATTCAAGCGAGGAAAGACTCACACCATCAACCAGTTTGAGCGCGAGTTGGGATGAACGATATCACCCTGCTGCCTCCCCTAATGGGGGATGGAATGCCAACTTCAAATCCAATGGTTATACACCGAAACAAGAAAATAAGGATATCGATGAGGACGGTATGCTTTCGGTAGATGCTGAAACTCTACGTGGCTATCGCAATAGCTACCTAGAGCATATACACAAACTTCATCCGTTTCTTGATCAAACAGACCTGGACAAGGGAATTAATCAATTTATCAACATATATTGCCTCAAAACATCCCCCCCGCAGGGGCCTCCATTAAACCCCTTAAATACTTCAACAGATGCGCCAAGGGGCGCAAAACGAAAACGATCCTTTGAGGCTCTACGAGGGCCTGGATATGACATGCGTTCTCCGGGTGCAAAGCCTGATGGATCCCCTACAAGCCAGCCTGTGGCGAAGTCAATCAATAATGCCATTATTTTATTGGTGTTTGCCCTTGGCCGCATCTGTCAAGTTCGATCTATTGCCATTGCTGGACCCATTACTGACCAACCCACGGACTACCGACAACAGCACATTCCCAGCGCATCTTCTCGAACTGTTCCATCTCCATCTGGGTCGGATTCTATGCTCCCGCCACAAGGAAGCTTCTACTCCTCATACCAAAACCCGCCACTATCATCTCCATTAGATAGTAGCAACAACGGGGCTCATGATAATTCTCACCTTAGAAATATAGATGTTATCCCTGGTCTAGCATATTATGCGCATGCTACGCGGATTCTTGGGAGTCTTCAGGGTATAAACACACTCCCTCACGTTCAAGCTGCTCTATTAGCAGGTTTATACGCCGGCCAACTCGCACATCCCTACCAGAGCCATGGATGGATCTACCAGGCTTGTAGAGCTTGTCAGGTGCTTGTACGATCGTGAGTTTTGTCTCTAGTTTGAGTATTAATATCTTGAAATAAGAACCCCCATTCTAACTTGAACCTCTAGGAAACGGTATGAGAAACTTGTCGAGGGCCATGAAAAGGATCTAGTTAATTTTGCATACTGGACATGTCTACAACTTGAAAGGCAAGCTTTGCAATATAGCGGTCTTTTTTTTTTTTAATATAAAGACTATCAGCACTAACCTATAAATATAGTGATATCCTAGCAGAACTTGATCTTCCTGCAAGTGGGATTTCTCGCTCCGAAGCACGCATTGCCTTACCCAAGGGCCGATTCACTCTTTCATTACCAAATGATATGTCCGCGCCTAGTACAATAATGATGTTCTTCTATTCAGCTCAGATTCATTTGAGAAAGGTTCTCAATCGCGTTCATACAGATCTATATAAAGTTGAAAGTAAGATACTTGATTCTTCTTGCTGGGGTTTCTTACTTACCTTGATATTCTATAGAACAAGGTCAAACTAGGTGGTCTTCTAATGTACAAGAGATCCTAAGTATGAATCTGGATCTATGGCGGTCTAGCCTTCCAGAGGTCATGAGATGGAAAGATACCGATCCTCCATCAGACGATATTAATGTTGCCCGCATGAGAGCCAAATATTATGGCGCGCGTTATATCATCCATCGACCGCTTTTATATCATGCGCTGCATTATTCAGGTCCAAATGCGCCCTCTTCTGTCGATTCCCCAGTTGGATCCATAATATCTGGATCTAAGTCCCAGCAGGTTTCGCCTTCAATGACCCATAACCAGCGCGCTACTAATATGAGTCGCATATCAAGCGATATAGGCATGATGGGTCGAAATTCAGGGCCATCTAATCAGGCAGCGACCCTTACATACCGTGATTTGCCTACAAAGTTGCGCAGAGCGTGCAAAGTATGTGTGGATTCAGCCATCTTAAGTACAGAAGCATTCGATGGCATTCAAAATAGCCGCCCAGTAGTGACAAATATTTTTGGGACTGCTCATGCGTGAGTTAAAATTTCTGAGCTATGTCTGGGAGAATACTTTTATTGACTTTAATAATTACAGACAATTTGGAAATATGCTGGTCCTATCTACTACCTACATGTCACACCTCTCCGAGCTGGTAGATCGTAATGACCTTGAACGACTTCTCAAGCGAACTATTGCCTTTTTACTCCAGAGCCGGCATATATCACCAAGTTTAAGGGCGGATGCAAAAATCCTCACCGAGATCTATGAGAGGATATTTGGAGACACACCTGTGGTCGTAATCCCATGAAGTTAACCTACATTCAACGAGGGTCGCCATGACGAGCCCTTTTTTTTTTTTTTTTTTTTTTTTAGCGCCTCGATTGTGACTCTTCGAGTCTGTTTTGGTTGGATTCTTTGGCACCATGCTATTTTGACCACCCTAGTTGAATTTCTTTTTGGCCACAGACTCGTTCCGTTTAGCGATGTTTCTTTTGACACCTTGCTGGATACCTTTCTTTGGGGAGCAGCGATATTTCCAGGGTTCATAAACCCGACGGTGCCTTTCAGGCATGTATTTTCTTGATATACATCATATCACTTTTCATCAGTGCGCATGATACATCAGGCTTCTATGGCGGCTCATTTTCTTTCACTCATTTGGTTGGATCGCTTGCATATTATTGATTTTCTTTTTTTCGTCCCAAGTTCTAAGATCCTGTGCATTTCAAAGGGAAACGGCGGATATCTGAAAGTTTTTATGTTGGTTTCTTTTTAATTTTTTTTTCTGGATTGATTTTGTTTTGGAGTTGGGACGGTATCTTGCTCTTCTATCCTCACTCTCGAGGAGGAACGGCGTGGGAGGAATCGTTCTTTGCATTTTCAGAGGACTCGGGAGAATGATCTCCACGTACAAGACATATAGTAACATTCTGGGGATATTAAATGGACGGCCTACATATTGGATACTCTAACTACTTGGCTGAGAGCCTGCCGAAGCTTTTTACATTGTTTATGAGGTATCAACTAGGACCTAATAATATATTCGTCCTCTCCCCCTTGCGCCTCAGAATATATGAATTAATATCCAGTTCGCCAAGTAACCGCAGTCCATCTGGCTCCTTGCTTTGACAAAGAAATTAACTCTTCAACCTCGGTTGCCTATGATGCCCTCCCCCCCCCGCACTTTGATGACATTTGCAAGAACCATGCAAGCCAAAACTGCAACGGCCGACCTATCGTATCGAATATGGGGGAATGCCGGTTGGAAACGTTGGCTCGCACGATAGCTGGATGGCATATGAAGGTCTTGTTGCACTACTGTTGTGGACGACGCTGTCCAACACCCAAGCAGTTCCACATTGTCTGATAAACAGATGCGAGATGGCATTCCAAAAGACTTTCTGGTTTTCCCGAGAAGGTTAGTTTCTTTCTTTCTTTTGTCACTGTTTACATCCATGTGAGAATTATTATTTACCTTCTTCTTCTTCTTCTTCTTCTTCTTATATACAGGGTTCACTGCAGATGTTGTGGGGAAGATCCTCCAGGGAACTATCCTCAACACTTGGACGACAGTCCCTCTCCTTTGGCTTGCACGTTACACTAGCAAGGGCCAGGATATTTCCCGGGAGCACGCAAAGGCGCTTCAGGTGCTCAAGGTGCTAGCCTTCCTCGCGGTTCTCCGGCGCGTGAACGCCTGGCTCAACCGCCGCGCCCTGAACAACGGGCTCTCGGACCAGTACAACTGGAGCCGCGAAGTCGTCGTGCTCACGGGGGGCAGCAACGGCATTGGCAGACAGGTCGCCCTCTTACTCGGACAGCGTGGGATCCCCGTCGCGATTCTCGATGTCCAGGCGCCGCAAGACCGCTTGTCCGCCACGGTCCGCTACTACCGATGCGACATCACTTCGCCGGCGGCCATCGCAGAGGCTGCCACCAGCATCCGGGCCACGCTGGGCGAGCCCACGATCCTCATCAACAACGCGGGGATCTGCAGCAGCCGCACGATTCTCGACAGCACGGAAGCCCACACCCGGGTGCAGTTCGAAGTCAATACCCTGGCGCATTACTGGCTCGTGCGCGAGTTCCTTCCGGCGCTGATCCAGCGCAACCACGGCATGGTGGTCACAGTGGCGTCGCAGGCCGGGTACACGGTGACGCCCAACATGGTGGATTACTCTGCGACCAAGGCGGCGGCGATTGCGTTCCATGAGGGGTTGGCGGCGGAATTAGTGGCGCGGTATAATGCGCCTCGAGTTCGAACCGTGCTGATCACGCAGGGGTTCACGCGGACGGCGCTCATTGATCGATTGACTCCGGAGGATACTTGGCTCAATCCGCTCCTCTACCCGGAGACCGTGGCGGAGCACCTAGTGCAGCAGGTTCTGCGAGGGGAGAGTGGACATGTTCTTGTGCCGGGGGCGACGGGGTGGATGGCCAAGTGGTTCCGTTCGTTTCCGGGTTGGGTACAGCATAGATTACGGGTGAGGTTGGAGCGGTTGATGCGTGCTAATTAGGGATGTTGGATTGATTTCTTGCTTGATATATAACTAGGTATAACTAATATAGTAAATGTAGGCGGATGCCTCAGGCTGCAAGGGATCCCCCACATTCTTCGGTCAAAATTTGGTTAAAGTGGAATCGATCGGGAGGACCATGGATCATTTATATCTATATTCTCTTTATTTATCTATAGCTAGATAGCTAGATAGATAGAGTCTTGATAAATACTGCAGAACTAACTCTCAACTACTATCCTGTAACTATACACAATCCTTGCCAGCCACTCCAAGTCAGCACGTGCATCTCCACCCCAGCCTCACCGCGATTTTCTTCCTCTCACATTCTCTCTCTCTCTCTCTCTCTCTCTCTCTCTTTCTCTCTTCTCTCTCTCTCTCTCTCACTCTCGATCGTTCCATCTATTCTCATCTCATCTGCATTTCTTCATCCCCCAGCATTTCATCTCCTCCCTTCCCACCCTTTTAAACATTCCATCCTGTCATCCCCCTTTCATACCTTTTCATCACTTGTTTGCGACTCGACTTGTCCTGGTTTATCATCGCCCTATCCCGCTTCCAAGGCGCTAGGAATTAGATCGCCCTTAGTGGCCGATTCTCTGGAGCAACCAAAGCGCCTTCTCAGTTCCCACTAACAGATCCACGGTTCAGCTCTCTTGTTTACTGTCTGCCCGTACAAAACAACTACTACAAACTCACTTCTTCCCTTCCCTCCACCACCCTTCAAATTTCTCTTTCCCTCAACTTTCATCCTTTCCTTATACATCATCATCACTATTCCCTTATTACTAGGTACACAGTTTTAATTTCTCGGGTTTGAACCCCAACCACCCACCCCAAATGATTGCCTGAGTCAGCTAGAGCTCCCATTGCTCTCTGCCCACCATGCTCAAGGCCCTCATGGGCGGGGGCCGCTCCTCCTCCGATGTTCGCGATAGCTCTAGATCCAAGGGTGGCAGTCGTCGCAAGACAAGCTCCAAATCTTCCGCTTCTTCGACGGTGAGCCGCAAGTCCTCACGGGGTGACGACCGTGGCCGTGGCTTGGGTGATCTGTCCGCATACCCATCCTCGAGTAGTCGCAGCATGCGCTATGCATCCAGCGCAGCTGGCGACTCGGTAGCCTCGAGCTATGCGACCGCGCAACCGAATTTTTCTGAGGAGTCCGAGCGCATTATCATCGAACGGGTGCCCAAGCGCAGAGACTCGGACCGCGATAGGCGCGACGATCCGTATCCAGACAATCGCGACAGGGATTGGAAGAAAGACAGTGGTAGACGTGACGTTGATGATAGCTACCGCCCAGAGCAGCAACGAACCCACTCGGGGGATCCATACTTTCCCCCCATGGCAACCGGTGGCGTGCCTTTCTCTGCGCCTGGCGCCCCGTATACCCCGATTCCGACTACCCAAGGCCCTTCGCAGTCCCCATTCCCGGCAACTTCCATGTCGAGTCCGCCTGGAATCCCCGCGGTTTGTGATCCGCATGTCCAGCAGCAATTTCCTGGACAGTTTCCGACCTCCTTTGCCGAGCCTTACCGTCCTCCAAACCCTGCAGGCGAAGCGGCTGATTACTATAACGATCAGGGACAGTCGGTCACTGAACAGCCGGGCGTTCGCCCTAAGCCACCACTCGTGATTCCGAATAGCCAAGCGCACTTGATGACCGCCTCACCGTCTTCGAATCCGCCCCCCGAGCCTAGTAGTATGGGACAAGTTGGTGCCGCCGCTTCATATTATGACGGGGATGTCGGCGTGCATATCCAAACCTCTGAACAACCGTCTGCGCCCCAACCACCAAAGCCTTCCAAGCCATCGCACACCGCAGCGGAGACGGCTGGGATACTTGGTACAGCGGCTGCAACCTATGGGATAGGAAATAGCTTTTCCAACAATGTTGTCACAGAGTCGCCTACAACGTATGCCCCTGCTGCTTCGTCAAATTTTCAAAAGCCTCCTCTTCCTCCTCTTCCTCCCCCTCCTCCCCAGGCCCAGGCCCAGGCCCAGTCCCAGTCCCAGTCCCACAGTATGGGTGCTGCAGTTGGTGTTGCCGCCGCCGGTGCCGCAGCTGGTTATATGTTGGGGCATACCCATCATTCATCGTCAAGCGGTGATCACACCTCGCAATACACCATGCAAAACTACGATGAAGTCTCTCAGCATGGACAAGGATTTCCTGCGACATCAGGATATTCTCCTGTAGGAAATCCGGCGCTTCATGAAGCGGGTGCGGCAGGTACAGCAGCAGCAGCAGCAGCAGGATATGCTGCAAGCCCGCTACATCCCCACCATGCTGCAGTTCACCACGGAGCTCCCTTCCCCTCTGGCGGCTTGGCTTTTCAGCAGCGCCAGCGTGGGCCTCTGGATAAATTCTTGGATTTTTGGCGTGACTACGAGGGAGTGGGAATGTTTGAAGACTACACTGAGACCATTGGCGTTTGCAAGTACTGCTTCGAGCCGGGAACTACTTCTCGAGATGCTCCGCGAGTCCATCACTATAAAGCCCGACGTCGATCGTCAGATCGCACCAGTGACGACTCTCGCGTCCAAAAGGCAACCCGTTACGCCTCGTCAGAAGATGAAAGTCGACGCCGCAAGTCCTCGAAAAAATCATGGCTGCTTCCCGGAATCCTTGGTGGATACGCTGTCAAGTCTCTCTTCGAGAACAAGGACTTTGATGACACTTACAGTATCCGATCTGGTCAGTCCGTCAGTGTATCTCACGACAGTGAGGGAACATCGGCCTCTGCGAGAAGGAGTCAGACATCGCGCGGTGTTTATCGGCGCCCCCACCGCAGCCGTTCTCGAGAGCGCATGGGCCGCAGCGACTATCCTGATCCGGCAGTAACCAAATATGACAGATCCCAGAAAGGTGCTCGCTCTCGCTCGCGCTCTTCGTCTCGACCCAGGCACCACGATCTTCGAGATGCCGCCATCGGGGCTGCCGTAGGGACAGCGGTTATGACGGTTCAATCCCATCATCGAACTGATAGCCCAAACCGCTCTCCCAGAAGGGCTCGCAGCCGCAAGTTATCGTCCTCTGAGTCATCTTTTATGGAAATTACAAGACCTGACGAACAATCACGAGGTGGCTTCGGTTCCTTTTTCACCGCCCCATCAGAGAATCGCAAATCGCGTCGAAGAAGACGATCAAGGAGTATCTTTTCGTTCACCAATTCATCTTCCTCCTCCCTTGACGTCGATCTCGCTTTCGGAAAGGGGTTTACAAAAAAGCTCAAAGGTAAGTCTAAGAAGCGAAGCCCCAGGCGAGAGAAAAAGGAACACGATGTAGATGCGAGATTGCTGGCGCTGGGAGCGACAGCAACTGCACTCGCTGCTTCTTCGCATCAGAGAGATCGACGACCAGGAGCGATCCTAGCCGGCCAAGGTTCTCGCTCTGGTCGATCGGATTATACAGCCTCTGTTAGCAATGATGACGGCTGGGAAGATATGGAGTCGGAGGACCAAGCCTCGAGCGTTAGTTCGGCGCTTGCGTTCGGCGCAAGTGGCAGGTTCGGAAGCGATGACTCCCATTCTTCGGATTCCAGCTCTCGGTCAGGCTGGGGCTGGGGCTGGGGAGGCAAAAATGAAAACAAGACGAAGAAGAAGAGGAAGAGGAGGAAGAGGCGCCCGAGTCCATCCGAGAATCACTTCCCGGCTGGTGCTGCCGTTGCTGCTGGAGCTTTAGGAACAGCCGCATTAGCTTCTGCTTACCATCGAGACCACAAAGCCTCTAGCCAGGCTGGCAGCAGCAGTGCCATGAACCTTCAGCAAGTGGCACCAATCCCGACCTCCGATCCCTCTCGTTATGATGCTATTCCCGAATCGTCATTCCCTGTCCAACCACCACTAGTTCGGCCGGGTCCTATTCCTCTCCAACAGCCTCAGCCGATGATGCCGGTGTCTCAAGCTGTCTATACTACACAAGGTGGACCGATCGGGTCATGTAGTGCACCGACTATCCCTCCTGCCTTCAGGAGCCCATTCGAGTCGTACGAATCGCAGGTGCGCGAGGTAAACCGGGGCCAGTGGAATATAAGGAATTCGGCCTATCCCGAGCGCAGGGAAACAGGCCCCGAAATAACTCGTCGTCATCAGCGGAGTGACTCAACCCCCCTCTTCCATACAGAGCCCTTGGAGGGAGCCCCTGGCCTCGGTTTGAAACGCCGTTCCACAACTAAAGATCAACCGTCTGTTCAGTTCGATTTGACCAAGGAGCAAGAGGATAAAGAACGCCGCACGGTCCGCTTAGAGGGATTGAAGCGTGAACCGGAGCGCGAAGATTGGATACAGCTCATTGATAAGGAGAATGCTGTGGATCCCCGTGATCCTCGTTATGGTTCACAACGATATAGCGAGCGGGATTATGACCGGCCTATTGCAATGGAACATGACACGAGAGAAGACGCGAGCAGGTCATCTTCATGGGCCGGTGCAGTTGCTGCAGGTACAATCGGTGCTGCAGCTGCGGCCACAGTTCTTTCTAGAAAGTCTTCGGACGATGATGCCTCTGAGATGAGCGAGAGGCGGCATAGCGAACGCCGAGCGAAGCGCAGACAAGAGAGGCGCAGTGTTACCGGTTCTCAGTCTACATTTTCTGATCTTTCAGAGAAAATCCAGAAAATCGAGGTGATTGAAGATCCCGATTCTACGACGAGTCCGTCAGAGCACGTTAAAACATCCGCGTTTCGCAGTGTCTCTCGCAAGAAGAGCCCTGTGCACGAGGACTATGCGGAGTTCTTCTTCCCTGAGAAATTGCGTCACAGTCCCGATCATTCCAGTTCACGTGGATCTCCTACCATGCCTACGATTATCGAGATAGAGCCTGCGAGTGAGTCCTTGCGAAAAAAACAACCTGAGGAGCCACAACCTGATCCACTAGATGGGCCACATTATGCCGGCGGTAGATTGCCCTGGCCTGTTCCGTCCTTGAATGTTATTGAGCCTACGCCGCCTCATAGTGTCAACGGCTCTGTCAAAGATGCCTCTTCGCCCATTGTTGCGCCATCAGATCCACATCCAGTAGAGGAGAAGCCTGAACGACCAACCACTGGTTCTCGAGTGTCTTGGGGAGAGCATGAGACGCACGAGTACGAAGTTCCATCTACCTCTTCTGAGCATGATTCAGTCGATCTGGAGCAGCGGCAACACGATCACGACTACGAAGCGACCGCAAAAGGAACTCCCGGCTATACTTATGTCACACCGTCCTCCAGTGCTCCAGATGGGTTTATAGAAGACGTTGATTTTGCCGCTACGGTAGCTGCCGCAACCCAAGCAGCGGGCTTCGATCCTTCCATAGTGACGGATGATCCAACGTTCTATGAGAGGACCTCACGCCCTGGCTCCGAAGTCAGAGACAGCTCTATGTCTCCTACAACTAGGGAACCATATCCCCCTGCACTGGTCCACGGGCTTGTCCGGAGTGACATGGAGACAACAGAAACGGGAACAGCTCAGTTCTTTGAGGACAGGCCTGTTTACGCTGACCCTGAGTCCTCTCTTCCTAAAGATCAAGTTGAAGATACCCCCGGATTTGAAATCCCAACACATGGTGCTGGGCCGGTGATGGAAGAGATTGAACACACAGTTGTTAAGTCCGGGAGCAAAGAAGCTCCGTGTGAGATCCAAGAACCTAGGGACTTTCACGAGAAGGCAATCTCAGACGACCTGCCAGAAGAATCTGAGTCAACTCCTGAGGAACTCTTTTCAATGCCAGGAGGTTTCGATGTCGAGGAGCCGTCCAAGAGATCGCAGCGGAAACGTGATTCGTCCATTCCAAAGGACGGTTCTCATTCAACGGCAGGAGAATTGGAGACTCAAGAAAAACCCAGAGATATTGCCAATATCGATCTAAATGACGTTACTGGTTCAAATATTGCTGAAGATGATAGCACTGATAAGAAGAGGAGACGGAAGAGGCGCTCATCGTCCGTCACGTCCTCCAGGGTCAATGCGGGCGACGCGGGTGAGAAGCGCAGAAGTACTGATGACAATGACAATGACACGAAATCTGGCGGTTTCCTCCTCAACAGCATCTTCGGATCTAGAGTGTCCGAACCAGTAGAAAGCAGGAGATTATCAGAGACGCTCGTATCTCGCGAAGTTCAATCAGAAATTGGCCCACAGACGTCTGAAGAGTTTGGACGTCCACAGAAAGAAAAATCCTCCCGACATCGCAGCTCTAGTGGGGCAGAGTCCTTGGATAATGATTCACGATCTTATGACGGTGGTGCTTTGGACTATGAAGACAGTTTGACTGCAAACAAGGAGAACATCAACCTTGAGAGCTATAAGTCAAGCAGGCGACGAAGGGAAGAACGGCGAAGGCAAAAGGAAACGGATGGCTTGGGTGTCACGACGGAGTTCGATAAGGTATAGTTAGCTGTTCTTTTTTTTTTTCTTTTTTTTCTTTTCCGTTATTTTTGTAAACGGTGATCTTACCCTGTCTATTCCCATATTTGGTGCGACTTCAATTGACAGAAATGTGCTTGGTTCGTTTGCTAAATATTACGCACTTTTTGCTTTCTCTCTCTCTACGTATAGGATCGAAGAGCCACTCGTGACAGTGATGGAGAAGAATCTTTTTTAGTCGAGGGCCCCGAAATGCCACGCAGGGACGACGACGATGATTACAATGGTGCTTCGGGGCGTTACTTTCCAGCAGATACGGAGACCAAAGGTTTAGGGCTGGCACTTGCTCAACGGCCCAGAAGTCACTCGGCATCCCCGCCGGTATCAGAGAAACTATCGGACGAACCTGTCCCCAGATCTCATAGTAGATCAGCCTCGCCTGATGCGGCCCTGGTACAGGGGGAAGATGACGGTCAAAGGTCCCGACGATCATCAGTTCTACGGTCTACTGACTCTCCTACCGCAGTTCCTTTGCAGTTCCGTCGACCACCCACATCTCCTAGGATGCAACGATCGCCGTCTGCTAGCTCGCCCACGGCAGTCCCCCCAACTTCTCCGACACAGGGCCGATCTCGCCGCCCTAATTCCACTGAGTTCAAAAATTCCCGCGAGATCCGACCTCTATGGCTAGTTGAGCGCCACGGTGCGAGCAAGATGGAAGCCGGCCCGGACGAGCCCTTGCCGTCACTTCCTCCAAGCAAGCCTTCTTCGGCGAGCTCATCTGTAGAAGACCTCACAACCCTCCGCGATCAAAACGCTTGGGAGCTGCCAGAATTCAGCCATCAGATTCACGGGGCTGCCGACGAATACTATGCCCAAGATGATGTCGCAGGCTCCCAGCAAGGTACTCCTACTCGCGCAACTTTCAGCCAAAGCCATATGCATGTACCTCATCTGTCAAGAAAGGCAGAGCTCGGCTATGAGTTCCACTCTCCTTCGGAGCTCTTGCAAGACCCAATTGCGTCCGCTGAGTTGCCTCCATCCCCCACGTTGGATATCCTACCTTCTGTTGAAGGTTCCGCAGTGGGAGTGCGAGACGATGATAATGGTATAAAACGTGACCTGGAAACCCTTCCTCCTCTTCCTGACCCCCGACCATCCACACCGGAGGATAAGATAATTCGTCTTTCTGACACCGAGACGACTCCAACTCAAGAGAAGATGGGCCTGGCCCCGGCAGCGGACATGCCAGGTCTTAACCAAGGTCCTGGCTTTGCTGGAATAGTCGACGCTGCTGTTGCTCATGTCCCGGCTGATCCCCCTTACCCTGAAAGGGATATTCTCGAGAAATATCAACCCGATCACGTTGAGGAGGACGAGACCGCTAGGGCTGTCACCGGGGACGATATGCCTGCATTGACTGATGTTCCAGCTCTGACTTCCGCGCTCGAGGACAAAGAACAACACACTCGCTCTTTCGAGTCGACAACCCCCCGGGGATTCGCCTCAATCGTTGATGCGGCCGTTGCGGCGGAAAAGGAAGTCACACCTGGGGAGCCAGCCGTACCCGGTGACTTACCTGGCGACGAATCTAAGGCTGACGTCTTTGTTGATACTCTAGAGGCAGGCAAGGACTCAGAAGCGGAGCTTCCAAGGTTTGAAACTCCCGTTATTCCTGCTGTAGCCGAGGAAGTCTCTGAAGAGGTTGCAAAATACGATGCAGAGCCCATCACCGAGACTACGGAGACAGTTTCTGAACCCACGGCGAAAGCTCTCGACGAAACCACCAAATCGCAGCCTGAGAAGAGGGTTGTTGAAAAAGCTCCCGAGGACTCTTCAAAGAACACCACGAAGAAGAATAAGAAGAAGAAGAAGAAGAAGGGCAAGAGCCTGGATCTAGATGAACAGGACCAAGCGCCATCTACTGAAATACCGGAGCCCGAAGCTGTGCCAGAAGCTGTGCCAGAAGCTACTGTGGAGACCGTTCAAGATCCTCTAGTCGAACAAGTCTCTGCTCTTGGGGAAGGAGCAGCCTTTGAAGGAGAGTCGGTGCCTGGAGAGCCTACTTCCGAACATACTCATGCCCTTGATCAGCACCTAGCAGCAGGGATGAGCTCTGCGATTGAACCAGCTACCGCAACCGATGACGTCCTGCCTATTCTTGAAGAGGTTTCCGCCCCTGGAGAGCCTTCTCTACTAGAGAAAGAACCTGAGACAGGGGTTCTGAGGACTGATGACGTGCCCGAACCTCCCGAGTCTATGAAAGCAGCCGAACCTGAATCTGGACAGCCTGAAGAAACCGAAGAAATTCCAGCTGACTCGGGTCTCTCCAAAAAGGCCAAGAAAAAGAAGAAGAGAAAGAGCAAGGCTGCTGCCGAGGAGCAACCCACTGCGGGACTTGCTGATGAGTCCACAGATCAACCTCCAGCCGATATCACTAGTGAAATCGTTGAGGAGCCTCAGGAAGTTGCCAGGATAGATGAACCTATCGAGTCTGAACGATCTATTCAGGACCCCGTTAATCCGCCGGCAGACCAAGAGGGAGCTGTACCAGCAGAGCCGGTCTCACAGCAGAACGCTCTTGAAACCACCGAGACTCCTCTAGCCGAAGAAAGTACAGGACACTCCCTTGAGCCTACGGAGTTTGTTGAGGCAGTGCCCCGTGCTGATGAGATACTTCAATCTACCTCAGACGTTCTAGTAACTGAAGAAGTTGCGCCGGAGCAGCTGGATCAAGATATTGTCTTGGTTGACCAAGAGACTGCTGTACTAGCAGAGCCAGTATCACAGGAGAATGCTCATGTAAACACTGAGATTCCTCTAGCTGAAGAAAGTACAGGACACTCCCTTAAGCCTACGGAGTTTGTTGAGGCAGTGCCCCGTGCTGATGAGATACTTCAATCTACCTCAGACGTTCTAGTAACTGAAGAAGTTGCGCCGGAGCAGCTGGATCAAGATATAGTCTTGGTTGACCAAGAGACTGCTGTACTAGCAGAGCCAGTATCACAGGAGAACGCTCTTGTCACCACTGAGACACTTCAATCTACCTCAGACGTTCCAGTAACTGAAGAAGTTGCGCCAGAGGAGCTGGATAAAGATATGGTCTTGGTTGGCATGCCGCTTGAGCAAGAACTTTTGCAAACGGAAGCTCCCGTCGAAGGAGGACTCACAGCACCTGTAGTGGAAGAGTCCAGCCCTGAGGGCCAGCAAACCGCAGAAGCTCTGGTTGAAGACTTGAAAGAGCCCACCGCAGAAACGGTATCCGAAGCTAGTGTTACAGCTCCAAAACAGGAAGCACAGGATACATCTGCTCCTGTTGACACCCAGGTCCCTCCCGAATCCAACGAGCCAAAGGAAGAAGGTGAAGCTGCGCAGGTGGAACCAGAGACTACCCTGTCACGTAAAGCTAGCAAGAAGAAGAAGAAGAGCAAGCGCAAGGGCACTGCGGAGGCTTTGCCAGAGACCGAATTAGCAGATACTCCTCAACCTGAAACTTTGGAAAAATCAGAGCCGGAGATTGAGCCTCACCCTGCGCTGGGGGGCGAAGAGCTAGTGACAAAGGAGCACGAGCAAATTGTCGGCGACAGTAAGGAAATTCCAACTGAGGCCCAAAAGGATGAAGCTATTCCAGAGCCTGTTGTTGAGACGACCAACGAATCTCAGCCTACAGAGCTGGCGGAGAAGGCGGAAGGCATTGTTTTAGAGGAACCCGAAGAAAATCAACCGAAGAAAAAGAAGAAGAACAAGAAGAACCGCAAGTCTTTGAACTTGTCTGAATCCCAGCCCGAGTCCGAGCCAGAAATCAAACCGGAGGAGCTGCCACAGGACACTACGACCCAACTGCCCGAAACAAGCGGTGAAGTGCCGCCAACTCCTGCTGATCCTGAAGAGCAACAACAACAAAAACAACAAGATGCAGGAACCAAGGAAGAGGCTGCAGAGATCACGAATGATGATGTTGTTCTTGAAAATATTCAATCTGAGTCCACCCTTCCTGTGGAGAATATCGAGACCAATGAAAGTGAACCACATATGTCGAAGCACGCAGAGATTGAACAGCCATCTGGGCCTAATGCGGGGGAACTCCCACAGACAGGAAAGAAAAGCAAGAAAAATAAGAAAAAGAAACAGTCTATTTCTTTAACTCCTGATGAAAGCTCGACGGCAGACATTGTTGAAGCTTCTGAAGCTTCTGAGACTCCCACTCCTGCTGCTCTTTCCACTACGGACGCAGTCCCAGATGCTACCGTTGAAGAAGAGCCTGCAGCTCTCAAAGAACCGTCTACCCATCTAGTTCAAGAACCAGCGGAAGAGATGTCGGTAGAAAAAGAATTGCCTGCCGAAACAACAAGCGAAGTCCCTGATGATCAGGCTACTTCTGGATCTGCAACACAAATGAGTGCTGCTCAGAAGAAGAAGGCAAAGAAAGATAAGAAGAAGAAGCGTCAATCTATGTTGGCAGAAGAGACGGAGGCTTCTGAGCCCGCCAAAGAGACGGCTTTGACCTATCCTCCGACTGTAGAGGGCCCTACTCCTCAGGACCCCGAGGTGGCTAAGTCTGTTGAGGTTGACCAACCTGAGTTTGTAGAGATCATTGCAGAAGAGCAGTCTACTCCCGAGCAGCGCACGGAAGAACCTATTCCAGAGCAACCCACAGAAGAAGATATCAAAAGCGAAGAGCCAGTGCGGGACGAGACGGTGACCACAGAGATTGTAGAGCCTATTCAAGAAGAGCCCAAAGAGGTTGAGGACTTGAGTGCACAAACCAATGCCATCCCATCAACCGATGAGCCATCGACGGCGATCGCGGCACAGGTTCAAGAAACCGTGCAGGATGAGGTTCCCGCTCCTGTCGCAGAACCTACTCCTGTGGCCGAGCAGCCCTCCGAGCCAGTTACTGATATTATTCAAGGCCTTGAGGGCGAGGAGCAGACAAGAGAAATCGTAGCACAGGCAGGTATTCAGCAAAGCGACGACCAACCCAAGGACGAGACAACAGTCGAGGCCGAAGTAGCACAGGATTCCACCATGGTCGAGCCAAAGGAAGAAAAGGAGACGAGTGATGACGCCCAAGTCAGTGCAGAAGCTACTCCTGAGACTCCGGTAAAGGAGGAGCCCCAGCCCGCGCTTTCTAAGAAAGAGAAGAAGAAGAAAAAAAAGAAGCGCCAGTCAGTGTCCGCAGAAGGGGATCAGGCCGGCCCTGCAGCAGAAGAAGCTCCTGCTGAACCTACTCCTTCGAATCCTCAAGAGACAGGTGAGAACCTTACGGAAGAAAGTTCGGTTACGGGCCTTGAAGCGGCACATGATGAAGTCAAATCTAGTGCCAAGGGAGAGCCTCAGGAGCTGGGAAAAGATACCGTTACCCAGGAGACTGAGGTTCTCCCAGGTGCTCCAGCTCAGGAGGAGGTTCAGCTTATCACTCCCGAAGAACAGACTGTTACGGAGGAGCCTGTCCCTCAGGAGGATAAAGTTCCTGATCCTGTTAAGGACATAGATACGAAAAAGGACCCCGTTTCTGAAGAGCCAGTGACCGATCCTATGGAGTCCCAGGAGCAAGACACGCAACCTAAAGAAGAACCCCAGGTAGCGTCTTCGAAGAAAAAGGAGAAAAAGAAAAAGAAAAAGAAGGGACAGTCAATTTCTCTGGATGATTCGCAGCCTACTACTCCTACCATAGAGGAGCCTACTCCAGAACAACCCTCCGGGGAAATTACGGAGGCCGTCGTTACTACTGAGCCCGAGGAAACACCCATTCAGAATCAAGATCCCGCGCCCGAGCCATCTGGTTCTAAGACCCCGGCGGAAGAGACCCAAGAGCTTGAAGTTCAAGAAGATCTTCCACCGGCTGAGGAAGTTCAGACCGCAACCTCAAAGAAGAAGGCTAAGAAAGAGAAGAAAAAGCGCAAGTCCGTGGTATTTGCAAGTGAAGAGCCTTCAGAAAAATCTGCGGAAGCATCTGAATCTGCCGTTACTGAGCCGGTGGAAGCCTCAGGATCAGAGGCGATTGAGAGTCCTGCGGGCCCTGAGCCAGCTACCAAACAGCCCGATCGTGAAATCCCCAAAGAACTCGCGCATGAAGATGCTGCTACCAAACCAGAAGAGCTTCAAGATCTCCAAACCCTCGAGGAGACGTCGCAAGAACCATCCGCTTCGGCTAAGCTAGATGAATCAAATGTAATTGATGAGCCAAAGAAGGATGAGGAAGCTCTTACTGAGGGCATGGTTGACCCTGTGGCCAATGTACCGGGTGACTTTCCAGGAACCATCGAGGAACCAGTCTCAACCGAGGCGTTTCCAGAGGAACCCAAGGACGGGCACAATGCGGCAGAGTTAAAGGAAGTATCCCAAGAGACTGAAGAATCCGCCGAGCCTGAGGCCACATCTGAGCCCCTTGCGACTGAACCATCCTCTCCCACGGAACAGACTACCGAGAATGTTGAGCCAGAGTCTGGGTCTTCCAAATCTAAGAAGAAAAAGAAGAAGCGCAAGACTTTGGAAGCGATTGGGGATGTCCCTATAACAGCTCCCGAACCCTCCGACAGCAAGCTCCAAGATGAGACCCAAGCCCAAGTCGTCGAACCTACCACCTCAAATGTGAAAGAAACAGAACCTGAGGAGCCTATGCAGGAGCAAGCCTCCGAAAAGCAGGAGGACGACAACGAGGCCAAGTCGTCGAAAGCGAAGAGAAAGGCAAAGAAAGACAAGAAACGTCAGTCCAATATCCAAGCTCTTGAAGAAGACGCCGCCTTGAACGCTGCATCTGAAGATAAACCTCAGGACCCGTTGAGCCCGGTAGAAACAGCCCCGATTGAAGAATTGTCGCGAGATACAATCGAAGAGCCCATGGAACTACCCACTGGGACGGCATTCGCACCTGCTGAAGATGACGGTAAAGAAAATCAGTCCCACGACACCGGATTGCACGGCGACCACGATAAAGATTTGACTTGGACTGATAACAAGGTGTCTTCGCAGGTAGAGCAACAGCAAGAAACACCTTCCACGTACCCATCCCAGCCCGAGCATGAGAGCACTGAAGCCGACCCAGCGCTTGTCACCGTCGAACAAATCGAAGCCCCCAGTGTTGAAGCCGATGTGGCCGAAGACAGTCAAGCCCCGGCGGCGATCGAACTCGAATCATCTAGCGACGCACTCAAAGACCTAGATGAGGAGATCCTTTCCGATTCCATTCAAGACAAGCAAATTGACAAAACCGAGCTACCCCCCGATAAAGAAGTAGGTGAATTAGGAGGCGAAAAAGAAACTACGGATGCCCTGCCGGCTTTAGATAAGCCTGATGCTATGGAGGAAGCATTTGTGGAAGAGAAAATTGAAGAAGCGGATGCACAGACCGACAAAGAAATTCCACCCGTCTGTACTGAAAGTGAACCAATTGACGAGGACAAGAAAGTGGGAGAAATTATCCCAGAACCCGAAATCGAAGTTGAGGCTACCGAGAAGATCGAGCCCAGCAACGAGCCAAACGCTGAAACGGAAGAGCCTGAGCCGTCAGTATTGCCGAGAAAGCTGAGCAAGAAGCAAAAGAAGCAGCAGCGCCAAGCTCAGAAGGCTGCAAATCTGCAGGAGCAAGCAGAAGAAGAGATCGCGGCATCCAGCGAAGAGCCGACGATTCCGACTAGTTTAGTCGATGAGCTTTCTGGGCCCGCAGCCTCTGAAGTAGTTGAACAGCCAGTTGTTGTCGCAGAAAATGTTGTGCAACAAGTTGAAGCACCAGTCGTTGGAACTACTGAATCGGCCGCCGTTTTTGAAGCCGATACAGACAAGATAGAAATTTCAGAGGTTCCTATTGAATCGACGGCGGAAAAAGACGAAATCACAACCCCGGCTCCTCCTATTCCCTTTGAAGAGCCTCAGCTGAGCAACGCGGTGGAGATATCTATACTGGCAGAACCCTCACAGGAAACGCCTACTCCGGTTCAAGACGACTCTGAAGATCTACGGCCAGTAACCACGAAAAAGAAAAACAAGAAGAACAAGAAAAAGGCTGCAATTCAAGAACCCCAGCCAAGTGATACTGGCGCAAAAATAGATCCAGCAGCAGTTTCCGAGCAAGTTAGGCAGCATGATGCCGAAGAAAAAGTTGTGGAACTCGTTGAGGAACTGAAAGAAGCGCCCCTACAATCTACTGAAGACAAGGACCTGTCGAAAGCCGACAATGAGATCACTTTGGAAGAGCCCGCTGTTGAAGAAGAGATTAGCGTTCCGCCTGCTACTCTTGAGGAGGAACCATCTCCTTCAGGAAGTTTGAGCCTCAAGGAGTCCAAGAAAAACAAGAAGGCCAAAAAGCAAGCTAAAAAGCAGCTAGAGGTGATTCCTGCTCCTCCTGTTACTGACATTGAAGCCGACGAGGTAACTACAGATATCAAACCCGCGGATGTAGGAGAGGATGCCAGTCTACACGTTGTGGAAGCTCAGCAACCACAAGATGAGCAGGCCAGCCATATTGAAGCCCCAGATGAAACTTGTGCTCCTCTAGAAACTACCATGGAATCGGACCCTCTCTTTGAAGCTCCTGTTTTAAAAGGGGAAGAAGTAATGGAAGAGGCCGAGAAAAAAGGTGTGCCTGAACCTCAGGAGCAGGAGCAGGAGCAGGAAGTACTTGGGGAACCTGTTGATCAAGCCGTTCAAGAAAAGGAGTTGGAAGAGGCCAAGGATCAAGATACTCAACCTGCTGGGCCTGAGATCGAGCAGTCTGTGTCAAGGAAGCTATCGAAAAAGGAAAAACGCAGGCTTAAGAAACAGGCTGCCGAGGAAGGTCCCATTGAGGAGCCGCAACTAGAGCCCGAAGCCCCAGACGAGCCAGATGTTTTGATTCCAGAGCCAACTGCGGAAGAGTCAACTGTGTTAGATCCCAAACAAGCGAAGGAAGACGACTTTTCCCCTCCCAGGAAGCTTTCGAAGAAAGAAAAAAAGAAGAAGCGCAAGGGAGACACAGATGTTGATCTTCCGCAACAGAAAAGTGTACAGGATGTGGAGAATGCCAGTGAACAGTCTCCCGAGCAAGAACAAGAACCGCCGGTCATCGAGGCGATCCGTTCTGCTGGGGACGACGACACATGGCCTCAGATAGACTGGGAAAAAGGTAAGCTTGATGCCACTGAGCAGGCTTCCGAAGCATCCCTTGAAGCTCATTTAGCTCCGTTTGTACCAGAAATCCCTGGATATAAAGAGTCTGCCATTCCGGAGGCTCTCATGAACCGCCCAGACGAAACGAGCGGTTACGAGAGAGGAGAGTATATTAATCAACAAAATGCTGAGGCTGATAAAGTTCTCAATACGCCAGCCGCAGATATCGATCAAGAGACAAGCACAAAAGAACTCGACACAACTCTGGACAACGCCGAAGTAATCTCACACAAGCAAAGCAAGGTTTCCAGTATCTTTCCAGACCTTGAACGAGCGTTGTTCCGACGACCAATTTTGAACCAGGTGTCCGAGGCGGTAAAAGATGGGGCTGAGGAAGAGACCATGACCCAGGAAGCGATTCGCAACAGTGCGATCCAGGTCTCGGAGGCTCCTATCGCGACCGTAGAACCCAGGGGGGCCGGGTATATTCCCAGCCCATCGCTGGCGCAGGACGATGTCTTTGGAATTACTGCTACGACACAGGAGCTACCAGAGGAATCTACAAGAGGGCGACAGTTGGAGCGTCATACCTCTAACGACAAGCTATACGATGTTCCTAAAGCACGAAAGGAAGGAGACAGTTCAATCCAGATTGAAGAAGAGGGCTTATTTGGTCGGGAAGCTACACATCGACCTCCTCATCACGAGATTCCTTTGGGTGCGCCATTGTCTATGCATGAACCATCGTCTCTGCCTGCTACCGAAGCAGAGCAGCGAGAGGACAACCCCATCCCTTCCTGCGAGCTTCGCCGATCACCATCAATTCATGGGCGACATAGTCCTGTTCGACGAGCTTGGTCTCTAGAAGAAGATGACGAGACCGAGACCACCACGCAGGCCGGGGCAGAACGAGGCATGGGCTCACCATCCAGGACACCGCTCCAAACTATTTCTGAGCAAGAAGCCGATGACCGAGTGGAGAAAACCAACAAAATGTCAGGGTCAGGGTCCATGGTTCAAGAGCACGGAACGCCCCGTTTAGAGATGAAGCCTGAGCATATCCTTCCACGACCCGAAACCCCCGTCAGGAAATTTACCGAAAATGCATTGGGACGTCGTGCATGGCCAACATCAGAAGGCCAGCAATTGTCTGACCAAGCGGACGAGGACTGGGAGGCAGCTGTGCGAAAGCGCGGTCCACGGACCCTATCGCCAGAGCGCGGATTGCCTACTGAGATGCTCAAAACGCCTGAAACCGACAAACCTGTACTACGACCAAGCAGCTCGGGCAGCAACCACTCGCAGCCTCTCCGGCGAATCGCTCACAGCACCAGCGGGGACTTGCGGGCAGCAGCACTCGCAGCGGCTGGCGTAATAGCCAGTCAAGCGCCTGCGGGTGAGCACCAATCACGGCCAAACACACCCCAGCCCCCTTCTCGCTCCCCCACCGACCTGGACGTCGAACAGATCGCTTCCTCTTCTTCCTACGACCCGGTCACCGACAAGGGCAAGCGCCCTATTCGCAATATGACGGACGTGTATGTAAGTAGTTACTGCTCTTACTCTTAAATATTCTACAGTTTTAATTATGTTGGCTTGATTGATGCATTTTGATGGCTGTGGCTGATGTTTGTTTGTTTATTTTCTAGGAGGGCTGGGGGGAGACTCCAAGTTCGCCCCGGTCGCCTAGCCGACCGCCGAGTATTCGGCACCGTCGAAGTATGCAACATCTCCAAGAGCTCGAATTTCGCCTCGATCAACTGATCTCCGAGAACCGTGCCCTCTCTGCTGCTCGTGACGCTGCTGAGGGTAAGCTACGAAATGCCAGCCTCGCCCGTCGAAAGAGCGACCACGCCCTCAACTCCCGCGATGCCGACCTGCGCGATCGGGAATCAGAACTTGAACAACTCAAGAAATCTGTCGAGTGGTTCCAGAATGAGGTCACGCGACTAACTGAAGAAAACAAAGGGTTGTCTACTACAAACGCCGGCCTTATTGCCGCCCATGCTGTGGAGATCCAGGATACGCGACAAACCTCAAGCCGCGAACTGGAGGAACTCCGTTCCCAGAACGAGCGCCTGTCGAGTGACCTGCACGGTCGGATAAAACAAGAAATCGAAACAGCATTGGCCCAGAAGAATACCGAACTGCGTCGTCTCCGGGAAGAGCTGGAGAGCGCTCGAGACAAGGTCAAGGAACTCCAGCAACAGATCGCAGCGTCGATGCAAGACAATGTCATCGCCTTCAGGGACGAGGAATACTTCAGCGCTGCATCACAGAAGCTCTGTGGACACGTGCAACAGTGGGTCCTGCGCTTCTCCAAGCATTCCGATCATCGTCGCTGCCGCAAACTTATGGAGCTACAAGACGAGAAGATTGCCGACCGGTTTGACAATGCCATTCTAGATGGCTCGGACACTGATTCCTACCTTAGTGACCGTGTCCGGCGACGCGACGTGTTCATGTCCGTCGTCATGACAATGGTATGGGAGTTCATCTTCACCCGTTATCTCTTTGGCATGGACCGCGAGCAACGCCAGAAGCTCAAGTCCTTGGAGAAACAACTCATCGAGGTTGGCCCACGCAACGCGATCCACCGCTGGCGAGCCACTACTCTCAGTCTTCTATCGAAGCGGCCCACTTTTGCAAGACAACGCGAGAGCGACACTGAAGCGGTTGCTTTGGAAATTTTCGACACTCTCTCTCGCCTTCTCCCACCCCCGTCCCACGTGGAGAGCCAGCTGCTAGAATCTCTGCGCAAGGTTCTCCGGGTTGCCGTGAACCTGTCCATTGAAATGCGCACCCAGCTGGCGGAGTACATCATGGTGCCTCCATTGCAGCCGGAGTACAACACCAACGGCGATCTCGCCCGGCAAGTGTTCTTCAAGGCTTCGCTTATGAACGAACGCAGCGGCGAGACTACTTCCAATGAAGAATTAGAATCCCAGCAAGCGGTCGTCCGGGTCGTCCTATTCCCCTTGGTGGTGAAGAAGGGGAACGACTCGGGCAATGGTGATGACGAACGAATCGTCTGCCCGGCCCAGGTGCTCGTCGCACGACCTGGCAAAGACCGGAAACTTTCGACGATGGCGAGCGGCGACCGCATGTCCCTTGACGCATCCAAATCAGTCCACAGCATCGCGCCGTCGTCGGTTATGGACATGAGCAATGTGATATGAGGCGTCACACTCTTATTACTATTTTACCATGTTCAATTTCGACAAACTGATCAAAATGGGTTAAGGGGGGAGAGAGAAAAAAAAGACTAATAATAAAAAGAGAATATTCTGTGTTTCTATGGTTTCTTGCTTGCTTGCTTACTTACCCTTTCGGCGTCAAAACAGGGAGAGGATTCCCCTCGCGATAATGGATTTAATACGGCTTCCTCCTTGTCGATTGTGTTATTTTATACTATTCTATTACTATTCTATGATGATGGCTTATGATGATTTCCGAATCTATTCGGAACTGACGATGTCACGGCCTGTGTTTCTTTCTATACATGTTGGTGAATGTACATACTATACTATATGATCAATGATGATTTCGAACTTCTTCTTCTTCTTCTTCTTTTTCTTTCTAGGAATTGTAACTCATAGCTAAATCGCTGTATTTTCCCCAGTAGGTAAATATTGAGGCTAAACCAGATCAGGAGTTGCAAGCGACATCTTCCTTGCTGCCTCAGGAATCAACCCACCTTTTTTACTCGTTCATACTTTGAATGGGTTGAAGATGTTGGCTTTCTGCTCCTCCACGTTCAATTGAACCCCGCCTCCCTTGATCAAATTTAATTTTGGATTTTTCACAATCAAGTTTCAACCTCAAAGAAGATGGTGGATCTTCCCAAGGACACCCTCACGTTTCCGGACTCCGACCAAGCATTCTTGGAGCCATACCTGCCTCCGCAGAATGAGAAAGAAGCGAATAGTTCCGATCTTCCATTCACGACGCTCACATTCGCAACTTCTCTAGACTCATCTCTCGCCCTCTCTCCTGGGACTCGCACCGTCCTGTCCGGACCACAATCCAAAGCCATGACACATTACCTCCGGTCACGCCATGACGCGATTCTGATTGGCGTGGGGACGGCGGTTGCCGACAATCCCGGTCTAAACTGTCGCTTAAAGGGTGTAGGAGGATACGGGGGGGCCCAGAAACTCCAGGGCCAGCCGCGGCCGATAGTAGTTGATCCCAATGCCCGGTGGGACTTTGATGATCTGTCAAAGATTCTGGTGCTGGCTAGGGAGGCACGTGGGAGGGCTCCTTTTATTATCACTGGTCCTCGAATGCCCTCCTCTTCCTTCAAGAAGAAGCGGCGGGAGCTTCTCGAAAGCTACGGGGGCAAATTCATTGCCCTCGACGTGGTCGAGGACGACAAGGGACAACGGAAATTCGACTGGGGAGATCTCTTGCGGTGTCTTAAGAGGGAAGGTCTCCATAGCGTGATGGTGGAAGGCGGAGGGTCGGTTATTAATTCTCTCCTGGACCCTTCGTTTCACGGTTTAGTCGACTCCGTGATCGTGACTATTGCGCCGACGTGGTTGGGTCGGGGTGGGGTGGTGGTCTCGCCAGAACGCAGATTCGATGAGAACGGCACCGCCATTGCAGCGTCACGACTGCGGAATGTCCAATGGCATCCGTTCGGAGAAGATGTTGTTCTGTGTGGAAGAATTAAATCATAGGGGGGAAGGTAATACCGGAGTACCAGTAGTTGGTTGCATGAGATTTCCAGATGCAAGTAACTAACTACTCCATACTCCGGATCCTAATCAGGAATAATAAGGAAATAAACCTTTTTACATTAACATTATAACTATCCATCATCAGGGTAAACTAGCAATCCCTATTTTAGCTGAATGAGCACATATAAAGTATCATCATAGTTACCAGCAACCAAGTAATATTACCATACGCCATACACAGATCTTACCGCTCCACTCAAATAGAATCGGATCCGTGGGGCGAGTGGGCGGCCCATCTAAAAGTCTATGGGTTATATTACCGCACGTGATAAATTACACTCCTTTTGGTGCATCCATGATGTCATGCTTGGTTTTCGCGCTGAAAATCAGCCAGTGTATCACATGACCGGGTGCGTCTTAATCAACCTCGTCCCTCTCTCCGTACTCCATCTCCAACCAACCCCCTTCTCCCTCTTTATCGTCACCAGTCTAGCCCAACAACTGCCTTGTTCTCTGCCCAGTTTCCTGTCCCTTCTTGTGTGGTCTTTTCACTTTGCAATCCTGCACATTTCGTTAGTCCTTTTTTTCAGCCTTGGCTCGTGCTCCAACTACGTCTCTTCGATGAAGTCAAACCCTTGCTGTTCAAGGTGCCTGGTGTTCCACCACCTCCTGTCTCTCGCGTCACCATTCTCCATTGCTTCCTTTCGCCCTGGGCCTCGGTGAGCTGCCACCGACCATGCTCAAGCCTGTCACGCTGGACGGATCGTGACCGCATAAATCTGATTATCTTTTTTTTTTTTTTATCTTTATTCCCATCGTGTATGTGTATTTCGTCGCCTTATTGGTTTCCTTTCCCTTCCCAGGCCAGAGTTAGGAGTACCAGTTCTTCCCACCTCATTTTGATAAGGATCGGGAACACACACACTCGCTGTCTCTCTCGCTATTTACCCATTGGTCCAGCTAGATTGGGTCTAGAATTCGCCCGCGGCCACTCACGATGTCTCATCCACCCTCTACGTCACATCGAACAACACCGATGTCGAGCCAGTCCGTTGCAAAGAAGGGCCGTCCTGCCGACTCCCCTGCAGGAACCGTCTGTGACTCAGCCGTCTACGAGCCCACAGCTCCCGAAACAAGACAAGATCCCGGTACGGGTAGCGGATCTGGCATAACAAAACCCAAGCGCAAGAAGAATCGTCATCGCAAGCGCCGTAATCGCAGGCCGTCCTTTCTTGGTCCTGAAGATTCTCACCCCGCAACTACTCCCACCCTCCCTGAAACACAAGACGTGGACATGATGAGACAAGGGGACCAGACTAAGGCCCGGGGTGGGGCTCCTTTTTATAGGCTTGGAAGAAACCTAAGCAACACTAGCTTGGAAAGTGAGGCTTTACTTGATCACCGGTATGTACAATTATATATATATATATATATATATATGGCACCTCTTACAAGAAATGTACCGCCTAACTTCGTGGGACTATGATAAATCTAGGAACCAACCTATAATGCATACACGAAGGGAGAGTCGACTAGCTCAGTCGTTCCGACCTAGCTCAATGTCAAACACCTTGCGGCCTGTTGACTCGAGCTCCCGCCATCTCCCATCTCGCGGCAAAATATCGTATGCGGAAGATAGTGATCAGGAAGCGGTGGATGATCGAACACCCCTGATGAGACCGTCCTCGAGCCAGACTATCAATGCCCAAAGGTATGGGACAGATGCCAAATCCAGCCCGTTTTCTTTCCATCAGCGCCGTCAATCTGCTCAGTCTGATTCATCTCGGTGCTCGCCCCGCGGCGTCCTAAGCCATGATGTCAATAACCCTCCATCGATGCCCTCATCACCCCAATTTGGACCGGACATGGGTTACAATGAGGCCGTTATGACGGGCACAGAGTTTGACTTTTCCCTTGCCAAATCATTGGAGAATCGGTTGGAGTCAATGGGACGACCACACGATGTAGTGATTGATGTCGACGGCGGTGGTCGTAAAACCCAGAGCTCGCCTGGGTCTTCGCCTGCATCTCCCCACCCCGCCACACAGGAAGGGCTTCTCCGACGTCGCACTTTTCCCGTGGAAGAGGACGTCTGCTTCCCAAGGGAGGATGTCTCCGAGGTTATTGAAGAAGGGGGCCCCAGACTTTCGCGAGAGGATGAGCGGCGCAGGCGACGGACCCAAGAGTGGCCGGACCTATCCGTCTTGGAAGAATGGAGTCGTGAAGAAAAGGAGGAACGGACAGGTGTCTTCCGTACCAAAAAAATCAGCGAGCCCATGTTGGTTGAAGGCCGCCTTCGCCCGCAATACCGACTCTGGCGACGCGAGGAGGATGAGGCCCCCTACCGATTCACCTATTTCAACGAGGAGTTTCAAAGTACGATTCACGCGCAGACAATCTCGGAATTGGTGCAACCCGGCAGTAGCTTTCGGGAGCTCTTTATCCCCGATCCGCCCGAACTCGAGGATTCGTCCGATGATGAAGAAATGGACTCTGACCATCGTCCTAGCGACGATCCAGCATATTCCCGGGAGGCACACCATAGCCCAAGCACCACTACCAGAACAGCAACTCCATCCAATCATTACGACCACTATCTGCCCCCAAATCATAAATTGCATCCGCGTACATCTGTCATTAGTGAAGCTGCGTCGGAAATGCGAGCATCCAGCGAAATGGGTCCTGAACAGAAACAAGATGCTCCGAAGCCAAAGAAATACGGTCCTCGGCCAACTTTTTGGCTGGATATCCTGTGCCCAACTGACGCGGAGATGCGAGTGATCGCCAAGGCTTTTGGTATCCACGCTCTCACGGCCGAGGACATCATGATGCAGGAAGCCCGTGAAAAGGTCGAGCTGTTCCGAAATTATTATTTCGTGAATTACCGCACATTCGAGCAGGATCGCAACAACGAGAACTATCTGCAACCTGTGAACATGTACGTCGTTGTGTTCCGCGAGGGCGTGCTGTCCTTCCACTTCTCGCAGACGCCACACCCAGCAAACGTACGGCGACGCATCCGGCAACTGATGGACTATTTAATTCTCAGCTCGGATTGGATATCATATGCCATTATTGATGACATCACCGATGTTTTTGGTCCCCTCATTCAGTCCATTGAGGATGAGGTGGATGGAATTGATGAGATGATCATGCAAATGCATTCCCACGAACGTGGGGTGAGCCCCTCTACGAAGGAGGAAGAGGACAACGAGGCCCCAGGCCCCGGTGAGATGCTGCGACGAGTGGGGGTATGTCGCAGGAAAGTCATGGGGATGTACAGGCTTCTTAGCAACAAGGCAGATGTGGTCAAGGGTTTCGCCAAAAGGTGCAACGAGCATTGGGAGGTGGCACCCAAGTCCGAAATTGGTCTATATTTAGGTGATATCCAGGACCATATCATGACAATGACCAGTAGTTTGACCTACTATGAAACGTACGTGTATAGCCCTAACCCCCCCCCCCCCTTTGCTACGCCTCCTGTGTTCAACTAACAAATTACCCGTTGCAGCCTGCTATCACGCGCACATACCAACTATCTGGCGCAAATTAATATCCACATGAACGAGCGACAGGAACAAACGGCCGATGTTTTGGGAAAGCTGACCGTCCTGGGAACCATTGTGCTCCCGCTCAACATCATTTGTGGTATGTGGGGGATGAACGTGAAAGTCCCTGGCCAGGATATGGATAGCTTATGGTGGTTCTGGTCAAGTATGAACCCTTTTGTCTCCTTTTATCAAAGGTTTGACGATATCGCTAACTGAACTTGATTACAGTCACCGGCGGACTCGTTCTTTTCGCCTTTGCATCGTTCCTGATTGCCAAGCGAGTCTACAAAATTGTCTAGAGAATCAGTTCCTTTGCTCATTTGTCTGCCACAATACCCCGTAGTGGCTCTAGAATACCCTTTCTTCTGTTGTCTTGGTGTTTATCCTTACCAGTGTTTATAATAGTACCCTGCTTCCTTGTCCTTTATTTTTGCTTGCGTGCCAACCATTCGGCATCATTTGGGCGTTGGTTGTGCTCTTGTTCCGGGGATTTTGTGTTTCAGTATATAGGAACTTTGGGATAGACTCCACATAAGCTATACATATATTTATATATATATTCAGCCACATGAATGGGATGGTTAAGCAAGTTTAGTGATGCGATGATACAGTATAATTACTATGACTCCATTCACACATCCCTGAGTAGTTATACGCTTGAGATATTATTAAAATCTCCTATATTTAACTCTTAAGCTACCTACTAGAAATTCTAAATCCAATAATTAAGTGTCATCCTGTTTATAAATATAAAGTTGTTTTAAAAATAAAATCTATCAAGTCCTGGTCCAACTCGCCTAAAATGTACCAGAGTAAGTTCTTTGTGTTTTGCTGACTTTCATTCTTCTCTTGTCTTCTCTTTTCTTCTCTTCTCTTCTTCTTCATCTTCATCTTCATCTTCATCTCCTTCACTCATCAAATACTTCTTTATCATTATTCTTTTTATCATCCTCTGCGTCCTCCCCAGATTCTCCTCTCACCTTTCCCACGCTAGATCTACTATTGCCTCCCTTCGACGTGGGCTACCATCATTGGCCCTCAACCTCCCCCTCTCCCCTGAGCACTCAGGGCTGATTGATGGATCCTTTCCCATCCACAACAACTCTGGCAAAGTTGTTACGTGCGGAAGCTCAAGGCAATCAGCCCACCGCCCACCCTTCTGCATCCCCGGCCGGCCCTTCCCACCACGTCCGGCGTTTTCCTCGGATCGACATTGGGTCTCCTCCGTAAGCTAACGGGCCCAGGGCTCGTTCTAGACATTTCACACCGTCTTCTAGTCAAGTTACATTGTGTGATGCTGCATCTGCCTCTTTTTCCTCGCTGCTCCATTCTTGATTGCCGTTGGACTTGCTGAACTGTTCATTCCATTTGCCTACAACACACGACTTATCGTCCGTCCCCTTTCATCCCTCTTTTTCATCTTGCTCCCCCCCCCCTCTGTGGTATTCTCAATCAGCATGTGGCCGTCGTCTATTCGTCTACCTGCTCTTTTCCCTGTGTAACGTGTTTTATGCCACTTCTACTATCGAACGCGTCTGTCTCTTAGCACGCAGTGATACTCTAGCTGGCTTTGTGTCCAAAATAACCCCTGGACTTTTTCTTTGACTTGTTTTTTGGCTTGCCTTTTTTTTTTTTTTTTTTTTTTTTTTTTGGCTTCGTTTGTTGACCTCTCGTCGACCGCTGGATCCATTTTCCCGCTACTTCCCGTTCTCAATTCCCTTTTTTTTTTTCAATATTATTCTTTTTGGTCCTGCACACCGGTTCCCTCTCGGGTCCCCCTGACTTCTCATGCTCTTGTCAGCACAATCTGACTCGACAGAGATCATGGCTGCGGAATCCGAGAGGTCGCCCTATCCCAACAGTACTCCTGGTGGATCTAGAGGTGCCCAAGAGGATGACCCTGCCTTGTCTCTTTCCCAGAGATCCGCCAGTGAGGGTGACATGATGGAACTGCCACGTTCGACCACTAAACCTCAGGGCCAGACCCCCTTCATTTCCCAGTTACCCAAACCCTCTCAGTCGGTTCCTGGTGTCTCCGGTCCATCTTCGAACACGAACTCCGCTATATCCTCGCGCGAACCTTCACCTACCCGCTCCTCCTCCCAGCGACCACGCAACTCCACCTCGAATTTGCGTATTTCTTCTCAATCTAAGAAACGCAATCTAGATCACAGTCCAAATCGGTCCGCTACAAGTCCGAGCCCAGGTCCGGGTCCGCCCCCCTCCGCTACTCCTGTGCAACGAGCGCTCTCCCAGACCAACAAACCCCTCGTTCCTAGCCCTCCCCCCAATGTCGAGCCCTCCTCCGATGCACCTAGCCCGGACAAGCCCAACATGCCTCTATGGGCCGCATCCCGGCGGTCAGAACAGGAACCTAACCAGCCGAATACCTCCAGCAAACGGTCGCAACCTACACCTGATGACTACAGCACCAAGTCGGACCGGAGTGCTCCTCGCTCCGTAAACAGGGGCGCCAACGGATCCGGCTCGGCTCTGGAAACCGTTCAGGAGATGGCAAGCGATCAGTCCACCCCCTCGACTGATACCATCCTCCTTATATCCACCCCCGAAGAGTCCCACCTGCAGAAGATCGATGAAGATTTAACCCCTAAAGCCTCTCGACAAAATGCCGAGAGTGGCAGTGACAGTGGTGGAAATAAAAGCTCCGAACAAATGGAAGAGAATCGCCGCCATGCTTCAGCCAAGGGACCCGGCGGCTTGATTCCAAAACGATCATCTACCTCCCTGAGCGGCGGAGCCCGCGCGAAACCAACAGATGGCACTGTTCGAAATATGATCGTCGAGACCGAAACCGTCAGCTCCATTCCTCAGGTTTCTCTGGGTGTCGGGACAGGTGAACGAGGTAATGCTGGTCGGGTAGAGTCAGGTACTCTCCGAATGAAACCCAGCACCGAGACCATCCGCCCGAAGAAAGAAAAGAGGAGGACACGCAAGCCAGCTGCCCTTGCGAGCGGGGCGGCTTCTTCAAAGGCTGACATCTTTGAAGCCAAAGTAGCCAGTGCTGTCGACGAAGCCGATGTGTCTGATTCGGATGAGACATTCGTGTATGAATCCAACCCCCCCGACCCGTACCCGGTCCGACAAAATAGGTATCACTCTCGCACGCCCAGTGCGACATCGATGGCGAGCCAAGTCGACCAGCTTGCAGGCCGTACTCGTCCCGGGATGCGGGAGGGAAATCACAGTGTGACAGGCAAGCGCAGCATGAAATTTACGAACAACACTTATACCAGCAGCGTGGATGGGGACGCTGAGGAGAACGGCCGAGCCCACCCAAGGATAGAAGGCAGCGGCACCCATACTCCTCGCCACCATATTGGGCGCCATGGACGAAATACCATGTATCCATCTCTCTTTGGCAATGATTCACCGTTTCCTCAATCCCAGCCGCACCCCAAATCTCCCCGGCACTTTATTGGGAGTGGGTTCCGACAATCGAGACAACCCGGTGCTCGCTCGAACCAAAACTACCGTACTGTCAACAGCTACAAGAAAGCAGGCGAGGTATACGGTTATGATTTCGATGCCGAAGGTGCCGATGACGAAAGAACTCCTCTTGTTGGGTCATCCCGTCAGACACGCAGTCGCGGTGGTAGGCGGCCGAATAGCGCGAGTCTACGCCAAATGGAATATATGCAACAGCGGCAACGTGGCTGCCTCTCACGGTACGGAGCATGTGCATTGATCAGTCTGCTGTTTTTCCTGCTCGTCGGAGGAGGAACTTCATTCATCGTCGCCATTACCAAGCCGCTCTTGGAGGTGCAGGTCCTTGAAATCCAAAACGTACTTGCCTCAGAGCAGGAGCTGATGCTGGATCTCAACGTACAAGCTGTCAATCCAAATCTTTTCCCCGTGGTCATTGATGACATAGACGTGAAAATCTTTGCCAAGAGTCGTTACGTGGGAACCGATGGACTGTGGCAAGATCATGGGTCCGCCCCTGACCGATTTCCACGCGCTGAGCGCAGGAAACGTGCAGAGGTTGCCCACACCGCTCGCTGCATAGAGGATCCGGACTGCCGCGTTGATAACAGCTCTGCGGATCAGCTGCGACTTGTTCAGGGCGGTGTTGATAAAGGCACCGATCCTATCCCAACCGATCCCAGCGGTGACCCACAGAACATGCTTATTGGTAGCGTTTTTAAGCTTGACTCGACTTTGTCTTTTGAACCATCGCCCTGGAACCATCTACCGTCTACCTCTAAGGGACAGATCCGTCTTGCGCGACCCGGGAATAAAACAGAGGAAGGTGGTACTGAACGGTGGGAGCGAGTGTTGCAACATCCGTTTGAGTTGATTATTGGGGGGGTCGTTCATTATCAGCTCCCCCTGAGTTCTCGCTTCCATTCGGCATCCATAAGCTCCAAAGTCAAGGTAACCCCTGGTAGTGACGATGACGACGGTGACGATAAAAACCCGGGGAAGAACGACACTGTCAGAGTTTCTACCACTCAAGTATATCGCCGGAATTTGTCTCATCAGGGGCTTGCTGAGGGTGAGACTGTGAAGGCCATACGAGAATTAATCAAGATGACCAGACGGGTTTTTGTGGCTTGAACGGTCTATCTCACCCATTATATTCACTCAGTCCCTTTGGCCGAATCATGATTGCATGACTGATATTCTCTCCTTTTTTTCTCTCCTTGTCTTTCCGATATACCCGCATACACCACTGCGTTCCCTGTCACTTTTTTTTTTTTTTTTTTTTTTTTTCCCAAGGTTTACACCGGACTCCATTAGTCTCTTTCCTGCTATTGGTTATGTAAATATATTGGCACTGACGTTTCAAGAGTAACTCTGGTCTCTGGACACTGCCACCTGTCACTATTTTCTTCCGGGATAAATTTTACCTCTCCCCTGTCATTGAATCCCCGTTTCCCCCTATCCCACCGTTCCTCTACCCCAATCATGTGTGATGACCTGAGTTTTATTTCTTTGGATCGGCAAGAAGCAAAAGCATGGACACGGCAGAATCTGATTAAAGGAGATCATGTATGTATGTATGCATCAGCGTGGCGCTCTATACTTCGGTTGCGCTTTTCTTTTCTTTCGCTTGACTTGATTTTTTTTTTTTGTACCTCCCTGTCGTTTGTACGATTAGAACGGGTCCGACACAGGAATGTCGCACACGGCAGGGAGAGTCCAGTTTCTGTATCTACAAATATATGTACATAATATGCCTATTCAGTGCGGTACAGTAGGGCACAGTACAGACTAGCTATGACCCAGACCGATGATCACTGTTGCCGCAGTACATATCATATATCTATCTATCTATCTATATAACCATGATAGTTATCGAATGGATCGCTCAGTGAGATAACTAGTAATCGATTGCTCAAGAGGTGAAGGTCTGATTCTTCCAATCCCAGTAGAAACTGGCGATGAAATACACGGGAAACGATAACTAAACGATATTTATTAACTAGTTAGTTGCTTGCCGCCGACAAATTCATCATTGATGGTTAACTAGAGCATTGGCATCAATCATCCTTCATTCATTCGAGATGTCGAGGTCGAGGTCGAGGTCGAGCTCTATCTTGTACCAGCAGAGGAAAAACCCCCCCCCCTCCCGAATGTAAACCCAAAAAAGAGACGGAAGGAAGGGAAAAAAAAAAGAACTCGACAAGACAGAGATTCGAACTCTGGCCTCCGAAGAGAATTGATTTCTAATCAATCGCCTTAGACCACTCGGCCATCTTGCCCGGTTGATGTTTGATTGGTTTTCTTCTTGTCTTATCATCATTGGGGGTGGGGTTTTTAGCCTTAGCTTTTTACCTACGGGTGTAACCGCCCCTTCCGACCTAGTCTCCAGGGTCGCGCCTTGCGCGCCCCCGACAGCTCAATGCTTAGGATAGCTTAATACTTAGTTTTTCAAAATTTCAACTATTCTACTTTAAATCTATTTTATTTAACTACTACCATGTCAGAAGACTATTATAAAGTTAAAAAATAAATTAAGGATATTATAAATACCTTATACTTTTAAAAAAAACCTAATATCTCTAAAACTATATAAGATTTTAACATGTCAAGGCACTGTCTTAGGGCATGCTAGAGGGGTTATAGAACTTAATTCTAGTAGTAACTACTAATTATGAAGTTATCTCTAGCTCAGGATTTTACTATTTATTAATATATTAATACTCTAAATAATCTAGGAGTCTACCTGTAGCCTCAAATAATTATAAATTATATAAATTCTATCCTATAATCCTCCTATAAAGACCTAGAGACCTAACTACCTAAAGTTAGTAAAAAATAGTTTAACTAATAGCTTTTATAAAATCCTGGATATATAAGAAAGCAGGTAAGAGTCATGGAATTAAATAGAAAGAAAATAAAAGATAGAGATCTTATCTTTATCTAGTTTACTTATCTAAAATATATTCTTTTTATTAGGAGTATCCTACCTAAAAATATATAGAATTTTAATAAAACTAGCTTTTAGATTAGAGTTAGAAAAAATTATTAGGTTATCTAGTATATAAAGAAATACTAAAAAGCCTATATTTCTTCTAATTTTAATTAGGAATATATAACTATAATTAAAGTAATTAATATTATTAGATATACTATAAAATTACTTATTTTATTAAGTAGTAAGTATATCTTAAAGGGCTAGTTTAATTAATTAGAACCTAGATATTATATTAGAGTTAGTAATATAAGTTATCTAAATAATAAGCTTGCCTATTAATAGATATAAATATTTAACTAGTATATAAAATCTTATATAAAAGGTAAATATTAACTTTTTATTTATAATAATTTTAAATCCTATATAATTTTTAAATTTATTAATTTTTATAAAAAAAATAATATTATTATTTTTTTTTTACTATCTTATATAAATTATATTCTTTAATCTCTTAATATTAGGGTATTTCATATTTATAAGTATTAGCATGCTAAAGTAGTTACTAATATAGAATATTCTAGAGATAGAAAATTTACTAAGATTAAATTTCTTTATATCCTTTATATAATTTAAAAAAAAATCTTTAAAAAATATATAATTACTTATAACTTTTAAAATACTAGAATTATGCCTTTTTAATTTTAAGAAATTCTATAATTACTACTTAAAAGATCTTCTACTTAACTAACTATTCCTAGTAATTCTAGATCCTTTTATTCCTTTAAAAGCACTTCTAAGACTGCTAAATATTTTAAATTCTATATATAATATCTTCCCCAAGCAGAGGAATATAGATATAGCCTTAAAAAAAAGTTAAATAGCTTTATTAAAGGTAGTATTATACAGGCCTATCTAGTAGAATTATTAAAGAATAAATTATAATATTATACTTGGGTAGAATAGGCCTGCTATAAGCATGTAAAGGCTTCAAGATCCTATTTATAGTAAGGAGGCACTATATCTAGTCAAAATTTAGCTAAAATAAAGTAGTTAGAAAAGAATTATAATATAGAGAAGAAATTATTTAAATTATAAAGATAATAGTTAAAGGTTATACAGGAACTTATTATCTATACCTTAAATTAGGGAATTATTTTAAAGAGATATTAGAAGTCTAGAAAGATATAGGAGATATAAAGGTTTATTTATATCTATTTTATATTAAAATATCTTTTAATTTGGGTATACTAGATTATTTTAAAATTAAAGCTATATAAAACTAAGTATTGAGCTATCCTGAGCATTGAGCTGTCGGGGGCGCGCAAGGCGCGACCCTGGAGACTAGGTTGGAAGGGGCGGTTATATAGCTAGCTGTTACCTATACATATATATAATGGAGTTACTCGGTATTGATACCCCTTTTCCACGCAATATATCTGCTAAAATTGCTACGCTGCTGAGCACAAGGTGCTCGTAAAAACCACTAGCCTAACAGGGCACTCAAAAGAGTCATATAAACTAAACTATAACTGTATTACACAAAGTTCTCAGCATAAGCAGATTGAATTCAGGATCAACAAGCTATCATAAATCATCTAAAACATGGGTGTCATAGTAAGTCATAAGGCATCATCAGGGGAAAAACAGACATTCACAATATATAACCACATAAAACCAAAGTAAAGGTCCACTCAAATATCCAAAAAAAATTAAAAATTAAACAAAAAAAAATAAAAAACTACACAAACCCTCCATTAATCTTTCGCAGGAAATCCTCAATTCTATCGGCAAGTGGGCCATCTCCTGGCTGAGGTAGAAGTCGACCATCACGGTCGAACCGATCGGGAAGGTCAATGGTCGCATCAGAATCTGACTCAAGTCCACTTCCTCTCCCATGATGCCCCCCCCGCACAGAGCTATGCCTTGACGAATATGGGTCCGAAGAAAAATGACAACGATGGCTAGAACGGCGATGACGACCCTCATCCATCGCCTCCACAGTAGAGTCACTATCGTCGGTTTCATAGCCCGGATCTACCTGATGATTACTCTGGGAGCCAACATCGAAGGCAACAGACTTTGACCGGTGTGGTTCACTTCTAGAACGCGCTTGTCCTCCTGCCCACGGCATTGCCAGTCGAGATGGATCCCCTAAGCCTGAAAATGACTAATTAACACGGTCCCTCAGCTCAGCTCACTCCTCACCCAATCCAACACCGAGGGGCTTGACATCGTGCGTTTGGAGAGGAAAGATTTTTTGCAAGACTTACATTCTCATCTACCGCCCGGGACTGAGGCGCGTAGGTATTCGGGCCAGCGGGAGGCGGGGGATAGTACTGCTGCTGGGGAGGAGCAGGAGCAGGGACATTTGGTGGAGGTGCATAATCAGCTGGGATATACGGTGCTGGGCCGCTGGCCACGAGGGCCGGCGCTGAGCCAGGGGGAGGAGGGTAGTAGTTGCCGGGTTTGTATTGACTACTATCTACGGGTTGGCCTGGGGCGGGAGAAGGCGGATAAGGTTCAGAGTTGTATGGCTCATCATACGGGGCTGGCCGTCCCTCATCTTTGAACCCTAGTAAAATATATCAGTCTTACATCCATCCGAGGCGATGGAAGATAACTTACTTTGCCTTTCCCTCTCATTCTCTGCCGCCTGGCGGTCCTTATGCTGCGAGTATCTGTGAGCTGCGTACCCAACACCCGTAGCAGCCAACGCCGCCCCAGCTAGATCATGAGATCGACTGCGGTGCCTATGACGACTCTTGTGGCGGCCGCCCTCAGTCGAATCGGGGGAGCTGCTGCTGAACCGGGCTCGACTACGGCTGCGACTGTGACCGCGACCGCGACTGCGACTGCGACTGCGGCCCCGATGTCTGCCGCTGGAGACTTTGTCTGAGGCGTCCGAGATGTAGCCCTGGGAGCTGGCAGGACGGCCGTAGTAATTGGCAGCAGGGATGATCCCGGGTACCGGATGCTCACCGTATTCAATTAAGCCCGCAGAGTCTCTTGTAGGATCCGGATATATTTCAGAAGGAGGGCGGCTTCGAGACCTGGAACGACGACGCTCCCTGCGACGTGATTCCTCCTCTGATTCCCTCTTTTCCTTGTTCTTTTCATAAAGGCCCGTAGCGACAGCAGTTCCCAAGCCTGCGGCGACAACGGGGAGAGCTTTTCTGAATGTGCTCTTGGACCGAGACCGAGACCGCGACCCTTTCCGGGAGCGTGAATGGCTTCGAGTCCTCTCCACCAGACCGGCAACTGCTGCACCTGCTAAACCGGCCTCCGCCATATGCTTTCGACGCTGCGATTGGCTACGTTTATTATCACTAGAATCCTTGACGGATCTCGAGGAGCTAGTCCCTCGACGATGACGCGAGTGACTCCGACGGCTGCGACTCGACTGCTTCCTAGCTAGGGCTATGGCCCCCACTATGGCAGCAGCTCCCAGCCCGATCTCTGCAAATGTCTTGGCACGAGAGTGGGAGTGAGAACGGCTCCGGCTCCTGCTCCGGCGAGGGCGGCTGTGGCTGTAGTGACGACGATGGTGGTGACGGGAGCTTCGATCATCGTCAAACGAATGAGAACGATGCCGACTTTTGCTGCGGTAGTAGTCCTTTACCTTTGATACCGTTTCAACTGCAACAGCACCCAAGGCACCAGCGCCTACATCTCGCCCCAGGCGACCAAGGCCACCCGAGACTTCTTCGCCGCTTTTCTTTCGGCGGCGGCGGAGAAATTCTGCGGCACCAACGCCGACTAGAGCGCCCTCAGCGAGATGGCGGTGGTGATGGTCGTCATGTTCAGTAGTTTCTTTGCGTATATATACCATGCTGTCATCGCTGCTGTAGTCTTGGTCATTGCGACGACGAGTGGCTTGAGAGACGGAATCACTGGGGCTGAGCTCCCGGCGGAATCGCCGGTCGTCGTTGTCGTATTCTCGAATCCGGCGATGATAGTAATAGGCGGGGTCTCGATCCACCTCGGAACGATGGACGATTTCGTAGTCGGACTCACGGGGGTTGATATAGACGGGACCTCGAGCTTCTTGAATGATTACTGGCTGGCCTTCACGAGATGGGAACAGGGTAACAGCGGGGGCGCTCCAACACACTATACTCACGTTCATAGTAATCCCTCTCGGAGCGATAGTCATCAAGGCGCGAGTCGTAGTCCGCCTCACGCTCGTAACGCTGGATCATAACGGGCTCTTCTCGTTCAGTGGTACGACGAATTACTAGTTCTCGATCACCAACAATTGGATCCTCGTGTCGATAGATGTAGTCTCGCTCACGATCCTCTGGAGGTATGACGTAACGCTTCACGGAGACAGAGGACGAACGCGGTTCGTCCCAGTCCTGCTCGCGCTCGCGCTCTCTGTAAATATAAGACGACATGGGGGAACGCAGGACAACGAAGAATGAGAAAATGGGAGGATTGTTGAGGTTAAGGATAAGGATGAGTATGAGACGAGGAGGGGGAATGAAGACAGCAAGAAAACCGGGAAGTACGGATGAAGGGAAAGGTTTGGGGGGAGGACAAGGCTGAGCCGGAGACCCTGAGTGGCGCAGGGAATGAATGCTGTTGAACTTTGAAGTAAGATCGACGAGTGACAGAATGGGGCGTTTGGATTTAGAGGTACAATGGAGGCGCAGCGCCAATAATGGGGGAGGATGATAGCTGCAAACCCCGGCAAAAAAGACTGATTGTGACGCCCAGCAGGAAAGATGCAGAAGCAGAACCAAAAACGGATGAAATTATGATGGAAGAATGAGATAATCAATGACTAGATGATGCCTAATGGTTGAAGAGAAGGAGGGGCAGGGGTGAGGCTAGTGCAAAACTGAGATAGTTCAGGTTCTAGGTGAGGCGATGAGCCTATAATAGAGGGATACAGTTATTGGTGGGGGGATGACATAGTGAGGACAAGAGGAGATGGGATGAGGATCGAAATAGGATAATGTAGAGATGGATAGAGATGAGCAGGAGACACTGAAGCAGAGAAGGAGAGGAGGATGGAAGAGGGATTTAACTCACATGAAGACCTCGTGATGTTGTTGAGCAAATGACGATATCACACTCTGGTTGTCTGGCGTCAACCTCACTCGCCCCTCGAAAAACCATCCAAGTTGGTTTACTCCCATTTCTATCTCATCTTTATCTATTTTCCATTCTCCATCTTCTGCTACATTCTTCATCATTGGTCAACGCAGCTTGGACTAAGAGAAAGGTGCGGCTGACTGCGCCCAGTGCCCGTCGAGTCACTCACTGTCTACCAAGTTCCAAGTACAACTGACATCTGATAGACTGACCATGTTTCCGTCCCAAATGTCGGAATCTGCCATCGTCTTCATACTTGGGACCTGGGTACCTCTTCCACTTTGTGGATATTTGAGTTGAAACCGGTTCTATTTCTGTTGAACAGGGGGAAATGAACCAGGCGTGGGGCTTATAGTTCCATGGTTTGAAAGGACTTTATCTGTGGTCAACCATGGATGTTTTGTTGATACTTTGGAAAATCGGATGCGAGTGCGATTTGCCGCGTTGAAATTTCCCGCCATGGAAATTAAACTTGGACGAAGGATGTGGAGAAGAGATTTATGGATTGACCACCACAGAGGAAGAAAAGAGAAAGGCTTTGGGGGGATACTGATAAGAGGTTGTCAAATTATGACGGTAGAAAGTTGACCGAAATGGATTCAATTAGGTCTAACTAGGAGATGGAGAGATGCTTAGAGGAAGCATGGAGATCTGGAAGGAAATAATGGCCTAAATATACTGGGTAGTCACGTGTTACTATTTACTTAATAGTAGTGCTATTTATATTTACTAAGTATAGTACTCTAATATACCCCCCTTAGTAATATATTTATTATATAAAGCTATTTAGAGTTTATCTCTAACTTACTAAATTCTAATCTTTTAATAAATTTAATAAATTTTATAGTTAATAGTATCTTAATAAGCCTATTTATAATATTATACTATCTATGTAAGAGCATGTGATTCGGGCAACATGTCTAAACCATTGGACCAAAAGGTCACTATGATCAGACCTGATGGTCTGATCTGCCCGAATCCCACCTTATATACCTAGCAATCATTGCCTTGGCACCAGTGCACCTAGTGCACGCCGTGACACCTAATAATATTCTAAAAAATCTAGAAAAGAATTATAATTATTATTTATTAATTATATTATTTAAATATATTTATTATTTTAGACTCTTATTTTATTATAATTAATTATATATTTCTAATATAGAAGAATTAAAAATAAAATTAATATATAAATATTATAAAAATATAATTACTAATTATTAAGATAGATTAAAAATTTATAAATTATTATTATAATTATATTACTAGCCTAGAATACTATAATTTATAAAGTAATAGATTTATAATTATTATATTTATAAATAATTTATATCTTATTAAGATAAATATTAAGATATTCTTTATTTTTTACTTATATCTAAAGATCTTTAAAAAAATATTTTTATTAATTTTATTATATATTTACTTTAAAGCCTAGGCTTTAATATTATTATAGTAGTAATTAATTAATTAATAAAGTTTTAATATTATATTCTTTATAGTAATATTTATAATATTAAGAGAGCTACTTATCTATTTTAAGATTATATTTAAAGATTTTATAGTGTCAGGGGGCAGAGTTGGATTCAGATATTCATTAACTAGGAGCTAACCAGATAGAACAGTAGAATAATAGATATTAGGTAATAGATAGGATGTAGCTTAAAGAGCTATAATAGGATTAAGGATAATATGGCTTAAATATAGGAATAAGGGTAAATAATTAAGATAGAATCTAACTAGATAGATATTATAGCTTTATACTATAATAATACCCCCCTTCTTAGGATTAAGCTTTATTAAGACTAGGAAGGAATTAGCTAGGGTTTCTTAGGATAATAAAGATAATAATTATTTATTAATTAGTAAATATTCTCTAGATATTTAGTAAGCTCTTTAATTAATTTATTATATTTAATTTATTTAATAATATATTATAATTTAGATTTATTATAATCTTAATAAATTTATTAGAAATTAAAGATTTTCTTAATTTTTTATTCTTTTAATTTTTTTACTTTAATAAGTAATAGTAGATTAGAATATTAATTAAGTAGAAGATTATTAGTAATAAGGTAAAGTAAAAATATATTAAATATAAAATAAATTCTTATACTTTTAAATAATTTAAATTTATAAGTATATAAGCTAATAATCCTTTTAATATAATATAATCTAAAGTTTTTCTAGTCTAACTTCTTTTATAGGTAGAATATTTAAATATTATAAGTATCTAGCTAGACTTCTTACTCTATAATATAGTAATATATAGATTATTTTTAGTAATTAATTTATACTTTATAATAGGCTTAAGTAAATAAAATCTTAATATAAATAAATTTATAAATCTTATATATAATATTAGTAAACTTTTTAATATTTTTTTTAATAAAATAAATAATAGAGTAACTTAATTTAAATCCTAATATTAAGTAAAATCTATAATTAGCTATAAATAGTAATACTTCTATAAATTTAGAGTAGATAGAATTAATAATAAATTTAATTATTAATAGTTATTTAAATTAATTATCTTATAGATATAATATATATACTTATAAATATTATTTTAAAATAATATTAATATATTTAATTTAATTATTAGTTTTAGAGTAATAAGTAATAGATAATAAATTATAAATTTTTAAATAGGATATTAGATATTTTTAAAAAATAATAATAAATTAAATTCTATAATTTAATATAATTATTTTAGGAATATTATAGAATTTTTAAATATATTTAAGATATAAGTTAACTACTTTTTTAGTATTAATTATTCTAGTATAGGAAAGAAAATACTTTATCTTTATTAAATAATTAATTATAATTAAAATAATATTATAATTATTACTTAGTAATAAATATATAATAAAATTTATATTTATATCTTACTAGGTATATTTAAGAATTAATAAAAATTTTAATATTTCTTACTTTATTTCTTAAAAAGAAGTAATTTAGTAGTAAAGATAATAATTTTAAATTTATTAATTAATATATTTATAGATTCTAGGCTAGAAATATTTATATAATATTAATTTATATATTTTAGTTTTTCTAGAATATTTAGTAATAAGATTTTTATAATAAAGTCTTAATATTTTAACTTTTATCTTATTATAATTAAGTATATAAAATTAGTCTTAATATCTTAGGTATAAACTAGTATATTTATAATTAATTAGTATAATATTAGGGTATTTTAGTAGATTATTCTTTAAAATATTTAAAATAGATTAGAGCTTTTTATCTTAAAGATAAGCTCTATTAAATAGTAGTTATAATATTAGTAATAGAGAGATTAATTTATTAGTAGCAGGTTATTTAATAAAGTATATTTAATATTAGCTATTAATATTAAGTCTTAGATTAGTAGTAGTCTTAAGTAGTAGATTTTTAGATTTTAAAATAATTTAATTCTAATAAAGAAGTTATTTATTCTCTTTCTTAAATAAATTCTCTAATCTTCTAATTAATATATTAGGCTTAATACCTAACTTCCTAGAATAGTAATATATTTAGAAGTTAAATTTTAATAGAAATTTAGACTAGTAGGCTTATTAATAATTTAATAGTTTAATTAATATAAAATACTCTAAATTCTAATAATTTATAATAATTTTTATAGGTAATAAAGTTCTTTCTAATTTAAAATATTATTCTTTAAAATAATAAATAATAATTAATAATTCTTTATTATAAATCTTATAATTATATTTTATTATAGAATATTTCTTAGAGAAAAATATAATAAAATATAATATATTTTTATTATTATATTATAATAATATTTTAATAAATATATAATTAAAGATATTAATTTCTAGAATTATATTTTTTAACTAGTTAAAAAATTTTAATATTAGAATATTTATAAAAGTAGCTTTTAATTATTTAAATATTTCTTAATAAATAAATATCTAGTTAAAGTTAATATTTTTTTTAATTAAGTTAACTAATAATTTAATAATTTTTAAAAAATTATAAATAAATTAATAGTAAAAGTTTCTAAAGTTAATAAAAGCTTAAATATTAGTTAAATAGGTTAGTATTTTCTATTTAATAATTATTTTTACTTTATTAGAGTCTATTTAAAAGTTATTTTTATTTATAATTAATTTTAGAAGCTTTATTTTATATATAAAAAATTTATATTTATTAAATTTAATATAAAGTTCTACTACTTATAAATATTTTAATATTTATTAAATATAATAAGTATATTTAGTATAAGTTTAGCTATAAATTAAAATATTATCTAGATATATAATATAAAAGATATCTAGATAATTAT